CTACAAAAAGACACGAAACAAACAGCCCAGTTCAGTATTGTTAGACTTGGAGGCTACTAATCTATGAATTACAAGTGATTACGAGCGTAAGAACGATGGATGCAATATTGGGAAATGTTATATTCGATGATATCTTGTTGCTTCATTATTGTGGTTTGGCAAAGGCTTTAAGCTACGCTGTGTATTTTACCAAGAACGGGGAGCAGCTTTTTTCGCGCCCTATGTAGCGGTAGATGCTAAAAAGGACTTCTTGTCAGGAAGATTATAAGCCCATTTTGAGGGGTTGCTAAACATATAAAGGGAATATCATCAATCGCTCTATTGGTTGTTGTTAAATAATCAAGTGAGGAAAGTGCAAATTAAACCAACCAAAAAATCGCAAGAACTATTCTATCAAAAATCAGCCTGATAACATCTGCCAAAACACTTGAAATTGGTATCATTAGATTCTCCTTTAAATTCTACCCTAAGCTTTATTTAGCTGGAAAGCAATGTTATTATCAGAATCGCATGATATTAAGGCTGAAAGATTTCAGAAATCCATGAATCCTCATTTTGAGCATTATGGAGGCGGGGCTATTGATAGTTTAGAATACCGCTTTTTTTTTAGTGTGTGGCTCAATTCGAATGTAAAATTTGCTACCCTTGTCAAATATACCCTCTTAATTACATGTAACGGATTAATAGGTAAGGTGTTGGCGAACCTTGTGGTGAAAAACGCTAATTCCTATCTTGCTTTGCTGCCTTGTAGTAAGCTATCAAACTCTGGTACTTACTTTGCGGTACATTGATAACAGTAACGTCTTTCAGCCTCAGCCTTTTATTAGCATTTTTTTCTTTTTTCCTTTTTTCGTTTTTATATATATATTATACCTTGCAAGCTTTCTACTCATGAAATAACGCTACCTTTGTAAATAGAATTGAAGTAAGTATAATTGACAGCTGCGCAATAGACGTAAGATACAATGTTAACGCGTTTTATACTGTGGTTATACTTGGGATAACTCTACTAGGGATCTATTTCTGATCTTTTGCTGTGCACAGGCTGCACACTTGGTGGTGGCTGCTTTGATGGTATATCATTGCTTCGGTGGTTTTTCTCTGGTGTTTGGTTATCCTGCGGTCTGTTGTCTTTGATGTATGCTGGTTCTCTGGTCTATCTTTGGTCGTGATTCTGTGGTAAGACGTGGTAAGTATCTTTTTTTTTCTTGTGGTCGCAATGATATAAAACTTCTTTGAACGTTTGTACTATTGCTTCCTTTCCCGCGATAATGCATTCCTGCTGTTTGCTTTATTGCCTTTTCTTTCTTTTTTGTTGGCTGTGATATGATCAGCTCAACAAATACTACTTGCAATGTTGTTGCTTCGTATTTACGAACAACAAGCATGACACACTGCTATATAATTGTATTACTCTTATGGTACTTTGTTATGTAACCGTGGATTGTTGTTTGTGTTGCCTCTGTCGCTTCACATAAAAACAACATTGGTTTTCATGTTGTATTACACACTTATACTGCTGCTACCGTTGCTCCTGCAATTGTGCGCGTTTGTGTTGTTTTACATCATTAGACTGTTATCATGCACATCGCTCATGTATATATTTTTGTTGCAATAACAAGAATATAATAACGTGAACATTTTTAATGTTTTATTCATAACATACTTTCCTTTAGCTCACTTCGTGTGAGCATTCTTTTTTTCTTTTGCCTACATATACTACTGTACTCCTATAGTAATTATTATGTTCGCTTCTTTTATTAATATGTTTCTTTTGAAGCATACCTTTTTTACGTTGTGTGGATGTGCCTATCCCTGAAGCTCAACAAGACTTTATCCGAGGCTAGGAGGTAGATAGGCCGCCTCCACTTGGTTATCGCTACTTACTTTAGTGATGATTGGGAGTCTCAACGCCAGAATCTAAAGCTAGGTGGTGTAAGTAAGACATGCTCTAGCATCTGGGGGAAGTTTGATGATAGTAACAGCTATATTGCTATATAGCGGAGCTTAAAATTTTGCCTCACATCAGAACAGGGGGAAACCCTCGCAAATTTTTTTTAGGTCAGCGGAGTTTTCAAGCAATCTGATTGGCTCAGAGGTTGAAGTAGCGAAGGGTTACAACTAGTTGATTTCCTATTGATCTGTCAATTAATATCATGATTTCGTGTTTGTAATAAAAGGGTATCCAAATAGATGCAATTTAAGTTCTTCTTTATTCAAAAGTAAAATAAGGTGCAATCGTTTGGTCTAACATGCTGTAAACAGTTTGATATGAAAATTGCCTTTTAAATTTATTATTATGTGGGGAAAGTTATATAGTAGAAACTACTTCAGCAGCAGACAATCTTTTACAATGTTTTTACAATATATAGTAGTATGTTTTGGCCATCTCGTCACCGAGCAATCGTTTTTACTGTTGAAAGCTAAAGTACACCGGTTTCTGTTTCAAGGATAGTGCTTTTTCTTCAACTGGGAATACATAGGGCAGTATTAAAGTTATACAGTAATTCCATAACTTATCTGCAGAAAAAATTGACTGCTGTATGAGTCAAATGAATCTATTAGACAGCTAATAGCTTTTGCGACAGATGGTCTTTCAAGGCCCCAAGGGAATCTGTCAAGTCCTTACTGGCGCCATTTCGAGCCCTTCAAGGTGTTCTCTGGCCCTCTCTTGATGGTAAAACTGCTTCTTCTGTCTCTCAGTGGCTGGTGGAATGGTAAGTTCTCCATCAAGAAGTTGCTTTCAAAGTCGTCCGTATCACTGATATATCAATATTGCAAGGTGGTTCTCTCACGGTTGTTTATTCTACAGTGTCTGTGGTTATTCTGTTGGGCCATATGAAGCTCTATCAAGGCTCTTGTTGATGCTACTCATTCAAGAAGCCATCTCAAGGCCATCAGCATGTTCCCTATAGTCTATGATGTACCGCATTCTCATGTATATTCTTATATATGGTATGGCTCGGGTGCTCTAATAAATACTCCAAGCTCTTTTTTTTTTGCTTATTGCTATCTCATAGAATTACCATTTTGCGCGCTCTCTTTGACTCTATGGGTGCTAGAATATGTCTCTGTTCTCTTGGCCTATAATTGTTCTTACTCATAGAGGTAATGATGCTTCTATCTTACTTTAATTGTTTATTCATTTTGTTGTAGTAAAAGTTTGTTTACTAGATGTTCATTGGTCTATTATTGAATGGTGTCTGGCATCTGCATTTCTCACACGAGCTTTTTTTTCTGTTATCACTCCAGTGCAGGTTTTTTTAACCAATGGTGCCCCATGGTCCTATATATGATGTATTTTTGGGTCGATACTTTGTGTCTCTACTGCCTTGCTGTATCTTCCATCCAGTTTTTCCCCTGCTATCACCCTTCAGTGTAGGGTTTTTAAACTAGTGGCGTCCTTTTTTGTTTCGTTGTCTTCTTAGGTCTCTGTTGCTCTGCAGGTCTCCAAGATCAATACTTTTAGCATTTATCAGTCGGTTACTTTGCATCTTTCTTCATGCTACTTTTGCATGTAACAAAGGGAAGCAGGTTACCGTATGACTCTATGGATTTCTATGCTGTCAGTATGTCCTTGTTATTGGCGTATGGTCGGTTTCCTGGTGTCGCTTTCTGAGAATCTGTAAATCTTAGGGTTTATATGGTCCTCAAGCGGCTAGGCACCCTTAAGAATATAGGATCATTGCATCAATCCCACGTTTCTGCAAATGGCTTGTGGAGAGATATTCAAGTACGTAATTATTAGCTTGTCATTGACTAAAGTTTACTAAGTTTCTCTCTCTCTCTTTTATATCAAACCAATCTTCTCTGTATTTGTCTGTCTGGCTTTTCAATATCAACTATTCTTTCATTTTCTTTCACGAATTTAAATTGCATTTTTACGAAATTGAAGTAAATAAACTGTACATAAGGTGCTAATCGACAAGAGTTCCAAAGATCAGAGACATCTAAAGCACTAACTCAGACCATCCATAGCAATTGCCTTTTATGAGTTTCCCATTGTGTTGTATCTTTGCATTTCATTACTTGTGATGTATACTAGAATGTTTGATTTATACCAAAGTGATATTACTATGCCATTGATTTTAAACCGCCATCACCAGGTATCACAATGAAAATATAAAAGAGTCTTTCCAATAGTTTAGTTTGATAACAGAGTCTAATTCTCATCTGTATAGACGAAGACTTGGTGCAATGTTTACTAAAAAACGACGTGCTCAGCCCTTGACCGCAAGGAATCATCACGCTAGTCATATTTATGCTTTTTATGCTCCTTTGAACAAAAGATACTACGGCAACTACAGTTGATTGCACCACCCGTATCTTGAATAGAGATCAACAATAGAGCTAACGGGCGTGCGAGAGACGAAGTACTGGCCAGACGCTCTACACTGAAAATCACATGTGCTTCATTTCTGAAAGCATAAATGTATGAGCAGGTTTCTGTAGATAGCTTCTTTCTTTTGCATACATGCTTACAAGTGGAAAAAGGCAAAAGAAATTGTGTCTCTACAGGTTTGCTTGTTTGGAAAGACACGACCAAATGCCAGTGTCATTATTATACTTTTTTTTTTTGCGCTACCCACAGCACTTTAGTGATGTAATTGCTTACAAAGGTGGATAATGAGACATCTTTAAACGATTGACCTTCTGTTTTTCATATCCCAGAGTTGCATACTACCGTGATATCACCATCCCACTTACACAAAAAGGTAGGCGTTTCTATATTAGGCTTGTTGTTTTGTTTGTATCACTTTACTTTCTCTCTTGGTCTTACAGAAACGGGCATAACTACTCTATGTATTCCGAGCAACAAAGAGAGAGGAGGTAACAATATTAAGAAAGAAAGCAAGCTACAAACACCAATCCCAATTTGTCAACTTGCATACAATCATCTTTTCATATAAAGGTCAATGATTCATGGCATATCCCTTTTTTTTCTTTCTTTCTGTTTTGCTTTCTTCAATTTTATTATCCCATTCATCTCACCGGCTACAATGACTGCAACTTTAATTCAACCTGTCAGTAGTAACAACAATATCACGAATGAGAATCAAGTGCTGACTCTGCTGGAGGGAGGAGAATCATCATCGTCGTCGTCATCTATCAAAAACGATGATGGCAAACTATTGACACAAACGCCACCAAACGATAATTTGCAGGAACAGCAAGAGATTTTAAATTACTTGAAACCCTCTCCTGTTTCATCATACAATGCCAGAAAGGTACCACGATTGGGCCCATTTCTGCTGTTGAAGACACTGGGTGTTGGTGAATTTGGCAAAGTAAAGCTGGGCAGACACATGGAAACAGGTCAAATTGTAGGTGCATGCTTTCCTGACGGTGTGCATATACTTATGGCCGATGTGAATAGGTGGCTGTCAAACTAGTGAAAAAGCAAAACATCGATTCCTCCTCTCAGCTGGAAAAGATTCGAATGGAAATTGATATCCTCAAGGTAAGATAAGAATATTCTCATGAACGAAGCGAATAAACAAATAACAAACAAAATCATCACATTATTTTTGAACGCGCAACATAGACACTGAACCACCCATACATTGTCAAACTATTGAGTGTCAATGAGACTAACGCAAATATTGGCATGGTATTGGAATATGCACAAGGTAACAAGTACTATTAACAGCCACTGTTCTCCAATTGACAAATGAGCTGTGCATGGATTGGATAGGGGGCGAATTGTTTGAGTACATCTTTAGACAGAGATATCTAAAGGAACAAGAAGCATGTCGACTTTTTTCTCAATTGATTAGCAGTGTCCACTACATGCATCAAAAGAACATTGTGCACCGTGATCTCAAACTGGTATGTGTACTAAATACAATCGTATGACAACTTGATATTAAAAAAAGGAGGTTCTTCACTATAGGAAAACATCTTGCTAGATCGTCATGGAAACCTTATAGTCACTGATTTTGGTTTCGCTAACCAGTTCACTCCAAAGACGGGTGATTTGATGTCTACCTCGTGTGGATCTCCTGTGTATGCAGCTCCTGAACTTGTCATGACAGGAAGATTGTATGCTGGCACTGGTGTGGATATCTGGTCATGTGGCATTATCTTGTATGCGATGCTTTGTGGCTACCTGCCATTTGATGACGATGCAAAGAACCCCAATGGAGAGAATATTGGCAGACTGTACCGTTATATCATGGCACATCGGCCTAAATACCCGCCCTATCTCTCTGACCACGCAAAAGATATCATTGGCAAGATGCTTATTCCTGATCCAAGTGAACGATGCAAGATTCAGGACATCATGGCACATCCTTGGCTTGAGAATTACAAGGGCCAAATCTCTAAATCAGTGCAAGAGTTGGAAAAGGAAGCTCAAATCAAGAAGCAAATGCTGCTGACAGGCATCCAATCGTCGACAAACCTCAATATACTAGCTGATGGAGAACACTACGACTCGAACGAAGACTGCTGCAACAACAGCGATCACGATTCGTGCTCCACTTCCTCTTCTGTATCCTCATCGTACTCGTACACCAACTCATACAGTAACACAAAAGACGCCCGAGCCGACGATGTTGTGTTGGAATCAGAACAAACTGACGATTACAGCGAACGTGCTATTGTCAATGAGCCTATCCAGCATACATCTAAAGCAGCATCCTCGCCTACAACCCCCGTTCCACTGCCATTATCATTGGATGAAAAAAAAGAGTTGCGCCATGACAGCGTGTCTACAGATGCAGCCTCGCATGCCAGCTGCAGCGAAAAGATAGCACCTGAAAAAGAGGAGGTCACAAAGCCAACAAACATGCCAGCCGCTCTTGAAACCCAGCACCAAGGTTACAGCAAAGCATTGTTCAAGGTTTCTGAGCACTCGCATGAGAAGAAGGCTGCTTCTGCTGCAGAAGCAAACAACAAATCCACTTTATCCAAAGACTTAGATGCAAAGCAAAAGAAGAGACACACTATCGACGCTGCAGTGACAAGCGCTTTGATGCAACAACAACAACAAAAGCCAGATCAACGTCCTTCACCACCACGACAAAATATATCGTTGAGAGCCAAACTGTTTTCTGGTGTCAAGCGTCGCACTACAAGCAGCCCAAGCACTGCCACTTTGTCACCAGCGGTAACGGCAAACGGTCAGAAGCCCACTCGAAAAAACAGACATTCATGGCAGCACCTGATGCAATCCCACTCCACCAAAGACCTTCCATTGACTCCAGCTCCATCAACAGCAAGCAATGCGCCTCGTCCTCTCATAGTCGAGCATTCCAAGAGCGAGAGATTAATCTCATGGCTGAAAAAGACAAAATCATTGCAACACAAGAGTAAGTTTAGTGATAACAGCACCTACTCCTGTTTTTTCATCTCAAATGATAATTAATTCCATATATTACAGCTCGGCTTTTAGAGCCCAAAGTGGTAGCTACTACTGCCACTAAGACAAGTAGCACATCGAATAGTAACAGTAGCGCCTATTCCTCATCGAGAGAAGCCGTTATACCCGAAGAAGATGCCACGATACCCATTGCACGACCCAATTCATCATTGGCTCCCATACGCTCAACGTCAACTACAGTCTCTCGAACACCAACGATACTATCTCAGGTCAATAAAAGCGCAGCACCCTCTCAGCAACCACAACAACAGAATGAAATCGATCACATATCAATAGCGTCTGAATTAAGAGTGCACACAGGTAGTATGAACCACTCTGCACTGACGTCTAAACCTCCTATGGAGGTGTTACTCGAGGTCAACAAGATTCTTCTCATTCTGGGTATCCAAGTCGAGAATATAGGGGGCTACAAATTACGTTGTACACGTCGATCCATCCATTATTCTGACGACTCGCATCAAAACGAAGTCAGCAATATTCTGAACCATCTGTCCACCAAGAATGATGTGTCTACCATGATCACAGAGCCCATTTATGGACATCCCAGCATTGACAGAGGAGAGGAAATACAGTTCTTGGTAGAGATATGTCGCTTTGAGAATCTGTCGGGCCTCTTTAGTGTGGATATCCAGCATTTGGCTACTATGCAAGTTGGAAACTTGGCAGGCTATCAGTTTATAGGACAAAAGCTGCTTGGTTTGTTGCAGAATAGCAATATTATTCGTAATACCAATTTTAGTCTAATGTCGAAACAGAATGGTGAGAGCGAGAATCACTAATGTCAGCATGTAAATCATCGAAATAAAGCATACGTTACCCTTAATTCAAGTAAATGCCATGTAGCAGATGCAAAAGCTCATCCACGTGTGCTCCAAGAGCTACATTGAGACAACAGCGAGCATCCAACAAACATCTCCGCTTTCAAACCTAAAGAGAAATAACCCTCTTCACGATGTGGCTTGTAAGAAACATGGTAGCGAAAGTGATTTCAATCCATATTGCATAGGAACCCAAGTTGATAGCAGAGACTCTGTAGTCATGTATGAATATTAGACCATGAATAAATGATGACTCAGTCGAAAGCCAAAGACTTGCTTGTGATGTCTCGCAATGATACATACCAGCAACAGTGAATCAAGACTAATGGGATATCTTTTCCATAGACCGTCATACATGATTGGGCTAAATTAACCATAAAATTTTTTGCTGAAAAATCTCTTGCAGATTTTCCTCCTTTTGCACCTAAATTCATCTTTTAACTATGTCTGTTACTTTGGAACTCCCTTTGGCTCTTCACATCCTCGAAGCTCACCTCGCTGAGAACAAGTATATTGCCTCGTAAGTGTTATATTCCTCTTAAAATGGGCTCTTTTGCTATCGAGAGAGGACGTTTGTGCTCGATGGAAATAAAGCGTCCATGTCCCATTTCTTGTAGGGTGGCTTAGTTGATTGACCCTTCTGTATGATATATAGTGATAAGGCTACTGAGGCCGATGCTGCTGTTGCCAAGGCTTTGGGTGCTGCCCCCGCTGCCGAATTCACCAACGTCAACAAGTGGTACACTGAAGTCAAGTAAGTTTGGTGATTTTAGAAGAGGATCCGCATGGTGGGATTAACCAAAAACGCGTTATCATCTGAATAGGCCCTCTGAAGCTGCTGCCCCCGCTGAAGCTGCTGCTGAGGATGAGGATGATATCGACCTCTTTGGTTCCGATGACGAGGAAGTTGATGAGGAAGCCGAGAAGATCAAGGCTCAACGTATTGCTGAATATAACGCCAAGAAGGCCAACAAGCCCAAGACCATTGCTAAGACCACCGTCACTCTTGAAGTTAAGCCTTGGGATGATGAGACCAACATGGAGGAATTGACCGCTGCTGTCAGAGCTATTGCCATGGACGGTCTCCTCTGGGGTGGTTCTCAACTCGTTGCCATTGGTTACGGTATCAAGAAGCTTCAAATCAACTGTGTTGTTGAGGATGATAAGGTCATGATGGATGATTTGTGTGATGCTATCACTGATTTGGAAGATTATGTTCAATCCGTTGATGTTGCTGCTATGCAAAAGATCTAAGTTTCTCCAATCCCTCCTTACCACCATCATTACCTTTGACATGCTGAATGTTGAATGAGAAAATAAAGAAAAAAGATACAGCAGATCTATGAAATAGACTGCAATTTTGTTCAATCATCATTGAAATGCTACATGTTTGTCGAGGAAAAAGGCTTTATTCCACTCAAGAGTGCTCTTAATCCAAGTCCTTCAATACATCCTGCCTCTCCTTGTACAATGCTTCAGCCCATGCCTTGACAGTGGGATGCTGGAACTTGCCCTTTGTTGAATCAAAAAATCCTTGCAGCTTTTTCTTGTCGGCTGCCATATTGCTATTAGTTGGTTGACAAATCCCTAGCTTTTAGTAGCGTAAGTCTTACATTTTTCATATTCCAATGCTTGCACAATCATCTCAAACTTGTCCAAATCCTTCACAAATAGCGCTTCTGGCGTCTTGGCGTCTTCATATTCATGCCATAAATCGACAATTTCGTTGGCAGTGTCTGTGTTGCCTAGAGATTCCTTGAAGCCATCCATAGCGGTCTGATGTTTATATGAGCATTTGAGTGCTTCCTTGCGATGGCCAATGCTATACCTTTTCTAAACGAAACTTTTCCTCTTTACTGACGCCTGCATGTGGAGTAATGTCGCCCTAGGTAGGTTGTATGAATAGTGAGGCCATGATTTCTATTTCTACAACTTACCACGACAGCTTCAGCGAGATCATGTACAATGGCCATCTTGATACATCTAAAGAGCGGATTAGCTGAGATCCACACTTGGACGACAAATAGCTTGCCTTTCTCTGTTGAGGGAAGGGTCGTTGACAAGCATTGCCATGATACCCATACGATGCATATGGTCTGAAATAGACTCTGCGCCCTTGATGCCATTGTCTAGCCATCCAGTGCGTTTTGTTCTCTATCGTTTGGCTCAATACATGCAACAGAGCTACCTAGAGACGGACTCATTACCTTTAAATTCTCAATGACATGCAGGAATTTGATTACGTTGGCAGGGTTTGATTGTGCCATCTTTGTAAATACGGAAAAGAAAAGTTTTTGACATGAAATCCAGCAAGATTGCATTCTGTTCCTTTTGCCGCTTGTGTGATCGGTATTGTTCAACCAAACTGGAAGCGATTTCCAACATCCACAGAGGTTTTCTTGGCCAAGCTATGGTATTCTATCAAGCTATGGCGCGTGTGAGTCTATAAGCTTGTTGGCATCCTGCCGCTGTCATTCAGCTCAAGAAACTGCAGCAGACTACTGTGTACCATGGTGATTTTCACCTTTCTAAAGTATCACGCCATTGTTGCTGCCTGCCCAAATCCACATGCGTGTGTTCACTAGAGTATGCTTGCTTATGCCTGGCAAAGGTACTTACTTTGGCAACATAACTGGTTTGTGATGCAATCGCTTTCCAACGGACAACTGCATTATTTTCTAGCATTTCTCTGTTTCACATTGTCCCGGATGTTGAATAAAAACCTCGTAATGAAGATTTTCCTTGCCTTTTTTCCCCTCTTCTCATTCCAGTAAAATGCCACCCAAGACATCACGAAAGAAGCCCTTCAGTGGCAAGCAAAAGAAGCAGCAATTACAGCAGAAGCATGCTAAAAAAATGGAAAAAGGTAGCTTTACATTCGCATGATGGCAACCCGACGTCGTATTCACGTTAGTATAGCTACCTTGGTCGACCCAACTTCATTTGACTATTTGAACAGAGGCCCTCGAGAGACAGTGCCTTCTCTGGACAAACACTTTGTAATGCCTGCAAGCAAAGGCATGAGCACAGCTGATTTCTCGCAAAAGAACGTGAGCCAGGATAAAAAGTAAGATATTGACAGCACTAACAAAAAAAAAAAAATGCTTAAAACTCTAATGATGCTTGACAGGTTGGTGTCCGTATTTGAGCGATTATCTCACCAAGAGATTGAAAGTGAAAAACTAAAGAGTATGCAGCCATTGAAGCGACTGCCCAAGGTAAGTGATCATTGATTCAGCCAGTAACATACGACTGAACACAGAATTAGGAATGTATGGAGATCAAGAGTGATGAATTCAGCGAGTATATTGAGTTTCCTAAGCGGCCTGTGTGGGATTACGACATGACCAAAGAGGAGGTGGAGAAGCAAGAGGCCGAGAGTTTTGAGCACTGGGTGAGAGCGGTGGAAGAGACATACGGTGGCGATCAATTGAGTTGGTTTGAGCGCAATCTGGAAGTGTGGCGTCAACTGTGAGCACGTTTTACATTGTTGATGGTTCTGAAGTATACTAAATGCTGCTTACACTAATCTCTAGGTGGAGAGTGCTCGAGATCAGTGATGTCATTCTCATTGTCATGGACATCAGAAATCCTCTGTTGCACTTTCCTCGCTCCTTGTACAAGTACATTACGCACAAGCTCAAGAGAAAAATCATTGGCATCTTCAACAAGGTGGACTTGGTGTCTGAATTTACCGTGTTTGCATGGACAAAGTACTTTGAAGAAGAATTTCCCAATTTGCGTATTGCCACATTCAGCTGCTATCCCAGAGACCCCAATTTGATTGACGATACAGCCACATGTAAAGTAGCGTATGCTGACAGAGAGACGCCTCAGACACGTTGTACTGATTGTTTTGCATTTAGACTCTCTCAAAAACCAACTCAAGAAGCCTAGAAAACGATACTACTATGCACAAGGCGTACGAAATATATTGTCTGTATGTCGTGACACTGTCAACAAGCCAGGTGTTCATGTAGACTGGAAATCCATCATTGCTCAATACAACGAAGATAATCCAGATTTGAATACAAATGACGATGATAGTGATAATGACGACGATAGTGACACAGGCAGCATGGATGGTTTAGGTAACTTATGGATAAATGTTGCTGCAGAAGCATAGTGTTGATTCGCTATTGCATAGACGATGAGTTTAGCCACATTTTGGAAGTGACAGGCCGAGAAATTAATCCTCACAAAGACTATCTTACGCTTGGACTTGTAGGACATCCCAATGTCGGTAAAAGTAGCTTGATCAACAGTATCATGCGAAGAACAGTTGTGAGCGCAAGTCGTACGCCAGGTCATACAAAGCACTTTCAAACCATTCATATTGCAAGCAACGTTCGGCTTTGTGATTCGCCTGGTCTTGTATTTCCTGCATTGATTCCAAGAGCACTGCAGATCTTGTCGGGCATGTATCCCATTGCTCAGGTACAAGAACCCTATAGTGCTATTCGATATCTGGTAAGTACCTCAGATCAGATCCAGCCCACAGCCACGACTCACATTGTTGTATTGACATTGTAGGCAGAGCACATTCCACTAGAAAAGGTATTGGCTGTGACGCCCCCTGAAGACTGGGATAAAGCGCAAGAGTATCAATGGACTGCATGGTCTATATGTGAAGGTGAGTTTAGTAATAATGGCACACATAACCTTGAATGCTGACACTGCCTGTAGAGTTTGCTGAGCAGAGAGGATTTCATACAGCCAAAGCAGCCAGACCAGATGTCTATAGAGCAGCTAATACCATATTGAGACTGACTGCAGATGGAAGGATCCTGCTTTCGTTCAAACCACCTGGATTCTTTACCAGCAGCAAGTACGAAAAGTTGCGAGTAATTGAAGCTGATCTTCGAGCTGAGCAAGCGTCGGATGATTGCGAAGACGATTCTCAAGATGAATATGATCCAGGCAATACTTACAAAGGCAGGGAGAATCTCTTGATTTCCAAAGGTGGATTCAGTGCTCTTTTATCTGATTCTGAATAAAGACTGACTCTCAATGGCATTGTATCACAATGGACCATCTCTCTTTTATTGACATCATCTTTTTCCCGTTTTCTTTACCTTTTTCCTTTTTCTCTTACATTTTGTTGATACGAAACGATGGGATTCTTTACTGAAGACATACAAAAGACGTCTGTCTCGTTATATATTGGTAAACACAGTCTGCAAATGCCATTTTTTGATGCAACATGTTAAACATTTACACAGAGAGACTCTCCAATCTGGAGGAGGTCGACTGGTATCTGCTGCAGCAGTTGACCGAGTCTATTCAAATGCAAGCGAATGGACCGAGAGAAGCTGTCGAGACCGTTCGAAAGAAGCTCAAACACGGTGGCACTCAACAAAAATTGAGAGTCTTGGAGGTAAGCAGCTCGAAATCTGGATTTGAATCAGGCGTATTCACCGTGCTGTATGCTTAGATCCTTAAATTGCTCATGGAAAACTCAAATCAACAATTTCACAGTAAGTTGAAATGACTGGAGGGAGATGGCAATGGCATGATTGCTGACAGGGGATAGGACAATTTCTGGCAAATGAAAAGATGAGAGAAAGGTTCGAGCTGATGTTGACCTCCCCGGTATGAATGAAACCTTTGCTTTTGAGATGTCTGTGCTGATTGATTGTACACACACAACAATAGGCTGAAAACGCTGCAGTTAAAAAGGAACTTGTTTCACTTTTAGGTGCTTGGGCAGTCAAGTATAAGAGCGAGCCAGGAATGAAGGCCATTCAAGACTTGTTCGAGATGGGAAGAGGTGGTGGACGTCGTGTGGTTGTAAGTGTACTGTGAAAACTGAGATTCTCACATGCTAAAATTCGTATCTTAGACCCGACCAAGAGCGAATACAGACACAATGGACAGACATCCTCATATACAATCACCCTCTACACCAACTTCGAGACACATGGACACACCCACTTCACCTCGTCGTCGCTCACCTTCGCCCATTAGAGAGGAAAAACGTAGATCGTTACCTCCAGCCATGCCCTCCAAACCTGCTCAATCAGTAGAGCGATCACCACCACCAAAGAACAAATCCAAACCTCGCAGCCAAAGCTCTGCAGCCACTACAAGCCGGCCCTCTCCAGCATCAGGCAGTGCGGGCCCTACAAGAGTATTCAACTTTGAGAAGGCCAAGCCTAAAATTCTGGAGGAAATTGCACTGGGAAACAGCAACGCCAACAACCTCGTCAACGCACTGAAATTGATCAACACATCTGAAGATAGATGGGAAATCGATTTACAACACGACAAGCGTTTGCAAGGATTCCATGACAAGTGCGAGGAGTCCAAAAAGAGAATTGTTCGATACGCTAGATTGGTGGAAGATGAGGACTGGATTGGCACTTTGTTAGCTACCAACGAGGGGTTGTTAAAGGCGTTGGAAATGTACGACATTATGCTCGCTGGTGAAATTCCTGCTGCTTGGTCGCAGGCTCAGCAAAATCAACAGCAGTTACGTCTGGCATATCAGCAATCAGAAGCACCACCAAAGCAAATTCGCGCACCTCCTCCACCTCCTCTACCTCAGACATTACAAATCGAAGATTCCTTTTCCAATATGCAATTGACTAGACGTGAGCAGGAACCTGAGGAAGAGCTGGACCCTTTTGCTGATCCCGTTACCCCTATTGAAGATGAAAATCGAAGGTAAGATGAACTAGGCTTTTTTTGATCAGGGTGTAGTATAAATTAAACTAACCCCCTCACTCAATCCCTATAGAGGCTATTTATATTAATTCATTCAAATCAGTCATCCGCATTCATTACTCACTTTAATAAACTATAGTATGTATTAATCCCACACAAGGATGAAAAATGTCCCGTGCACTGCAGATAAAGGTGGCGTTGAATGTATAATTGCAACTTGATATATGCACATGTTTTTGCTTTAGTTCGTAAATGTCTTTCTACCAAGAATTGTATATGAGGAGGTGATCATATTTTTAATACATTGATTATGGCATTGTGGAGGAGCCCTGGAAGTTCAGTGAGCTCAGAAACAATCATGAATAGTGGCTAATAAGATAGAGTGCAATGCAATTGTTGCTTTATACATAAAGCAATACTACCGGTCGCTGAGCGTTGTAGTGCTTCCATTCGTTTATGGAATATGGCTATCTACGCAGGAAAGCGACCAACATGAGCGTATGCTACCTTTTTGTTTGTCCAGCTCAAAATCACGGGTTCATCAGCTATACCTTAAGTTCGTGGTGAACATCATGGATTCAATCTTGGCAATGCTCATTTCCTTTACGGTTCAGTAGCAGCCAACGCTATTTCATCGGAATATTGTATCATTGTTTGAATATTCTACAATACAAGGTTTTTAGCGTCTCACCATCAATGAAGAGTCTCCTATAGCAGTGATTTGGCTCTTCTGAGAGACTTCATATTTCTATATATGGAAACAATTTGTATAGAGGCCGAAAGTATACTTGTTTTGCCTCTTATTACTACTCGACAATATGCAAAATAGAGCGAAATTTGAATGCATTCGAGCAGTGATTTCTCGCGTTCAAGGCAGTTTTAGATCGTCAGAATAGCACCAAGCAGTTGCTCTCATCTGGCAGTTACTTTCTGACACGTTTGCTCAACTTTTTTGGGAATCAAAAAAAACATGGCCAAAATTCGACCAAAAAGCATAAGGTACTCCTCGTGGTTTTCATCGAAAACCAAACGATCGCGTTTTTTACCTTGATAACGAGGACTTTTACTATGGTATATATTAATTCAAAATGCTTCTCTCGATCCAAAGCAACTACTGAAGTCATCTTTGTAGAACTTTAATATGTAAAATTTCTACATTTTCGTCAAAGACGTCGATTCATATTTTCAAACTTTGCTCAATAAACTCAACCAAAACACCTTTTTTTTTAAGTAACATCGTATGCGTCTCGAAAAACACTACAAAAATGCATTAGAAAGTATGGGATGATCACTACAGTTTATATAGTCGAACATCGCAAAATAGGTCAAATCATGTCCAGAATGTTCAAAAATCAGCAAATCGGGAACAAACATGAACAACGGGATTTTAATTGATTTTGGCTGATGAGGTGCAACTGCATGAAGGCAATCGATGTTTGTGAAGCTTGTAGGCAGGGGATAACGAATTATAAAGTACTATTATAACGTGTCAATATTGTTAATAGAGCTACTTGATTTGGGTTTCCATAGGCATATTCGCTAGCTTGATATTTTATTGAGAATTGAAAGGTGCCTATCTCAAAATCGTCGCATAATCGTTGTTATCATTGATACATGTGTACATCGAGGCATTATTGCTTAATTTTATGAAATACTACGACTTCAAATGTAGAGAAAGTCGCTGAACCTTGACAGGATCTTGTTGGTCCCTGGCAGTCTCGCGTCTCTACAGAAACCTTACGTTGAATTGCTATGCCACATTACGTACTCAATCTTACGACACAGTTCTTGAAGATGCGCTCATCTATTAAAGTTTGATACGATGACTCTTCATTTCATCAAGTCTAAGCTAACAGCGCAATAACTGATAGTTATACACACTTTGATTGTACTGCCAACATTCTTTCCAAAGAATTAATGCACATTCCCAGAGCCTTGCATCTAGTAGCAGCCATAGAATCAATTTGATGATAAAAGCTGACCAAGACACCCTCTCTTGCGAACCAGTTGCTGTTTGATAGTCTGTAAAATGTCTTGATTTGGCGAGCATTTGAATGAATTCAGTGCGATTTCTCTCCATGTTTATGTATATTCTTCAAAGATGTGGCTGTACGTCATATCGTAGAATGACAAGCAAATTATAGACCACAATTTGGAACCAAAATACTGGTCTCGCGATTTACGGGCTCAGATTTAAGATAAAGGGATACCATGAACCGCGACCGACAGTGTTGTTGAGTATGCATTAGCCGTAAGCAGCCACGGCGATGAAGTTTAGCACTGAGCATACCGCAATTCAAACAGAAGTCTAGAGACAAAGCAATGCAACTTGACATGGAATATTGCAATGATTGGCAAGAATAGACATAAAAGTAGAGGCCGACTATGGCTGATAACAGCACATCTATGAAGGCTTCCAAAGTTGTTGTCAATGCCTCTTCTTGTCCAAGACACGCAGTATACGATACTATCGACATCCCGAGGCTCAATTGACATTATTTTTGTTCTCAATATAGAACATGACAAGAATTATACTTATCCACATCGCACAGACATACGTTATTCCCAACATTACAACATTTCTTAATCACTCAGCCAATTGCCAAAAGTACCAGAAGCTGTAAATGCTCACCACGTTACACGAGATCAATGGGTTTTCAAGAGGAGAGTATTGAAGATCCCTTTTATCCAAAAATGAAATGTGATGATTTCTTTTTTGCAATCAAGATTTCATGCCGATATATAATAAAGGGCACAACTGGAATGTGCATTAGCAAGATGTACTATCAGGCAGCATGCCGTCGTATCACCTTGTCTGGTTATTTATAAGTGAAAGGGATTAGGCTCGGCCATGTGCCCACAAGTGTGTGTGTGTGTGTGTGTGTGTGTGTGTGTGTCAAAATCCACTTTCACTTTGGATCAATTTGATACCCGCTTTTGGATAATTTTCTATTTTTATATCACATACGCGAAATAAAAGAGTCAACATCTTTTTATATTGTTTTGCTTCTTTTTCTTCTTTTTCTCTTTTTTCCTCTTTTAACAGCCAAAACCAACCCTCACATTTCACAACGATAGATCAATGGATCTTGACTCAAACAAAGATACACCCATTAAAAGTTGGTGGAAGAAGGTCACACACAATTCGAACAATAAGCCAATCTCACAGAAGCAAGGTTCGTTATTTTGCTAATTAATTCCAGTAAATTACATGTTGATTGTTCAAATTAGACGATCAAATCTTTGGGGTTCCATTGCAAGACAGCCTGAAATGTGCCCGAGCTGCTATCGCCTATGTTGACAATGATGTGCAATATGTTGGATTTATACCGGTGATTGTCGCTAAATGTGGTTCATTTCTCAAAGACCAAGGTAAATAAAACTACCCAATGTTGCAATGAAAAAATCTCACGCACTCTCTACCCAAAATCAGGCTTATACACTGAGGGCGTGTTTCGGATGAGTGGCAGGTATGTGTATCTGGGTGTGCGTTGATATAAATAGCGAATCATTCAGCTGATGGCATTGTGTGTAAAATGGCAGTGCAAAGAGAATTGGTCAGCTACAGCAGATCTTTAATACAGCACCAGACTACGGCAGACAGCTCGATTGGAAGGGATTCTCGGTCCATGACGCAGCCAATGTGTTAAGAAGATTCCTCAACTATTTACCAGAGCCTGTTATCGTTCATCAGTTATATCAGCCTTTTCGAGATGTTGTCACTTGCACCACGCCATCCACAGAAGATGAGAAAGTAGTGCAATTTCAAAACTTGATTGAGCAGCTACCAGAGCATCACCAATATCTTTTATTTTATCTATTGGATTTACTATCATTGTTCAGCCAAAATGTGCAGATCACAAAGATGGATACCTTCAACTTGGCTTCTGTATTCACTCCTGGCATTTTACTGAATCCAGAGCATGCGCTAAATCCTACTCAATACAAGACTTCGCAGAAAGTAGTTCAATTCTTGGTGGAGCATCAGCATTGCTTTAAAATGCCTCGTTCATCATGGTTCACTGTACTTAATCAACAGCAAAAAGAAGCAGATGAAGCAGCAGCAGCAGCAGCAGCAGCAGCAGTAGCAGTAGCAGCCAATACAACACCTACCATAGCAGCGACAGTGTCAAATGAGGATCCTGCCGTCCCGAGCAATGCTAACCAAGATATCAATAAATCATCATCTACACCAACCAGTTCATCTATCCAATCACCTACCCCACCACCAACGCAGCGCCATAACAGCCAACCCATTCGTTACAACACAACTAATACTTTCCATACGCCTATTTCTAATACTACCACCACCAATCATCCATATCATACGCATCAACATCAAAAATCTGCAGGTTTATCAGACCCATTGACCTCATCTCCCACAGCCACAAGACCATCATCTGTACTCGTATCTCAACAAAAGGAATCCAGAGTGAAGCGTGCAAAGACAATGCCCTCAAGAAGATCAAGATATGGTCCAAATGATCCATTACAAGTAGTTCAATTAAACAAATCTGTTATTGAAACAGGCCATAATAAATAATTTTCGTAATTCAGGGAAACCATGGATTGATTTTTCATCAAATCAAGCTACTAAAACTCACAGGATGAGCCATTACTACCATTATTGAATCGAGAAGTGCATCTCTCTACCTATGAAAGGATTCCGAATTCATCATCCAATGGACCCAAGCTAGTATCATAGACCTTTCCATTCGCCTCAACTGATGTCATCAAGGGTAGGGTGGGGCGCTGTGATAAGATTCAAATGGTCAGTTTCAAATCCGAAAAAGGGCCCTGATATCGACATTTCTTTATTATTCTTACCTCTTTGTCTCTTGTATTAATCTCTTATTAAAAATGCCTGTTGCTAGAATTGTCACTTCCCCTCACTTCTCTATCCTCTCACCCGAGAAGCTTATCAAGATGTAAGGAATTGAATTGCATATTTGATCAGTTCATGTTGATTTAATTTGTTTGTCATTTTTTGCACGCACACAGTGCTCCTAACCTTGCCACCTGGGGTGTTGGTGCTGGTTCTGCTGTCCTTCTTTTGGGCTCTGATGTTCCCTTGTTGAAGAAGGATATTTTGAGCAAGATCCCCGTTGTTGGTAGCTACTGGGCTGTTCCTTCTGACGAGTAGATTATAGACGTATACACTATTGTACACACACATACAAAACCCAATGACAACCACCAAAATAAATCAAGAAATACGCTAATTTACACATATACGTCTAACATGAAAAGGCGGGCAAGTGCAGGAGCAGGGGCAGGATGTACAAAAAGAAAGTTTCGTTCTGTTATTGTTTGTGCAATTACACATTCATACATTACATACAGTGTGTCTCCTATATTGCGAAACATAGGTAATTGATTTTCTTTGTATCCCTTTTGACATGGGGCAGAAGGGGGGGGGGGAGAGAGAGAGAGAGAGAGAGAGAGAAGAAACTCCTTGAACATCTCTCGTAAATGTGCGCGCATGTTTTCTTATATACAGTGCAATGCTGCTGCTGCCGGTGCTCCCTTCTAGACCTTGAGTTCTATATACAAGTGCAATATAGACCCCTTGAAATCATCAATATATAAATACATTGATGTTTTTGCAAGAAATGAAAAAGAACATCTTTCTTTATACACCATGTTGGTTTCCTACATTTCAGCAGGTCTTTTAGCCATCTCTTCTGCATTGACAGTTCAAGCACGCTACATTGATTACAATGTTGCTTCTACTGCGGAATTGTTTCGTCGTGATGATGCATCTGGCTGCAGAGATATGAACACCAACTTTGCAGAAACCACTGACGGTTGGGTGTTACAGCAAGGATCTACTGAAGAGACCTACGATATTACACCCGAAGGTCTCGAAATGAAGATTTTGAAACCTAAAGAGTACGAGTCATCCTATGAAGCTGCTGTCGACAATAACACACCCAACAGTAGGTAGTTCTACAAGATGCGACTGCACCGTCTAACATTGAATTCTACAGAGTTAAGATACAACAGGTATGAAGGTAAAGGCTTCACTTTCAATGCAACAACTTACATGCAATACGGTAAATTCTCGGCCACTGTCAAGTCTGCAATGGTGCCTGGTGCTGTCACTGCTGTCATCTTGATTGCTGATAATGGCGATGAAATTGATTTTGAATTATTAGCTGGTCCAGCACAGCAAATTACGTATGTATAGCTCAAAGACCATCTCATTGACATCTTTGCTAACCCAATTTTTGCATGATATACAGGAGCAACTACTTTTATGGTCCTCACATCGTCTATGGCGAGAATGGAAAAGTCATTGATGCTCCCAGCGGCAATGTCTATGATCGGTTTTACAAGTATTCTATTGAGTGGTCTCCTGAGAAGATTGTTTGGAAGATTGACGATCAAGAGATCCGTACAGTGACATTGGCAGAAACTGACCCCCATGACGGCAGTGAGCCAGCATACCCTACACACGCTGCACGAGTTCAAATTGGTCTTTGGGATGGTAGTGGTGCCAGTGGCACAGCTGAATGGGCTAGAGGACCGATCGATGTAAGTAGAACGTTGAGTATGTTGCGCGAATGATTGGCTTAACAGGTTTTCTGTTTGATAGTGGAGCAAACAAGATGGACCGGTTACAGCATACATCAAGAACGTTGTTATTGAGTGCGATCCTCAGCACAACTAAATACCTATGGTACGCACCAGACATACATACAGCCTCTTTTCCACACATATCATTTGATTTTCAATACTTTTATCTTTCGTATTCAATCACATAACCTTTGACATTTCTATCAGCAACATTTACATCCAATCATTAATAAAGAAAACGAGATATTTGGCGGGTGAATCCTCCACTCCCTCATGATTTTTTTTTTGTCTCCCTTACTTCACGATGAGAATCGTGGTCTTTAGTCTAATGCAGATCATACACCATAGGATTATTATTGCGCTTCTCCTTGATACCTCAATTCGGGATCTAACCCATCATAATACAAAAAGAGAGAGCGAGATGTGCTTATGTGCTTATGTGCGTATGTGTGTGTGTGTGTGTGTGTGTGTGTGTGTGTGTGTGCGTGTGCCTGAAGAATGCAAGTTTACACTGTTCATCGGAAAATTACAAAAGCGTGTTGATGGAATCAGCAATACAACATTATTTCAAAATTAACACTTTATGAGTGACGCTGAAGACACTGAATATATGAGAAGAATGAATGCTTTTATGCTCGGTGTTATTGCGAATAAGAGTAACTATTTTCCCTATTTGCATATTTCTCTTTCACTTTTCTCTCTCTCTTCAACATGTATCAAAGATCACACAGTGCCACAGACGTTCGTTTGGGTTGGTCAGATTCCCTCAAAAAGTTCAAGTCTCAGCGCTACGTCAAGCGCATTGCCCCTTTTCGGTCCATCTCGGATAGCAAGCAGACGTATCTAGGCCCTCAGAAGAACACTTTAACAAAACCAAGCTACCTGAATGCCAACATCATTCAAAAGGCTCTGTTGCAGATGGTGCAACGCCATAAAAGCTCAAAGCAGGTAGCAGCAGCAGTCCAGCAAAAGAATCAGGAAGAATCAGGTAGCAATACTCCTGAATTGTCTATCAACGAACAAGAGCACAGTGCTGTACTTTCCGCTCCTTCTCTAGACTCCTCCATCTCTTCTTACAATGACAGCGAGCATTCATTTGACATGGACCACATTGTGCAAGAGCTGCTGGACAATGACAATACGAGTTTTTACTGCCCAAGCAAACAAGACGAGTATGACGAAGAAGAAGAAAACATTGTAGACAGAGCCGTAGCGATGCTCAACAGCCAGGGAAAAAGTTCAACGTGCCCAAACTTGACAAGTATAGCAAACAGCTCGGACATGGGATACCAGCATGATGATGAGGAGGAGGTTGATGAACAAGAAGAGCAACAGAGATCCTTGCCTCCTTTGCCTACCAAAGAAGAATCAGAGCTCGCCATCAGCAACAATAGCATCGAGTTGTGTAGCAAAACAAGTATGCTGAAACGACAGGCCACCATCAAGATGGCACGTGCAGCTTCAAGGGGACAAATTCATCTCAAACGTGCTGCTACTTGGTTAGGCCAGAAGATGCTGCTTGCCTCTCCTCAAATGCAAAATTTTGGTCTGCTAGTGTCTCAAAAGTACCATTCAGTTACTAATTTTGGAGGCAATGCCATGTTGCGATTGAATAGCACCAGCCATTTCGACACCTTCCCGCCTGCGCTGTCCATGAGCGCTTCTTCCGCCTACACCAGTGCCTACAGTCTATCCAGCAGTGTTGATCAAGAACAGCAGCTACAGATGCAGCCGCAAAAGGCTAGAAAATTGGGATTTTCAGAGCAAGTGATCTATGGTACAGACGCTGATCATTTTGCGTATCTGAGGTAAACTTGTCTTTATCTAAAGTGTGCCTGACTGAATGCTGATCCATTTATCAGAAATCAATTGGACAAGAAACACTCACCTTCCACTAAACACACTGCCAGTGCCATGAACAAGCGCACCTTTGTTGCGCCAAAGAGAATCATGTATTGCCGAGGTTTGTACATCCATGCACATGCATTAACTAGTAGCCACTGTACTTAACTAGCTGTTTATAGTCATGCAGATCATAAATCTTGCTTCCACTCGTGGTGAGTTTTCTACATTGTAAACAAGTTTAAGCTCCTTGAATTTATATTGACATTCTTCTCCTTGACGCCTTGTTATGGTGGTTCTAGATTGCGATTATGAGTTGCACGTTCAACTAAACCATGTGACAATGGCGTCCAAACGTGGCGTATTGCGTAAAGTAGATAAACATGCCAGTGCTGATAGACCTTATGATGAAGCCCTCGTATTGTGAGTAGATGTTGCCATGGTGAGAGCATAGTCTTGGAAACTAATCTTCATATACAGCCAAGTGGAAGAACCATTCTCACTCAATTTTGTCGTTGCAGCTCGCCATACCAACACTGTGTTCCGTGAAGGATTAGCCAAGATAGGCATTTGGCCACTCCAATCAACTGCCACAGACTCAGCAGCTTCTTCAAAGCAGAAAGCATTGCCACAACTACCCATTGCTGGCTACACTTGCCTCAACTTTGAAAACAAGATGGACATCTTGGATCAAGGAATATCTCGATTTAGGTTGAACAAGCCTGTGGATAAATCATCGAACCGTTGGTTGAACCTCGAGTTACTCATAGACATCAAAGTGGAGGAAGTATTGCCTGCTGTTGTTCATCGTTTCCCATGGTCTTACACTACAAATCAATGTCCTTCCTCTTCTTACGAAAGCATTGACGAAAAAATTATCTCGGATCCCAGAGAGTTACTCGTGTCTCAAAAGCACTGTCAAGAGGGGGACTACTTAACGATTTATACCAGAGGAATGGCACATCCTGTAAGTTTCTTTAGTTACTATTCAGGTACACAACTTGTTCTCACACAGTACACTATAGACTTGGAAACGTTATTGGGTTGTTATGGAGAAAGATCAATTGGTTTTGCATGATTTCACATTCAAGGTATAACTAGACATAGCAGATGATAAAACTGACTGTATTTACAATTGCCTCACGTAAACTCTTAATATCTCTAGGACACAAAGCAACCGTTGAGCATTATCTCGCTGAGTGCGTTGCTATCTGTAGGCAAACCAAGTATAGACGACTGTGAAAATGTCGGCATTGCCAGAAAGACTGGTATCATGCTGCAGTTCAACAGAGCAAGCGCAGTATTATCAGAGCCTGTTCGACTTGAGAGCGATGAGGGCTTGGAAGGGAAAGCGTATGTATATGGTGATAGCGAGCAGAATACGGTTCACTGGCGCAGAGCGTTGAGTGCATACGTTTCGTCAGACGAGGCATCAAGTAAAGTAGAGACGCATCAGCATAGCCAAGGTGGTGTTGATTTGCGCTTCTTGTGGTGATACTGTAGCTTCATCCTAAATACCCCTTATTTTTGGTGCACTTGATAGCATTCTCAAATAAATAAGATGCAAATCTCAAACGTGGAATATGAGCAATGTCTAGAATGCAGTTCATGGGCTACACAAAAGCAACTCATTCCAGTTTCCGGGGATATGTGTGATTCATAGGACACCCACAAAACAAATGTATCATCCTCAAAAGATCCTCAATGCCATACTTTTTTTCCATTTCCTGGGCAAAACTATGCCTTGGCACATGGGTTCGACACTTGTCAAATTTTATTTCGCATGACACAAATAGGCCAAACTAAATGTACGCACAAGCCTTCGCTATTTACAATCGAACCTCCTCCATCAACTCTTCATCTTCCTCATCATCATCGCTTTCATCGTGAGTAACATCGTTGAGTGCGTTTTGTCTCTCGGCAGCTGACAGTCGTTCCTTGTACTCTGGCTTCAGCTGATAATTACCGGCATATGGGCCTCGCTTGTTTAGAATGCAAATTTCAGATAATACCTCCTTCAAGTATGAGTTTGGCTGCTTCGTATGCTCAACAATACCCTTAAAAGACCAATAAGGGAATTTGTCGAATGCAGAAAACAGTAAATCCATGAGCTCGTTTCTGGGCATACGTGTTGCTTTCTCTTTGTCGGTTTTTGGCTTTTTGGTAGTCTACAGAGTATGTTAGTTTGATCTGCATGTTCATTATCAAGCAGGCTGAAGGGGAGAGGTATTTACAATGAAATCTGAGAAATCGCTGTTGGGCATGCTGTTGCCTGCACCAGGCACAAATACAGGTTGGTTGTTTTGACCGAGTACTTGAACAGACCTCTGAGGAGTGCCTGCTTCTAGCACACGCTTTCTCATGATGTTTCGATAAGTGTTGAATTGTGAAGGTGTCGCACTGCATTCGTGATGAACTGTTCCAGAAATCGCTTTTCCACCGTTCTGATCCTCTGAAAAGACAAACTTGTTGTGTACTTCTCCAGGTGTGATATGTATGCTGTATTCCTTGGGAAGGTTAGGTGTTGTCTCGTCTTCTGGAAGAACAAGTGCAATCTAAACAGAGATAGCATCAGTGAGGTTTTGCTCCATTGCGTAGTGTGTATCGTAATGAAATAGTTACATTTGCTGTCTTGCCAGGTGGTGGTCTATACAATACATCATTAGACTTCAAGCTACGGACTTGTTCACTAGAGGCTGATTGAGCAACTTACTTGTTGTATATACGAATGCTTCCCAGATTGACATTATCTTCATCAATAGATCTCCACTTTTCGGCTAGAAACTTGGGCACTTTTACAAGCCAAACTTTGGTGTTTACATCATCTAGTTTGAGATCCTCGGCGTCGTCTTCGTCAATAACGCCGTCAAGACTTCCAGGATCGTCTTCGAAAAGAGCATCGACGTCTTTATGTTCAGACATTTGCATGGAGATGAGTGTGAAGAGAGGAGAGAAAGAGTGATGTGTAAAAAATTGCACTCGTATACGTTGGTCTGTTCACTGTGACCGCCATGCAATGGAAGGATCAATGCATACATTTGCAAACAGGAATGAAATCTACCCATCAATCAGCCGTTGCAGTTTGTTTCTTCCCTTTTATTTTCAATGCTGTGGTATATAGACTGATAAAAACAAAAGAAGAAAGAGGGGGGGGGGTGGCAATCAGAGGGACATACATAATGACGATGGCGGTTGATCCATCTCATCCAACATGCCATTTCCTTAACCCAAAAAGTTGATACAGACTCCATGAAGAATAAGAGAACATACTACAAAATCCGCAAACGCCCTATATTGTTGTTGCATTATCAGTAAGAGCAGGCAGCGCAATGCATGAGAACAGTAAGCCCATTTACCTTTCGGGAGAGATTGTCTTGAAGGACTCCTTGTTTTCAGAGTTTGTTTGGATACGCAAATTAGCTGTTTCAAGGCATGTCAGTAATCAGAATGCCAATCAGTGTATATGTGGTCTTACCAGCAAGAACAAAGCTGCCAACAGTCGAGATGAAACCACCAAGGAAAGCATTGTAGGGAAATGTGCCAACAATAGCCATGTACACAAATTGGAATATGCCAGTCAAGAGAATATAAACCAGGTAAACGTCAATCATTTTGAGTGAAACTGGTGTGTCATTTTTATATCCTGTGTAGAATTTCTTGGTTGCTGCACTAAGTTGCTCCATGTTATGAAAAGAAAGATGAATTGTAAAACACGAAACTTGTGAAAGATTTATACTCATTTAATTTCACTAATTTGGCCCAATCAAATGATTACCACAAATAGTGGGAGTAGGCAGCTTTGACAGATGGTTTTATAAGGACAATGCGATAGATCAGCAAGTAAATGATCTGGAGCATCTTATTCTTCAAAGCTACCTTGCCTACATGACTTTGGTCTGCAATATAAACAGCACGTATTCCTTGTTATTCTGGACATAGCGTCCTTTTAGATGACTGATGCAGAGATGCCGCAAGATCTCCGTGATGTTTGCAGCCTTGATAAAGAATGCTGGCTTGCCCTTGATTTGCCTCCATCAGCTGTGCTTGTATTTGTCTTCAGTTTTGGGTCGAGAAAGTGATCCATGTCATTTAAAGGGTGCTATCTAGAGTGAGCAGGAACACTACAATGTCTTTTTCTCGTGCGGTGCATTTTATCCAGCCTCGCGGAGCGTCAAGATCATCCTACTCAAATGACCACTGCCCGAGCTCTGGCTGGAGTCTCTAAAAATGGAGTGTGGGTTGCAACTCTATCAATCAGTGGTTATTGTTGCTGATGAGCTTGATGGACACTCCAAATCAAATTGAAATCCCACTCGACAGCCCCCTTTTTTTTTAATCTACATCTCTCTTTTCAATCTCTCTTCCATCTCCTCCTCTTTTCTCCCATCTCGCTCTTTCTCTCTTTTATTCTACAATGAACATATTATCTGTTCTATTAGGACATTATAATCAAGATCAAGAATTCAACTTGTACAAGATCGAGAATACCGATACGCTTCTCTTCAAATTGAATGACATTACACATCTGTTCAATCTAGAATCGAGTTTGTTTGAGAAAACACCACAATTTGTTGATAAACAAAAAAACACTTACATAAATACCACTGAGCTTGTCCAAATAGCCATCCAACACAACAAATTTTTGCTGGCTGAGCTCTGTAAATTGAAGCCAAATGATTATGTTGCCAAATTGGATGAATCAATGTTAGCAAACTTACCGCGTTTGGTGTACAGCAAGTCAAAAAAAGATGCGAGTCAATATCAGATCACCTCCATTGAGCTCACAAACAACAGCAAACCTGTGAAATCAGAGCCACTGTCGCCGTCTCCACCTCAACCTCGACTTCCTTTACCAACGCATACATCAGATCCAATGGCTCTGGATCACATCATAACTTCAAATAAGCAGGCTAGAAGATTAAGCAGGTATATTAGCATACTCTCAGCGACCAGGACGAGTATTAAATCAATCAAAATAGGACATTTGAAGATCCTCCACCCATCAAAAAGCAAAAGAAAATTGAGCCTCTGCCAAAGCCTTTACATACAGTGAGCTCTCAGCAACCCACCTTATTAGCAAAGCGTTTAGGCAACAACATCAACAACAAGAGAAATTTGACCATCTATGCTCCTACCTATGGCGAGCAATTCAACGGCATACGATCAGCGCCTCTCAACTCCAATTTCCGTCAAGCGCCTGCCACAAAACCACATCCTTTATCAAAAGCTACCTTGGTGTCGCCTGCCAACTCAAGCACCGCATCTGAATTTGCTATTCCCCCTATCGTTCCTTCGCAACAACAGCCTCCTCACACGGCGCATCCCAGCAGCATACATCGCCGTCATTCACCGCAATATCCAGCATCAGCTTTCGGACACAGTTTCCCTGTAACATCAGGTCGAGTGGAGCCACCAACAAAACCGAGCTCATTACAACGACAACAGTTTATGCAACCATTTGAGCATTTATTCGATACCATTGAAACGACTCGTAATTTGAAATCAACGCTGGACGATCAGATTCGTCGCTCATCCACATTGATCCAAACGTTACAAGCATCCTCCACCACCATTGAGGGGCTGGTTCGTAATCAGATTAAGGAAGCTCAAATGGAAATTATGCATAGAATGGAAGATTCAATTGATGGTCTATTTCATCGCATTTCGTCACTGGAAAGACGTCTTCATTCCCCAGCAGAAGATCACCATGAAACCAGGGATGTATCGCCAACATCATCCGCTTCTCATGGCAACAATCATTCCACAACGTCTCTACCCGGGCATCCTCCTCCACCTCCCTCTGCTGCTCCTGCTGCGCCCTCGTCTCATCTCACTAGACAACAGCAGCAGGATCTTGTGAGCCCGCCTACTATCGTCAGATCTCAACATGACATTGGGCCCAACGAATACCACAGCATGCTGGACACGTTAAGGGAGAGATTAGATAGACTTGAAAAGCAACTCGAATCATAATTTACACCTGTTTCTCATCACTACTGTTACTTATTATATCTTTTATTCTCATATATGTTACAAATTATTTATTTTTGCTATTAACCTTTATTTTCTTACCTTTCGTTATATATCTAAATCAAATAATAAAAATAAAAGCGAGCCGTATGCTATTGCCTTGTCAGAAATGGCCTTGTTTGGAGGTACGCTTGTTTCCAGTTGCGCGACATAACTCATGCTTCCCATTGAATCAGTATCTCAATCATCTTCATCATCATCGGAAAGGCATTTTGGTCACCTAGTAGTGCTCAAATCATTTCAAACTCAGTATATTTTTTTCTGTTCAAGATTGGACAGATTCTGATTTTTTTCGACTTCTTTCAACTATTTTGTGAGATTCGACTATATAGACTGTGATGATCACCCTACGCTTTCTAATACATTCTTGAAGTACTTTTCAAGGAGCTTCCAATGATGCCAAGTAAACTAAATGTTTTGACTGAACCTACTGAGCAATTCCAGAAAACATGAAATAAGGTTTTAGGCCAAAATGTCGAAATTTTGCATATGAAAACCTAATAAAAGTGGTTTCAGAGGTTGCTTTGGATCGAGGGAAACATTTTGATTCAATACATACCGTAACAAAAATCTTCGTTTTCAAGGCGAAAAACGTGATCGTTTGATTTTTGATGAAAACCATGAGGTACCCCTCATGCTCTTTGGTTGAATTTTGGTCATGTTTTTTTTTTGATTCCCAAAAAGTTGAGCAAAGGCATCAGGAAGTTACTACTACTCAAGTACAATTGTTTGGCATCATTCCGGTGGCTCATAAAGGTCTACATGTCAAGATATAAAGGCTCAAAAGCTGCCGAACTTGGCTGTATTTTGGGCTTTTGCTTGTCAATAGGCACATTTTAGTTATGACACAAAGGCTTAAAGACATTGTATGTATTGGTTTAGATTCAGAGCATGCTGTTACACCCAAATATTCAGGTTTGAATATTAGGTTTAGTACTGCTGTATCACTGTATCATAACACAGTGTTACAGCTTGTTAGTGAGGTGATGGTGATTGTATAGCACGTTGGACGTTTGAGACGCAATAGATAGTCTGCATCTAATCAATATTTACAAGCAAACAACACTCTTGTCCCACTAACGCACTATATCTCGCTTAACTACTCAACGACTACGTTGGCAATGTCACAGTCTGTCGTATAGTAGAAACCACGATAGGAACAGCAATTGAATCAATTTGAAGTCAAGCGACATTCCAAATCGCATATAGATCCATGGATGCTGCACCAATCAAACTTACATCAGTTATTTGAAAGACCATGTGTGTTTATGTGTGCAATATCTAAACCCCATTAATTTGCATTTAATTAGCTTGCATTGCATGATATACAGTTCAGCAAATGTTCCAGCTTGATGCTGTTTGAAATGACTGAGCAATCTACATTGAAGCATTCTAATGATGTTGGTACAATATATATATATATATATATATATATATATATATATATATGCGAGTCCAAATGTTGCTTTTACTTTCTTGATAGGCTGACCAGGAGATTGTAGTAAAATGAGCATTTCAAGTATTATAATGGAGTACTAATGTACAAACTGATAACAGCCGTAGATATTTCCTTTTCAGTCCACAGTAGTATTTCTTTGTTAAACCGTACCCCACATTCTCACAGAGTATCTCCTGTAAGACTCACTCAAATTAAATGTCAAGCGAACCATTCAAAAAGCATTGAATTTCAATATCTCAACTTGATCGCTTCATGACGAACGTTTATACCATGCAGTTTTAGTGTTAAATCGACAAGTTAAGTTTGGCACTTTGCCATTCATGGCCCTTGAGTTCCCAAAATTCCGTTTGATATGTTGCAATCTTGATCGACTCGATACGTAATTGGCAAGAGAGTCGACGGTTTAAAAAGCTGTGATATACGAAAAATAATGCAGACCTAAATTATGTATGAGAACCTCTAGCCAAGATTTTATTCATGCTATTGCCGATAAGTAGTTAACGTTGAAACCGCACAACAGAAGAGCCAATAGTTCAATGCATGTATTTTGCATGAATCAAGGACAAAACTACGAATATATCTTCTGTTTCCGGTCTGAAATCACAAGATGTCGTTACCGGTAGCTCATTAATAAAGCTTCCATCATGTTACATTGCATGTATGTCTTACTCCATTTTGCTTAGCTAGCAACATTTAGTGCTAGCTGCAAAAGCCTTTCTGCTTGAAATATCAGCAGTATTACATGAAAGGGTTGAGAAAACCAATCAGCCTAAATGACCCCTCTCAAATCTTGATTGAAATGCCCTTTCAACCGGGTGATTAAATATGTATTTTAGAGTGTAAATCATATATACAGCTTATTGTCTGTATCACCAGAAATCAGTGCTGAAAATATTTTTTTATTGTATGTTGGTTACACTATTTAAGGATTTAATAGAGCTGATTGAAAGCGGCTGCCCCAAGAGCATATAAGCCCATGCTCTGGAAGGGTTATCTATTGTTATTATAAATGACGCTATCTTGAGGACAGCATGCCGTAGTACTGTTGCCCTCATTTTCAATGACAAAACTACAGAATGCTTACATGTAATCTTACTAAATTTAAAATGAACAACCGAAGACGTGGTGCTTCAACTCAAATGAAAAAGGAAAGCTAACGGTATGGTAAATATATTGTATTTGCCTTGGAAATTGAATATGTCAAAATCTCATTCGTCTATACTTGATGTAATACAGGGCATCCTAAGACTCAAATAGCAATAGCTTACCATTGGATAGCAAACTTTAATTTATAGAACAAGTACTTCAGAAACACAAATCAAATGGTAGCATTGGAATTTCAATATCAAATCTTATTGCCTCCCCCCCCCCCCCCTCCTCCTCTCAATGGATGCCCTCTCAAGCGTTACATTTCAGGCACAGTGTTCCAGTGCTGGAAGAGATTGAAATAAATGATAAAAAAAAAAAGGAATATTAGGAAGGACTTGCAAGACCCCGGGAGTCAAGTAGAGGGTTGGTAACATAATAAGTAGATTACGTAAAAATCATCCATCAATCATACAGTGGTGCAGGTTTCAAATTACGGAGTCGATTGAAGCAGATGATGGGTCATGTACAAGCGCATGAATGTTGTGTATCTGAGGCACTCTATGCTCGCTGCTGCTGCAATAAGCAGGGCATACATCAGTGCATACATACAGAAACTTGCCATCTTGTATTTGACGTATATGCGATGTGTCATGGTGGTATAAAACCAAATGTTTGTTATAGAGCTTACCTTGAAACCCAGTTAGATCCCTATTTGCCAAATACATAAAATTGCAACCGTCAATTTGTTTTCCCTTTTTATTTTTTTTTCTCTCTCTCTCTCTCTCTCTTTCACTTGGAAATATCTCCATAGCAACGTATATACGAACATGCGAAAATCAAGAACTGGACTTGATCGAAAGAATTCACATCGGCGGTCTTGGTTCAACAGTGGCAATCTCTTTACCATGTTCTCCTCTGCGCCACCATCCCCAGAATACAAATCAGCGGAAGATGATGCTGAATTAATAAGAGCAAGAGCCCTCAACAGCAGCAACAACTACGACGACCCCCAGCAGGCCCTGCACAGACAACGCTCCGTTTCATTGACCCCAATGGACAGCACCATTGTAAAGCCTGTATCCATGTCATCCAGGCCAAATCTTCTGAAAAGCAACAAATCTACATTTTCGACTATTCTCTCAAAAGCAACGAAAAAGAAGAGCAAGCATCGCAGAAAAGAATCTACTACTACACAGGATTCTCAATCTACTTACTTTGATGATGCGGTGTCTTCTTTACGCCGTAGCAGTGACAGAAGTGATGCTACCACCATCTCTGAGAAGGATCAAATGCAAGCCCATCAAAAATTGCATCAAACATCACCACAACGAGCTCAATCTCCCACCAAGCCATTGCAATTACTGGAATGCGATGAAGAGGAGGCTGATCGAATCCAACTGAAGAACGATCTGGTGAAGCTTGCATTTGAAGGGTAACTCAATGAATGTTTCAACGTGCGATGTTATAGTGTTAACCATATGTGCGTCGTAGTGAATTCTCATTGCCATTCGACTATCGTGATCTACCAAGCGGTAGAATTTTGGATGTGGGTTGTGGTCCTGGTTCCTGGTGTATCGATCTATCAACCAAATATCCTCGCATTCAAGTCATTGGCGTGGACAGCGATGACATGTTTCCTTCAAAGAGAAATCTACCGAGCAACTGCCAATTACTAGTGTGCAATGTGCTGGACGGTTTGAAAGAGTTTCCTGAAGCAAGCTTTGATGTGATTCATATTCGGTTCATGGTGTTATCCTTTACCACAATTCAATACCCTCAAGTTGTCAAAGATTGCTGGAGACTTTTGAAACCAGGGGGTTACATTGAGATCCTTGAAACAGATTTGACCGTGCATTCTCCAGGTCCCATCACCATGAAGCTAAACGAAGAGAGTAAGTAGTTCTGACATTGTGTGCGTGGAGCGAGAGAGATAGAAAAAAAAAAGACTGACCTAAACCCATCTATAGTGCATGAAGTGTCTATTAGCAGAGGGCTGAATCCAAGACGTCAAGTTGATAAGCTGAGCGAGCTCATACCATCTGACGCCATGAATCGACAAGTGAAGTACAGATCTATACCAATTGGAGTCTGGGGCGGTCGCATTGGAGTTCTCTGCAGAGATGACATGATCAACATGCTGACCAAGTTTCAACCAGCTGTTCAGGATTATTACAAGCGAGAGAACGATGCAGAGGCCAAGCTTGCCTTTAATCGAAGCACCAACATAGTTTTGAGAGAAATGGACCAATACAAGAGCTTCAGCAACTACTATTTCTATACTGCTCAGAAGCCTTCTGAGCGATCACCACCATCATCCACGGCACCGTCTATATCATCAGCCAGAAGACAACATATGGCTCCATCATTCAGTTTTAAATCATAATTACTACCACCTAATACTATACACTTTAATACTAATTTATTACACCTTTTACTAATACTAATCACTAATAAAGCTCCCGTCTTGACTCATCATCAACTTACGCAGCAGTGTGGGTCTCGTACTATAGTAGTTTCTTTTTTCAACTTTGATCATCATCGATTCTCTTTATCCATCACACCAACAAATCCAGCTGTCCTCCTTACATCGTGGAGTTCCTTTAAGGTTTCGACTGCTGATGTATATATGAATAAGGGGAGACAAGATGGCTATTCCAAGAAAACGATTGTGATGTACGTCATATACTCCATGTACACATACAACAATGACTCAATTTATGCGATGTCTATCTGGAGATGCAAATTGATTGGATGCAACCTTGGGGTGTGCAACAGAGCTATATAAAAAAAAAAAAAAAAAAAAAAAAAGACATTAGTTGCATTGGTATTTCCTTTTTTTTTTTCTTTCCATATCCTTCAATAACAACAAATATCTGAATGCCTGAACCTAACACCAAGACCCCATTGTTGGCTGGTAAAAAACCACCTGTTAGTAGACCCAAGGCTCACCGCAGAAGATCCAGTTATGAAGCATCTACCTATAATAGTGCAGGCAGATCTTTGAGTTACTCCAAGAAGGCGCAGGAAGAGGACACCAATACGCCCGGATTAAGCTTGTGGAAGATATTGACATTGACTGTATGTATGGCAGGTGTGCAGTTTACATGTAAGTTTTTTTATTTTATTTTATTATAAAGTCTCTTTTGGGATGTTGTGATACTGACATCATGCTTATCTCACCTCCTTGTTTTGACACAAAAAAGGGACCGTCGAGCTATCGTAAGTACACCTACTACAAATACATCTCATGTCATTAACCCTACCATAGATATGGAACCCCTTATCTCTTGTCGCTAGACCTATCAAAAGAACTGACAGCTTTGGTTTGGTTAGCAGGCCCATTATCCGGTCTGTTGGTCCAGCCTTTGATCGGTGCATTTAGTGATAAATGTACCTCGAGTTTGGGAAAGAGAAGACCTTTCATCATCGTTGCTGGTCTGTTGACATGTCTCTCCATGATCGGTGTTGCCTACGCTAGAGAAATCGGATACTGGTGTGCCAAAATTGCACCAGATCAGAGCAATATCGACAGAGCAGCTCATACCAATGCCATTATTGTCGCTGTCGCCTCCTTTTACTTTTTGGACTTTACGCTGAATGCCGTACAAGCTATTTGCCGTGCTTTGATCTTGGATATACCGCCTCTTTGGCAGCAAGATGTGGCAAATGCGTGGAGTGCAAGAATGAGCAACACAGCAATGGTCATTGGCTATTTCGTTGGATTCGTTGATCTCGTAAAGTATTTGCCCTGGTTGGGCGATTCTCAAGTCAAGGTATTTTGTCTGGTGTCCATTGTGGTGTTTGTGATGACACTGGCCATTACCTGTTTTACCACACAGGAAAAGGTTGTCGAGAAGAAGGAGGACACAGATCTCAACCAGCCTTGGTACAGTACCTTCTACTACATTTGGAGAGCTTTCAGATTCTTGCCAAAACCTATCCAAACACTGTGCAATACGCAATTCTTTGCCTGGATGGGTTGGTTCCCCTTCTTGTTCTACAGCACGCAATGGGTCTCTGACATCTACTTTGCCTCACACCCACCTACAACACCTGATACACCACTTGATTGGGCACAGGGTACTCGCGCAGGCTCATTTGCCTTACTATGCTACTCTGTCGTCTCGGTCATTGCTGGACTGATCATTCCTGCTGTAGCCACAAAGTTCAACCATGTCAAGCTATTTTCCTTGCTCAACATCTATACCCTATCTCACATCACTGTCGCTGTTGCTTTGATGTCGTCTCTGTTTGTAAAGACTGTAACTGCAGCTACCGTCGTTTTGGCCATCATGGGTATTCCTTGGGCCATTGTGCTCTGGATCCCCTTCTCACTTGTGGGCGAATTCGTCAGCTATGAAGACGAAAAGAGACAGCAGTTGATCACATCCGCACCTTCCAGCAGCAATCACGAAGAAGCAGAGCTTGTTCAGGACGAGTTTGATGCCGGTATGATTTTGGGCGTGCACAACATGTACATTGTATTCCCTCAATTTGCAGTGGCCATTGTGTCCTCCTTCATTTTTGCAGCAGCCGATGCAATCAAGGAAGGCGAAGGCAAGAGCATGTCCAGCGTCACACCCGTGCTTGTCTTTGGTGGTCTGATGGCCTTTATTGCTGCTGCCTTTAGTAGATTTATTGTACGAGTTACTACTTCTTCACCTTAATCACATCACATGAATTTCATATACCTTTCTATCACCAACACACATTCTGGTTTGCGCGTGACAGTTTGTGAGCACCCTACACTATAATAAAAAGAGAACCACTTGCACTTTATTAAATTCCCTTTCTCTTGTTCTCTCTTTTTTTTTTTGTGTGTGTGTGTGTGTGTAATTTGTGTATGGCTGAAAAGAAGAGATTTGTATTTGCAGAGAGGAAAAGAGCGTTGCAAATGGCTGCCACATGTGGCCTCAGTGTGATAGAAGAGCAGCAGGAGCTGAGAGGATATCAGATATACATTGTGGAGCAATGGTAACTGAAAAATGTCCCAGTTGCTTGACAAATGCCTGACCGCTTGAATTCATAGGGTGTGCGACCGCAAGGTGGATTCCAATGTAGTTAAAGTGTTTACTGGAGACGAGAATCACATTGTACGTAGAGATGAGTAGATGAAAGACAAACAGACTCACTCATTTCTGGACAGATTCAAGTAGCTGTCATTGCTATTTCCACCGCTGAACTACAGCATCCTCGCCCTCAGATCCAGACATTTTTGAACGCTGGAGCACACTTGAAATCCAAACCAACGCCCCTCGGTGAAATTCTACTAACAAATCCAGGAGAACTGCCGTTTGACATGGACATGGTGCTGATTCGTGATGGAGACTACGACAAATGGGTGAATCAGGCGTACGTCAATATTAATCTGAGAAGAACAAATTGCACAGGACGAAGTTCTCTGAATCTTCGACCACCCAATCCAGCATCCGAAGAGAAATTTCGATCACTATACAAGATTGCAGACACTGTCAACTTTCAGGATGCAGTGATCAACCTGGTATCACTGGTGCAGATCGCCTTGTACCTGTTCAAGCTTTTGGATAAAGACTACATTGATGGGCTGATATGCAACGAGACGACCAATGCATTGTGGACGTTCTACACCAAATACGATCCCATCAAAACTACAGAGGTAAGCCCGTCTTGAGGAAGCCCGTCTTGAGGAAGCCAGCCTAGCACATACTGATGCATTGATCCAAATCACTAGTTTACGCTCAAAGAACCTTGGATGGAACCACATCTCGTAGCAGCCATCATATCCAAACTACTCATGTGCCGAAACAAACTGCAAGACTACAATTTCACCACACTCAAAGACCCATTTGCAGATTACGACACATTTCGCTTCGACATTGGCGACTATCAACGTTACAAGAACATTAAAGTAACAAAATTCATAGACTTGGAGACACTGGGAAAGTTAAACGAACATGCTTTTAGTCAGCTTAAGGTGAGAAAAGTGATTAAATCAAAGTTGGACGATATTTCTGGCATCACCAACTCGCCGCTGTTCAATGAAACATCAGATCCTGAAGTGTTTCGACATCACTCGACCATCGAAAGCCTCCGAGCCATTTGGAGACCAAAGCTCAAGGGTGGTATGTTGCATAATGCGACCACTATGGGAGGTGCCACAGATCAGCAGCCAAACGAATTGATGCACATGCTGAAGCGTACGACGAGAACAGGTGGTGCAGCTGTGGACATGCTAAGCCGAGTAGCAGGTTCGATACCTTGGATCAATACAACAGCTGACAACAACAAGCGAGACAACAATACTAATCGCTCTCCAATGGCCACAGTCGCAACACCCGCTTCAGCAGCACAATCCTCGGACAACATTGTGATGTCTCCCTCACCGTTGAATCAATCTAGATTGGAGAGCCATACCGCCCTGAGTCATATATCCAGCAGTAACTCTTCGGCTCAACAGCCATTAGACGAGGAATACACCATGGCATCCCGTATAGCGACACCTGCTCGAAAACCATCTCCCTTATCGATTCAAACGTCTACTTCTTCCAATAACACACCTCCTGCCACATATACCATAACACCTACTCATACTTTTAATAACACTAATAACAGCACACCTATTGCCACTGCTCCCAGTACAACATCCCACACACCCGCGCATGCCAGCACTGACGATATACCCAATAGCGATTTCAAGCGAGTCATTTCACCCGATCACTTGGATCAAGATATACCTTCTTACGTGCAATCTGTACCTCCATCATCTGCTGCATCCACTGCCGCTGTAACATCACCATCTCCACCTACTCCCTCTGTACCTAAACTACGGATTTCTAAATCAACCGACACCACTACTGCTTCAACACCAAGATCCACCACACCGTCATCTTCTGCTAGCATCAAGCAACAAACCAAGGAGGAGGGTGATTTCGTGCCATACATTGTACCAGCGAAAAACCAATTAAAGCGCCCTGCCATTCGCCATACACGATCCGTGTCTGACAGTATACTGTTGGATGCAGTCTTCATTCATGCTCTGAAAGAAAACAACAAGCTACAATCCCTGAGAAACGCATTTGGATCCTACGTCCCCACAAAGCAATCGCTAGACAGATATCACCGTCGATCCCAGACTACTTCGGCACTACCAAGCACGTCCAAAGAGGCAGCAGTTTCATCAACAATGTCAGGGACAGATCAGGAACCAGAGATGAATACCCGACCCACAGCAACCATGAATGTCCAAACCTACTTGACCTATGAACGCCTCTCTCAAAAGCAGCGGGTACTACAACGCACGTATGAAGAGATCAGAGCCATGGCTAATCTATACGAAAGAACCGCGGCTCATCTCAAAGAAACATATGAAAGGCGCTCTTTGGAATTTGATGTGATTCAGAAGGATTCTCGACATGTTATGGATGAACAGAACGAGACGGAAAGACGACTGAAAGACGTGGAAGATAATAGCGCTAAATTACATTATGAGCTGAAAGTGCTGAACGATAAGCTCAAGGATATTGAAGACAACGTGGGCACATTTTATGGTAAAGTAGGTTTGCTGGAAAGAAAGATGGATGATTCGCAACAATCCATTACAACCATGCTGATCATTGGAAACTACTTTAACCACTATTGGATCAAGATTCGGCAATGGATATCTTGGTTGTCAGATGCACCAAATAAGGCTCAGAAGAAGCAGCAACCACAACAGACGGAGATTGCTTCACCATCGAGCTCTCCACCTGGATTGTAGCATAATATTGTACATAGTATCATTAGCATTTGCGAATAAATTCTAGCATTTCTTTTGTTATGATTTGTTTATCGGGAGGGGCGGCATGGAGTACCATTGCTCTATATAAAGCAGCTTGTGGATCTACGCTGCTTGTTCACCGAGATTATTCATTAATCTCTTACGACTTAATAGAAGATTGTGTATCTACACATTTGATCTAGAGCCAATGATCGCCGGTCAGGATCTTCTTATTAAACGTTTTCAAGCTCATTCAACTTTCAGTTCTTTTTTTATTTTTATTTTCTTCAAGCTTGGTTTACAAACTGCTAGAATAGAGGTCGAGAGAGACATTTGCGTAGGCAAAGACCAAGCAACATAGTCAATTGTGATTTCCAATCGTATAATGTTCAAGATTATTGGTATAATCTTGGCTTTCGGGTTAGGATACATGACAGCATATAATGAACTATTAGCCTACATGCTGCAAGAGGTAACCAACATACGATCCACCAACGCAAAAGAAGCAGATGACTGATATGAATGCAGAAAACAGCACTGTATATTGCTATAGGCCTAACAGCTAGCTTTCTTTTGATTTATATCCCACTGGAGAGAATAGCTGAGGCAGAATCAATTCAGGTAAGCTCTGATAAATGAGACATGTACCATATATTTGCTAATGTGCTGTGCGTGTAGAACCCATTAACCGCTCTCAGAACATCAGCTCGTGAACATTTGCAGCGACGAGGTAGTTTTTAAAAGAGATGATGAATGTGATTAGAATTTTATTTGAATAAATGAGGATTTACAATAAAAAAAAAGGGGAAGCAAGTATAGTAAGATGGAAGAGGGATGAAATGGAGGAAGAGGAGACATTGGAAGGAGGGATTTATACACATTTAAACAGCCATAACTAAACCTTTGTTTGATTTATCTTGGCCGTTCTTCTTACCCAAAGGTGATGATTGCATGGAATTTTGTTGGTTCTTTAACATTAACGATTCTGGGCTGTTGGGAGGAGAGATCCGAATAGGTGTTGAAGATCTAGGTTGAAGATATTGCATCAGGGGAGAGTTGGAAGGTGATTTAGCGGTGATTGCTGTTGTGGTTGCATTCGATGGATTTGCTGTAGATGTCGAGTTCAAGGAAGGATCCAACTTGAGAGAGATTCTACCACGAGAGCGATCCTCAAACAATGTCATGATATTGCCATGATCACCTACTCTGTAGGAAACTGAGAAAGGATCGATCCAGAGCACGAAATCACGAGGAAGATGAGCATGAATAGTAGAAGGTTGAATAGATGCTTTGATACAAGCTAAAAGAAAACGTCTCTGGTCGTTAGTATGTTGCATTGATAGAGTCAAATGTGTGTCAGTGCAGGCACTCACCTTCAGTCAACATAGGGTCCAGCTGTCCATTGAAATTGGAAAGAGCCCGGTAACCGTTTCCTCGATAAGGTTGCTGAGGATCCCAATGATCTTCAAAGCGAACCTTGAGCAATTCCGTCAATGTTTCCTTGAATTTACCAACAACATCTTGATCAACCTTAGATTGCAAGAGTCGACCAAGAAATTCTACAGCTTGTGCTATTTCGATATGCATTTTTCTATTTTTTTTTTTTTGTAGCTTTTCTTTTTTTTTTTTTTTTCTGAAGTGAGTTTATGAATATATATATATATATATATATACAAAAAAGAAAGGAAGGAGAAGCGTGAAAGAGAGGGAAAAAAGAGGAGGAGGAGAGTCTATTTAAATGCTTTTTTTTTTGTGGTTTTTTTTTTGTTTTGTTATATGAAGAAAAGGAAGAGAAAAATCCTTTCTGCTTTAACCAGAAACATCAAATGTCTGATTTTGACACTAATAATAGTCGCCTTTTCAAACAAGCTCATCATCATTTTGGTATCTTGAATTGCAATTGCATTCATACGCTCAGATTTCATCAGATCTACAATTTCAGTGTGATGCATTCACTGCGATGCCATCTCGAGTCATCATTTTTGGCACCTCTTTTGAGGACGAGCAATGGAAACGAACTGGTTGCTATTTACAAGGTGTAAATGATTGGATCCTTGCACATATCCAATTACATCTGAGCAGTCCGTTCCCTATTTGTAAACAATTTCCTAAAGATTGACATGTATAAAAGTTTTTTTCTGCAACGCCAAATTAAGCAAACATCAAATGAGTGAGAAGACATATTTACCAAATGATGAACCTCTAAAGTCTTATGCGGACATCAACTATCTTGACTTGGATCAGCATCAACACATTTGGAAGCACATTATCGACTCGCATCCTTTCAATCGAGCTGTAGGCCAATGTGTATACACGAAAGCATGAATACAGCATCTAATTGACTTTGCTAGCTTACCGTCTTTCTGCCGTCCTGCTCTGTTAATCTTGCAACAGAGCACATGAATCAGCATCTCGGTTCTTACTACCAAATTGAATCGACATTGGACTTTCTACTGGAACCCAATTTCTTTCAGCAATACATCAAATCTGGTAAAATGATTAGATGCAACAAGCTGGATCCCATCACGCTAACGCGGATTTTTCATTTGCAGATCAATGTCAACTCATTATGCATAGCATTGATACCAACATAAATACAGATGATGTGGTTGTGCTATCACCTTCAGGCACACTCTACTTTAGCTTGTTGAAACAGACATTCGAGACATTCGGCATTGAAGCTTCTACAAGATCCAAAGCAGATAAAAAGCACGACAAACATGGTAATGTGTGTGTGGATCGAGCAACCATAAGTATTATCTAACCGAAAAGAAATACAGTTGCTATGGTAGATTTGGATAGCTCAGATTTCAAGATGGACAGTAAATCATACAATAGATTAGAGTGGTGTTTTGAGAATACAATGAAGAGTACATTCAAACTTCATCTTTGTGCAATCGATTCAGGTGAGTGGCAATAGCATATCGATATGATCTACATTGTTTTTGATCACATCAATACGCTTTTTTGCTTCGTTGGTTATGGGCTGGAGGATGCAACATGGCCAGAATCATATTGAAATACCATGGAGACGAGGCACGAATCGATCCGTGGGGCGTCAGAGTTGAGATGTGATCCAAAACGCTACAGGACTGGACTTAATATTGAACGATTCTTATCATTCCATGTAGAAACGGGCACAACCATGGATATCGACTTTCCCTCTACCGTCAGCAAAATATCTAGACAAGAAATGCAAGCTGAATTTGAGGCAGTGACAGACATCAATATACCATCCTTTGAGAAGATCGACCATTCAATGAACCAAAGACCCGAAAATTGGGATAATGACGCCATGCAGGCATTAGAATGGCTCGGTTTAGCGCATTTGAAAGCAAATCGTATCAAGCAACGCAAAGAAAAGATCGATCCATTCGTCTCTGTGTATCAACCGCCAATGCCATTGTTGCAAGATCATCATACAGGCACATTGGTTAAATATAAAGGGTTTATTCCTACTACATGCATCCAGAATATCATGACCATTATTAGGTAATGCTAAGAGTGTATAGCTGACTATTATTCTTACTGATATCCATTATGCACACAGAAAAATGATGGCCTCAGGTACAACTTCTCAGTGGACCTCCTTGACATGTTGGGGCTACAAAGACTCACCATTCACTTGGAATAAGATTGGACATTACGATTACTTGAACAGCGAGAACGACTACACACTTTTATTACTACCAAACAAAAAGACTGCCTACAGCTATCAACTGTACGGCTCGCATCACACCAAATTTTAATATTGCTGTGTATAGACATCCATGTATGCAGTTTTGTTTCGTCTCATCCCAAAATGTTTAAATGCAAAATAAACAAAACCTGGGCTTTCTTTTGTATCAGGTACAACTGGTATTCATTGATTGATTCAGGCCCAAGACTGCATCTCGATTGACGCCACACTGCTCTTGACAGTGCTCTTTCGAGTTGTCTATCGGCTTTTTATTGTGCCCTGGTATATAAATGAGAGATGATATTGATGCAAGCTTTTTTAAATTTGGCTGATTTGTGATCTGTTGTTATGTATGCGTTTGCAAAATAGTTCCCGGAGTTGAGAAATATCGCCAATCAAACAATAACAACACTGCACTACAGAGAATTTTTCGAATATTTGACAGTTCCAGAAACAAACATCCATCCATTCTTGTTCTTCTCTACATCAAATTTAACAGCATGAAGTCCTTCATTTGGTCCGCTATCGCCCTTCTAGCCACAGCAGTGGTCTCTGCATCCGCAGGTGATGTGGTAACATTGAACAATATGCAAGAATTCGACGCTGCCATCAATTCAAATGATCTCGTGCTCCTGAAGTTCTATGCTCCATGGTGTCCTCATTGTCAATCATTAAAGCCAGAATACGAGAAGGCCGCTACAGAGCTACAAGCTGATAAAATCATGCTGGCCGAAGTGGATTGTACCGTCAACAATGTTATTTGTGCCAAATACAACGTCCAAGGATACCCCACAATGCAAATGTTTAGAAAGGGCCGCCCCAGCGATATCTATAACAAGGAGCGTAAATCAGACAGCATTACTAAATACATGAGAGCGTAAGTAAGGATCGAGATGCTGGCCATGATCTTGCTCTAACAACAATGCAGTCATTTGTTATCAGATCTCACCGAAATCAAGTCAAAGACGGAACTGGACAACCTACGAGAAAAGGAAGCACTGTTAGCTGTCGCTTATATTTCACCTGAAGATAAATCTTCTTTGGATTCATGGAAGGCTCTCTCTGAAAAGTTGGTGGATGACTTCGCATTTGGTGTTGTCACTGATCAGTCCATTATGCAAGCAGAGAATGTTGCATCATCGCCTAGCGTCGTCTTGTATAAACACTTTGATAATCTGCGTGATGTCCGCACTGGATCCATTGTTCCTGATCAAATCGAGGACTTTATCAAGGTCAATGCTGTGCCTTTGTTGGCTGAAGTGGAGAGCCATACATTCATGGACTATGTCGATGCCGGTCGCCCTCTTGCCTATATCTTTTCCAATTCTCAAGAGATGAAGAGCCAAATGCATCAATTGTTCTGGCCATTGGCGCAGAAATACAAGGGTGTGTTTAGTTTTGCTCATATCGACGCTAATCAATACGCTTCACAAGCAGATTTCTTGTCTCTGAACAGCACATGGCCAGCTGTAGCTGTTCATAACTTTAAAACAGGTGCCCGCTTCCCTCTTGATCAAAGCAAGGCTATCAATGAACAGGAAGTTTCCTTCTTTTTGGATAAAATTGTCCAAGGTCAAGCTGAGCCTGCATTGAAATCTCAGAGCTTTCCAGTTCGCAAGCCTGAGGATGCAGTCAAGGTAGTTGTTGGAAAGGATTTCGAAGACATTGTGATGGACAAGTCCAAAGACGTGCTTTTGGAGATATACGCTCCCTGGTGCGGTCATTGTCAAGCTCTAGCACCTACATATCAGCAATTGGGCCAAGTAATGCAGGTGAACAATGCTGAAAAGGACCATGGTGTGGTGATTGCCAAGATGGACGGTACTGTCAATGATGTTCCTCTTTCTGCAGGCTTTTCGGTAAAGGGCTATCCCACCATTAAGCTGTTCAAAGCCAATACGAATACAATCGTGGATTACACAGGCCAGCGCACGCTTCATGATTTTGTTAAATTCCTGAATGATCACTCCACCAAGCAATCCTTGAAAATCGATTTAACAAGTCTTCCTCAGCCCGGTGAAAAGATGATTGAACCATCTGAACAAGAAGCAATTGAAAAACACGATGAGCTCTAATTAAGATATGGTCTTTTATTTATAACATAGCATACCAATAAATTTCAGTAATGAAAACTAGCTTAATCCAAGCGCTTTATGAGTTGCGACGCTAGATGCTGCAGTTGTAGTTGTAGTCGCTGCTACCACCAAACTACGTCGATTTATTGTAATGTATCCTAATTCAATGTGTTGAACATAGGATAGCACATGTTGCAGACTATTTCTTACCTGCAAAGGCAATGTTTGATGCATCTGTGCCAACTTCAATAACATAATCTGTTCTGGACTCAACTGTAGTTGGAATGATCCATTGGTAGAACCCCAAGCTCAGGTCAGACTTGGTTGTCATGATGCGGTCTATGGTCAAGTTGTCTCTTTGACCATAAGCCAAGACAATTGTAGCATATTTTTCTGTTACAGGTGGCGCCATCAAGCTACTCTCTCTAGTCGACATAGTAAGCACGTCGCTCCAAAGGTAATGGCCAACTGTTCCTTACTTTGTGTACCACTCAATTAGCATTGTATCTCCTATCTTGTATACACTGTCTGCTTCCGGATAGTTCATATGCAATGTCGCTGATAATGTGGCCCGTACTATAAAGCTGAAAATTGCTAAAAGGTAAATCAGTGTCATGCTGGAAAATCATAAGATAAGCTAGTAGGAAGTAACAACATCAAGCCCAAGTGTCAACCTAATATACATTATTACTGAGTTTATCCTGTTTTCAAATCAAGAGAAACAAATATATTTTGCACTGATTATTATTTAATGAGATGGATATTTGACCACATCAGACCACAATATTTAAGTGCATTATTATATTTGCATAGCTAATCTTGCAGCCTAACTGTGTGGTGCTCTATAATGTACCAATCCGAGAGGAATTTATGGATTATTACAAGGAACTCTGTCGAAAGGGACGCTACATATTTTCCCCAACGGCACATTTCGCATAAAATACTGATCAATCGCAATCTCGTCATACACTGCATACTTATCTGAGGCAAATTATTCAATGCGGAAGTTTACTGTCATCTTATATGAAGCTCATCACTCAAAATTAGCTACTTCAAAAATCCTTCATTTTCAGCAGCAACCCATCCAATCTAGAATCTAATTGCACCATCGTTTTTGCCGTAGAATTAGGCTTTCAGGCATGCTATTTTCAAAGCTGTAGCATCAATATTTCAAAATTAGATTTTGAATGGTTCAAAAGCTGAAACTTGATTGCTGAAACGTATTTTTTCAATAGTAACCGTTGTTCGCAGTCTATATATAGTGCATTTGTACAGAATTGCAATGCGCATCGAATAGTTCCACTTTTAAAAGTGATCGCACACCTTGTACACAAATGAGCCTGTTTTACAAATATTTTTAGGGTTTTTAAAGGAAAGCATATGCTGAGTCTGCACCAATGTATCTATAGCAGTGCTATTGTGTAAAACCAAAAAATACCTCTTGTTTGAGGTTTTATTCAGAGTTGTAGCAGTAGTTCTCGTAGATTTGTGGCGCCCAATAGGTCAACCCTGTCAAATTGTCGAAAAACGATCGCTCAAGGTTAACCTTTGCTACAGTGGCGCATATAAAACTTTCTTTGTTATGCACTGCTATTAGCTATAGCGTGCCCTAAATACATTTCATACATTTGAATACCACACAGGTGTTTCTGTGGTGCTATTAAAGAAAAACTTGTTTTTGCCACTGTAAACGTCAATTTGGGGTTGGAAAACACCATTTCCGCAAAGAAGCATTGAAAGTGTACGAACAACGAGGTCTCATTTTGTAGAGCAAACACAGGGGAACAAAATTTAGTTAGTGAAGAAGTCGGGGGTTAAGTTGATAGCTGATCAAAGAATAGCATTGAAATACATTAATATTTCAGAACTTGATTTCCGACGATGACGGCTTAAACCTCAACACTGGAAATGATTCTGTACATCCAGAACATTCAATAAGGGACAAAAGGGAGCAACCCATAAAATTGAAACCTCTTGGAAGTCAATGATGAAGCACGCATATTCGACGGGACATTTGGCAATGGGAGGGCCTAGCATCTAGTGTACTGCAGTATCTATACAACGTTCCCCACAGAATAAATTTAAAGGGCAATTTTTACATTAAACTGTTTACTGGATACTAGGTCAAATGGCTGCACCTTATTTTACTATTGAATAAAAAAGAACTTAAATTATTGTATTTATTTAGATACCTTTTTATTGCAAACACAAAATGATGATATATGACAGATCCATAGGAAATTAACTAGTTGTAACCATTCGTTACTTCAACCTCTGAGCCAATCAGATTGCTTGAAAACTCCGCTGACCTAAAAAAAAATTTGCGAGGGTTTCCCCCTGTTTTGATGTGAGGCAAAATTTTAAGCTCCGCTATATAGCAATATAGCCGTTACTATCATCAAATTTCCCTCAGGTGCTAGAGCATGCCTTACTTACACCACCTAGCTTTAGATTCTGGCGTTGAGACTCTCAATCATCACTAAAGTAAGTAGCGATAACCAAGTGAAGGCAGCCTATCTATCTCCTAGCCTCGGATAAAGTCTTGTTGAGCTTCAGGGATAGGCACTTCCACACAACGTAAAAAAGGTATGCTTCAAGGAAACATAATAATAATAAAAGAAAAAAGAAAAGAATATAAAACTATACGAGTATAGTAGTATATGTAGACAAAAAGGAATACTCATACGCAATGAGTCAAAAAAGAAAAGCATAACAAACACAACATCAAAGATGTTCAAAAAAGCTTGTTGCTGTTGCAAGAAAAATGCATACATGAGCAACGCGCATGGTAGTAATAGTCGAATGTAAAGAAACATGACACAAACACGCACAACTGCAAAAGCAACAGTGGTATTATAAGTTTGCAATACAACGTAATGACTAATATTGTTTCATGTGAAACCACAGAGGAAACACCACCAACAAAAGAAAAAGAAGAAGTAAGCGCAACAAGGCAAACATGATGAATGCATTATCACGATAAAGGAAGCAATAATATAAACGTTCAAAGAAGTTTTATATCATTGCGACCAGAAGAAAAAAGTTACTTACCACTTACCACAGCCACAGATAAACCAGAGGATACGAAATCACCAGAGACAGACCAGAGAACAAGCATACATCAAAAACAGTAGACTATTAAGGACCAGATTATCAGCAGCAACAGCAGCCGCACCAGCACCACTATAATAGAGAAACAAACAACATTAGAGAAGGCTATACACAGAACGTACACAGACCAGATACAGACCAGATACAGACCAGATACAGACCAGATACAGACGACCAGACAGAGGCAAGATACATACAAAATAAGCAACTGCAACAGTACTACTGTAATAGAGAGACGAGAGAACAAACAACATTAGAGAAGACCATATATTGACCGTGCAGAGACCAGATACTTACCAGACACATACCAAATAAGCATTCACCAAAAATGGTAGGCTAAAGGAGATTCCAGAGATAACAAAAGTAAAGGCAGCAGGATCCACGTCAAACAGGCAAAAGAATTATTAAATCCTAACAAATAAATACATTTAGTGTAAATTCCACGGCTTGCTGTGCTTATTATTAAATTATACCTGCTACATTCCACTTGAAAGAAGCAGTATCAAGTTTTTTTTAGCAGCGTAAGACGGTGTTATCAGAAGCTAGAGTGTTATTGTCAATCAAACAGTTTCCAAAACCACCATGGTTTGATACTAAACGCGTTTTGCAAAAAGGGGAAAAAAAAACGGTGGTATGGGAAAATGAGAGGGCGCCCTACACGACGTCACGGCCAGTAGATTTGGTCTCAGTCTTCTGCTGTGGCAGCCGTAACTGCTGCGCTTTAATTTGAAATTGTGCAGTGGGTATTTTCGTGTTCAAATTTGACATAATCTCACATCCTTTAAACGTTTCTGCTAAATTTGACTATGAAAATTGTCATTGTCACACCCAATTTTCTAATATATCTTTAGAGGACTAAAAAGCTACATCAAATGGTGCTAATTACATTCAACTTTCAGACCAAAAATAATGAGTATTTTGCAAAAATATGAAAACAGGTTTTTTGCGAATATGTCATAATCTAACATATACAAACCTCATAGAAACAGTTTCCAGTGATGCATTGCGCCTTTGCAATCAATTTGATCTGATATGTATCATAGGAAAAGTCTTCATTTTTGAGGTGAAAAGCACGATTGTTTGATTTTTAAGAATTCTCCCTTACTAGTACACATGAAAAAAGGAGAATTTTCATGGATTTGCGATGACCTAAAAAAATTTGAGATAAAGCATCAGTAAGTAAGGCGTATCAAAACAGAGCCGTTTGGCGCTATTCCAAGCGTTCACAACGCTTTGTAGCATGTGTGGAATTTAAGGCTTGATAGACTAAAATTCACGGAAAAAAAAGAATAAAAAAAACAGTAATGTCAACTTGATAAAGGTATGTTTTATTATCAAACTGACAGGTGTAAAGTAAACTGAAGTCTCTCTACTGGCCAGGTAGATGATCCTTCTTATATACTATAACAATGGATAAAAGTTCTATTAATTAGATTGACAAATAAGTCAACTCAGATCAACTAATGTCTAATCATGCTAAAAGACAACTCCAGCAAGCTAATCATGATTTAGCTCTGTCTGGATGAATAATTAGACTCTCATCCGAAGTACCCTGATCTATCCTTTCCATAAGGATAATTAATATCGATCTAGTAGCATGTATCCGATAGGTACAGTCTTCTTAGTCTATATTAATAGTACATATCTGAGTGTATATCGCTAAGCATACATCTTTAGCATGTATCTGGATATATGGCATGTCTATAGCATATCGTATGCATGTCTATAGCATGTCTCATATATAGTACAAGTCTGTAGTACGTAAAGTATCTGTAGCTAGTATCACGGATATAAGCATGTGTCTTATAGCGTGGATCATGAACTGCACATCTGAAGCAACAAGCTCATATTGCATTAATCTTGGTGCCTATCCAGATATGGTAAACATCCGTAGTCAATGTCGGAATACAAGTATAAGTCTATAGTGCCATCCATGTCCGTGGTGCCATCTATAGCCTATATCTTATATAGTATGAATCTTATAGTACTAGCGTATCTGAAGTCCATATCTTCTCATAATATAAATCGATATCGTACATCTAATCCAGTGTACATACAGTTTATATCTAAATCTGGTAACTGGATGAACTGTCGGAATGCAGATCATAGTGGATGTATTCCACAGTTGTCATATTTGAATATGCTTGTTATTGATTTAATTCTATTTGGATAAAGATACCATCACCTATTACGACCATCATGGGTGTGATTGAATACACTGTGATCAGGAGTGATTCATTTACACGATGTGTGATATAAGCGTGTATCTTTACTTTAGTATGTTTAAATGGTTGTTGATGTACATTTGAGCGTTTTTACTAATAGATCCAAATAGCATGAATTTGAATGAGCGCTATTTGGTGAATTTTGGTTTTCAATCAAGTTGCGTTTGGGTGGCTATTTCATTACAATTGTGATTCAAAAACAGATATGTGTGAATACAACATGTCGATCGCCTAAGTGTCGAGTTCTGTACAATGCAAACATTAGAAATACCAGAAAGAGCATTACTTTATTTACTTCTTCGTCAATACGACCTACTGCATCTTATTTTTGGTCAAATTCTGTCTAAATTTAGCCATTTTGAAGCACGAATAACTCATGCTACAAAGCGTTGTGAACGCTTGGACTAGCGCCAAACGGCTCTGTTTTGATACGCCTTACTTACTGATGCTTTATCTCAAATTTTTTTAGGTCATCGCAAATCCATGAAAATTCTCCTTTTTTCATGTGTACTAGTAAGGGAGAATTCTTAAAAATCAAACAATCGTGCTTTTCACCTCAAAAATGAAGACTTTTCCTATGATACATATCAGATCAAATTGATTGCAAAGGCGCAATGCATCACTGGAAACTGTTTCTATGAGGTTTGTATATGTTAGATTATGACATATTCGCAAAAAACCTGTTTTCATATTTTTGCAAAATACTCATTATTTTTGGTCTGAAAGTTGAATGTAATTAGCACCATTTGATGTAGCTTTTTAGTCCTCTAAAGATATATTAGAAAATTGGGTGTGACAATGACAATTTTCATAGTCAAATTTAGCAGAAACGTTTAAAGGATGTGAGATTATGTCAAATTTGAACACGAAAATACCCACTGCACAATTTCAAATTAAAGCGCAGCAGTTACGGCTGCCACAGCAGAAGACTGAGACCAAATCTACTGGCCGTGACGTCGTGTAGGGCGCCCTCTCATTTTCCCATACCACCGTTTTTTTTTCCCCTTTTTGCAAAACGCGTTTAGTATCAAACCATGGTGGTTTTGGAAACTGTTTGATTGACAATAACACTCTAGCTTCTGATAACACCGTCTTACGCTGCTAAAAAAAACTTGATACTGCTTCTTTCAAGTGGAATGTAGCAGGTATAATTTAATAATAAGCACAGCAAGCCGTGGAATTTACACTAAATGTATTTATTTGTTAGGATTTAATAATTCTTTTGCCTGTTTGACGTGGATCCTGCTGCCTTTACTTTTGTTATCTCTGGAATCTCCTTTAGCCTACCATTTTTGGTGAATGCTTATTTGGTATGTGTCTGGTAAGTATCTGGTCTCTGCACGGTCAATATATGGTCTTCTCTAATGTTGTTTGTTCTCTCGTCTCTCTATTACAGTAGTACTGTTGCAGTTGCTTATTTTGTATGTATCTTGCCTCTGTCTGGTCGTCTGTATCTGGTCTGTATCTGGTCTGTATCTGGTCTGTATCTGGTCTGTGTACGTTCTGTGTATAGCCTTCTCTAATGTTGTTTGTTTCTCTATTATAGTGGTGCTGGTGCGGCTGCTGTTGCTGCTGATAATCTGGTCCTTAATAGTCTACTGTTTTTGATGTATGCTTGTTCTCTGGTCTGTCTCTGGTGATTTCGTATCCTCTGGTTTATCTGTGGCTGTGGTAAGTGGTAAGTAACTTTTTTCTTCTGGTCGCAATGATATAAAACTTCTTTGAACGTTTATATTATTGCTTCCTTTATCGTGATAATGCATTCATCATGTTTGCCTTGTTGCGCTTACTTCTTCTTTTTCTTTTGTTGGTGGTGTTTCCTCTGTGGTTTCACATGAAACAATATTAGTCATTACGTTGTATTGCAAACTTATAATACCACTGTTGCTTTTGCAGTTGTGCGTGTTTGTGTCATGTTTCTTTACATTCGACTATTACTACCATGCGCGTTGCTCATGTATGCATTTTTCTTGCAACAGCAACAAGCTTTTTTGAACATCTTTGATGTTGTGTTTGTTATGCTTTTCTTTTTTGACTCATTGCGTATGAGTATTCCTTTTTGTCTACATATACTACTATACTCGTATAGTTTTATATTCTTTTCTTTTTTCTTTTATTATTATTATGTTTCCTTGAAGCATACCTTTTTTACGTTGTGTGGAAGTGCCTATCCCTGAAGCTCAACAAGACTTTATCCGAGGCTAGGAGATAGATAGGCTGCCTTCACTTGGTTATCGCTACTTACTTTAGTGATGATTGAGAGTCTCAACGCCAGAATCTAAAGCTAGGTGGTGTAAGTAAGGCATGCTCTAGCACCTGAGGGAAATTTGATGATAGTAACGGCTATATTGCTATATAGCGGAGCTTAAAATTTTGCCTCACATCAAAACAGGGGGAAACCCTCGCAAATTTTTTTTTAGGTCAGCGGAGTTTTCAAGCAATCTGATTGGCTCAGAGGTTGAAGTAACGAATGGTTACAACTAGTTAATTTCCTATGGATCTGTCATATATCATCATTTTGTGTTTGCAATAAAAAGGTATCTAAATAAATACAATAATTTAAGTTCTTTTTTATTCAATAGTAAAATAAGGTGCAGCCATTTGACCTAGTATCCAGTAAACAGTTTAATGTAAAAATTGCCCTTTAAATTTATTCTGTGGGGAACGTTGTATAGATACTGCAGTACACTAGATGCTAGGCCCTCCCATTGCCAAATGTCCCGTCGAATATGCGTGCTTCATCATTGACTTCCAAGAGGTTTCAATTTTATGGGTTGCTCCCTTTTGTCCCTTATTGAATGTTCTGGATGTACAGAATCATTTCCAGTGTTGAGGTTTAAGCCGTCATCGTCGGAAATCAAGTTCTGAAATATTAATGTATTTCAATGCTATTCTTTGATCAGCTATCAACTTAACCCCCGACTTCTTCACTAACTAAATTTTGTTCCCCTGTGTTTGCTCTACAAAATGAGACCTCGTTGTTCGTACACTTTCAATGCTTCTTTGCGGAAATGGTGTTTTCCAACCCCAAATTGACGTTTACAGTGGCAAAAACAAGTTTTTCTTTAATAGCACCACAGAAACACCTGTGTGGTATTCAAATGTATGAAATGTATTTAGGGCACGCTATAGCTAATAGCAGTGCATAACAAAGAAAGTTTTATATGCGCCACTGTAGCAAAGGTTAACCTTGAGCGATCGTTTTTCGACAATTTGACAGGGTTGACCTATTGGGCGCCACAAATCTACGAGAACTACTGCTACAACTCTGAATAAAACCTCAAACGATACGTGATTTTGGGTCTTCCCACCACATAACGGATAGCGTAACAGGTACGGTGGTACAGGGTTAGTATATACTTTTGGTTATAAACCCTCAAAAAGTTTGATAAACAAGCTTATTATTTATAAACAAACTGTATGATCATTAAACGTGCTGCCATTCGAAGTGCATTTTAAGTCTTTCGAAGATTTTTATGAGCCGAAAGGAATGGTTATTATTAAACAGATTATGTTTGAGCGATGGAAAGGTGCAAGTAAGCATTGGTGTCAAGACAATAGGAACTCGGAGATCTTACATTGAACCAATGACGACCATAGAATATCAGTTCAGCCATTTTACATGGATGAGCATGCTCGTGAATATAGGATTGACATTGTGCTAAAGGCATAGGATGCCTGCCCTGTGCAAGTGAACTACATTAGAAGCTGTAGATGAATGGGAGGGATATCGAGAAATTTTGGTTTTAAAGTAGCATAAATACGGGTTATTTTCTTCATTTGTATTGCGTTTTTCTAATTGAGGTATGCCATTTCATTTTCTGAACATCACGATTTGCATTCTAGAGCGTACTTGGTGTGTATTCAAGGCAATACAGCGCCATTGGTAATTAACCTTTTTCATGAGTCCTATTTTCAAGCAAGATTTTAATCACACCAGAAGCTCTACGACATTTATACTTGGAAGCAGCAGCAAGATCATGTGTTGCATTGGATAATTGAATAGTTCTGTTCAACTAATGCTTGCTAGTGTAGTCGTGCTGCTGGGAACATCCTACCGAAACGCAATGATGCCATTGCATAAAAGAAACCTGGCAAGCAAAACAGTTAAGTAAGTGTTGCTACATCAATCAGTCAGACATGCTGGTTGAGCGGTCAGAGTTGTTAAGCAGCAGCATACAGTGGTCTACTGTTTATTTCAGTTTCACATGTAGATGAAAAGCAGTTATTTACAGATAAAAGTCGATATAAGTAATCCATAGCCCAGTTCCTTTTTGAGGCTCCATGCTAAATATAAGATTTAAATGTTGAAAAGCAAGGACAAGCTCATAAGAGCGAATCTCAGGCACACTGCCAGAATTGGAATCCCCAAATCAGTTCACATCGCTTTATTAAATGAATTCAAGTATTGAAATTTGACCAATTGTCATCTACTGCTATTTAATAATAGACCCGGAAAGCATTACAAATTCTGAAACTCTGTGGTGGTATATTACAAATCGTCTTGGTAAACCATCGTATAATAGTGAGATGCTCTATTGATAATCTTGCTGAAAAAAGAAAAAGCCTCTTTCTGTAAGCGTTGATTGTATGAAGATGAGGGTTACATAAAATAGTGAGCACTCACGTGAAACTAACAGCGAGCTCGGCTCCCCAAACTCTCTTCTTCTTGACCTTTCTTTCCAAGATTTTTTTCTCTCTCTCTCTCTTTTTTTTTTTTTTTTTTTTTTTTTTGTTGTTGCCTATAATTTCTCTCTCGTTTATCCCACAAATTATGTTATAAAATTCTTGACACTATATTGTAATTATTATTTATTGCTTGATTTAATAACAAATGGTACTAGTAGTCAGGTCTTTTAGAAGCACCTTGAACTTGATTCAATGGGTTTCTTTCTCTATCATTATATTATTATCCATGTTTGCTATATACTGTGTGGAATCAAAAGCCTCTTTTCCCAGCGACATGACTATATATCAACAAAAAAGAAGCTTGTTACTGGACTCTTCTAGAAAAGATGGAGGAGGAGGAAGAGGAGGCAAAGGCGCCGCATCATCATCTTCAGCAGCAGCATCTTCATCACCTGGTGGTCTTATACCTACAAATTTAGTTTTGGTATCTACATTAGATGGCTCTATTCGCGGCATAGACCGTTTTCAAGGCGATGTCCATTGGACACTAAAAGGTGGGCCAGGAAGTTCTCTCATCAAGTCCAACTCAAATTTCGAAACACACAAATTGTACAAACCGGGACCAACCTCTGTGGATCGTCGAGACAGTAGTGGTGGCAGCTCTGACGAAGAAGATACGGATAGACTATTTCTGGACACTTTCAACGATATTTTAACTGATGGAGATGATTCAGACGACTACAACGATGACCCAGAATTCAATCTGCAAGATCACTGGGATGATTCTGACGATGCTGAAGACCCAGACATTTACTACATTATTGAGCCTCAAGATGGAGGCACTCTGTACATCTATGGAGATGGAAGGCCTTTGGAGGTATGTGTGCGAGCGATGATAGTTGTATCCTTGTAAAACAATACTAACCTGTATTTTATAGAAATTACCATTTTCAGTTGAAGAGATTGTTACCAATTCGCCCTTCCGCACACCAGATGGCACAACTTACATTGGCAGAAAGAGCACATTGATGATTGAAATCGACCCAAGAAATGGAAGAATCCTGCAGCAAATCGATCTCAACAAAGTAGATAATCAATATCGCATGGCAACTCAAAGTCAATATCCTGCTAGAACAATTTTCCTCGGTAGAAATGGTAAGATGAGCGTCTATAGTGTATTTATGATGAGCTAACATGCTTATTTCGACAGAGTATAAAGTTGCAATTTATGACGATCACTATAAAAAGCTATGGAATGTCACCTATAGCGAATATATACCCAACAAACTGGATTGGGATGTCCCCACAAGCACAGTTCCATCAGACATCTATGTTGCTCCTGACGCCACTCAAGCAATCACTGGCATCAACGTCCAAAACGGCAATTTAATGTGGACAAGAGACCTGCCTTATCCTGTAGTCAGTGTATTTGATGTTTATCGACGAGAGGATTACACCTTTGCAGTGTCAAAGCAAGATCCTCCAAAGTCACTCACCAAGGGCGCTGTGGGCAACATGCTGAGCCTGATGTTTAGAAAGCACGAAATTGCAACTGCGTATGTTGGTGTTCACGATGGTAGTCTGTTCGCGCTCTCCACCAAAAAGTACCCACTGGTTCAAATCTCACCTTGGGCTTCCATGTACACTGGTCGCCGTCCTGGGGACACTAGCTCAGACCATCCCAGTCGCATGATTGAAGGCAGTAAAGGTAACGATCCCAACGCCAGCGATTTTGAGTGGACGCAGAAGCCGCATGAAATGTGCTGCCATGGCTGTGAATATCATATCGATTGTCTCGTTGGCCAGCATGTGGTTCAATCTATTATTGATGATGTCGACGACGAAGACCACCCGTTATACCAATATTCGAAACTCTATCTGCCTACTGCTTCCTCCACCTCGTCATCCTCATCCTCATCGCCTTCAGCTACCACATTGCCTTCCATTCCTAGATATCATCGCTTAGAAGACATGGAGAATTATGATGATGATGACGATGATGAACGAAGAAAGAAAGGGTTTTTCCACGAAGGATTTGGCAAGTTCTGGAAAAGCTATGTCTTGGTGTCCTCTGTCATTGTGTATGTCTATCGGGATCGTGTGCAAACCTTTTATCAAGTCAAAGTGCTGCCTCGCTGGAAGAAGCTACTCAAAAAGCGTGCCAAGGAGAAGCGCACAAGAGCCCGTATTGCTGCTGCTGCATTAGCCGAGAAGGAAAAGATCAGCCGGGAACGGGCAGACTCACTGAACTCGCTGGAGAGTTTTGACGCGGACAAATTCATCAGAGAAAAGATGGACGAAGAACGAAAGCAACTGGAAGCTGTGGCCTCAGCTATTGCGGCGCAAAGAGTAAGAGAAGAAGAAGAGCAAAGAAAGAAGAAGGAAAAAGAGGAAGCAGAAGAGAGGGAGAAGAATGAAAGGCTGGCAAAAGCATCAAAGCAAGTTGTTGTTGTAAAGAAGTCGTCCACTGGTTTGGACCTAGAAAGCTTTAAACAATCAAAGTCCAGAGTGTTGGAGATTTCTGACAAAGTTCTCGGCTACGGAAGTCATGGCACCGTTGTATATAAAGGCATGTTTGATGGCCGAGATGTTGCAGTCAAAAGGCTCTTGTTGGATTTCTACGATGTTGCGCTCAAAGAGGTGAAACTACTGCAAGAAAGCGACGATCATCCCAACGTGGTACGCTACTTTTACAAGGAGGAATCCGATAGATTCTTGTACATTGCACTGGAGCTCTGCTTTGGCTCGTTAAATGACTACATGGAACGAACACTACCTATACCCGAAATGCAACAGTGCGACACAATGAACCCTGCCAACATCCTGTCACAATTCACCTGTGGTCTTCAATACCTTCACTCTCTCAAAATTGTCCACAGAGACATCAAGCCCCACAACATCTTGCTGGCGCCCAGCAAAAATCGATTCATGAAGGATGCGCCTCAGATGCGCGTCTTGATATCTGATTTTGGTCTTTGCAAGAAGCTGGATGGAGAACAAAGCAGCTTCAACTATACAGCGGCATCACCAGCAGGAACATCTGGCTGGAGAGCGCCTGAACTGCTGGCTGGTGCACTGGCAGCAACTTCATCCGACACTAGTTTCAGCAGCACAAGGGACTCATCTTCAACAGATCCCAATACAATGATGGGCCGCGTAAAAGCTACAAGAGCTATTGATATTTTTTCAACTGGTTGCGTATTTTATTATGTGCTGAGTAGTGGTGACCATCCGTTTGGTAATCGCTTTGGCCGTGAAAACAACATCTTGAATGGCCATTATGATCTGAGCAAGCTGGATTCCATGGGCGAAGATGGCATTGAGGCAAAGGACTTGGTGGAGAGAATGATATCTACTGAACCCAAGCAAAGGTAAATAACTGTGGTAGAATATATATAAACACGATGAACTAACCTCTCTGGTAGACCTAATTGCGATACTATACTTTCACACCCCTTCTTTTGGTCTACCTCAAAGCGACTAGCCTTCTTGCAAGATGCGTCTGATAGATTTGAAATTGAAGAGCGTGATCCACCCTCACCCTTACTGCAAACGCTGGAGTCGGATGCATCTACTGTCATTGGTGTTGACTGGTACAAGCGCATTGACCGTGTGGTTGCTAATGATCTGGGTAAATTTAGAAAATACGACGGCAAGCGAGTCCGTGATTTACTGAGAGCCTTGAGAAATAAGGTAAGCATATATTTCTCTTTAAAAAGAGTTTAGGCACTGGCTGATATTTCTTTTAATAGAAACACCACTGGCAAGACTTACCAGACCCAGTAAAGAAAGTATACGGTGAACCACCCGACCAATTCTTGTATTATTTTACTACCAGATTCCCTCATCTCCTTTTACATACCTACTATGTTGTCGCAAGCCATCCTAATCTCAAGAAGGAAGGCTCACTTGGACAATACTTTTAACAAAAAATCGCATTCTACTACACTTCATCCCTTTTCCTTCCTTCTTTACATATAAATAAATAAATAAAAAAAAAAAAAGACATTTATTGATTGATAACTGCATTACAGTGAATCTTGACAACATCATCCAAGTTATCCATATCCTCAAGGCATTTTTCTACCAATTCAGCAGTGTCTTTATCCTCTACATCCACAGTGCTTAGCGGGATGTAAGTAGCCTCAATCTCCTGAACTTCGTATTTGTGGTCTATGAGTGCTTTGGACACGTTGTTGAGATCAGAGAATTCGCAAATGACCTCTACCAAATTCTCCTCTGGATCCTCCTCGATGTCCTCTGCTCCACAGTCAATGGCATTGTCCATGATTTGCTCAAAACTATGGCCTGATTCTCCAGGGGAAAAAACAACCTTGCCCTTCTTGTCAAATAAATAGCCTACTGATGACACTGATCCACCCACTCTGTTCAGTACTTCCTTGACTTCCTTCACTGTACGAGATTTCTTGTCAGTCAAAGCCTCGCTACAGTTTTATATGATTTAAATATCTTGTCTCTTTCCAATCATGTCTACATCTTACACAATCAATGCAATGCCTCCAGGGCCCACACATTCGTATTGAACACTCTCCAGATCATCCTTGTTCTTGTCGCTAGCCTTCTTCAAGGCGTTTTCAATATTGTCTTTGGGCATACTGGCTGCTTTGGCTCTGTTCAAAATAGCTTGTAGCTTGTTGTTGACGCTGGGATCGATACCTCCAGCTATCAAAGAGCGTTAATCACTATCCAATTGGCAATATCGTTATACTGTACGCACCTCTTGCCGCTGATACAATCTCAAGTGACATTTTGGAGTACATGATACTCTTCTTTGCATCTTTAGCGCCCTTTGTATGCTTTACTTTACTCCATTTGTTATGGCCCTACATATATGACCTTAGTCTGCGATGCTGTGTGCGTCTTAGTCCATGTTACTTTACAGCATATCTCTGTTGTTGTAAACAAATGGATGTAGGTTTCCAGAGTGTTTGTGTCCTGTTAAAAGAGCCTCTAGCTTGTGTCAAACCAAGAGTTGAAAAACGACGCAACATATCAAAAAGTATAGAATGGAGAAATAAGACAAGCTGTCAGTAAATACTACTACTTGGCCCTTGTTGTCGCTTGCCCTTCCTCACCCCCATATTGCGGACTGTTTAAGTTGAGTTGCTGTTGTAACACTACCCATTTGCCACTTACAAACACAAACCAAGTCTATAAAAGACAGCAAGGCATCTTTCATTTCATGGTAATTCGACAACTCGCAATGCGATTTACTAGGAGAAGATCAAGCATGTATGTTAGGGCTTCAAAGCAGATTTGAAAGATCTTTGTAGATGCTCAAGACGTCCAACAAGGATCCAGCAACATTTGATATCAGTCCGGAGTATACAAACTCAAGCATGCTCTCGTATCTTCTTGCGAAATCAACTATTCACTTCAATTGAGAAATTCTTTACGTCGTTAGTGAAATTTTAAAGTATTCTTTTCGGCATACTTGCCGCAAGAAACGTGGATGAGCTTTAAATGGCACATTCAGGTCGAGGAAATCCCAATTTACGAATTGCACATTTTTCAAGGAGTAATGGATGCCATTGCTTTTTCATTTGACAGATCATAAACAATAACAAAAGAAATGAGCCTGCTACAACTACTTCCAAAGCGTTAAATCCAACAGATGAGCTCCCAGGAAAAAAGGGGGGGTTCATCAATCATCCAAACTAAAAATCATCTGCTCATTCTTATCGGCTGACAGCGGAGATGCTCGACCTAAAACGATGGTTTCGATATGCCGATAACCAAATTGCACAACTGTTCATGTGAATAGCAGTGAGGGCAAATCATTCGGCTTGCAAGATCATTGCTTAAATCTAGCAATAAACCCATTATAGTATATCCAGAAATCCTACTAAAGTATAGGTGCTTCTTGGAACTGACAATGGATATAAATCAAAGAAACATCGCTGCAAGTGTCACATCACCCAATGAAAAGTAAGTTGGGCCCAAGCTTCCGCTTAAATGATACCTAATGATTACCATGAGACATACTTTTTTTTTTTTTTTTTCTTTTTTTTTCTTCCCTCACAAAAACTTTAATAATCATGGCTATCGAAGCAAGTGCAGATGGATGGCTCATGGTAATTATATCATCCACAGCATGTGTTCTCGGTGCCAGTGTCGTATTTCTCGGTGGAAAAGCACTGGAGAACAAGCAATTCCTTTCAGCATCCATGGCATTAGGCGGCGGCGTGCTAGTCTTCAATTCCCTGTACACGTTGTTACCAGCATCAAAGCAGAAATTCGACTCTAATCTATGGACATTTTCATGTTTCTTTGCTGGCGTTGCATTTACAGTTGGATTATCCTATTTCATTCAATGGTGCACGCCACATGCGATTCACACTTGCGATCCAACGTCGACTGCCATCACAAAGGACACTGCAAATACCATCAACGAGCTGGTTCGAGGGCAAGACATGATGGATGAGGATCATGCCCACGAAGACGAGGCACAGGACGAGCGAGACTTGATGAAACCTATCCTACCACGTTCACCGCCATTACGTAATCACCATCACCACCATAAGCATCACCATAGTAATAGAGATTTAGAGTATGGCAGCATAGATATAGATGATCATGATCGTGCTGATCAGGACAAGAATGACTATTTTCTTATTGGTATACAAACAGCCATTGCAATTTGCATACACAAGTTCCCAGGTTTGTAGCAATCTTGTGATGTATTACATGATAGTTTGTTTACAAGTTACGTTTGGATGCGATAATAGAAGGGCTGATCATGTTTATATCAAATGAATCGTCCAGTCAATTGGGTCTCAGTGTGGCAGCAGCGATGACTATTCACAATCTGATTGAAGGGTTCCTGATCTCGTTGCCCCTATATTACGCTACGGGATCCCAGTTTGCAGCATTTGCCTATGCCTCCATCCTGGGCGGCATGTCCCAGCCATTGGGTGCTGTGCTGGGGCTATTAGCCATCCGCAATGTAGATCAAGAGCAAGAGAGATTCTTATTTGGCATTATATTTGGTGTTGTTAGTGGTATGATGTGCTTGATTGCAGTGCAAGTAAGTGTGTCTGATAAACAAGGAGAAGGGAAGGGAAATTAACTATAAAACATAGAGTATGCTGCCTCAAGCCATCAGAGCAGATGCAACGCATCGATGCGTACCACTGTTTTTCTTTACTGGTATATTTCTAGTTGGATTTTCTTCGCTGCTCCAATCTATCTAAACGAATACCCCACCTCATACTTGACTTTTTGCATTTCATCGTACATATTCTTGCAGTTACTGAGCCATTCTCGCTCTCGCGCACTCTCTTTCGCTCTCCCTTCCCCCTCCTTTTTTCCGTTGTAGCATTTGTTTATTTCTTTTCATATCCTTTTATTTGTAAAACAGTTTTATTTGTATACAATCAAATACAACAATCTTATATATATATATATCATTCAAACGCTTGTATCCTGATTTGTGTTCCAGGGCCCAATATATATGTATATCTACCAGATACCCCTTTTTTTTAGTCATCTTGCATGTATCATTACCAGCAGCAAAGTGGCGCTTTTATTGAATGCTATCATATATACATATTACATGTACATTTTGGATATGCTATAAAACCATGTCGAGGCCTATTTAGTATTTCTTTCCTTCTCTTTCTCACTTTTTTTTTTCTTTTGTTACTTTTTCTCATTTCCTTTTCACTTGTAGTGCCGGCACAATTACACGATACAGAAAAATGGCATTCATGACTTATTTAGCACGCCATCATCATCATCATCAGCAGCAGCAGCAACAGCAGCAACAGCAACAGCAACAGCAACAGCAACAGCAACAGCAACAGCAACAGCAACAGCAACAACAATCACTTGAAACGAGTAAACATGTAAATAAACGATCGCACACGTTGCCCACTGCCATCAAAAAGAAGAAGGAAATTGGAGATTACATCCTCTGTAGAACAATTGGCCGTGGTGCCTCTGGTAAGTTTAGCATTAAATTGACCCTTTTTCTTTTCCTTTTTTTTATGATTTTTCCTATTTTGCTCGTCTATTCGACCCCTCTTTGATCTTGTACCCCCCCTTTATTACTCCCTGTGTGTGTGTGTGTGTGTGTGTGTGTGTGTGTGTGTGCTGAAATGCTTAAACTTTAATCCCTTATACAAAATTCTTTATTATAATAATGTAGGCCGTGTTAAACTCGGTATTCACAAACAAACGGGCGAGAAGGTCGCAATCAAAATGATCTCAAGAAGTCATCTCACAGCTTCCTCAATCACATCCAAATCAGTTCAGAGAGAATTAGCAGTATTGCAGCTACTGCACCATCCCAACTTGATTGATCTCCGTCAGGTACTGCAAGACACTTCCAATGTGTACTTTGTTATGGAGTATTTGGAGGGCGGCGAGCTGTTTCATATGTTGGCCGAGAGGGGCAGACTACCTGAAAACGAAGCCAGACATCTCTTCAGCCAATTGGTCACCGCGCTTGATTGGTGCCATAATCACTACATTAGCCACCGCGACTTAAAGCCTGAAAACATCTTGCTGGACAAGGAAAAGAAGCACCTTAAAATTGCAGATTTTGGAATGGCAGCTATGCAGCAGCCCAATGCACTACTACGAACCAGTTGCGGGTAATTTTAGATACAGATACAAAAGAAATGTATTAATCAACTGAATAGATCTCCACATTATGCAAGTCCAGAGATTGTGAGAGTGAGTAGACCTATACATATTAAACATTCCACTTGAATATTGACATATTTCCTTTTATAGGGGAAGCGTTACGATGGTACAGCAACAGATGTCTGGTCCTGCGGGGCCATTTTATACGCTATGATGACTGGTCATCTACCCTTTGATGATGAGCACATGGGAAGGTTATTGGCGAAAATTAAAACGGGAAGGTACCGCACATTGCCTGACTACCTTTCATCTGATGCAAGAGACCTGATTAAACGTATGCTGGTTGTTGATCCAGCCAAAAGAATGACGGTGAGCATATTCACATACGCACACATACATACAGCTTGACTCACCCGCACATGCACTCTAGATGGCTGAAATACTAAATCATCCTTGGTTGACAAACAAATCCTTTTTGGGAACTGAATTAAGATTCTTACAGCACAACACAACCAACATGTACAGCCCTTTGAACGATCCTGAGCTACAAGCGGCGCTAGTGCGGCATAAATCAGATTTGGATGGCAAAATTTGGGAGACACTCAAAGTGCTGTGGAGAGAGAAATCCGAAGACGAGCTGATAGCCATCCTGTCTACACCAGGCTCCAATGTTCAGAAATTAACGTGCAAACTACTGCAGGAAAGGTTTGTTCGACTGGAATCCACTGAGAATCACAGTGAGTAGCAACTAAAACACAGACTGCAACACATACAACTTACATGGTATACACGTAGGCTCAGTGAGTCTGCCGCTTCGGAGATCTTCCGTTATCGCAGATGATGTACTAATGACTCCCCCACTTCGATATTTACGCCATGGCAGCGATGATGTAGAGTCCTACACCTTGCCTACGCCGTACGAGTCTTCCATTGACACAATGTCATGTTGCAGGACACTTGATTTGCCGCCTACACCAAAAAGCACCACCATGTTTCAGCAGTTGATTGATCCATCGACTTCTACCGTAACCATCAATAAAAGAGGGTATGTTTGTATTAAATTGCTCTAAAATGAAAACCATGTGCACTCAACAACATTGGACATTAGTGATCACAATGGTGACCCTTATTCAGTTATCAGCCCAATCATGCAACAACAACAGCAGAATCGTTCTATTATTACTGCTACTGCTGCCACTGCTGCCACTGCTACTTCTTCGCTGATATCTTGCTCCTCAGCTCCTCGCCATCATTGGATACATGACGATGGTACATTAGCCCAGACTGAAGAAACGCGAGGGTCAAAATCAGACGCAGCAGATGTATTCATCATGACACAGCCTATAGAAAGCACCATAGTGCAGCAGGAAGAGACTAGGAGTACATGGTGGCTATATTCTAAAGACGAACCGCATCACCCAAATTGGTGGTCTAAAACCTGTGATTATCTGTTTTTCAAGAGAAAAGCGCCTGAAACGGTAAAAAGAAAATGCACACACGCACACACGACATACATCTCATCTCTCTTTTCAGACTATCGCTATCGAATGCTTTTCAAAGCATGAATGTGAAACAGCCGGTAAATTGCATCAAGTGCTTGAGGAGTGCTTTCATGGGAAATTGACTGGAAGAATGTATCCTCATGGCAAAATTGTATGGAGCGGATCCATGAAGAACAAGCCGGATTCATCGTGCTCATTCATTTGCCATATGACTAAAATCAAAGCTTCATCGAAGATTCGAGTTCATTTCATTATTCATCATGGTAAGGTCTAGATGTATACTTTCCATAAAGCTGCGTATTGACTCCGAAATGTACAAATAGGCGACTCGAATAAGCTTGAATCAAACATCAAAGACCTTCTTCAGCGTCTCAATGAATACGAACTCGAATCAGACTGGATCACAAGATCGAATGGTTGGATACATCCAGAAATTTCGCTATGTAAATAATGCTCTTTCTTTACAGCAGAGAGAGAATTGCCACTGCTCGATATACATAAAACACATTTTATTAATATATATATATATACCAGCATAACACATTATTCTACTGCGTGTAGCAAGAAACAACATCTAAAAATCAGAATGTATTTTATCCCGCTCCTTATAAGCCCGTATCACCATACCCCTCACCCCCTTTATTTTTTCTTTTGCCTATATATAACCATTATATCAAGTAATGCAACAGGCAGGTTGCTTCTCTTATCATCAGCATATATAAACATAGCCCCCCCCCCTACCAGCTACACACACTTGTAATCTATTTTTAATTTTATTGTTCAAATGTGCTTATCAAAATACGACTCGACTCCTTTTTTCGTGTATTATCTAATGCAATAAATACATGGCAGAAATCATTTTTTTTTCCCTCAGTCGTGTGAGAGAAGAAGGAGTAAAATCACAGGTTTTCTCTACATGTAAGGCCTGTTACCTATTCCCTAAACTTGAATACATGCAGCAATGCTTTTTTTTTACGCCGTGAACCATTACTATTTCGTTCATGTAGTACGACCACGAAACCATTCAATTGTAATTATTGATACATATCCATATGCATTTCATATGTGCATAGTATATGAATTTTATATATATAGATATCTTTCAACAAAGCAATTACATACATGCATATATAACAACAAAAACGCATGCAGATACGTATGCAATGCTCGCTTTACGCTCTTGTCTTCATGATGTCTAGATGTCGATGAAGGATTTTAATGCCATTTTTAGGCAAATTGAAAAGAGGCTATGACATCCTATACATGATGATTGTATCAGAGCCTAACTATATCTCATCACTTGCTGTTGTTATTCATCTGCTTCTTGTCATCTTGAATTGACATTACTTACTGTTAACGATATTAGCATTATACACGACGTAAGCTGATGATGTCAAAAATGACTATACTCTCTTTTTTTTTATCGTCGATGTTCATGTATCTTTTGAATACATACGAGCATGCAGTAGAACTTTGCTTGGAGTTCCTCTAGATCGAATAACATTACTGACGAAATAGGCGTATTCGTAAAGCATAGGTATCATTATACAACGCAGTATTGCAATGCATATAGTAATTCCAAGCAATAAGAGACACATTGAATTTTCAATTGAAACGAAAGCGCAGAGTTTATACACACATTCATACCGCATCTGTTTTTATGTTCTCTAAATGTAGCTGATTGTTAAAAAGATCAAATGAACGGCGTTCATCCTGTTTAAATATTGTAGAAATTTATAAAGCGGTAAATATGCACATCAGATAATTGCGAATATAACACTACACTGCGATTGGCAATTGTTCATTCTGTAATAGTATTCGCAAAAAAATTAAAATGATGTATTAGTCCTTAGCTTTGGTACACTATAGATTGCAACCCCTTCTTGTTATCTTCAAAAGTACCCATTGTTATCACAATAGGTGTTTTGAATAAACTTATTGAGCAATTAATGAGAATATGAAAAGAGGTTTCTGGCCAAAATGTCGAAGTTTTACATATCAAAGTCCAACAAAGATGATTTCAGGGGGGTACGTTGGATCGATAGAAACATTTTGATTCAAGATATACCATAGTAAAAGTCTTCATTTTCAAGGCCAAAAACGCGATCGTTCGATTTTTGATGAAAACTTTTTTTTTTTTTGGATGATATTGTTTTATTAGGATAATAATTAGAAATAAGACAAATGCATCAAAGAGATGGACAAGTGTATGCGAGCAAAGTGACTAGCCATATATAAAGCTATTATGATAAATCTAGTAAGAAAGTTACTTAAGATTTGACAATCTTAACACTTCGGTTCTGATTTGGCGGCTGGTTTGGATTGAATCAAAAGGCATGTGGTTGTAAAGCTGTTGATAATGGTTTCTCCAGATAATACGCATGATGGTGGCAAAGAGGTCAAAGATCGTGATGTGGATATCCAAGTTGTATATGAAATATCGGTCCAGTTTGAAGAGTATGACTGATTTGTAGATAAGATGTGAATCTGCAGATTTGGGGTAACCAAGGAACTCGTTGAATGAGGAGTCCCATACATCAAGTTTGTGGACACAGCTGATCAGGAAATGTTTGGCGTCTTCCACTTCATAACAGAGTTCACATCTATCAGATTCAGCATGTTTCAGATGGAGTTGCGACATGGCAAGTTTGTTGGAGCTTTGTTTATGTATCATTCGATACCATAGGTTGCGAGCTGAGTAATGCATGTTATTCTTGTAGAAAGTCTGCCATTGTTGTTTGCTGAGGTGGTTGCTGAAGTTACGACCAACGTCGAGGTTTGCCATGTCCAGCATGACGAAACGGAGATCTCTGTTCGCTAGCTTCAGTATCTGCTGTAGTTGGTATATCAATGAGTCGACAAAGGGCTGGAAATCAGGGTCACCAGTGCTATTGTGTACAAATGGTTGGAGTGTGAGCTGGTGGGCGATGATGGCTCGGTGGAGCGGCTATCATACCATTTCATTTGCAGTTGTGTGGTGACATATTGCTTGATCTGTTGGCCGTCAGTGGACTTCATGGCACTGCCGTGGAGAGGGAAGGCGAAGGATTTACTGTAATTGACCTTGGCATTGGAGGCTTGATTGTACACTCTGAGTCGATCCTGGAGCTCAACTAATTTAGCTTGCGACTTCACAAAGGACAGGACATTATCGGCGTACGCGAGGACCTTGATGGGAGCAGGAGATATCCATGGGTTCTGTATTTGGTGCGGGAGCTTGACGTGTTTCAGGCTGTATCCTGTGAGGTTCATATTGTTGATTATGGAAAGTAGGAACGACTCAATGACCAGGTTGAACAAGACTGGCGAGATACTATCACCTTGACGAACCCCTCGTCGCTGTGAGATTACACCGGTTAAGAAGCCATTCACATTGACATAGATGGAGTTATCAAAGAACAGGTTGGTAATGCATGTGACAAACGCTTCAGGGAAGCCAAACTTTAACAGTACTTGGGAAAGATACTTTGGGTGGACCCGGTCATAAGCCTTGGCATTATCAAGCATGATGCCAGCATAGGCAGTAAAGTTGGAGGGGTTCCACCAGCTAGCAGACTGAGCATTAGCCATAATCACCTGGAGAGACATTCCATGATCCCCAATATAACGGCCGGGCAAGAAACCGCATCGATAAGGGGTGATAATCCTGTTAGCCACTTGGACAACTCTAGAGTTCATGATGCGCGTAAAAACTTTGCAATCCGCTGCAATCAGTGTGATGGGACGGTAGTTAGCTAGATCACTCTTGTCACCTTTCTTGTGTAAGATAATGATACACGAGGCCTGCCAAGCTTTGGGGAACTTTGCCAAAAGAACAGCGTCATTGAATACCTGATGGATAATATCACGACAGCTTGGGTGAGAGACAAGGAGGTAAAATATCTCATAGCCGATGCCGTCCAGTCCTGGGCTACCCTGTTTGGGGGTTCGACGGGCGCCGTCCAAGATATCATCATAGTCAATTGGCTCCTCCGTGTACAGATCCTGATAGAAGGATTCAGTAGCATTGAGTTTGGTTTCCATGTCCAGGCAAGCTTCTCCAGTGCTAGGATGTTTCAACATTGCAACTGTCCGTTGATCAACACGCTGATCAATGGTGTGTTTGATATATCCTGGGGACTTCTCACTCTGCTCCAACCATCGGCGGCCTGCTTTCAACATCTGAATCTCCACAATTTCCTGCTGTAGCTTGGGTAGCTCTCCCTCCACGTCCGGCAGCAGCAGTTTCAAGCACTCAATGTCATTCCGGTAGCGTCGCAGCAAGTTATTCCTCTCGCTCTGCAGCGCCTTGATTCTGGCCTTTCTCCAAGTATCATGGTGTCCAGCAAAGTTGACAGTAACCTGTTTGGTCTTCCGCTTGATCAGGTCCCACTTGTCTTGAGCTGAAAGATTGTAGTCCAATTTGGTAGCCACGAATCTCTCGATTTCATCAGCCAACTTCTGTCTATACCTAGGATTTTTGGCAAGGTGAGGGTTTGCACGCCAAATGCCTTTACCGCAGTTTGTCAATCCAGTTATGTAAGTTTTGGTCACAAGAGCATGGTCAGTCCATTCAGGACGTAGGAACCAGTTGGTGGCATCACTCATATCTGAAGCTATATACTGTCCAGCAAACATGTAATCCAAAGTAGACATGGTTGATCCGCGCTTGAAGGTGTATGCATGAGGTTCATTTCTCGGATTGAGGCAATCAGAGAAGTGGGTGTTCAAGAAATCCATAAACTGTTTCGGTTTACCTGCTCGGTGAGAGTGATGGTAAGTGTTGGTGTCAAAGCAATAGTTCATGTCCCCGGCGATAAGGAGAGAAGGAATGATCTTGGGCATAGTGTTAAGGTGTGTAATGATCTGGCTAAAGAGTTGATTCCCAGTCTTGTAATCATCAGCATGGGCATAGATATTAAGTATATATATATATATTGGTGGCATATTGTTGTTGACAAGAGAGAGCTTAGCCAAGATGGCTCTTCCTTCGTCAAAAGTCTTTAGATGTTGTAGTTGTAGAGCTTGGTTGAAGTTGATTATTCCACAATTACCGGTCCATATGGCTTGGTGATATTGGAACTGGTATTGGAAATCAGTTGTAACGGTATCAAATAAGTGTGAGGGGATATTAGTTTCCTGGCATAGTAGCATGTTGCATAGTTCTCCTTTGAGATATCTTATACATTGTGCTGTTGTGTTTGGATTGTATTGTTTGTTAAGGTTCCTACAGTTGATGGAACCTATCTTAATTTTGATATTCTTATTTTGGTTTGACGCACTCATTAAAATTATAGTGATTTGATTGTGGAGGAGTTGCCTTGCTCGGCCTCGTCCATATGGCTGTCCTCTTGTTGTTTGAAAGCCTTTTTGGCAGATCCCTCTTGATCAGATCCTGGTGGAGTAGATGCCAGTTCCCTAATAGAACGCTTCTGAGAGGCCTTCTGTGCTGTGTCACCTACAGCATTAGAACCCTTCTTTTTACCCTTACTAAGATTATATCTGTTCTCGTAATTGGTATATTCTACAGAGCTTTCAGATGTATCACCTCCTTCATATTCTGATTCCTCGCTGGTGAGGTGAACGGTCTCCTGTGCATCTGAAGAAGCTGGTTCCTTGTCATCAAGGTTGTCATCCTGATGAAATTCCACAGTTAAGGATGAATCAAAGACAGTGGTTGGTGCAACTGAAGGTGATGCTACAGTCTGTGGCTTGACAGATTCAACTGGATCAACTGGTGCTACTGCCTCCTGATGGAGTGGGTCGGCTGGTTCCTGAGCCTCTTGTTCAGGAGTGGTGGATTATTTTTGATGAAAACCATGAGGGGTGCCTCATGCTTTTTGGTCGATTTTCGGTCATGTTTTTTTTTTGGTCCTTAGAAAGTTGAGCAAAGGTGTCAGGAAGTAAGTGCTAGATGAGAGCAATTGTTTGGTGCTATTCTGACCATCTAAAACGGCTCCTAACGCGAGAAATAACGGTCTAAATGTACCCATATTTTGTAGTATTTTGAATCTATTTGAGAAGAAAGAAGCAATACGAGTATGATGGCTGCCTGAAAAAACGTTTCTCTGATGGATACAGATGTAGTGCACCCTAAAAGAGTTAGTTTCATAGCTCGAAATTAGTTCTAAAAGTTTCTGACATGAGGGCCTATAGTCAAGAAGCAGATTTTATTATGAATCAGCATCATATACACTTTATATCAAAGCTGCCTGTCGCTCGTTGTTTATAATAGTGTCTTCTTGGGGCATTAGTTTTGCATAAACAGAGGAAACTCATGTTAATTCAATCGTTGAGTGAGATGAAATGATGGCGCATTAAACAACAGAATGTAATAATAGGTATGCAGTGGGCAGATTGCGTAAATCTTGAGCGCTCGCTGTCCTGGATATGATCGAGCGGTCTATGATCTGACTGAACAATGCTGATCAAGAGCTGTTGGATCAAATCATCAGAACTCTTCTCTTGCTAGCTGTGCTAGACCAAAATCTTAGAATTCAATGTAAATTAAGCGTGTCTCTGATTTGGTCTGCAAATCATCAGAGAACATTGGAAAATCGAAAATGCTTTTTTCTGAGACTCTGTATCACAACGTGGCCAATTGCGTTGATCGTAGAATCTTGAACTGACAAATAAGCAAATTCAATTCGTTACAACCATGTTAGGATTGTGAATTACCAAGGCATGCATTCTTTGGAACAGCTTGAATTGCAAAGAGAACAGCAATAAATCCCAAGAGTTTTCCAATAATTTTTGGCATTAAATTGGATGGACTTTTAAAAAAATATCAGCTTAGCAATATTAGCTCTTAATTGATTTAGGATGATCGGCAAAAGATAGTGGTCGATCACTAAAAACGAGAGTATAGGAGCAATACTTGATCTGTTTGTGGGATGAAGGTTACCAACGGCAGCAAGGCAAACTGGGACTCCGATTTGTGTATTTAGGTCAATCCGTTTCCACAAACATTTCTTTCTTCTTTCGCTTCTTTCCTTTCTTTCTCTTCCAATGTCTCATCAACAGCATCAACAGCATCAAACATATGAAAAACCAAGCTTACCGTCTATTCAATTCCTTTTGAATACATCTACTCTAGATCAACCAAAAAGGCAACACAATAGACAGAGTGCTAGCATTAGTAGTCTTCCATCTGAACTACAGCAATTGTCATTAGCAGCACCTGCTTCTAATGCTATACCCGAGAGAAGTGAAAACCACCAGCCGAGTTGGATGATGATGCCGCCTACCAATGCTACTGCTATTACCACAACACAGAACTATAGAAGACCGCCTGGTGCGAGTCATACCAGATCGATATCACTTGCTAATTCTACAATGGTATTTTCTGCTCCTCCTCCTCCTCCTCCTCCTCCTCCTTCATTAACCACCACTCCTCATTTCCCATCATCTTCATCCTCAAAGAGTCGACACCGCCGCACCGTCTCTGCAAACACAACCATTCAGCATGATCTATTCTCCAGTAATTTACCCTTCATCAGCGAGCAGCAACCACACGCAACAAGAGCACATACAGATAGTCCACCAGCAAAATTCAAAGATTCCCCTCAGCAAAAGCAATTGAATGTTGCACTGAACATGAGCCCAACGCTATTTCTCAATGAACTGGGAGACAGGAAGCATGAAGAAAAGACAGAAGAGTATGAAAATGTGCTGGTAGCAAGAGATGAGCAGACAGGAAGATATTACTGTCCCTTTTGCAACAAGGCATTCAATCGTCCCTCGTCGCTCCGAATTCATACTTATTCCCATACTGGGGAAAAGCCTTTTGTGTGTCAAGAAGAGGGATGTGGACGACAATTCAGTGTACAGAGCAATATGCGTAGACATCTTCGAGTTCATAGATTAGGAAGATCAAAAAAGTAAACATGGCTAATAAACGACACCCCCTTCCAATCTCTGTATTTCTCTCCCTTCTTATTTTCCTTCTTTTCCTTCTTTTTCAATGTCATTACCGATTTGCCGCTTTTTTTAGGTGTACCTTTGCACGACAACTCCGTTTCTTCTAAATTTAATCATATATTCCACATTGGTCAATGAAGAACAAGTGTCCCAGAGCGAGCGGTTTAAGGCGCATTTTGTATTCATTTATCAATAAACAGACTTATCTTTTCCTTGTGCTGACTCAATTGAATATACAGCTCTATCTTGTCAGATGTGGTGGTAAACAGAAATCCTTGCAGAAATCAGAAAGGATCCGTTTCAGGGGCGGTTGCTTAAAATGGAAGGTCGGTAGTGGTGTGTCATCTACTGCAACATTTTAATTTGAAGGGATTCCAGTATTGCAACCAGGTGAGCACTCTCAGAAGAGACACAGATAGTGCAATTACTCCACATTTAGAGTCAAGCTCAACCTTTTGGAAAATGAGTCGATATTAGCCATCCCAAGCAATGTTCGGCAAACCATGTTCTAGAATGGATCTGAAACCTTATGGTACGATGATCCTCGCTACCGGAATACCAAGTTTTCCATTCTTTCATCATTTGGTAGCAATCAAATATGGACCACCACAAGATTGATCAGAAATTGTATACTGGGAACGATCCATTGTCATCTTGTCATGCCCTTTTCGATCATCCTCAATCAGAGTAATGCTTGAAGATTGTGGTTATCGATCGCATCAACAAACGCTGATGTCATGGACAAGATGCTTACAAAAGATACCCTTTTCCATAGCATGCTATACATCAGAAGCAACATGGAGACCACATTTTAGATTATGTGGAGACAATGAATATACCGTATGTATGGCAACATTTCTAATTCAACGAGACCTGTAAATTAAGAGTCGACGTACTACTACAATGACCACTGGCCTTGATGAGGATTGACAACCAAAATACGCACTAGTGGTAGCTATACGGCTGTACATGTGTCCATTGTTAGATTTGCAGTATATATCCAGTGCTGATATTCCACTGAATTTGTTTCAAAACCAACATTCATCAACAAACATTCCTCACTCAAATTAACCAAACCAACACACATGCCATCATCCGTCTCTTCCAAATCAACAAGGTCGTCCAGATCTGCATCCTCAAGCAGAGCCGCTGACTGTGGATGTAGTGAGGAAGCCATGGCAGCATGGATCATCATTCCTTTGATTACAGGTGTTGCTCTTATTTTAGCCCTGACTCTCAGCCATCAAGAACCTTTCAGCAAGAGCGCCACAGACCAACGTGAAGCCAATTACTACGATGGTTATGCCAATAAAGAAGACGTAGCTGTCGTTGATACCACCACTCACCGTCTCAATATCACCCTGAACAGCGCTATCGACGACGATGGTATTGCCAGCAACGCGACTTGGAATGGCATTGCCGTTGATGCTGCTGCTCCTGATGATCTTGCTGAAAGAAGCGTTGTTATTACAAAGATTGTTGCACTACACAGTCTCGACTAGTATTCTTATCATGTTTATATCTCAATAAAGCCTCGTTATCGACCTTTGTAACTGATACTGTTCTTACCAACGTTTATCGTGTGACTCTGAGCTATCCATTGCTTCCCCCATTTAGACGCGTGCGTTGGCGCGACATGCTGTCTCACTTGAAATAGGGGCAGTTGAGATTCAGGTTTAAGAAAAAACCTTTTTTTCCCTTAATTCAAAAGAAGCATCAGGACAAAATGAGCGACTTTGAAGACGATTCTCAAGTCTACGAGATTGATTCTGACAAGGATGGTGATTTCCAAGACGATGATGATGTGTTTGAGTTGGATGATGATTCAGGCGACGAGTACGAAACGCCTGCTGCAAAGGTAAGCATCAAAAGAGTGAATTGAGATGCTTGTATTGATATCTGTTGCCTTGTAGAAACGCAAGACAGCCGCAGCCCCCAAAGGCAAAACCAAGGCCACTACAGCCACTGTCAAGAAGACACCCATCAAAAGAACACCCAAAAAGAAGCCTATCAGCGCAGACGACAACAATGAGAACGATGAGAACGAGTTTCCTCTTGCGCCCATCTTCAATATGGGATCTGCTGCCAAGAAAGCTGCTACACCAAAGACCACTACCACAGCCAAGCCAAAGAAGACCACCGTATCAACAGCCCAGAAGGACGATGCATTTGAAAGCTCGTCTGACTCACCTTCTACACCCAAGCCCAAAGCAGTAAGAAAGAAGACTACCACGCCTAAGGCAGCACCAAAGAAGGCCAAGGCAGGCGCCAATGGCACAATGGATGCTTTCATGAGTCCAGATGTAGAAATGTCAGAGGCAGATAGTACTGAAGGCACACCTGCACCTAACAGCAATAAGACTATCGAGGAGATTTATCAGAAAAAGACACAATTGGAACATATCTTGCTTCGTCCAGACACATACGTTGGTTCTATTGAAGCCGAAGAACAGGAAATGTATGTGTTTGACTCTGAAGAAAAGGCCATCATCAAGAAGAAGATTAAATACGTGCCTGGTCTCTACAAGATCATTGACGAGATTCTAGTGAATGCTGCAGACAATAAGGTAGTATCAGCAGATCACACACTCATGTTCATATACTGAATCTGCTCCCTAGATCCGCGACCCCTCCATGAACGCCATTAAGGTCAATATTGACCGCACAGCAAACTTTATCTCCATCTACAACAACGGAAGCGGTATTCCTATTACCATGCACAAGGATGAAAACTGTTATGTCCCTGAGCTGATCTTTGGTCATCTGCTGACTTCCTCCAACTACGACGACAATGAAAAGAAGGTTACTGGTGGTAGAAACGGTTATGGTGCCAAACTCTGCAACATCTTCAGCACAGAGTTCACTGTTGAGACGGGTGACAAAGAACGTAAGCTCAAGTACAAGCAAATCTTCAAGGATAACATGTCTCATACTGGCAAGCCTGCGATCACTGCCAACGGTAGAGGCGAGCAGTATACAAAGATCTCCTTCCGTCCTGATCTGAAAAAGTTCAATCTGAGTGAGATGGACGAGGATTTCGAAGCTCTCATCAAGAAGCGTGTCTATGATTTGGCTGGTATCTGTAAGGGTGTCAATGTCTACTTGAATGGCGACAAGATTGACGTCAAGAACTTCCAAGACTACTGCACTTTGTACTCCAAGACCATGGAGTTCCGTCCCAAGGAAGGTGCTCCTACCATGATTGTTGAAAACGCCAGAGACAGCCCTCGCTGGACCATCCACTTTGCTGTCAGTGATGGTCAATTCAACCAAGTCAGTTTCGTCAACAGTATCTGTACAGCCAAAGGCGGTACGCATGTCAACTACGTTGCCGATCAAATTGTCAAGGCCTTGATTCCTGAAGTCCAAAAGAAAGCGCACAGCAAGAACATTCGCCCCTTCCAGATCAAGAACCACATGTGTCTCTTCATCAACTGTCTGATTGAAAACCCTGCCTTCGACTCTCAAACCAAGGAAAACATGACTTTGCGAGCCACTGCTTTTGGTTCCACCTACAAGATCAGCGACTCCTTCATCAAAAACATCAAGAACTCGGGTATCATCGATAACATTGTGCGATGGGTCAAGTTCAAGGAAGATGAGCAAATGACAAGGGCTGATAAGACTAGCATGACGCGCCGCCTCAAGATTCCCAAGCTGGAAGACGCCAATTTGGCTGGTGTGCGTCCCCACAACAAGTCGTGTACTCTTATCCTCACTGAAGGTGATTCCGCCAAAGCGCTAGTGCTGAGTGGTCTGTCGGTGGTAGGCCGCGACAAGTTTGGTGTGTTCCCTCTTCGCGGTAAGGTGCTCAACGTCCGTGATGCTACCAACACTCAGATCATGAAGAATACCGAAATCACAAACATCAAGGCTATTCTTGGCTTAAAGCATGGCAAGACTTACACTGATGTCAGTGAGCTAAGATACGGTAAACTGATGCTGATGACTGATCAAGATCACGATGGATCACACATTAAGGGTCTCTTGATCAACTTTATCGACAGCATGTTCCCCTCCCTGCTAGACATTCCAGGCTTCCTGTTGGAGTTCATCACACCTATTATCCGCTGTAAGCACAAGAGAACCAAGGAGGAGATCTCCTTTTTCACCATTCCAGAGTACGAGACCTGGGCAGAACAGCACAACAGAAATAGTGAATGGGAGCCCAAGTACTTTAAGGGTTTGGGTACCTCTGACAAGGCGGATGCTCGTAGATACTTTGGTCAATTGGACATTCACAGAAAGGAATTTGCTACTCCCACTCCTGAGGCTCGTGAACTGGTTGACATGGCCTTTAACAAGGACAGAGTTAGCGATCGTAAAGCCTGGCTGGACACCTATGAACCTGGTATCTTTATCGACCACAATGTTAACAAGATCAGAATCGATGACTTTGTCAACCAAGAATTGATGCTGTTCAGTATGGCCAACAATATCCGTACTATTCCTAGCATGGTGGATGGCTTCAAGCCTGGTCAGCGTAAGGTATTCTTTGGTGCCTGTAAGCGTGGAAAGAACACTGAAGTCAAGGTCGCTCAATTTGCCAATTACGTTGCTGGTCTCACACAATATCACCACGGTGAAGCTACGATTGCCTCCACTGTCATCAACATGGCTCAGGACTTTGTTGGCAGCAACAATATCAACTTGTTGGTGCCTGCTGGTCAGTTCGGTACTCGTCATGAAGGCGGCAAATCTGCTGCTAGCCCTCGTTATCTGTTCACTCGTCTTCACAAGATTGCTCGTTTGATGTTCCATCCCGATGATGATGAGCTCCTCAACTACTTGATCGAAGAAAACAAGCCTATTGAGCCAGAGTGGTATGTGCCTATTCTTCCCATGATTCTTGTCAATGGTGCCGATGGTATTGGTATGGGCTGGAGCACCAACGTCCCCAACTATAATCCCAAGGAAATTGCAGAGAATCTCCTTTGTATGATGAATGGCGAGGAACTTGTCCCCATGCGCCCATGGTTCAGAGGTTTCAAGGGTGAAATTGTTCCTGAGGGCAACAAGTTTGTTACTAAAGGCATTGCTGCCGTGGATGCCGAGGGCCATATCAAGATTACAGAGCTGCCTCTTCGTACCTGGACTGACACCTACAAGGACTTTTTGGATGCCTGCCGTGATCCCAAGGACAACAAAAATCCACCTTTTTCCATTATCGTAAGTATTGGGCTAGTATGGATATCACAGTGTAATAACGTGTGCTTGACTAGGATTACTTCAACAACTCAACTGACAGTGCTGTGGAACTCACGCTTGAAGTAGACGAGGCAAACCTGGCCAAGGCTGAGGCTGGTGGCCTTGAGAAGGTTCTGAAACTTACATCCAATCTCAATACTTCAAACATGGTTTGCTTCAACCGAGAGGGCAAGCTGAAAAAGTACGAGTCTCCCGAAGAGATTCTTAGGGAGTTTTATCCATTGCGTCTCGAGTACTATGAGAAGCGAAAGGTACAGGCTGCATTTTGAGCGTACTTGATCCAAAGGCATTTATCTAACATGCATCTTATAGCAACACCTTATTCATGTTCTCCAGGATGAATTTGATCGTCTTGACAACAAGGCCAAGTTCATTGATCTCGTCATTACCAAGAAGTTGATTTACGTCAATCGCAAGGAGCAAGATGTCGTTGCTGATATGAAGAAACATGGACTGAAGCAAATCTTCCCTCGCAAGAAGAAGAGCGCTTTGATTGTGGAAGATGACGACGAAAGCAACAGCGAAGACCAAGACGGAACAGGCTACGAATATCTCTTTAGTATTAATGTCCGTGGTTTCACTGCTCAAAAGGTGGCCGAAGCGCTCAAACTCAAGGACGCCAAATTCAACCAACTACAAGACGTACAAGGCACACCACCTAAAACTTTCTGGCGTAGAGATTTGGAGGCATTGCTGAAGGAATGGGATAATATATTGCAGGAGGACGAAGTGCTCGCAAGCCAAGCTAAACCGCTCGCCTCACAAAGAACCAAGAAGAGAAAGAGAGTTCTCAAGAAGAAGACAGAAGAGGTCAAGAAGGAAGGTGCTGATGCTACTGTCACCACTACAAAAGCCACTAGCATTGAAGTAGTTTAATCATGCTCTAGTGTTACTGGTATACATCGAACAAAGAAAAATAAAAGCGATTTCCTAGTTATTATGCAAGTATCACTCATGGATATCAGTGCCGTAAAAGGCTTATACAGCAGTTTGATCCGACTCGACATTTTGCTGACTGCTTCTTCCTGCGATATTATTCAGCTTTCAATGATATTTTCTGTCAGCTTCTTTTCTTTCCCATTTATGTCAAAAAAAAAATGTCGAATCATGAGCAGGATAAAGCCAACTTGAAAGATTGCTTACTGAAAGCGCATCAATTAGTGGGAGAGAAGGTTGAAATTAAAGAAGAAGGTGCAACGACAACCTGTGTTTTGTTTCGCAACTCGACATTAATGGATTTTTGCAGGTTCCATTGAGGAAACACTTGTACAGCGTCTTGAAAAACTCGAAATCAAATTGGATGACAAAGAGCCTCGGAAAGCATTTGTGGATGAGTGCTTGAGAGTGCTGTTGGAGATACAAACTGCTTTATTGACTGTTTGTGCATCTGGAGGTGAGAGAGAGAGAGAGAGAGAGAGATTGATTTGTAGTGGATGAGTTGCTGATTTATGCACCCTTTGTGGCAGTGGATGAAAGCGATAAAGACTATTTGGGTGTGCGAGATTTCAGACTGATACATACGCTGCTTCAAGTCGTCATATCTTGGGGTTTCTATCCTTGCTTCTTGCCTGGCGTAGGTGTGCCGTTGTCAAAGAGAGTGAAATCTGGCTACACAAATCATGGTAATGCATTGTGAGTATGCCATGCTTTTGACTACATCTCATACCACTCTTGTTAGAGCTACTGTCAAAAGACGAGAAAGACCAACAGGATCAGCCACACACTGTATCCACAGAAACAATATACTCGCTGCTCCATTTAGTGACACCGTTGGTCGATGTCATTGCCAACAGCGAGAAAGTGCCAAGCAGTAAAAGTTACACCACCGTCGCCTCCATTCTCATGTCTCGCCATTTACCAGACTTATACGCAGCATTGTTGGAGTTGGCCTATGCACCTGCCTCAGCATTCCAGCAACGAGCAGCCTCGAACGACCCATCCGCCTCGCAAACATCCAGTTTACCAATGACGCCGGGAAACATGATACCGCAAATAAAGAAGCAAGTTGGTTTGAAAAGAGAGGAGAGAGACAAATGTGCCCGCATGTTCATGTGGCTGTTTGATCGTTCTGATCTACCTAGAGCAATGGAATCGCTCATGGCATTGCTGGGCAACTCTCCTCTTCATCCTGTTCCCAATTGGCTACGAACAATATGTGGTCGCTTTCTGTCTCGCATCTTGTTGAAGCCGAATGGCGTAGCCATTATACTAGAATTCACCATTGGCCATGTAGATCAATGTAAGCGAATGTCAATTGTCTGGATACTAACGTCGAAACTGAATTACTGCTTGTAGTACAATTGGCCCAATTAGAAAGCATTGCAAAGCTGATATTATCAGTTCCACAGCAAATGACATCGATTGAAAGCTACTATGCGATCATTACACCGCAATTACTGGAGTTGCTCAAAAAAGAACCATTGACATCGCCCACATGCCAAGCAGTGACATTTATTATTGGGCGCATCATAGGAAAACATGCAGATCTCGCCAAGATTTACATTGTGGACAAGATTGTAGGCCCATTGCTCTCTGCATGGAATACAACAGACTATGCTACAGTGGATACTAATACCAACATGGATCGGGTATCCTTGTCAGAAGATGCATTAAGACTGCTACTACATACACTTCATCGTGTCATGATTGGAGGAGAACCATCACCAGATGTCATTCAAACATTCCTGTCATCATCCATTGCGCCACTATACCATCTATATGAGTTTTCAGTGCAGTCCAAATCAGGGTTACGGGAGACAGTACTTGACTTGCTGTCTACTTACTTTCGAATCACCACGACATCGGATGCCATCCGTGAACTGAAGCGCATCCTGTTGGACAAGATTGATTTAAGTGGCGCTCGTGTGGCATATTTCGCCCCAGGACCTACAGGTGGCGTTGTACTGCGACTAAGAAGGTAAAATGGTTTTATTTGTTTGCTTGTAGCATGATTTCTGATAGAGATAGGGCTATTTTAGTTCGCCTAAATTGCTTGCTGGTAATGAATTGCCCATTCATGCAGGCATTTTGGTCGAATTCCTCCAAATGAGCGATAATGCTGATTTGTGTGGTGATTTCTTTGTGTTCTTGCTGAACGAGTATTCGTCGCTGCAAGCAAGAAAACAGGACCCCAAAGTGTAAGTATCAGCATCATGACTAATGAGGGCGTAAAAAAATAATTAACGCATTTTTTTTTTAGTATTTTATTAACGCTCCATCTTATTATGGGAATGTTGGATACTTTGGGTCCCACTATCCTGGGTAAGCCAACACAAATTATCTCATTTGCAAACAATATCGTACAAGATCATGTGGAGAGACTATTCAAAAAGAACAAACAAGAGAAACCAACATCTTCCAGCGTGGATTTCGCAAACATTGTCAGCCAGCAAGATTTAGAGGATATTGAGGACGCTGCTCATGATGAGCAGTTTTCTGTGGAGGACGACTTTGAATCACTGGTATTAGCCATTAATCTGATACGTGCTGTTTTGCATGAAAACGACGAACTAAGCGATCAAGCTATTCAACTTTTAAAAGCGTCTGTGGATCCGTTGAAACAGCTGGAAAAATATCCATTTGAGCTTGTGCAGGAATCTGTCAATGAAGTATTATTAGCAATTACATCATATCTGTCTGCACAAAAAATGTCTGGTATGAAACAAGCATCGGGTACATCATTAGAAGCAAGCAAGGAAAAGTATAGAGAAGCCATGAAATCGCTGCAGGACGATCTGCTACCAATCCGTGCGCACGGCATGGGTATGTTGAAGGGAATGGCCCTGGCAAGAGACCCTTTGGTTTCCTCTGGAGAGGGTCTTGATCAGCTGTTGGATATTTTTGTTCGGCTGGTGCAGGATGAAGACAGTTATATCTACTTGAATGCAGTCAAGGGTTTATCAGCCATGACAGACGCTTATGGAAATCAAATTATCAAGAAATTGGGAGACATTTACAGCGATGATAAGCAGAAACTAGACAACAGACTTCGCATTGGAGAAGCATTATTGCAAACCATTCAACGATGTGGTGATGCCTTGGGAAAATATGGTACGATTGTCTGCTTCATCTTTCAGTAGATACTCACACTTATTCTCTAGTCAACACGTTGGTGAGACCTCTTGAAACGGTATTGGCAAGAAGAAACGAAGATAGCAATCTTCGCGTATCAACCTTATCCCTATTGAGTATGGCATGCCAAACATGTCCTGTAGCTCTCTCATCACGAATGAGTGAATTAATAGACTGGGTGCTAAACATTCTGGAGATTGAAAAGACACCAGAAGTGAGACGAGGTATTTTGTTGGTGTCTACAACATGTAACAGTTAACTAACACACATATATCAGCTGCCACTGTTTTAATTTTATCTCTATTTAGAGGTTTAGCATCTCAAACATTATATGAATATCCTGCAGAGAGCCTTAGACGGACATACCGCACACTGAGATATATTGAGGAAACGGATCCTGATGACCTGACACGGTACCAAGCAAGAGTAGCTCTGAGTGATTTAGATGCCATTATGCGAAATGAAATATTCAAAAACCAGCAACACTCTGTCAATTTCAAATAATTCGTATATGGGAAAATAAGGGGTAATTTATTCGATAAAAATGCATATGATGATATTTAGTAGTGTAATTTGATGTTGTAGTACATTGCAAGATGCTAGCGTTGTGTTTGTTTCATGAAATGTGTGTATATGTATATGTGTTTGTGCGTGTTTATATATGTGTGCGTGTGTTTGCGATCCATTGTGAGATCCACTCTTGATAATCATCGTCATTTTCAGCATCAAGTAGATGGTAAACGTGTGACCAGTTGTGTGAGAATGAAGTGAGTTCACTGTTGTCGTTGTATTCTTGGAAATTCATTGGATCTACAATGTCCATGGTCCATTGCGAGGGATGCACGCCACTTCTAGGGCAGCTGCTCTGTATTATCTGTTAGGCAAAATGTATTGGAAAAAAAAGATAGCATGACTTACACTATGCCCAGGCATCCATTGACCACATAATTCGCAGGTAGCAGGAGACATCAAAGGAGTAAAAATCATATTGTTGTTGTTGAATGTTGAATGAAAAGAGGAAAAAAAAGAAAAAGAAAGATAAACGAGTTGAATATGGGATATTTATACTTTTTTTTTCCACAAACCCCCTTATTTTGGATAAGCTTCCTCTTGTTCAGTCAAAGGCCATTTTAGCAGCAGGTACCAGCAAGACAGAGTAGAAGGGAGAAAGAAGGAATTATAATACATCTGACTTGTTTTTACCATTTATATCCTAAACCGAGCAATTTGCATTATCAACCAATGTACAGGCCCTTCCGTGGAACAGAATTGCACATATTTGTCGTATAAATGCAATATCGGAATGAGTTACATGATCATGGACCAGGTAACAAGAAACGGATGGCCAGCTTCATTAACATTTAATATTTCAACTAACCATATTATTGAAATGACATTGATTTTCATTGCCTATCCTCTTCTTGCAAACGCTTTCATGGCTTACATCACAAGCGTGATTACGTTGTCTCCCTGAAATGATTTCCGGAGTATTTTGATTCACCCCTCACCCCCACCCCTTTACTTCCTTTTTTGATAGACAGCACATCTTATTGATTGTACTTACATTAATTGTATGGCATTTGGTGACTCACCTTGAATACATCATTTATACATTTACTATTAACTGTCATTGTCAATATTGAATTGATATCATCTGTGTTACTTGTAGCCCATAAATGTGACACATGTATTATTAGGTATATGAGCCATCACCTCACAAATCAGTGGGTAAAATCAAACTAAATACCTGTTGATAATCGTTCGGTTGGTTTCTTTTACCAAGTCTTTGCTTGGAAGATGGACACATGAGATCATCACAAGAGCTGTATCATGCCATGTCCTGACCATTAATCGACGATGTTTGATATTTTTTTCTCGACTGTCTGTAGTAATCTTGGATTTACAATGATTGTCACTGTTTTGATTGTGGGGGCAATGTATGTTTTTATTGCTTTACCTTCTGTGATCATTCAAACAAAAGATGGATATATTTATTATTGTAATTCTCGTGATGTGTATCACCACAAGCAGAGAGATTTATCAAAAGGGAGATATATTTTTATTGAAAACGTGCCATAGCGCTTAAACAACCTCGTTGAAATCACTATAAATTTACATTTTACACCTAATCTACTTGGTTGATGAATATATATATATATATCAATATCACATTTCTTTGTGTCGTCAAGTTTTCACAAGATTGATCTCGTTTGTCGTGGAATACCAGATGCTTGCCACTTTATTTCAAAATACTTTAGTTGTGGTCATTATTACAGCATAGAATATATAGATGATTCAAAATCAACTGATATGATACAAGCTAAGGTTCATATCAACTTGCTTATGACTCTTATATCTTTTGATTCAGAAATGAGAATGACGTCTAGCGAGGCATCAAATTAGGAGATATTCAAGAGTATTTCATTGTGGCCGCAGTAGTCCCTTTTTTTTTAGTTTGTATCATAGGAGATTGGCATCGTGCACAATAAATATAATGAGATTATGGAGATCTCTATCTGGCCTACTCTATCGGTCTAAATATGAAATGTTTTTTGCGCCAAGCAGGAGAGCATAAGCTCCCATTTGGTGCGATATACAAAAAATATGACGTGCCAAACAAATATTCAATGTTAAACATAGCAGCATGGTTAAGCTCTATGTGTAGTTTTCTGGCCAAGACATGTAACCCTTGGCTCATCACGACCCTCTGTGCTCATTTCGGATGATGGATCAGAATCAATTTCAGTTGCCATGGAAACCTGGATCATGCGTACCTGAATTTGTATAACTCCGCTTTAAATTCCGCTGTGCACTATACAACTTTGACCTGTATCCCTCAGGTATAGACACACATTTCATCTACTTTTTTTATGCAAATGCATAGTGAAGCTACATAATGAATAGTTTGATTTAACATCCATGTAATTTGTAGCAGTACCTGTCAGTCTCTCTGATAATCTTTACCTTTATGACGTATCTAGAAAGGAGAAATAAGCAGGTAAGCTGAACTAATGATTGAGAGAAGAGTACATTAGCCGCAGCCAACTTAATTATACCTAGCTTTACATCTAGAGTAAGAAATCATTGAACCTTAATTTCCAGAGACAGTATCTGTATATCTTTAGCCAATGGACGATTAGAGGGAGGTGACTGATTCTAATTTCATAAATTTTATGACGCATAAAAGTACGTATGAGCATTTCCGAGAGTGGAATCAGATTACGGACCTGAAGGAGTTTGAGCATAAACAAAAGTTCAGTATACCTGTTTAATTGCGAAGCAAGATCGTTGTCATTCTTAAGCCTCTTTCCTGTAATTAGTAACATGGGGAATATACGGTAGCCACTGATTTGGATTTGTGAGTGATCATGTCAAATGAAATTAAATATACACATACGGCATATACTGTATGTATACAAGAAAGAACAATCAGGACAAATGTGCCACACTCCATCATCTACACTCTGGCCATTCATGAGTTCTATATATTAATAGATCCTGTATTACTATACTCTCGCTACACAATCTGTCTGCACTGAATATAAAAAGACCATATTCAGTCAGATGGATGGCTCTAAAGTTTCACGGAGGCGCAGTTTGATAAGGGCCAATTCCGTTTTTTATGATTAACTACACTGCTTGAGATATTTTAAGCGCTTTTATTGGCTTACAGGATCAATTCACAGTTTTATGTGTAGCTCTCGGTTGCTACGCAACCCGAAAATGGCGCAGACGTTGAATTAATAATGTTGGAGGTGTTTAATGACGCCAGGTGTATAGATCAGAGTGTCTCTATACTTGTGTGTAATGATGATAATAATAAGAGTCATTGTGGTGCACAGATCAAAAGAACTTTTTGCGACAGATATATAAATGTGGCACTTGCTCTTTCTCTTTTTTTCTCCTTCTTTACTCTTTATCTTTCTTTTAAACAAATATTTAGCAAATTACAATTATTCACAATGACAATTGAGTGGGTTTACGCTTCCGGTTCCAATTGGGTTCGATTTGATACAGCAAGCCAGCAAATTATAGAAACACTTTGGGCGAGAGACGCAGCAACATGGTTCAACTCGCAGTCTTTCAGAGGACCTGTATATGTTGACACTTCGGAAATGGTCGTTATGTACGGCTCCTATGCATACACAATTGCAAGAAGGATATACTAGGCATGATCACAGCCAAGCAAGCCAAGCAAATGATTGTTATGGAATTGCCCTGTACATAGCATCATCTATTTATTGATCCCATCCTTTGCCAAGGTCTGGTACTAGTAAAACCACTGTATAAATCAACAAAACCCTCACACTAGAAATACATATGCTCAACAATAACTTTATATAAACACGTACATTCACATGTTCGATACAATACCCTTTACACATAAAATCTTTCGAACTATCTATGCAAATTTTTACACACATACAATTGAATATGCACTGTTTACATTTTATGAAAAGATTACTAAAGACTACATTAAATAAATAGCTTTTGACGGATTTCCTTAATGAATGATTAGATGTTGCACGACAGTTCCATATATTAAAGCAATAATGAAATGGTCAAAAGTATAATGGGGCTTCTGTTACACCATAAACTTTAACTAGAAGAGTGCCACCAAAATGGTCAATCTCTCTAATGTTTGTTGCTCCATAAATAGATGAGTGGTAGTAGTACGATCATAATATTCCTTCATACAATGGTAGCGGCTGACGGCCTGACTGGATCAAGTACTCAATTCATCCTTGAATGGCTTCTTTGCGTATTAGGATAGATTTGAACGCGTAGGATATATAGTAAATTTTATCAGCTATTTATGCTTTAGCGAAAATTGCTAACATATGTCGCTTACACAAAAGGATTGTTTGTCATGCTTGAATATTTTAACTGCGATTATTTAGTTTGTAAAAGGCCACTCATCATTGTAATTTACTAACATGCCTCCTCTTTATAAAGAACTGATATCACCATAGCAAACAATTTAAAAATAGTACTCAATGTAACAAGGTGGTGTATAAACATGGATTTCTTAAATGGATGTTTAACTTTTGTATTGAACAGCTGATGATGGCAAATTTAGAAAGGACATTGTCTCTGATCCTTACATGCGGTCTCCGTGCTCCTTCAAGTAAAAATATTTGAGCGCTTGGCAAGGTAGCTTGTTCATTAGAACTAGGTGTTAATTGCAATTGTTGAGACTTAGTGCATAGTTGGCTTGATCTCAGGTGTACAGGCAGGCTTATATTTGCTTGATAGTAATGACACAACATTAACAAATCTTCTCTTTACAAGAAACGGCATACTGAGTGATGTTACTTGCCTTGCATCTATGACTCCATCGCTGTATTTTGCCGGTTGTACTAATTGAATGCTTTTTCTTGATCAAATTATACTGCATAGCCCAGTATAGAGGAGCTGAAATTGCATTAATGCTCATAGAGTTTCACAGGTAGTCGTATTGCTCCAAACATTGCAACCATACAGTCTTGATTTATTTGAAGGTGATGAGTACAGTCCTACATTATTTATAAAAACATTGTTGCAATAAATAACTTGTGTTGTTCTTTATTCAAATGGATTTCTGGTTATGAAGATACATTCATGACTAAAAATAGATGTCGTGTATCGCACATTTGCAAAAGGATAGCCAGAGAGCTACGCAATCTGTCTAAATCAGATGGCATTCAGTCAGATGTAAGCATGAATGTAACACAAGGCGCAGTGTAATGTTTAGACGACAGTAGGAACGGTAGAAGTATGTTACATATAGCAACTAGACCTGTGTGATCTACTCAGGTTTGAAAGCATAGTTAACATAGCTTCGAGTTAGAATGCTAAGCAGTAAACTGCATGTTTGATGTGTTGTTGGGCTTTCTTCTGCCATTGATACGCTTGGCTAGTTTGTCATTAGGCATATACCAGCAGATAGCATACTTACATCGTCTTTTGCCACTCAAAATTATGTAAAAAAAACAGGTCATTTGAGTGCTATTTTTTTGCGCTAGAAGCTGTTTTGGACCATCAGAGTAACACCAAACAATTTCTCTCATCTAGCACTTACTTTTTGACACCTTTTCTCAACTTTTTGGGGATCAAAAAAACATGGCCAAAAATCGACCAAAAAGCATGAGGTATCCCTCACGGTTTTCATCAAAAATCAAACGATCGCATTTTTGGTCTTGAAAATGAAGACGTTTACTATAGTATATCTTGAATCAAAATGTTTCTATCGATTCAACGTACCCCCCTAAAATCATCTTTGTTGGGCTTTGATATGTAAAACTTCGACCTTTTGGCCAAAATAGCCATTTTACATTATGTAAAATTCCTCTCTAAGCTTATTCAAAACATCTGTTATTTTTGACACCGTTGGATGCGCCTTGAAAAGTACTCCAAGAAAGCTTAAAGGAAGTATGCAAGAATCACTACCATTTATATAGTCGAATCTGACAGAATAGATCAATGAAGTCGATTTTAATTCAATTTCGACCAATCTGGATCAAAAAAACATAACCGAAGATTCACATGTTTCTTGCGCCAAAATGCGTCTCTTTTGCAGACAATCGATTTTTCTGAAGCTGATGTCAACAGAACCATGAATTGAGGAGCACTATATAAGTTTGGCTACACTATTTTGCTTTTCTGGGCAGATTATGTTTGATAGATTTATTCATTGCAATCGCTCATTCAAACAAAGATTGCCCCTGCCTACACATTTGAGATGACCTCTTCCAACAACCACTCTGATTACAGTACCTTTGATACCTAAATTCTCAAGCAAAAACTGTCTCAAATGTCAGGTTATAAGGTGCTCGTACATCAAGCCATCAAAACGTCATACTTTAGAGTGTTCTCAAGTCATCAAATGCGTAATGGAGTCATTTACTCTAGTTATAACAGCGCTGAAAAGCATTGCATGTCAATCGATGCAAACCAGTCAGCGCAGTGCTGTATGTAGTAAAAATGCAAACAAATAAAGCCACCATTCAATAGTAGTATTACCAATGCGACCCCTTGGTGATCATTTTGCATTGCATGAAATCTGTCCAGGATCTCGATGCTGTATGGCCAAAGACATCGGCGGCCGGATTTCCCGAACTTTGTTATAGGTTTTGAATCTGATAAACCGCGGCATCGGGAAATCTTGATTCTTGTTGAAACCTGAAAAATGACATAGTTACCATCGCATTGAAATGCGATTATATCATTCAAGCATCGTTTGTGCGACACCCATGTGTACAAAAACTCCTAGAGCAGCTGACTGATGCAAGTAAGTTTACATGTTGCATACTGCAGGGCCACAGCATCATGCTATAGAGAGAGAGAGAGCCTTCATGCAATTCTCGGTTCACGCCTAATTTTTAGCCTGAATATCATGATGGCAATCCCATTTCAAACGGAATTATAATAGGAAAAAGGTATATAAGAGAGAGAGCTTTATCTGGTTTACTTTTTTCCCGTTTTTTTTTTTTTTCTTTATTTTGCATTTTACAGAAAATGATTTTCAAAGGCATTGGTAATGAATGAAGACATCATGCCAACACAAACTAGTATACTCACACATTACCCATAGCATCTTCTCTTCTGTTGGCTTCGCTTGTAAGTGCACAGCAGCAAAACATCACCTACAATGTCATTGCTGCCCCTGCAAACAGTAGCAACATGTCTGTTGCAGTTGTAGTTGACAACACTACTTATCCTCTCGCTGCTAAAGCCGGTGATGGCGGCCTTCTCTATCAAGGAGACGCACCCGTCGCTCAAACTGGCTACCATTACGCTATTTTAGACGCCATGCAACAAATCAATGCCTCTGAAGCTTTCTCACGTCCACCTGTCATGAACAAGACAACCTACAATGAATTCTTCAATCGCTCTTCCAATGTGTACGATGTTACATCGTTGCCTCAAATCTTGAAACCCATTCCTGCCATCAAGAGAATTGAAACTGATTTGCATCTTCAGGACCAAATCCCCACTATCCATCTCTGGGGAAATGCAACTGCTATCGAAGCCCTGAATGGAAACCAACTCGACGAAGATCTTGATGTGGAATTGAACATGACCTACTATGGGTAAATGAATGCATTATGTATTTTTTTTTGCTTGTATCACCTACTAGACTCTTTTTTTTTAAAAAAAACGATAGCTTGCAAAAGGTGCAAACTGTTGAAAATGTCAAGGTGTCAGTTGCTGGCCGTAGTTCTCGTTGGATCCCAAAGCTTTCTTACAATGTCAAGATCAGCAAGAAGGCTGATGACGATCTATTTGGCTACAAAAAGTTCAAATTGCGTGCAATGGGATATGATGCCTCTTATGTTCGTGAACGTGTTGCATTTGCTACATTGAAATCGGTCGGTGTTCCTTGCACTGAATACTCTTACATTCGGTATGTTTAATCCAAATCGCCCGTATTGTGTATGTTGACCCATATTTGTATGTTGCACTAGCGTCTTCTTCAACAACAAGCCTGCTGGTTTCTATGGCTTTATTGAGACTTTCCAGGATCCTTGGCTCGCTAACGAGTTTGCTGATGGCGATAAAAAGTACAAATCTGGCTATCTGTATCAAGGACAGGCGATGTCTATGACTCAAACTCAATTCTTGGTCTCTGATTTAAGCTATTACGGCGACAACACAACGCTCTACAGCTTGGGTCAATACAAGATTAAAGCAGGCACCAAGGATGATGAAAACCCAAAGGACTATGAGGAATTGAGAGATTTCACCAAGTTTATCAACCAGACCAACAACGCTACATCTGTCAAGGAATGGAAAAAGAGGCTCGAGACGGATGGATTCACTAGAGCGTGAGTGCGATACACATGTGTGTTTACAGGAATAACGTGTCAACTAACATGGATCCATAGTATGGCTATTGAAAACTTGTTGGGTTTCTCTGATGCTTACATGACATTGGCAGACAACTTTTACGTCTACAGCGATCCGGATACCAAGCGCATGATTTATATTCCTGCTGATTTAGATACATCCATTGGATCTTCCATCTTTTTGAAGTCTTACATGCTGGATGGCAATTACAGCAACCATCCTGGCTTCCATCTTCGTCCCTTGACCAAGCACTTTTTTGCAAACAAAGAATTCCTGAACAACTATGAGCTTCTCCTCCTCAACTTGAGTCAGACCTTGGTCAATCCCACAGTAATGAACCCTTTCATTGACAGCGTTGTTGACATGATCTCTCCTGATGTTGAATGGGATCAGTCTCTGCCCCGCCTGGGCTCAGAGGTTGGCTTCAATTTCGGCAATGAAAGCATGTCAGATATAGGCGACGTACCTGGCCTCACTGCCTTCATTCCCCCAGGTTTTGCTGCCGACGGCTTGACCGCAGTGTTCAACCAAACATTTGAAGAATCTATTGGTGGTGATATCAATTCAACAACTCAAGAGAGTGTCAAGCAGTTCATCTCAAACAAGAGTGCTAATGTCATTGCCTTCTATAGCCAAACCAACAATGCAACTGTTTAGACATATAAACTTACAACTACAGTATAGCTGAATTTAATAATAAAAAAAGGTGTAAAGATGTAACGTATAATAACAAGGGCTTTTTACATTTTATTCACTACCAATAATAAGCATTGGCTAAATCAGCACCTGTTGATGTTGATGGTCTGCTATCCATTGGTATTGATGCTGGCGGTGGTAGTGATGGTTTGTTGGGGTTATTATTAAGTGTAAGATTCGCGTCGTTATTATTATTACTGCTATTATTCGATGTGTTTTGACCATCTTCATTCTGTAGCTGTGGCAAATAACTCATCAGTGTAGAAGTGTTTGCGCCGCTGCTAGTAGTTGACTGATCCAAAGGCACAGATACGCCCGACAAGACATCCACATGCTGATCTGTGTGGATCAGGCGTTGTTTCTCTCCTGCTGTTGGTTGATAGTTACCGAGAATGTTACTGGAAGTAGATATGGATGGTGCTGCTGATGCTTGTGCTTCGTACACTTGTCTGTCCTGTAAGCAAGTAGTATCAGCGCTTGCAAATGGGTCATGTTGCTGCTGCTGTCCGTTTAGATTGGAGCTCATAAAATTGTTCCACTCATTCACATCCAGCGAAGAAGGCACACCCCAAAATGCATTGCCCAAAGGATCATACTGTCGTGGCGATGGGATGGGAATGATGCCTGGTGCAGCAAATGGATCCATAGCAGTGGCATTATTGACAGGGCCGTTGTTTTGTACCTGAAACGGATTGGCAGCTGCAAAATCCATATTAAGAGTAGTAGATGAGGAAGCATATAGCCGCCTTGCTTCCAGATCATCGTTCTTTTGATCAGCACGAATGATGGGAAATCTCAAATTACTGCTGTTTGTACGCTGGTGTTGCTCGTACTGTAATTGTGGCGAGGAGGTGGATGATTGTGGAGATATAGGATGTAGGTAAGCTGGCGTGCTCCTGCTATCTGTCTGAGGTTGCTGCTGCGGCTCTTGCTGTCTCGTCAAGTTGACAGTTTGATGTTGCCATTGGTTGGTATTGTATTGCTGCTGCTGGTTGCTACTGTGAAAATCAGCATCACGAAACCCACTCAGTTCGGCTAGAATTTGGCAACTTTTGCTCGCCGTAGTCCATGTCGCTTCTATTTCGTCTAGTGCTTGCATACATTTTGTCACTTTGACTTTGGCCTCCAGTGATTTATCTTCGGATGACAGTGATGGTGTATTGCTTGGCTTGACAGCACACGCGCTTCGTATAAAGATGATGCCTGAAGTGAAGATGTAGTAAACAGCATAATTCATGACATAACGGAGCTTGTTTTCAGCGAGCATGGTGTTGGTGATGAATAATACCGAGTCGGCAGCTGCGGAACATATCGAGGCACAGGGCAATAGCGATGGCAATAGACTTTGATTAGGACCAGGAATGAAGGGTCGATGAAGCAGAATGACTGTAGTATGGTAAATCATGTGCAACTGACAGACAGCAGTCGGAGGAAGGGTATGGTTGCTATTACTGCTATCTTTTTTGATCTGCAGCGAATCCGGTAAGTGGGCATACCATTGCTGCAGCTTCTTGTTCCACGTTGTCAACACAGAGTCAGCTTGCTTGGCTCCTGTGTATTGCAGCGAACGCACATAGTAAATGTTCTTTAATACGTGGCCTAAAATATCGCAAATCTTGATGAGGTTGGTGAACCCTTCTAGTAGTCGAAATGACGGCTGTTGTAGAGTCGAGTTGGGGTCGTCTTCCTGTATCACATCATCGTCATCGACAGTGGGGAAAGGCACATCACAATCGCGTTCTTCAAATGTAGACGCTCTTCCATACATGGCGCTTGCTAGTCGATCAACCACATAACAGCACCAAAACACTCGTTTTCGTCTCTCGCATTCTTCTGGAGGGATATTCCAATGATCACAATTTCGATGCAGGCCCAAATCCTGGGCCATTCTGAAAGCCTAATATCACCAGGTTAGTGCCGAAAACATCGCCATAGAAAAACTCAGTTACCATGCCACTATACAGCCACGCTCTGGCTGATTTCATAGCGCCATGCTGATGGCTGGCTAGCAAAACAAGCGCTTGTACAGTTGATATGCTCGGTGTGTCGTACGATTCATCTAGTAACTTTTCTGCTCTCTCGAAAAATACATCGCCAGCTGTATCAGGTGAAGCGGGATCAGATCTCACTCGGACATCAGGTGATATGCGAGATGCCACCGCATAGATGGCATTCAATAAGAGTGGTGCTACTGGCTCCATGGCTGGATGATCAATGGTACTGAATAGCTGTCTTTTGTAGAATAGCGGTAGAAATGGGTAAAAGTGCTTGAAATACAGTCGAATCAAGTGCTCGGATAGATCTTTCGGTGGCAATTCCAAAGGATCGACGTTATTTGATCTATTTCTCTTTCTGTTTCGAGGTCGATTTCCGTAGTTTGCGAAATGAAACGCTCCATTTTGATATGTTCTGCTGTTCTGCAGAAGGTAATAACCTGACGACTTTCCCAGATAGCGCACTTGCCCATTCTCATCCATCGCCAATTGGCCAAGGCCTTCGTCCACTGACTCTTCTCGTTTATGCTGGCTTTGCTGCTGGTGCGGTGTGTTGGTATCCATGTCCTCCTCACCGTCGTCGTCGTGATCGTCTATTGTGTGATTCTGCCCGCCCAGTTGATGCTCTACGAGGCTATCTCTTTTGCGCTTCCCCGCTTTATCTTGCTGCCAAAAAAACACCTTGTTTCTTTCAGATCGAGGAGCTCTCCTGACCGGCCTCGCCCGAATCTGTTCTCCAGAAGGTGTTTCCAATGGAGAGTTGAGTTCCGATAACAGTTGCTTTGATTGCACATCTCCACCTTTTGCCAGTCCAGCCAGAAAGTTCTCCAATTTATACAGTCTATTCTCTATCGCTTCAATGTATCCCTTTGGTGGTCCTCGCTGGTGCGTTGATCATGTTAGCAGGCAGAACGTAGAGAGGCATTAGATGCAAATATACCTTTTTTGTCATGTCTTTGAAAGTGCATTCTAGACCTATCGCTTTACAATTGGTACAAACAGGAGTTGCTCCATCGCACTTTACTTTTTTTCGTCTACACAAGTCGCTAAACAACTCGGTCGTCAGTATCTCGCAGGCCCACATTGACATGATCGCAGAATACTTTACCATGCACGGCTGACTCTCTGTCTCAAATTGGGTGAGGTTTCATCGGGTGGTGCCGACATTCTGTACTGATATTAAATGGTTAAAATGAGAAATCTATAAAAGAGGAGCAGTATAAGAGAGTGGGAAAAGAGAAAGAGAAAAGAGAAGCATCTATCATTGATGAAACTGAAAAAAAGACAGAAAAAAAAAAAAAAAGTGCCGTCTGGCCGGGGTTAAATGAAAAGATTGCTTAAATGTGTACAATGGAAGACTGATTACAAATAGATGGTGTAGCCTTCTTCCACCAGTCTCTCAAAGGCTTACTTTCAAACCTGAGGCCATGCTCACTCAAGAAGCTTGGCTTTTAAGGGTGCTTATCCTATCCATTTGATGTTTGATTGCTAAGGGCATGATTGAAATTGCTTGTCCTATCATTGACATGTTAAAGATGTTCCAGCCTTTTCATCCCTTTTAGTATTTTGGTACGCTCTCGGATACTCGCTCAGCTAGTAAATCTTCCTTATTTGGCAGCATTTTTTGCATTACAGCGTGTTTGTGCATTATACTTTGTTTGTGTTGTTTATCCCCAGTGTGGTAATTTTAGAACCTGCTGTCAGAAACAGATTGTTTGCACTGTGTAGGTGCATTTTTCGACTACTATAGTATGCCACAGCACTTTTTAGGGGCATTTAGTGGATATCTATATCAATTTATTTTCTAAATGTGTGTTCTAAAGCTAAAATTCTAATGAAAAGAGGCTAAATCACACCTCAAGTGTGTCAAAATCAAATTTCATGCAGTGAAATTGATAGGTATGTAAGGTGAAGAATGTATAGGCAAATCCAGTCGCCAACAAGAAATGTAATGAATGGTATTTAAAGAGACCAAGTGATGGGAATGCGGCCTTCACCGAGTTGACCGAGCTTGCTAAAAGCAGCCGCACTCATGTCGATATCGTTTTCGGAACAGCCAGGGCAAGAATCAACCACCTTGAGAGTAACAGAACCGGAAGCAGACGTGACAGTGATAGACTTGCCACACAGATCACTGTTGGGTCCACCCATCAAGGAACTAGACAAAGCAGCAACCATTTCATCATCAGAGCTAGTTTCACCACAAGAGCCTAAACCAACAGCGTAGTAAGTGGCATCACCAGATCGAGAACTACGGGATTGGAGATTGAAGGCAACAGGAGCTGCCTGAGCGGTCAAGAAACAAGCAGAAGCAGCCAAGATGAAGAGAACAGCATAGAAAGAGATTTGCATTGTAAATATGTATATGTAGGAGTGGATAGAGGTGAAGATGAAGAGGGAACGCCCTGCGTTGGCTTGTTATATAAGGATGATGATGATAAAATTGTTAGGAATTGTGGACAAAATGGTCAAGTATTTATACTAAATCAGCACAAAGAATTTGAGACCTGACGATCAACTTGAATTGCATTCGACCTTCGCAATTCACACTAGGTTTTCAAAGATAAATGTCAGAAGCGTTAAGGCAACCTGACAATCCATGTTCTGGAGTTGTGTTGTTCTCTCTTTTAGGTGCAAACCACTGTTTCTCATTTGTTGGTGAGCGAATCGAGGCACTTGAATGGTATCAATGATACATTGTAACTATTCCTCTCAAGCTATAGTCAGATCATGTAGTTCAATACTACTCTATATTTGTGGTTTTTATTGTTTGCATGGATGCTAATTAAAATGATTTTCATCATTTGCACATGATACAAAAATTCACTAAAAATTTCAGTGATTTGCAAATTACACATATCATGACGATAAATAGCGACAAGCTGCCAAGCATTATTTGTTCTTGTTGACACAAGAGAGCCGTAAAAAATGCTTGCTGTACAGTATATAATGCTGAATGATCAGGCTCGGGGTCCTTCTATATTCATCTACTATTTTACATCATCAGTAATCTGTTTCAGGACATTTACCAAGATTTTTGATTTGTCTACATGTGAGGCACAATCAAAGTACTTTACTAATGCTTTTTGATGTATTAGACACAGAGAGAAGACTGTTGGCTTTTGTTGCGTAAATGAATGTTTCGTTTCTTATAATGTGAGACGAAATTTTTGTCAAGATATTGAACCTCTTAAAACCGGAGCCCATATGAACCTCAATCGATTGTTGCTGATTGCTGAGGATCTAGATTACCATACCCATTCATATATCGCCTGTACTTGCATCTGTTTGTGTTTGCCATCGTAAAACCGGAAGATCAATATCTGGCAGTTCTGTTTTGAGCACACATTGTGATCCCTGAATGCTATTTGCATGGATGCCCAAGCTTAGCATACAGTATATTAAGAGAATTAGATGTGATCATCTTTAGTACTAATAACTCTTGCAATTCTTGGAGATAGAAGCATTTGATTGTTGTCACATTTATCTGCCATACCACATTTGATTGTTGTCACATTTATCTGCCATACCACATTTGATTGGATCCACTCTACCGTAAGCTAAGTATGCCAATTCATTCAAACTATGCAATCACTATTGTTTTATTCTATGTACACGGCCACTTGATATCACCATCAAGAAGGAAAAGGATTGCTATGATTTGCTCCTCAATTCTTTGTATAATAGCAGCATCTTTTCTTCCTTCCAATCCGCCCAAACCTCATATATCGCTAGTATTTCCTGACTGATCTCTATAACACTCTTTATATCCACATTCAAATCTGCAAACCACTGCTTCATATCACGCTGATCTCCCGCTGAGCCTGGAGCAAAGTCTGCATGATTGAGCACTACTGTGATATAAATGGCTGCCAACGAGATTAAATGAGGTGGGTATAACAAGCTCACATCGGTTCTATATGAATCGTTGACGATAAACCAAGCGTACTGTAGTCCAGATTCTCTCATCCCCAATTCGTTGCATATTTGTGTCAATGATCGATACGGGTGCCATATAATAAGATAAAACTCCAACTCTTCGAGCAAATAGAATTCGAATTCGGCTACTTTGGAGCTGTCGTAAGGAAATCCACCAAATTCAGCTGTAGAACTTTTAGTTTGGATGTGTCTGATAGTCCACCCTGTGCGTAATCCATACCTTGGAATACAGTCTTCGCCTCCTGTGTTACCATTTTGATATGTATAGGGCATTCCTCGATCTTGGTAGCGAGATAAACACATGTTACGAGGATAAGGATCGGATCTGTTGCCTTGATGCTGTTACTATAAGAGATACAGCGTTAGGTATCTGATGTTTGTCTGTTAATGGTGCAAATGTTACTTTATGTAAAATCGTTTGAAATAAACAAATGCTGTTGCAACCACTTGTTGCCGTAATTGAAGCCGTTTAGCTAGTTTCTGAATCACTGAAATGAAGGTTGAATGTTACATCGTATTTCCACTGAATAGTATAGCAAGCTATTTACTTACAATGACAGAACCATATTCTCAATTTCACATAATCTGCTTCTGACACGTATTTTAGATCTTCTTCCTTACTCTTGGCTAGAGTCCAACGGTCAATCATCCAGTGATTCCTTTCAGAATATCAATGAATCTCGTCCTCTTTACATACGAATCATCCTATTTACCTCTGAGTAGATGCCCAGTAATTAGCTGCCATGATAGATTGGTATAAATGATAAACAAAAAGAACAACAAAGAAGGGTCAATGAGGCTTCTGAAAAAAATAATAGTTTGGTTTGTTGGAGTCCTGTCGTTTCGCCCATTTAAAATTACCTGTGATACTGTTGCTCATGAGATATTTGAGAATGGCTCAACTTGTTGCCATGGCAACCCCAGGGGCAGGCTGTAACTTGTTGATCTACTCATCATTTCTTTGTGAGTCGTGATAAGAACAGAATTGGCTATGATTGTACTTGGTAATCGTTCTATATTGAAACATCCAATGTACAAAAGCATCATTCAATCATGAATGATCCAGGCCGAGGGATGCCTTGTTTCTCCAATGTCTCGCTCCGCCTACATCTCGGTGCAAGCTAATACATGTCAATCATTCACAGGATTCATCAGGATAAGACCAATAGTAGCATGCACTGGTTGAATTGTTTCCCCTCATCCGTTTAGAAAGGCGATCTTAATTGCTTTATTAAATGCCTATTTTGCACTACCGCAACCATTCCAATCGATCAACACCATGTTGCATTGCCAAAGATAAACCCAACTTCTAAACAGTAATCTCCGAGGCAGATGCGCTACAGATGCCCAAGCAGCCATGCGTTTCAACTTGGAATGATGCTGCTTGTCTTGATTCTATTGATTTCCGGATCTAAATAAGGTAAAATGTCGAGGAATAAATAAATATAGACTGTTTTTGTCAAATACAAACACAAGGCAAAACTCCTCAAAAAACTCCCTGGAAACCAACCCAAAAGGCCCCTCGTTTCCTTTATATATCTTTCCTTCTCTCTTCTTCCTTTTATCCTCTCTCTCGTTCTTCTTCTTTCATTTATTAGTGCACGAGGATCATTACACATTCTCGCTCTAAATAATGATTGTAGTGCAGTCAGAAAACGCTTTACATTCAAAATCTCAACATCCTTCACGAGCTCCCTCACCTGTAACTTCAGCTCTTCCATCCTCCACAGCAGCAGAATCACATCCACAAAACCACAGCTCGCCCAAACTGCCTCTTCCAATCAGCAATCATCGTAGATCAAGTTTCTCCACAGACGTATTGAATGATCAATACGAGGAGAAACCGCTGGTATCACAGAGATCATTTCCTCATCTAACGTCCAAAAAGCATAGGCAACAACGCCGTGGATCAGACACAATATCGACTACAGACGATATGGGCTCAGATGGCAGCTTTTCTATATCCGCATCAGCCGAATCCTCAACCGTTGCATTGCCGAATACAACTCGCTTTGCAAATGATAAGCGAAATAACGATTTCCATGCTTTGTTTCGAAGCGTACCGGATCAAGAAAGGTTAATTGATGGTAAGAATTGCTTAGGTTTGGTGTTTATTATTAGAAAATGATTGGTGTTTTTTATTGGAGGAAGATGGCCTGTTTCCTATTTTAAAAGGATACACATTTCACTTGTATTTCATACAACACGCTTGTGTGAAAAAAAACAAAGGGGCACTGTAGAGACCCTGATTTCATGCTAAATTGTTTTTTTATATTACCAGATTATGGTTGCGCATTGCAAAAAGAAATCTTGCTTCAAGGCAGAGTCTATATTTCCGAGCATCATCTCTGCTTTAATGCAAATATCTTCGGCTGGATCACAAATGTAAGCGAAGATGTGTAACAAATGATGTCGTATACTCAATCCAGACTCTAGTTGGTGATTGCATTTGCTGATATCGAAGACATTGAAAAGAGATCAACAGCCATCTTCATTCCAAATGCTATACTGATCTCCACTTGCTCCTCAAAAGTAGGTTTGATGTAACAAACAATCGGCAGAAAACAAACATTAACATCCCATGCAACAAAAGCATTTCTTAGCATCTTTTCTCTCACGTGATCAGGCCTATGATCAAATGGTGGAAATTTGGACGGCTTCTCGTGCTAGTAATAGCACAATTCAAGTACATGCAAGTGGTTTCAAAGGTGATGATGCTACTGAATTTTCTGCAAGTGATGAGAGTGATTATACGTCCTCAGACTACTCTTATTCAGATGAAGACGAAGAAGACGATGAACTTCGTGGTGATCCTGTCACAGTATCTAGCCAAATCAACGGTAAATGACGCTCTGCATTGTGCCTGTTCATATTCATCTTACTTGTGTATACTTTCTAGACAAAAACAACAATTCCACACTGAGTGACAGACAGGCATCACTGGCCTCGCTCCCATTACCTAAGCATTTGTCATCAGCTGATGAGGCTGCTAGACGCAGAGCTGTTTCAGAGGCTGGCCCACGTCCGAATATGCAGGAATATATAAAGAAGAGTGCAGAATCCACAGCAACATTAGCACAAGCAGCTTCGACAGCAAGTAATGCCAATGGAAACTCGGCCACGGTGACTGACGCGTCTACCATTACAGCAAGCACAGAAAACGCCAGTGAGAAGAAAGACGTCCAGATCAAAGAATATACAGAGTGTGAATGTAGCCAGACAGACCAACACTTTCCAACAGTTGTCATGGACAAGAAATACGATACCACCATTGAGGCCATGTATAATTTACTGTATAATAGTACCTTTATGAACAAATTCCTGTGTGAGGTAGAGAAAAGTACAGGCAAGTAACACATCAGCACAAATTTGCTGTTTATTCTAACATTGTACCTGTATAACAGAGGTCTGCATTGGTGAGTGGACCAAGAACGATGGTTGTGTGCACTCACGTGAATCATCATACATCAAATATTTGGGTGGGTCCATTGGTCCAAAGTTAACAAAGTGTTACTTGAAAGAAGAAGTACTTCATCTGGATACAGCGGATTATGTTAGTCAACTTACTGTAACACAAACACCTGATGTTCCCTCTGGTGGATCCTTTAGTGTCAAGACCAGAACATGTATATCGTGGTGCGGTCAAGGTCAAGTCCGCGTGCTGGTCACCGTGCTTGTCGATTTCACAAAATCGTCTTGGCTCAAGTGTAAGTTACATCTATATAATGTCATGCTGTGATTTGACACTGACCCTAACCCTGGCCCTCGTGCATGATTAGCTACCATTGAAAAGGCTTCCATCGATGGCCAGCAAAACTTCTACAAGAGTCTGGATGCAGCAGTGCGCAAATATTTAGAAAGCCATGCAGGAGATGCCAAACGCTTAGCAAATGGTGGAAAGAAGAAGGGAGGCAAGAGAAGACACAAACATCGCACTCGGGCCGATGGAGATCAAGATGCAGCGTCTCAATCAGCAGCAACAGCAGCATCACAAGCCGCAACTGAAAAGCAGCATATTGTCATTGAAACTTTCTCCAGTATACTCAATTGGTTGATTTCCAATGCAAGCGCTCCAACAACATCTCAACTTACTGCTATTTGTATGGCAATGATGGTCATGACAAACTTGTATATTGCTTCTAAAATGGCAGGTGTCGACAAACAGCTGAATCAGTTACAACATCACAAGCGTCATGGATCCGAATTTTATCAACATCATGTTGATATTAGCGATGAGGATAACTCCCTCTGGAGATTGCTAAATAGATTGGATCCTGATGCCAGAAAAGAAGATCTTCATTTTGTACATCAAACGAGACAGCTACCTTTGGCAGATCCAGTGAACCATAGCCATGCCGATGGAGAAGAAGCTATTTCAGACGAGCAATTGCAATTTTCAAGATTAGCCAAGCAAAAGCTGGACAAACAAATGGTTGAGTTGGAGAAGATGATCCAAAAGGCTGGGCAAAGCATGGAGCAGGTAACACATGCTGTCCAACATCAGAGAAAGAGGATCTTTGATCCAGAGTTCATTTAAGTCAACTCAATTTGTCATTTTTACACATCTTTATCAAATAAATTCATTCTTCATCATCACCTATTTAGTCTTGTTGACATTGCTCCCTTCAAATGTCATTGTGTTTAATACGGTCCCAAAATTTCTACCGTCACAGAAACAAATTGCTTGCTATAAAAGCCTAAAAAATTTTTCAGCAAGATGACGATCTTGTTCTTTAGTACATTTGCTAGGAAATCAAGATTTGAAAAGGTAAGGTATCTCCCTAGAGTTTAGGAGGAGGGGGGGCAATAAGAAGGAGGTTGCAAAGAAATGTGCGGCGATGACCAAACGTATCACACACACACTGAAAATCCTGAAACCACTGAATGAGTGGTTCTTGAAAAAAAACATATCTTCTCTCTGAGCGTATTTCTTGCAATTTCCATCTTCTGCTCCTACAGTTGCTCTATATCATTTTATTAGACATTGAACTAATTTATATTCTTAATATAGATCATGCATTTCTAATATATTCCTTATAAATAAAGCCTAATTTGATCATATCTTTCTGACACATTTGCCTTGGCATTGCGATTGTTTTTAAATGAAAAGCTTGAGTTAGCAGCATTCTGTGAAGGATGCTAATGTAAAACAGTTGTTTTTATGAGCAAGACCATCAACTGTACGCGTCAAATTCACGAGTCTTGCCCTTTGACCACCGTTATCAATATACTTGAAAACGAAAAGTTTGCAATTGTCAAGTAGTCCTGATGTTCATCAAATAATAATGTCGAACATTAGGATTCGTATTTGTTGCAACTAATCCTATCAGATATGGAAATGTATGATAAAAGAAACGTAGCCAGGCCAAACTACAGCACTGTTCAATGCACAATCCCCTTGTTGTAGGTATCCAACAGCATCGGTTACATTCGTGATGGCTGCAGAACCACATTTGCCAGCCAAAATTAATTTAATCCCTGATTGTTTTTTTTCTCATTCAAAGTAGAAAAGTTGGGACTTCGTTGAACTATTTTGCTATATCCGACTATATGAAATATGATGATTATCACAAGCTTCCTTAAGCTATCTAAGAGTACTTTTCAAGGCGCATCTTTTGGTATCCTTTAAAAGAGGTCTTTTGAATAAACTTGCTGAGCAACTCTTGAAAATATGAGATGAGGTTTTTGGCAAAAAGATCGAGAATTTGCATGTAAAAGTCTCACAAACAAAGTTTCAGGAGCTGCGTTGGAAGCGTAGAAACAATTTGAACTAATATATGCCATAGTAACGAGCCGTTTGAACGTAGGTTGGTTTCCACCGAAGCGAAGCGTAGGTCAGGAAACCACCCAAAGTGCTGAAAGGCTCGTATGCCATAGTAAAAGTCTTCGTTATCAAGGTCAAAAACGCGATCATTTGATTTTCAATGAAAACCATGAGGGTTACCTCTTGCTTTTTGGTCGAATTTTGTCCATGTTTTTTTTTGATCCCCAAAAAGTTGAGCAAAGGTGTCAAAAAGTAAGAGCTAGATCAGAGAAATTGTTTGGCGCTATACTGATTGTTTGAAGCGGCTTCTAGCACGAAAAATTGCTGCTCAAATGAACCTAAATTTTGCTGTGTTTTACATACTTTTGAGTAGTAAGAGGCAGTGCAAGCGTACTGCCTGCCCTTGTACGAGTTGTTGCCACTGGAACAAACACGGAGTGTCACAGAAGAAATAGTTTCTATTATAAATACGCTCTGCTTGATGTAATGCGCCAAATGGGAAGCTCAATACATGCTGCTCCTAACATATGAAGGCTCTGTGGCTCAGTGGTGATGGCAGATACTGTAATTTGTTGAAAGTAGCATTCTCTGCGAGAAATGAAGCGAAATCCAACCGGCATGAGGTAATGTCTATTGCTGAATAATCTGTAAGATACTGTACTGCTCTTAGTAATGCGCAGGAACATCAAATACTTTAAGGATTTTTTCTGTATCTTAATGATTGCGCAAAGAAGCTTGTACCTGATTAGTTGAATGGGAGTCGTAAATGACTAATCCCGGTCCGGAGAGAGTTTAGCACTATATAAAACGGAAGATGTTCTAGGAATTAAAGGCTTTTCTCATTCATATACATCACTATTAAATACCATGTCGCTTGTTACCCAGGGAATCAGAGATCTCGTTAAGAAGGCCATCTCAGACAACACTGTCATGGTAAACCATGAATGCTTTCTCTAGTAGATATCTTGCACTGACCATTCAAACTACAGATTTTCAGTAAATCATATTGTCCTTACTGTATTGGAGCCAAAGATCTATTTGACGACATCAATGTTGATTACAAAGCTTTGGAATTGAACGATCATAAAGACGGAGAAGCCATTCAAAAGGCGTTAGCTGAATTAACAAAACAAAACACTGTACCCAACATCTTCATCAACCAACAACACATTGGTGGCTCTGATGCTCTCAAAGCTGCCTATTCTTCAGGCAAATTAGAAAAGATCTTGAAGGATGCAGGCATTCAGAATGCAAAGCTTTAGACTAATGGGATTTTATATATATATATATACAGACGAAATAAAACTAAATGTTAGACTAACATTTAATAATCCATAAATGCTGCTAATTCATCATCGTCATCACCATAGATATCATCAAATTCATCTTCGCTGAAATCTTGAATTGGATCATCCTCATACTCCATTTGTTCCTGAGACTCGTAGTCAGCCATTCTGGACTGCACTGAAGCCATGAAATCCTTGCGATAGTTCTCCAATTTCTGTTGCTGGGTGACCAATTGAGCCTCAAAGAATCTTGGCTTATCAAAGGTTTGCTGACGATACGTAATTTTTTCGCGAGGTGGATTGATCATGATGCCATTGACACTCACTAAACCACGATAGATGCTTGCATGTGTGTCCTGCCAATCATGCTGCGAACGTATTGTGTCTGCATCGCTCAGAGAATTCAGCAGTTTGCTGCATGAATCCATGTCATCAAAGAATTCAGAGTAGTTTTGGTGCAAGTAGGAGATGAATGTGTCATTGTCTACGGGTAATTTTGCTAGAATATGCTCTGGTTTTGACTCGTATGTGCCGTCAGGGTTTCTTTTTGCATAGAGCACCTTGCCAACCGCATGGAATAGCGTCAAAGGCCCTGTTTTATCGTCGAACGGCGGTTTGTTTCCTGATTTCTTTTTGCTTAGGATCTTTCTGGTTTTTCTGGAATGAATACTGTCAAACTGAAGCGTATTAATTGCTGCTCGAATGTCGCCGTCGCACTTTTCTATGATTTCGTCGAGAAGATCTTTTGGTACATTGACAGGTTCTTGGGATAAGATGTTTTTTAGTACTTTATTCATGTTGGTTTTGTTGACAGGATTGAATCTTTTCGACATAGGTTAGCCATACTCTTTTGATCCTGATATTAATTCCATACTACTCACTTGATGTGCTTCACTCGCAAATCAGTATTCAACTCTGTGGGTATAATATCAATGGATCTGTTCAATTTGTTGTCATAGTTTTTGTAGGATAAGGACTCCATCCAAGCATCGGTAGCCACCATAATCAGCAAAAATTTGGCAGGTGAATAAACAATGTGCTTGAGTATAGAGTGTAACTGTTGCTTGATTTCCTCTGTCGTTATATCGGGCATATCGTCTACAAATATTATTTGCCGCTGAGAGCCTCTCAATATGGAAGATGACAAGAACCTACTGAATAATGTCATAGTGTGCGTATGTGAATCTGTGGGGTCGTAGTCGTTGCTAGGGTTTATCCATTCTAGAAGGTCGTAGTTCATTGATTTGCATAATAATCGTACGAGTGTACTTTTGCCAACGCCAGATTGACCTGATATTAGCAAGATCTTGGTGTGGCCTTGTCTACTTCCAATAGCTGAAGACTCAATGGCACCCTGAAGCTCTCTTACTTTCTCTGCTCGAACACATACGTCTGCCTATGAGGTTTGCATCAATAACATGCACAGTCTACGCATGGTTGTATGAACTTACCACTGATTTGGGTGCATACTGATCGACCCAAAGATAGTCTAGTTATCATTGATGTGTCAGTCTTTTTTAAGCGTGATGGCTGAATTGCTCTTTTTACTTTGAGGATCCTCTGTGGAGGTACTTCGTTTTCTTTTTATTGAACGTTGGCTTGGGCTATCTGGTAATGTAAAGCTCTACATGTATATGATCAGTATGGATTCGCGATAAACGCTTTCCAGAAGAAATTTACCCATTCATCCATAATGAGATGAATCAAATGAATGCGCGCAGAGGAAAGAAGAGATAAAATGCTCGAAATCAATGCTCTGTTTCTCTGCGCGTTATATTCGGTGGTGGACAGTTTTTGACATGAAATCTGTGACTCTGGCTATAAGCCTTTGCTTGTCAGGCAATGCAAGTTGATTTGAATGTGAACGTAGTCAAGTTGCATAGCTAAACAAGTAGAGCCGCACTGTAGGCTTGTCGTTTCTATCCGTAGTCTTTGATATTTCTATAGTGCGTAATGCCAAATGCTAGATTATCAAGTGTATTTGCTTTCAAAGGTATGATTCAATCTTGCATGTCGACGATCAATGCATCTTGTCGCTCAAAGCTATTACATGCGAATGCTTTTAATAGACTTCTTTCTAGTATAAAATACACTGAACACGTTATATACCAGACACTAGCAAATATATCACACATTAGCAAAATACCGCACTTCAGTCTGCATCGATTGTTAATTTAAAGCTCGTTCTCAAGTTACATCTCCCCCTTTTTTCTCTCTCCACTACTCGTATTTGCTTTAGGCATGTCTAGTAAAGAAGGTACATACTGCACGTCAATTCACTCTTGTGCCCTGAAAAAAAAAGAGACTCTAATCTAACTGATCACAATAGAAACTAGAAATAGCACATCATCTACGCCTACATCGCCTTCCAGCTTTTTTGGAGGCTCGTTTTTCTCGAGCGTTACTTCCAGCGTAAATGCGCTTTCACAAACTATCCAAACCAAGGGCATCCCCGAGTTTAACAAACGACTCAATGAACTTCAACAGCGTGCCCGTGATATTCCAAACCAAATAGCTACGTTGCAGGGTGATTTGGAATCAGAAAGAGCATCGTTTGTCAAGAGCAAAAAGTTGGATGAAAAGAATGGCACCATTCATCAATCTCTAGGTTCAGGTAAGTGAATGGGTGGCATCCTATGCTAGACTATAGATATTGATAGGGATATATTGTAGAACCTGTTGCGCCATGGACTGGATATCAAGGCTACGAAAGCGAGATGAAGCAAGCCATTTTGGATATTTCCAAGGCACGTCGTTATCGTCGTATGCAAACAGATCATGTGGGGATCTTCTAACGTTTTCAATAGGACGAGAGAAACTTTTTGATTCCACCGCCAGAAGATACAAGCTTTCAATTTGATCTGAATGCCTACAGTCAGAGTGCTCAAGCAGCTTTAAAGGAAGACGAGAATCTCTCACACTTAAGATTTGTACTGGTCCCACAACAGTAAGCTGCCTTATTGTGATGCTAGCGTGTATATACATGTTACTGATGCTGCGCACAGAGTGAGTGAACCCACTTTTTGGAAAAATTACTTTTACAGGGTGACATTAGCTAAGCAAGCTGTACTGAATCATCCTCCCAATGAACAGCCTGCCGAACTGGCGAATCAAGATATACTGTTCGATTTCAAGGATGAAGAGGAGGATGAAGAGGAGGAAAAAGAGAACAAGGGGAATACAAATGATACAATCAAGCGAAACGAGACAGGAAAGGAGGATACCAAGAGTGACAATAAAGCAACACCAGTCAAAGCAGATCTTTCTCCTATTGATACTACTACACCCAGTAACAGTAAGCAAGAAGAGTCTTATGAAGGTATGGAAGATTGGGAGATTGAATTAAGAAAGGCGGCAATTTAAGCTATGAATGTGTGTGTGTGTACCTGAGATCTCCTTAATGCACTTTATATTACTACACAATCAAATGTGTCAATCTTTTATAAATATATATATATATATATATACAATCTTATATAACATCACACCTCCCTCTTCTCACCATCTACCCCCCCTTGGATCAAGTTATATACTCCCTTTTCAAATAAACTATCGTCATTTTATTTAATCAATTAGCATTGTATTCTCGGCTGAAATAAGCTTCTGCTACAGAAATGGATGATTGAACTAATTCTTGCAAATTGTGCTCAACATGCTTCGAGGTCAATGCTTGTACAACCTATCTCCGTAGTATGTCAGTGCCAACACAAAAGATCTCGTCCTAGTACATTACCTCTTTCTTGACAAGCTCCAGCAATGCAGGTCTGGTTTGCTCATCAGCAACAACTGGGCCTTGGTGTGTTTGTTTGTACTGTGCAATGAAGTCCTTCATGGCTTTAAATGCAGCAGCACCAGCCAACTGCTCTGCCGTGATGCTATGGCTAGGCTCCAAATACACCATACGATAGCAATCATAGAGCTCCTCTTGTCTAGGAAATGTCGATGTACGTTGCACTAAATAGAGCAATGTCAATAGCCCATATCACGAATATGTGAAACACAGAGACTACTAACGTGGTGAGGGTCGAAGCAGAGCGAGCTCATTGATAGACTTTTCGTTCTCGAACGGTTGAATGATCCATTGCTGTGTCTTTGAATGCAGGTTCTTGGTGTTGAGATATACCGTGCTGCCATTCCTGAACTCGCCATTCTACGCCCAATGTCAACCAAGTGTGCTTTTTTCATTGTTTGAATAGCACCAACTTACTCGAATGTCCAGTACTAGATGAGGTGCAGAAGTAGGGAATATGAACCCATTTTGATATGTCCATCGTTGATTGTGCGCCAATCCAGGCTTGCGAGCATACTGAATGATCACTTTATCACGCTCAATGTCTGTCGTCATGGTGAGTAACTGTAACTATCATTCAAGCAGAAAGACACTACTCACTGCCGCCTCGAATATCGAGCACTGTATAGAAGCGATAATTTAATAAATGCACATTGTCAACTTGGTGGTATGATGTTACCTAATCCTGATTTTTTATTAATCAAGAATCCTTCTTCATGCATCCACAACTAGTGAAAGAAAGGCGCGCGTCGGTTGGTATGTTGTTACAGTTTATGCAACTTGTGCTCTTCCTACCTGATTGATACTATCAACCATTTTCTGTATACAGCGTCAATACAGGACATGGACACATATGTAGGTCAACTTACCTGTGGCCAGATGATGATGGTAGCATCATTCTATCCAAAACATGGCATGAGATCCTCGGTAATACATTGCAGTTTGATATATGCAACTTACCGTCATGCTACCACCATTGACATCAATGGCAAATGGTTGGCTTTTGCATCGGATGAAAAAGAAGCCTTGAGGAAATTCTAATGTAGACTCCATGACCAAGAAACGTGTAGTAAAGAGAAAGAGATAAGAGCAAAAGAAACAGCAGAAACAAAAAGCTCAACAAAATGGACGCTATTCCTGTGAAGCGTTTAAGCGGCGGCTGTCTTGACTGAAATGCTGCTTGTAATCATGCCTCGAACTGTTCGTCACTGGGAAGCTAAATTCAAATGTAACGTGTGACATTTACGCAATCTATAAATATCAAATGATGAGATTTATTAGGAGGGAGGGCCCTTCATACCTGGGCAGCCCCCTTTCTCTCATAATTCATATTTATTCAACTCTCTTCTTTCTCATTTCCTCTCTTTCTTTTCTCTTTTCCCATTTCCCAAAACTTATGTAATATAATATACTCTAATATACCACAACTAATAATGACATTTGCATCCTCCATTGTACCTCGATCAAGAAAAATCACTGTATTCCTATGCATGACTGCATGCCTGATGGGATTTCTGATGGTGTCAATATACAGAACATACCAACATCGATATTATGGTAATGTGTACAGGGGGGGGGGGGGGGGCAGACAGAGAGAGATTGGGCAGGCAAGAGGGGCAATCAAATACTTATATTTGTACTACTTTTAATTTAGATTCATCGTCGTCTGTATCGAATCTCGACTCTAGCTTAGCAGCAGCCATTCAAGACGAGAAACCACACACCAGCAGCACAAAAAGAACGTCCTTTCCCTACACGATTGTCACTGGATCCAGCGCCAACCACCTATGTTCATTAGAAAACTTTCTCTACTCGCTACATGAATTGCGTCCAGATATTGATGTCGATCAATTCCCCAGAATTGCTGTCTATAATATCGGAATGAACAGAACGCAATTGCCCATTCTCAATCAATTGCAAGAACATGGCTTGATCGATGACTTGATTACATTTGATCATGAGCGCTATCCTCGCTTCTGGGATGTGGCTATTGATGCTGGCCAATATGGCTGGAAAACCGGTATTGTCAATGATGCCCGAGTCAGATATGGTGGCGTGCTAGTATGGCTGGATGCCGGTAACCAAGTGACAAGAGACTTCATTTTAAATATAGCAGATACGGTGAAAAACGACTACCATGGATTCTGGTCTCCTAAAAGCGCCTATGGTATGGGCAAATGGACTCATCGTGGCATGTTCAAATTCTTTGGTGCGGATATCAAGGAATACCGTTACAAGTCAAACTGCAATGGTGCTGCTGTTGGGTTCGATGCTGATAACAGTACTATCGTCAATACACTCATCATTCCTTGGTTTGAATGTGGACTTCAAAAGAATTGCATTGCTCCTCCTGGTTCCAGCAGAGAAAATCATCGACAAGATCAAGCTGTCTTGACCTATCTTGCTTATTTCAATGGCCACGAATGCAAAGTGCCTCCAAGAGACTTTTACAAACTGCAAACACATAGAGATATCGCTTGTAGGTCAAGTCTGATGCAACTAGACCTGCAAAACAAATTACATCATCCCTCGGCAATAGGTAAAACATACAAACACTGGTTTTCACGTTGTATTCAAACCCTAACTCTTATCTCTAGATACACCAAAGTGGGAACGTGTGGACACAAATGCACTCTATAATCATCCTGAATGGAAGTACCCCGAAGACGATGTGCCTGTAAATATAAGACAACCTACCACTCTATTATAGTAACAATAAAAAAAAACCAAACCTAACCTCAAGACATAAATGATGGCCGATCCACATACAAAACGAGTATGTGTTGGCATGTCAAATCTAAATATAATTTAAAATGCCCTTAAATAGATATATAAATGGCATTTTATTTTATTTTATTTTTTTTTTAAAAAAACAGGTCATTTACACGGTAGGTTTGGCACATTTACGCAATTCAATGGCTTTAGTTTTTGGGCATTGCATTTCCTGCCAAGAGATTGGCACCATGGTAGCACCAGCTACACTGGTTGCAAATATGACACCCAGTTCATTCTTTGCCGTTGATAAAATATATGATCTTGCATCACCTAATGAAATCACCTCTGCTTTGATAATGTCGCCTGGTCTAAATGAGTTGTAGATCTTCACTTTGTCCTTTTCTGCTGCACGCACATCTTGAGTACTAGGTTGAAGATGTTAATTATCTGAAAAGAGAGTAGTCGCTGTTATTCTAATTTACCGAATCACGCCCATAAAGTCTTCTTTGCAAGGAATATCGCCAACCACCATGATGGCAATCACTGCTTGATGTGGTGAGACACGAATTACTTTGCCTGTAATCTATGCAACATGTTAATATCTTTCCTCTCATCCTCCATCTCATCTGTAGCTTACAACGCTGCCGACTTCAGGTACTGCTGACTGCTCCTTCTCTCTAGACACTCTCATTACAGGCAACTGGTCATGGATGAGTTGCTCAATTGGTTTAGCATATCAACAAATGGCTTTTTTACCTGATCATCCTTGGCAGGATCAATGTATCTTTGCCCAACAACACTGGCGTATAGTAAGCCATCTCTTTCATATGTACCGGCACCTTGTTGATAATCTGCGGCATAACCAAGACGTTGTCCAGGAGTTACTGACTCTTGCTTCTTTGCCATAATGCGTAAGTTTGATGTATAAAGAGATGAAGGATTTTTTTCTTTTTCTGGCTTCTCGTTTCTCTTTGCTCTTCATAGTGACTGGTTAAAGCCTCCATTGGTACCTTGAAAGTCGTCTATTACCATGATACAACTACCATCCGCATACAAGATCATTGCAAAACACACTATTTCATTGATACATGAAGCCATGATGGCATTGACTCAAGTTTGGTTTAAAATAACCCTGTGGATTTGATATTGAAATGCGCAGAAATGAAACAGACAAAACTTGATCAAATTACTTTCATGTTACATTTCGAGGTGCACACACATAAATATTTTCGTTCTCTTTCCATCAAGAGCTCTCTCTTTTTTAGCCCTTTCTTTCGCATCCTTTATAACCAAGCAGCTAAAAGCTTTAGCCATCGAGTCAACGCTTCAATACTACTCTTTTATTTGTGTCTTTCATCGGGAATAACTAAACATGTATCATACACAACAGCCGTTTGTTCGACAAAGGACATCATCGACTTCTTCTACTTGCACTACGCTTTCATCCACCCCATCATCTTCAACTGTAACAGCCATGGCATCCATCAAATCATCGAGCAAGCGACATGGAGAGAATGTGCAAGTGACAGTGCGCTGTAGACCACCAAACCAGAACGAGCACGGCTCGTGCTGGGATGTACAGCAGTCGAAAATTGTTTCAACAGATCACAGACTAAAGAAACAGCATGAATTTCAATTTGGTACTATAACCATGTACACTTGATTAGCATGGGTATTTATGGTCAAACTTAGATCATGTATTATACGGCAGCGATAATGAGATTCTATATGCAAAGAGTATCAGCAATCTTATCAAGTAAGTTATTTGGTGTTTCAAAAAGAGCTTGCGTTGTATAAACAATAACAATGACCACCATAGCCAGGCAATGGAGGGATATAACGGTACATCTACTATAGTCGTTCAGTAAGGCTTTTTTTTTTTGCTAGAGACTAACATCTATCCTCTCTGCAGCCACTGTGTTTGCCTATGGTCAAACTGCAAGTGGAAAAACATTTGTAAGTAATTTGGCTTGTCATACGATGTTTTCCTTATTAAAATGGCCTGTGATTGTAGACCATGGTAAGATTATTGAGCCGACATTCAAAAGGAATCACACTCATGTATACAAACAAACCATCATTGCGACATTTTAGATGGGTAAGATCAACATGAAGCATTCTAGGGGTCACTGTATAACACCACATGTGTATTAGGTAGCGAGGCAGAACCAGGTGTGATACCCTGCTCGGTTGATAATGTGTTTGATTTCATCAAAAAGGCATGCCACTTGTACGACACACACGCACAGAACACCTTTTTCATTTAACGCATGAAATAGGCCATCACAAGAGAGTTCCTCCTAAGAGTTTCGTACCTGGAAATCTATAACGAGACTATCAAGGATTTACTCAACCCGTCCAATGACAACCTAAAGATCCATCAAGACAAGATTCGTGGTGTTTATGTTACGCCTCTCACAGAAGAAGTGGTAACCAGCCCTGAAGATGTATTGCGCATTATTGAACGAGGAGAAGGTTTGCTTTTCTTATAGGCATCTCGAATACATTTGATCTAACCGCATCATTTCAACAGCAAATCGGCACATTAGCTCAACAGATTACAATCTACACAGCAGTCGTAGTCATACATTGTTTCAAATGGTCATTGAGAGTAGAGAACGAAGTAGCACAAGCACATCGCTTGCATCGCATAGAAGAACACTGACATCAACGGGCTACGGACATTATGCTGCCAGATCCAAGGAGACAGTAAGGATATCGCAACTTGTAGGTAACCTATACAACTGCGCCAATTTTACATAAACTAACTACTTTATGCAAGAATCTCATTGATTTAGCTGGTTCAGAAAAAGCAGCGTCAGATCAAGACCGTCGTAAAGAAGGCTCCTATATCAACAAAAGTCTACTGACACTGGGCACAGTGATCTCCAAGCTCACCGATCCCAATACTGGCAAAAGCCCAAGCCATATACCCTACCGAGATTCCAAACTCACCCGCATCCTTCAGACTGCACTTTCAGGCCTTGCAAAGGTAGCTGTCATTTGCACCATCAGCCCCAGCAACATGGAAGAATCCCTCAACACACTCAAATTTGCTTCTCGTGTCAAACGTATCACAACACACGCCAAAAACGACGAGGTCATGGATGATAAAGCCCTGCTTCAGAAATACCGCAGCGAAATTGTGGAACTTAAGAGCAAATTACAATCAACTGCCGAATTGTTACAAAAGGAAAAGGAATCCGCTCTCATTGCCGAACGTAGAGACCACGACCAACAGATGAAACTCATGCGAAATACGCGTAACGCAATGAAGGAAAGAATTGATCACCTTACTCGATTGATCCTGACATCATCTTCCGTGGTGAACAATGATCCAGCTAGTGCAACAGCGAGTTTGCAACAACAGTTGCATGATGTGCAGAATGGATTGCCTTCACCTCCAGCTGATAGCGAATGCAAGAATAGCAATGCTAGTGGATTGGTTTCTACGGGTGGAAGCACAAGTCAACAACAAGAAATTCTCGAGCTACGAAAACTGCTTTCAAAAGTGACTAGAGAATCAAATGAAAAGGATCAACACATTCTGGCATTAGAGGAGCAGTTAGGACAACAGACAGCCATCAATGCACAGTTGGAGACAGAGCTGAGTGTCATGAAAGCTGAATTGGAGCTCACCAAGCAGCTGCAGGCCAACGAAGGAGGCGATGAAAAAAGTGCTTGCAGCCCAGTATGAGCCAGCGTAAACAGCAGCTGGTGTAGCGCTGAGCAAAGCAAATCACTTGATTGCAGTTGAATACAGTAAATAAATCATCGAAAACTTGCTTCAAAATACAACACAAGTAGGATAACTTGGCAAATGTTTGCTCTATACTTCTTTATCCCCGATTTTTGAAAACTAATCCTAGTATAAAGGCTACTAGCCGGTCAATCTCGCTACGCTCGATGAAGGCGTCGTCCTGCCGGCTCTCGCCAAAGATATTTCAAATCAGAGATAATAAAAATCTGGCATATCAAGTAGATTCTAAACAACCAGTTAATAGTAAAAAAAAGGGGGGAGGCTATATCAGAGTCAGTAAAGAGAGTTATCCATTCGCTGATGTTGCTCTTGAGATGGCAGCATAAAGCTGGCCATAAGTAAATACAGAACTTGGGTAAGATCTACAACGACTTTTTTGAGATATTGTCATTGCAAAAGACGCCTTTATAAGGAGAAACTCGCAAGAAAAGAAATTACTCGGGCTAGTCAATTGTAATTTTAACTCCATGATGCCATTTGATCAGCATCGTAGCCATTATCTCAATCATCATTGTCATCAACAGAAAGGAAATTGGGTCAGCCAGCAGCAATGCCGCCGCCACAATTGATTCAAACTCAGTTTATTTTTCTGTCCAAGATTGGACGGATTTCGTCTTTTTTTGACTTCTTTAATTTATTTTATAATATTCGACTATATGAAATGTGGTTTTCAGCCGATGCTTCCTAATACATTCTTGGAGCACTTTTCAAGGCGCTTCCAATGGTGCTAATTGTAATAGGTGTTTCGACTGAGATTGTTGAGCAATTTAATAAAATTTGAAATGAGGTTTTTAGCGAAAATAGCCATATTTTGCATATGAAAGCCTCATAAAACTGGTTTCAGAGGTTGCTTTGGACCGAAAGAAACATTTTGAATTAATATATGCCATAGTAAAAGTCTTCATTTTCAAGGTCAAAAATGCGATCGTTTGGCTTTTGATGAAAACCATGAGGGGTACCTCATGCTTTTTGGTCGATTTTCGGTCATGTTTTTTTGGTCCTTAAAAAATTGAGCAAAGGTGTCAGGAAGTAAGTGCTAGATGAGAGCAATTGTTTGGTGCTATTCTGACAATCTAAAATGGCCTTAAACGCGAGAAAACGCGGCTCAAATGCACTCAGGTTTTACTGTACTACGGATACAAAGGACTAAAAAGAGGAGATACCAATATGATACTTGCCCGTATATGAAGTGGCTACGTATATATATGGATGTAGAGCATCATTTAAGAATCAGATCCACAGATAATATAAAGGGTTTTTATGTGTAAGTGGAGGATCTAAATGAAAGTAGCAGTATTTTGATAAGATACACAAGGACAATCGGTAGCGCGAGCTGCCGCTGCGCAGGTTGGTTCTCATCGAAGCGAAGCAAAGGTAGAGAGCCATCCAAAGCATAAACACGCGTATACATATAAGCTATGTAAAGCAATAATTAACTATGTCTCAAGCATGTTCGTCGTGATAGGAAAAGACAAGTGTAAATGTATAGTATTCTGTCTTCTAAGAACCAATATAACTAATATTGCGTTCAAGTGCTTTAAGTATGGAGTTAGTAGGCGATTCATGGTCCGTATCAAGCTGAACCCTCATTCAAAGAGCAAAACATTCAATCGCATACAGTGTCTTTGGGAATTGATGGTAGGTAAATGGAAATGATTTATTATTACAATGCACAGCATGTATAGCTCTTTTATCAAAGAAGAGGTTGAGCTTCACTTCTAGTGAAGGTAATCGTGTAACAAGGGAAATCAAAAGGTATGGTGAATGTTTTTGATATGACTAACGAAACCAGTCGTCATTAGGAGATATAACCAGTATGATGATCCAGAGTTTAGAGAGACCAAGTGATGGGGATACGGCCTTCATCGAGTTGACCGAGCTTCTTGAAAGCAGCTTCACTCATATCGACATCACCTTCTGAGCAACCAGGGCAAGAATCAACTACCTTGAGAGTAACAGAGCCGGAAGCAGACTTTACAGTGATAGACTTGCCACACAGATCACTGTTGGATCCACCCATCAAGGAACTAGACAAAGCAGCAACCATTTCATCATCAGAGCTAGTTTCACCACAAGAGCCTAAACCAACAGCGTAGTAAGTGGCATCACCAGATTGAGAACTACGAGCTTGAAGATTGGAGGCAACAGGAGCAGCTTGAGCGGTCAAGAGACAGGCAGAAGCGGACAAGATGGAGAGAACAGCAGAGAAAGAGATTTGCATTGTGAATATGTTTAAAGAAATAGATAGGATGAGAGTGTCTATGATGAAAACGGCCTGCGTTTGTTTGGTTATATGGTTATATGTCAGAATATTGGGAATTGTGGACAAAATGTCAGGTATTTATACTAAATTCAGGACCATTTTTGTGGTGGGGGGAAGAGAAATCTGGAACTTGGCGGTCGGCTACCTGTAATTGAGTGTTTAGCGTGTAAGACCGCACTTGAATCCAGCGATAATGGTCGTATATGGTAAGTCTGTTTGAGAGCTAAATGATGGTACAGGGGTCAAAGCGTCTTCCCCTCCCGAACGACATTGTGTATCGGAATTACTGTCCATGTAGATCTTTATGTCATTGCATAAGCTCATGTTAATGTTTATAAGGTATATAGCATTCAAGAGTGCAATTATTAATAGGCGTTCTGCCTGAAAACATGTATGAATACATCATAGTATTGCTAATCGTAAGTTCCTTCTTTTCTGATACATTTGTTTCCAAATAAAATTGTAAAACTAACAAGTCTTGTACAGCACTACCTAAATGGAGTTATTTCGTTTGGTTGAAATTGATTTCTATGGAAAAAGGGAAGGTATGAAAGGTAAAAAAAAGGAGGGTATACGACTGTAAGTGACCTCAACAGGCCTGGGACCTTCTATACATATCAAATTCAACAAAAATGTTTCAGGGCACGAGCTGCCATCTTTCCATTTGTCGACTGTTTTTTAAAGTGCACCAAAGCACTCTCATATCCAACAAATGTCTTTGGATAAAGAATGAAAATAGGCAACACTCTGATATTAGAATTTTAACATCAATACGCGATCTTGGCTTTTCTTTGGTTACTTGAGTCTTGAATCAATCATCTATTCGAATGGCAGCTTTTTGTTCAATCTTTAAAATCCTTTAAAGTCGGACTAAAGATACATCTCCATATCATAATTCTGGATTGCAGCCTGGCTGTCATAGTAGCGGCAAGACCATAGAAGACAAGAGCTACGGTTTCTTGATGGCTTCATTCTATTCAAATCAAATTCCAATTGTGGTGGTTTTGCCGAAGTGATGCAAGTATGTCATACCTTCTATGACAGCTGCTCATGTCGTGTAGGTTACGATCACGATTGCCGTAGTATTGTGAACACAAATAGTAAAGTTATAGCTAATTGTGGCACAACATATTGTACAGGGACGTATATTTTGGTACGATAGATCCTACATCACGTATAAAATTCTGCTATTTATGCCTCAATCGCTAGCGAGATCCATCCATTTCAGTGCACGCACAACATTTTCGATACAATGTCTTTCTCGGTACCGCTTTCTATACATTCAACATCTTATAATGCACTTGTTTAAGAATAAAGAGCACAGTGTTTGTATGGCATATATCATATGATGATCACTCTGTCTTCCTGTCACTGCTTGTTTTGGGTGGATATATCGGGCGAGCATCTCCAGGTATCTAATTCGGTTTTGTTTATAATACTACAGAGCCACCCGAGTATACGCCACTTTAGATGGCTAAGCTCTACCAGGTGGTACAGACGTTAGGTCATTTTGTTTGTGTGAAATCAAGACAGTTCACTGACGATATGAATAGAGTATTGTAACCGTAGATAGCGCATATCAATATTGTGGAGGAGGGGGGAAGTGTGGGGTCATTTAGCAAACGGTCTGACTTGATCTAACGCTACTCAGTTCAAACTATCTACATGAAATGAGGTTTCCATGTTATCTAAGGTTTGGCAAAATGTATATACACGTAACATTGCCGGTGGCTAGTTGTGCCATGTTTGGAACAATTTGATCATATATCCCATTTAAGAAAACCGAACACCATTTACTTAAAGAGTAAATGTTCTTGTTACCACAAAATGGCACTTTTTGTTGATTTCCTTAATTTTACATGGCAAAGCCAAAATGTATAGCATAATTTTTTGGTAAAAATAGAGAGAGAGGTATATAAACAACGAGTATTTTGACAGTTGTCGTTTTTTTTTTATCTATAGAAATACATTGAAAAATACATTAAAAATGGCTGTACAATGGGTCTATGCTAATGGTTCCACTTGGGTTACTCTTGATCTATCTGCGCAATACCAAATCGAAAGTTTATGGAGTAGAGATGCCTCTAGCTGGATTAACAGCGACTCCTTCCGTGGCCCCGTCTATGTTGATACTAGCGAAATGGTGCTTATGTTTGGTGGTCTTTCGTATGCAATCTGCCGACGTTGAGGTTTAAGCCTGTATACAAGTGCAATTTGTATCGCGCACGTAGTGCAATCACCTCCTAAACATCACACAGTTTGTTTGATATGTTAATGTTATATACACCAAATACCCAGATATAAATGCACAATTTGTCGTAAACACTCAAATCTAATGTACCAATAAATCAAAAAAAAGTATAGAAAACTGACATGATTGGTATTTTAGTACGAGATGTTTATGCATTTAGCAATTGAGCCTTGGATTATTATTAAAAAACAAGCATACTGCAAGCAAACACAACGATCAAGTATCATAAATCATAAAATTTTGAGAAATTTCCACATCAAGTGGGTTTCAGAGACTTTTATTACAGAAAGAAAATGACATGAGTTACAGAAATAGAGTGAGTGATGATACATTCAAAAGCAAAAAATGCTCAAAGCGAATCCAGTCGCAAAAGAGGCACAACATTTAGAGAGACCAAGTGATGGGAATGACACCTTCATCCAAGGCACCAAGCTTCTTGAAGGCAGAAGGACTAAGATCAACATCTCCTTCACCACAGCCGGGACATGAGTCAACAACTTTGACAGTAACTGATTTGCCACCTTTAGACTTGAGGGTGATGGATTTACCACAATAGGATCCATCAGCACCAGTACCCATAAGCTTCTCTGATAGTGCAGCAACCATCTCGCTGTCAGAATTAGTATTGCCACAAGAGCCCATTCCAACAGAATAGTATGTAGCATCACCCGACATGGAACTACGAGCTTGAAGTTTGGAGGCAGCAGGTGCAGCTTCAGCTGTCATGACGAAAGCAGCAATCAAAGCAGTAAGAGCAGTAGAGAAAGAGGTCTTCATTTTGAGGTATTTGTTTTGTAAATGTTCTATAGATGTGTATAAATGTGTATATAATAGAGAACGACCAGCGTTTTGTTGACTCTTATAAAAGAAGAGAATGTGTTGATTGAATGAAGAAAGTGAGGGAGAAAAAAGGGAATCAAACGGTTTGTATTTATACTTTTCTCAATAATTGACGCGGGACCCATTTCATATATGATTTACGCTAAACAGTTCCCTTGAAGACCTGATAAACAAATATAAGGGGCGAGATGTGTTCTGGAATTCAATCATGATAGTTGCAACAGCTCCAATCTGGCCAATGTCGAGCAATTGGGATGTCTGTCAAAATGCGGCGGACAAACAACGAGCATCCGGGTTCGAGAACAATTCAAATTGATTTGTTTTTGCTGTAGATCTATCGCATGTGGTGCTACTACTTCTATGTACTGCCTTCCATATTTGTCTAATTAAAGACTGAATATGGCTCGAAAAAAGACATCTTTTTATGTGTGTAAATTAATTAATTCATATAAAAAAAGCAGCATACCATCGATGGTGGCGTTGCTATTCGTAGTCGAGTTGTCAATTAACAGGTTTGCCAAGTAAATCTGACTCATATCATAAGAGACACATCTGAGTCTGTAACATGTCAAAAAATATCATACATGAACAGTCTAGGTCTTGCCAAATCCTTCATAGTTCTTCATCTTATTGGTGATTGAAAATTTCTTCTCTTCATTTGTTTGTTGTTGACAACGAACAGGGCAATTTTGTTTCGGATTAATCAATCGTCAACTCTTACTGAGTATCCATAATCCAATATACAAAATGGATGCAGAAAAAGACTCGTCAGAAAAGTATCATACTGTTCCAGAGCATTATAGCTGAGACGACATCCATGTTATGATGAAAGGAGGAGGATCTAAAATAGGCTTATGTTACCGTTAATTGCTTGACTACGGTTTGATGTGCTGCAAGGTGCTCGCTATGTCTATTATAGCACCATCAGTTGTAGCATTTATATATAATTCCCTCTTGCGATCAAATAATAGGTGTTGCTTGACGTTCATTCCGTTTTCTATATAGAAGAAACCGTTGTCGCATCAAAAGTGATCTGCGGTAACCATGGCTACAATGTTGGACTCATTCTCCGCTGTGCCTACCATTGAAACCTATCATAACAACCGTTTATGATGACAGCTGTAGCATAGCAACAGAATGGCGGCAGCCTTGTACCTTGACAAGTAGATACATGCCACATTTTCATCAGTTGAACTGATTCAAATATTCAAATTAGGGGGTCAAGGAGGATAATGCAGTCCATCTGGGTACACTTCATGATGATTGCTTTGACCCAAATGAGGTAATGCTTGGAAAAAAAAAAAGTATTTTTTTTCTCATTTCACTCTTAAAACTTGAGTATCACTTTGAAATATCAAAAATAACAAGATGAATACAACGAAAAGCGCCAATACTAAGGTTTGAAAAACAATCTAGTATTATTTTACATGATGATTGATTAAACAAATGATAGAGACTGTACATTGGTAATCTAGATGAGAGCATCAATGAGTAAGTTGAATCGTTTTGCGTTGTTTATGAAAGCAACTTACATATTAGGTATGCTATTATACAACTTTTCAAACCATTTGGTAAAATTACATTTATTGAAGTTATGGTGCATTGGACTGGTGAGAAGAAAGGACGGTCAAGAGGCTTTTGTTTCTTGGAATATGAAACGAAAGAGGTATTTATTGCTATAAATCCTTATCTGAGTGCCTATTCATTGATAAAGTCTCTCTACAAATGAAGCAAGCATTGGAAGCCATCAGCAACTTGCACGGAAAAACGATTAAAGGTAAATCTTTGGTGGTATCATTTGCTCATATGGTAAATATTCACACATTTGTGTTGAATTATGCGTGCTAAAAACTAAATATAGACACCTGAGCAAGATGAAGCGAAAAAACGAGGTCAAGCATCACATCACAAACCTACTACGCTATCACTATTGAAAGGCCAAAGGCTGAAAAACGCAAGGTAAGATATCTTTGCTTGATATCGGTTCTAAATGTCGTAAATTAACCATTACATGTCAAGCACGGATGCAAAGATTCGAGCCATTGAAAAAAAATTGGACTTACTGAAACGATCTACGCTATCGCCATCGGCCTCGCCACCACCAGCATCACAAACAACAACAAAGGCGCCCAGCAATGCGTCTTCAAAGAGTACGTCTAAAATTCAAAATCGGTATCATCCTTATTAAAACGTGGAGATGCATCGTCTATTTTTTTTCCAACGCACTCTAGTCTTGAATAAATTACCTTCTTGTACTCCTCAAACATCGATTCACATGAATAGCCTGTGTAGCCCCAATATTCCGGATGTTTCGTTTTATTTAGAATGAGTTGCAGGATGGGGTACCTTTCGCTAAATAAGCTATTGCTGCCAATGATGGAGCCCTTAAAAGAAATACGAGAAAACTTGATATACAATGTAGCTGCATTCAATATTGTCTTGATGTATTACCATGAGCTACTACCCAGACGTGTTTGTAGGCTTTCAATTCTTTTAGATGACATACTGTTGGCCCTGGATTATACAATTTCCAGACCTCTGTAGACCACAGAGAGCCGGGTGTTTGGCAGTAGCTAGAACTACATTTACAAGCTTCCAATGGCGGTGCCCATCATTTTACAGAAAATATATGCCTTCGTTTTTGGCCTTATCAATGATCAAAGTTCATCGCACACAGAATGCACGCACAGAGTAGATTCATGCATTTGAAATTTTTTATATCTGTGCTTCTCTACGTAAATTAAGCTTCATCCCTTCTCACCTATAATGTTAGAAGGACTCCAGTTTAAGCAACATTCGAATTTTAGCTATTGACATGCATTGTACTTGTGCCGAAACAAGACCAAAGAATAGCAAATGCATACGAAACTGTATATAGTATGTTACCTTATCGCGCATTTCAAACATTTATCAAGTTTTCAGCCACCTCATCCTGGCAACATTTTAATATTTCTAAATTTAATGAAAATTCCAATTTCAACCTTTCATCTCATAGATTACTGCCATTCTATTTTTGACCCTCAGGAGTGTCGAACATTTATAGAGCTCGACAGTAGAGCAGAGCTCAATCTGGTGATCCATAACCTTCATTGATGGTGCGGCAACAAAGGCAGATGCTACTACGGCGTCGTCATTTCGGATCAAAATGGCAAAAATAGTCTTTGAAAAAGGAGTAAAAAAAAAAAAAAAAAAAAAAAGATCTCTTACAATAGAAAGTTGGTCAATGAGAAATCAAAATCCATTATGAATATGAATAGTACATGTGGAGCTTGTAGAATCAAAGAATCTGTAATACTACGTATAGCATGGTCGTTATCTAGTTAGACCCGCGATTACATTTAATTGCAGATAACAATGCACAGACCATGACGATACAGATTTTGCTGATATCTCTCATTAGATGAAAGGGAGAGAAAGACAAAGAAAAGCTGTCAAAGTAGCAACCTTCACTTATCATATTTGAAGAGCTGAAGAAAGGGTAACTCTGGCCACACTCGCCCAAAGTTCATTTGATTCATCAGATGTCCCTTTTTTTTTCTTGTGTTCCACGTTGGATTGGCCAAATAGACTGGAGCACCCGCTTTTTTTTGGGAGGTTTACACAAACATGCTTTCCAGGAATTTGTATAAATACATGACCCTTTTCAGCTCTTTTTTCATTCTCTATCATCTTTTTTTTTTCCTGGCCATCTTTTTCAAATAATGACAGATACTGCATCGCCCTTTAAGCTAAAGAACCCAACAGAATACCACTTGCTAGCCACACAGCAACAGGCACAGCAATCCAGTAACAATGGCTTATTCAATGTCATGGACGATCAGCATCTCGATTTCTCTGATTGCTATACCCAGCAGTTCTTATCGCCATCCTCCAACTCGCCCGCTTTACAAGATTTCGATGATGTGGATTCCCTGTCCGCTGGATTACCATCATCTACCATGGGTAATTTGATGATTGTCCCTGATCAACATCATAGTCAACAACAACAACATCAGCAACAACAAATACTTTTTTTCCCATCACAATTCAACCAGCCTGATAACACAGAAGAAGAATCTCCATCCGACTATTCGTCTTCCTTGGACATATTCTCCAATAATTCGCAGCCATCTTCGTATCTCTACAACCATCAAAGACACAACAGCATCAGCAATGACATGTTTGTGGGTTCGCCTATCATCTATAACACAAACAGACTCTCTTCCTCGTTCGAGCAACAGCATCAACCATTCTCAGCTCCTGCTCATATGGGATTCGAATTCATGGGTCACATGGGCGGATTAGCAGCTTTTCACCACCAACCTGTAGATGGTCATAGTTTAGCTGCGACAGGCTCACGCAGCTTGGAGGAATACGAATCTATTCAAATCAAGTAAGATAGAGATTTATGCAATCTGTAGTAACAGGGTTACTGAACTATATCTAATAGTCAGCAGCTCATATCTGAAAAGAAACGACGCAGAAGAGAATCACATAATGCTGGTATGCGTGTGTCATTTCAGACAACACATCTTTATCAAACTAACATGCATTTGAACATTTTAGTCGAACGTCGTAGAAGAGAAAATATCAATGAGCGAATTCAAGAATTAGGAACCATGTTACCTGAAACCATGCTCGAGGAGCTTGCTAGCGTGAATATGAATGGTAACAATAACAATAAGCCTAATAAAGGTGCCATCTTGCGAAAATCAGTCGATCACATTCGAATTTTACAACAAGAAGTAACCAATCATCGACAACGTATATATGAATTGGAAACACAACTAGCAAGCCTTTCTGCGAAATAATTATATATCAACTATTTATCTATTCCATATGCATATCCCCTATATTCATCTCTTTTTCCTTTCCATCTGTTATGTACATTTTCTCGCTTATTTTGACAATACTTTTCCCTATTTATTTATATGACTATTATTACTACTGCCCCTTCTTCTCAAGAAAGAAATAACTATCCAAATATCCTGCTCTTGTATGTAATGTATGTATGCAAATGCGTGTCATCCTCAATATGGTAAAATTACTCTATGCTGCCATTGCTATTGCATGATGTGGTATAGGAGGACACGGACATGTAATCCTATTCTACAACTCGATTCTTACTCTGGGCTCATGATGTGCCAGTGCATTTACAGTGTATGTCTATTCCATGCTGTATGATGTCAACGGTCTTGTGTTCGCATTATTGTACAAGCAACTCCAAATGTTGCTTCCATGCATGTACCACAAAAATTTGATCACTAATTTGAATTACTGTCTGTGGCATTTGAGAAAAAAACCTGCGTTTCACCTGTTTCTAAACTAACCATCGCATTGCTGATTCTCCGTTTCTCAAAGGAAACTAGCAAACAATCTATATCTTGGGCCTTTGCGTCGACTGCATCGAGACTCTTGATCCGCCTATAAGCTGAGGTAGCAGCAAGAGGAAGATGATATATTGTACCAAGAACCAAGTGATACTATGCCATGCTGCGCTATTCTAAATCACAAAAATGGGATTCTTCCATTTAATCTGCACGGATCAACACAATCATACAATAGATATCAAAAGAAAGCATCACATTGCCATGTCTGCTGCTCTGTCACTTATTTTATTACGCTACAATGACATGCTGAATACGTTATGCTGTTACCACAACATACCACTTACATTTAAGGCAAATATTTCGATCAAATGAGTTTCTCAAGTGCACAAATGCCCGTGTTTGTGAAACACAATATGAATTTATCTTGAATCCAACATAAAAGACCATGTGGACCCGACTAATCAACGCAAAACCAAGGTGATTTGTTTAAAAACAATGCTTATTTACTATTAAAGACTATAGAATTTATTTAAATGCATAGTTATTCGAGATATGTAAGAGAATGGATGGCTTTTTTTTTGTAATGAAAAAAAAAAGCGATAAAAAACCAATACACGATGGATACTGTATAATATATGAGAGATACCTTTTTGCTTTCTTAACGGAATAAGTTGGTCAAATCGGCAGGGTGGAGAATAGGTTCTTGCATATACGACTCTATATCAGGGGGACACTCCATTTTTGCTTTACCAAGCACCACTTTCTTTTGTTTGACGGTAAATCCATCACAGGTAATGGCAGCGCGAACCATTCGAGGCAACAGTTCATCGTCGAATGAGTGGTATGGGCGGTCCATATGATTATAAAGTGCTTCTGTAATACAATGTGAGAGTGAGCTCATTATCATGTGGTTGTAAATCACTGTCAATTACCTGTTGCTAGCTTATAACATTCATAAATGATATCTCGTTGAGCTGTTGTAACGGCGCGAGGTTGTTTCCAGGGAATGTTCATGATGATGGTGATCAAGAACTCGAATGGTCTTTCAGCACATTTACGGTTGTAAAAAGTCTATAATAAATGGATATGATATTCAGCATATTTGCAGTCTAAATGTCATTATACTCACCTTGAAGAATTTACAAATGTCCAATAAGCGTTGTAAATCTCGTTGGCCAATGTAAAATTGTGATTTCTGAGTAGCTGAAGAGTCTCGAGAATCAGTGTGAGGACATGCCATGCCATCTGTGAATTCACCCTTCCATTGCGAGAAGAGATCGTTGCAGAGCTCATCGTACGAACTGCGAGTAACAGTGATATGGCGGCCCTGAGCTTGGGGAATTTTGATGTTACCAATAATAAAGTCGATTTGAATAGGCGAGGAAGTATTCATCTCTAATTCCACATAGGCAGTATTTAGGGTCTTCCCAGTTTTGATATCCATGAAAACCTAGACACAAGAGGGTTTGTTCACAGCGTAATTTTCAGTCATCATACATAGCCTACATGAACGCATTGAGGGAGCTTGGTAGCATCTGGGAGTTTGAGGGTGTTGTAGCGAGACAGTGTGTCGTAAATATCAGATGAACTCACATTCCATGATATCTGTTTTGTAGATGAGTTAGTAGGAAAAAGAGAACTACATGCACCAGAGCACACACTACATTTTTGATCTTGAGTACTATGTAAGGTCGAATAACTGACATATTCTGGTCATTACTGACGCCAGACGAGATAAAAGCCAACGAGTCAGTGATGTATCTTGATTTACGAATAGGAGAATCTACAGGAGCGGTTTGTGATTGACTTGCTGGTATAGCAGAAGCTTCTGCCATATCAATATCCATTTCTTCCTTCACAAGTGGGATATTTGAACCAGTACGCTCTGTTTGCATCGTAGAGATTCTTGATTCAGTTGCTTTGGCAGGGATAATAGTAGTACTGGATGTATGGCGAGTCACTTGCTGAGAGTCTTTGGCTGCTATCTGAGACCAGGTTCGAGGAGGAGCAGGCGTGGGCTTGCATGTATCAACGGCCTTCATACCCAGTTCATTGTGCTTGTGCAACATGAGGCTACTGTCAAAGAGGTTCTGCTGGTTTGAGTCACGAAGCTGCAATACATTGATATTAGTAGGCCATGGCGAAAAAGACTGAGATTGTTGGACGGATTCAGGTGCACGTTGATTGAAAGCACTGAAACCAATATGAGAGACAGCACTGAGAGGACGCAAGACGATGCTACTTGAAGATCTCAAATCATCAGGTGTGAAACGCTTAGCAGGGGATGGACTGGCCAGTTGCAAAGTGCTGACAGAGCTAGGCACATGCGTTGATTGCAAGAAAGGAGGCATTGGTAAACCCGGAGGGCCTCTTGGGTTCAGATGAGCTCCAACTGTGGCACACATCTTTAGCAACTAATTTAAAACTATATCCTAGTGAACAACTTACCACCTGGTTGTACTAGTAATTCTTGATTCAATTGATTGTCATTGAACACCGTAAAACTAGAACTTGGACTATTGAGGCGATGTCTTTGAACATCATTGCACCATGAAGAGACTCTGTCATCTCGCTGGCAAGCGCCCCTAGCTGTGGCCTGTGTTAGACGCTTTTGTGTACGGGTGATTGCATGCACTACTTACTGTTGAGTCGCTCGATACCAACAGAACTCTTCTCATTGATATTGTAACTTCTCTTGCTAGGAATGTCTGGATCAGGGTCTTTTTGAGAGGATCGCCAAGAAGAAGCCCTATCAGCTCTTGAGTCCAGCTGGTAATACTGGTATTGTTGTTGCTGCTGCTGCTGCTGCTGCTGCTGATGGTGGCTTCTTGAACGGCGGTTGTTGGTATAGAAATCTATTGCAAAAGACTGTTAGATAATGATAGCACAAAACATGGCATGAGCATGATGTAGGCACCTTGGTTCTCCATAAGGCAAGGATGTCTGGCTTGGTGTATGTATAAAGAAAAAAAAAAGGCAGGGATAAAAATGAAAGAGAGAGAGAGAGAGAGAGAGAGAAAAAGAAATGCCAAGTGACAACATTAAATATCAAGTTTGCATGTTTGCTCAAGTCATGGCAATTAGCTACTGTAAACACAGCAACTCATCTTGATCTACACTCATGTGACGTTTTCGAACTCTGTTTCCAGCCATCATTCATCTCTATCTTGACTGATAAAGACGCTTGCAAAAGTACTTGAACGAGATGGCGTTCATGTGTATTATTCTACCGTGATTTTGTTATATCAAACTTATAGTAAGTTGAATCAGGAGCAGTTGCTGGTGCTGTTTGCATGAATGGGAATTGAGCAATCAAATATCTTTTGTCAATTAGATGCGTAAACAACGCGAGATGAAACTTACGCCCATACCGCGTTTTGACATCAATTTATGACAAAGTTAGTGTCAAAGGTATCCAGGCAGCGCATTGCATCTTTGAACACATGTGCATAATAAGTTGTTAACTCGTAAGGTAGTGTTAAGCCCATCCACCAAGAACATAACGCATTTAATTCAACATTTGGTAACGTCGACCTATAAGAGGGTGTTAATATGACAAGGCGAAGATGCAAAACCATAGTATTCAAGCAGCAAACGCGGGTTTTCATTTCCATTGTTAACACTCTTACCAACAACATAACGTATCGAAATTTGCATGAATTAGCTTTACCAAAACCAAATATGCCTCCTATTCGAATTAAACATTGCACAGGCTGCTGAACTGCCCTTCCAGAAGATTTCAGCAGCCAAAAATGTGATTTATACCGTGTAAATAAACTCCAAAAGCAAAATATAACCAAATTTGACAACTTTCAAGCCTTCATATCTTGACATGTAGATCTTCCTGAGCCACCAGATTGACGCCAAACAATTGTCCAATCTTGAAAAGAAAAAATAAGCTGCTGTTTCGCTGCTGGCTGACCCAAATGCCTTTCTGATGATGACAATGATAATTGCGATGCTGATTAAATGAAGACAATGGAGTTGGGAGGACAATTAATTAACCCCAATACTTTTTTTTTGGGATATTTGCCTCATAAAGATGTCTTGCAATGGCAATATCTTAAAAAAAAAGTCGCTATAGATCTTACACAAGTCCTGTATTTGCGCATGATCAGTTTTATGTCGCCATATTAAGAGCATCAGCGGCAGCTAATGGTATGACAATTCTACTACTACCAGAAAATGGAGATTGTGGTGTAAAAATGCTACATAAAACTTGAATTTTCTTCCACATCGTCTCAATAATAGACTTCGTTTGATAACAATGTAAGCAAAAAGGGTGCTAAGAGAGATACTTCCTCCCCTCCTCCACCTCCTTCTGGCTCTAATATAACCTTTCTTTTACTAATAATGGATTGTTTAAAATCTACTTGATATACCAAAATTTTATCATATCTGATGTAAAATGTTTTCAGTGAGGGCCCGCAGGGCGGCGCCAACATCGAGCGTAGCAAGATAGATCGGCTAGTCACTGTATACCTATCAGTCCAACACCCTTGATCTGGATAATGGTTACGGCTCGATATGAGCCTTTATCATAATCATGCAGAAATGTTTACATCTGACAAATGGGACATTCAGGGGTAAACCCCAGTTCGCAGACAGAATGGATAGATCTGGTAAAAGGTACAGAAAAACCAGACATCTGGGAAGATGATGGGGAATATGCTAACCCATAATGTGATATGAAATACGATGACTAAATACAAAAAGCACTGAGTAGTGTGCAAGGTTCTCTTATCAGCATTTGAGTGATGGGAAAAAAGGGGTAAGGCAAGCCACCCAATGAATTGTGATGACAGTGAGATATCTGCTTCCCAGCCATCTTCATATGAATTGTATACAAACCCAATTGAACAACCGGAATTTACCCCGCAATTTTGAAGGTCGTGCCTCTGAAACCCAAATAGAGACCTCTTAAATAACTTGCTTTTTCCATTTTCACCCTTTTTCTTTCATCTTTCTCTAATAATACTATTTTATACAATGGCTACTGCTGAACAAATTGAACCCGTTGCTGTCGAGATCAAGAGCGACACCATCTCCTCTGTCAAGTCCTTCCTTTCTGGCGGTTTCGGTGGTATGGCATCTGTGCTGGTTGGGTATGTATTCATCAATATTTCGGCCGAGAGCAGTAGATGTTTAACACGAGCACACACTAGTCAACCCTTTGATTTAGTCAAGGTCCGTCTCCAGACCAGCGAAGGTGTCTACAAGAGCACTGCTGATTGCTTCAAGCAAATTGTAAAGAAGGATGGTATTTTCGGTTTATATCGTGGTATGGCTACCCCCTTGGCCAGTATCACTCCCATCTTTGCAGTCAGTTTCTGGGTAAGTCTATTCATTTGATTTAGCAGACAGAGAAAGAGAGAGGACATAGGGTATTAATACGTCAATGCTAGTCTTATGATCTCGGTAAGAAGATTGTGTATGGATTGAGAACCGATAAAAGCAATACCAACAAGCAGCTCAGTTTGGCTGAGATCACCTTTGCTGGTGCCTTCTCTGCTGTTCCTACCACTTTGTTTATGGCACCATCTGAGCGTGTCAAGGTGTTGATGCAAATTCAAGGCCAAGGTGGTGAGCAAAAATATAAGGGTCCTTTAGATGTTGTTCGTCAATTGTACAAGGAAGGTGGTGTTCGTTCCATCTGGAGAGGTACTGGTGCTACCTTGTTGCGTGATTCTCCCGGTTCTGCTGCTTACTTTGTTGCTTACGAATTGATCAAGAAGGGTCTCACTCCTGAAGGCACTCGCCCTGAAGATTTGAGCTTTGGTGCTGTCTTGTTTGCTGGAGGTAAGTTCTTTTTTTTTCTATGCTCATTATAGACTAAAATAGACTAATTCACAAATATCCTGTCAGGTATGGCTGGTGTTGCTATGTGGACCATTGCTATTCCTCCCGATGTCCTCAAGTCTCGCTTGCAATCTGCTCCTGCCGGCACTTACAGTGGTTTGGGTGATTGTCTCAAGAAGACTCTCAAGGCTGATGGTCCTGCTGCTCTCTTCAAGGGCCTTGGTCCTGCCATGTTGAGAGCTTTCCCTGCTAATGCTGCTACTTTCTTGGGTGTTGAGTACTCTATGAGGGCCATGAACATGGCTTTCTAAAGAAGGTGATAGGTTGTACATGTAGATATAAACTTGTTTTTGGAAACATTTAAGTGTAATTTTAATAAAAATAAAGGAATTTATCATATTTAAGAGTTCAGTCAGGAAAGTCGCACGAGCGATGTAATGATTTGCTTGCTAAAAATCACAGCTCCCCTTCAATTATTGTTGCAATATCAACAAATGGCCTACCGTGTAACCAATTCAGACACGCAATTCTGCTGACACAAATCTATCCTCGATTTTTAAAGTTTCAAACAGTATATTTTTTGCTTAAATTTAGCTGCTAAATTCACTATTCCATCTTCTTTCTTCTTCTTTATTCATCCTCTCTGAATAACTGCAGAAATGTCCTTTCTCAAAAACGCTACTAGAGTCACCCCTCGCTTCTCATTAGCTGCCGTAAGTATACACATAGCCAGGATTGCTCGAGAAAAATGTGCTTAATTCAGAAACTAGAAGAATGCAGTTGCTCGTCGTGCTATGGCATCTGCTGCCAGACCTGCACCCAAGACACCTGTCGACCCCAAGGCTGCTGGCCCCATGTTGAAGTATCAAGCCAATTTGCCCAAGTTGCCTGTGCCTGCTTTAAGCGGTACCTTGCAAAAGTACCTCCAATCTGTGCGCCCTCTCTTGGATGATGCCGAATACAAAAAGACTGAGCAAGCCGCCAAGGAATTCGAAGCACCTGGTGGTTTTGGTCAAAAGCTACAGGAGCGTTTAGTAGCTCGTTTCAATGATCCCAGCGTCGTCAACTGGATGGAAGATTGGTGGTTGGACCAAGCTTATATGGGTTACCGTGATCCCGTTGTGATCTATGTCAGCTACTTCTTTTTGTACAAAGACGACAAGTTGCGCAAATCTCCTGCTCAACGTGCTGCTGCCATCACCACTGCTGCTCTCGAGTTCAAGAAGCAAGTTGTTGAGTAAGTACAAGCGATCCAATGGGGGGGGGGTGTGTGTATTAAACAGCGCAACTGACACTACATAGCAAAACTCTGTCTGTTGAAATGGCCAAGGGAGAGCCTATGTGTATGGATTCCTACAAGTACATGTTCAACAACTGCCGTATGCCCAAGAAGCCATCTGATTATGAGGCCATTTTCGACCCTGTCAAGAATAACCACGTGGTAGTCCTTCGCAAGAACAAATTCTACGTTGTTGACACCTTCCATAACGGCAAGCAATTATCCACCAACGAGCTCCAACACCAATTCCAAAGAATCATCGATCAAGCAGGATCTTCTAAAGGTCTTCCCATTGGTGTCTTGACTTCAGATAACCGTGATAGATGGACAGAGGTAAGTTTCAATTGGCTCGAACCAGAAAATGTGGGGTTATTCGGACATTGGATACCCCTTTCATGGGAAACAAATTTAAGGTTCTTACACCCATCTAGTACAGAGAACGTTTGGTGGCTGCTAATCCTGATAACGCCCGCTATTTAGAAAAGGTAGAATCATCCGATTTTGTCATTTGTCTCGATGATCAAAAGCCTGTGACAAGAGATGAGGGCTCTCGTGCATGCTGGCATGGTGATGGCCGCAACCGTTTCTTTGATAAACCTTTGCAATTCATTGTCTATGAGAATGGTAAGGCTGGTTTCATGGGAGAGGTAAGTAGAAGGTATGCTCTGTGTAGATTGCGAGTAGATGGCTGATAACATATCTGTAGCACTCTTGTATGGATGGCACTGCTACCTGCCGTTTGAATGAGTACGTTTGTGATGGGTAAGCATAAATTACATAAACATGAATCTCAGCCGAATTTCTCACAGTTTGGGATTTTGTATCATGTTGCAGTTTAAACAGAGATAAGATCAACCATGGTGATGTCGAGGTTCGTTCTGATCTTCCTAATCCTGAGGAGATCCAGTTCCACGTGAACGACACTATCATCAAGGATATTCAAACTGCCGAATCCAACTTTGACCAACTCATCGCCAAGCATGACCTTACTGTCTTGTCATACCAATCCTACGGTAAGAACTTGATCAAGAAGTTCAAGTGTTCCCCTGATGGCTTCACTCAAATGGTCATTCAATTGGCCTACTACAAGATGTTTGGCATATCCCGCCCTACTTATGAATCTGCTCAAACTCGTAAATTCCAACGTGGTCGCACTGAGACTGCTCGTACTGTCACCACTGAATCTGTTGCGTTCGTAAAGGCTATGGAGGATCCTCATCTCGATAACCAATCAAAGATTGCTGCTTTCCGTGCTGCTCTCAAGACTCAAGGTGCTTACATGGCTGATGCCGTTAATGGTCATGGCGTTGATCGTCATTTCTTTGGCTTGAAGAACTGTATCCAGCCTGGTGAAGAGAAGCCTGAACTCTTTACTCAACCTATCAATGCCTACTCTTCTCACTGGTACCTTTCCACATCCCAATTGTCCTCTGAGCACTTTGATGGTTACGGTTGGGGTCAAGTTGTCAACGATGGCTTTGGCTGTGCCTACATGATCAAGGGGAATGCTCTCCAATTCAACGTTGCCAGTGTCAAAGATCTTGAAGTGCACGGCACCAAGTACGTTAACGGTACTCATCACTTCAAGCAATGTCTTGAGGATGCTGCTAATGATTTGAGAGATTTGTTAAACACTGAAATCGAGTCCGAAGCCAAATTGTAGATTGCTTTACAGCATTTGATAGATATTTATATGAATAAAGAAAACATTATAAGAACATTCAACCACTGTCATTGTTGAGTTCCACTAATCGACTCGATCCATCGAGCTTCTCCGACCGGAAATGTTGCGGAGGGGTCATGTCCACAGACACACGCACTCCAGAAGAATCTCCTAAAATAGGGATCCAGATGTGCCAGATGTGTAGATTCCTTCTTCATTGATATTATTAAAGTGAGTATCCATATACTTGAGCATCATGCGATGAACAGACACAACATGGATGATGAAGGATGGATTACTGATGGATGGATGATTATGTTATTGTAGTATGGCCGACTCAGCTTCTGCCGGTGCTTCTCGTGGTATGTTTGTTATTCAGCAAAATAAAAAAATCTGACAGGATTCGAAATACTCACTCATGGTTCAATCATTAGGTCGTGGATTTGGTCGCGGACGTGGTCAACGTAAGTATACGACACAGCCATATCAAAGCAATTAGATACTTTGATCATCTATGTCTATGAATTGGGATATTGATATGTGGATTTAGGTGGTGCCCGTCGTGCTAGACGTGGTGAGGAAAAGAACGAATGGGTTCCCGTTACCAAGCTTGGTCGTCTTGTTAAGGCTAACAAGATCAAGTCTATCGAGGAAATCTATCTCTTCTCTCTCCCTATCAAGGAGTATCAAATTGTTGATTACTTCCTTCCCAAGCTCACTGATCAAGTCATGAAGATCATGCCTGTTCAAAAGCAAACCACTGCCGGTCAACGTACTCGTTTCAAGGCTTTCGTTGTCATTGGTGACGAAAATGGTCATGTTGGTTTGGGTGTCAAGTGTGCTAAGGAAGTTGCTACTGCCATCCGTGGTGGTATCATCCTTGCCAAGTTGGCCATCATTCCCGTTCGTCGTGGTTACTGGGGTTCCAACCTTGGTGAGCCTCACACCGTCCCCTGTAAGGTCACTGGTCGTTGTGGTTCCGTCATGGCTCGTTTGGTCCCTGCTCCCCGTGGTACTGGTATCGTTGCCTCTCCCACTGCCAAGCGTGTCCTTCAATTGGCTGGTGTCACCGATTGTTATACTACCTCTCGTGGTTCTACCCGTACTCTCGGTAACTTTGTCAAGGCTACTTTCGCTGCCATTGGTAACACTTACGGCTTCTTGACTCCCGATCTCTGGGAAGAGTCCGAATTCGTTAAGGGTCCTTATCAAGAGTTCTCTGACTTCCTTGCCCAAAAGCAAAGAAAGTAAATTTTTACCAATTCTGTTAGTCGAAATGATTAGAAATTGGTAACTATATGAATAAATTTACTCTTTTTTAATAATACACAAAAACTGCAGAGGTTATTATGTATTGCGTCTTAGGCGAGGGAGGAATGGGGATAGTAGTAGTGTATAATGTTGTATCTGGCAGTAACGGATGGCACAGATCGATCAATTTGGATATGGAATGATCGCCAAATGTCAATGTTTGCATATTATATGTGAGCTTAACGATCGCATGACGATGATCGATCAGGAAGTGCAAAATGCATAATACCTTGTGAACATATTTTTAGCGAGCGAGGATTTTGCTATTATCAAAAGCGCGCTAGATGACTTCTCTCCATGACCAGACTTGATCTATCGTCTTGACAATGAACTCTTGGGTTGATGAACAATACTACATTTAGAAAGCTACACAAGCACTTTGTAACAAACTTTGAGAGCAAAATATGCATGTGCGCTAAATTGTCTCTATGTGAGAGTTTGGTGCGATGCTATAACGCGATATAGTTATTCTAGCTCTTTCTTTGTGTTGACAGAAGGCTCCTAAAATATGGTCAATCCTTGTAATTCATGACAAAGTTAGGCACTATATACCTTACACATGAAACTGAGCCATTTGGCATCAAGCTTCGCATTAGAGTAAGCAACTTTCAACCATTGAATACATCAGTTATGGAAGTATGCAACAAAGGCAGAAGCAAACCCTAAAGCTAAGCTGTAACACGTTTTCGATTCGCAAATTCCTTTTTATCAGCTTTTGAAAGCAGCATTCACCCTCCATGATGGTACCTGTTGCCAGCCAAAACATTTCAACGTCCGCTTATGTTATTTCTGTCTAGAAATGGAAATTTCTGATTCACTTTCGACTTCGTTGAACTCTTTTTCCATATTCGACTATATAACCGAACCAACTATTCTGTGCACCTTTGAGTTTTCTTGGAATGCTTTTCAAGGTGCATCCAATGGTACCAAGTAAGATAGATGTTTTGAATAAACTTACCGAATAATGTACGAAACTATGAAAAGAGGTTTCTGGCCAAAATGTCAGAAATTTATATATCAACACTCCACAAAGATGATTTCAGAGGTTGCTTTGGATCGATAGAAACATTTTAATTCAAGATATACCATAGTAAAAGTCTTCATTTTCAAGGTCAAAAACGCGATCGTTTGATTTTCGATGAAAGCCATGAGAGGTACCTCATGCTTTTTGGCCATGTTTTTTGGTCCCCAAAAAGTTGAGCAAAGGTGTCAGAAAGTAATTCTTAGATGAGAGAAACTGTTTGGTGCTATTCTGACAATCTAAGACGGCTTTGAACGCGAGAAAACACGGCTTTATTGCATTCAAATTTCGCTGTGTTTCACACACTTTTAAGTAGTAAAAAGCAATGCAAGTATGCCATCTGCCAGTACATAAATTGCTCCAATTGACACAGACGTGGAGAGTTGTAGAAGAGTCAGATTTACAGTAATAGGTCGTTAACCTCACACGATATTAGGGTGTTGACAGCAAAAGTCAAAATTACATAATGCATGAAACCAGGAATGTTTTTTAAACATGGAAGTGAAGACTGGGGCGCTGTATCTTTTATCTTTAAACAGGACAATATAATACAATTTCTATTGAAACGCGTTTTCCTTTGCTTGGCCCTTAAAGCAACATCTGTTGTATATGAGCTTTTTCAACTAGCTTATCTTCGGGTCATTCTCATTGCGTTTTTGCAAGAACAAAAGTTTGATTCTTGGTGGAAATATACGAAACGTATATGTAATAATTTACTCGAAATCCTTAAACTGGATAAAAAAGCAGATGCTAGTGGGACATCTTCAAACAAAAACCTAATCTAGCTTACATAAATTCAACATGATCATTTAAGCGGCCTACTTGCTATTACCCGAGCGACACTGAGGCACCTGTAATTAGTATTGTCTTCAAATACATCATAAATCAAACTGGGTTGGTGATGGATACGATCTTTGAAGTTGCCATCACATTCCCCCCTAAGTATCTGTATGGCATTTGCTTATTCACTAAGCTTCTGCTCGTAAAAGCTATTCCTCTGCCAGTAATCACGTAAACACTGTATAAAGCGGGAAGCTTATGTAATATCTAATAAAGTTTGGTTGAACATTTCGATATACCATTCCTTTATATGCTCATTATTTGACGCCTTTTGTAAGCGATCAATTGCTGCAACTAGAATGTTGAAAGAGGATTTTTATTACTATGTGATTGGAGTGTACTGTATTACAACCATTCTTAGAAGAACGAGATTTACAGGCATAATGTATATATTTGCAGTGAGAGAACACGCATATCAACGCAGCAATTCGAATGATTCAGTCCAAAACACTCAAATACTTTTCAGCCGGCTTTTACATGACAAAGCTGCCAATATTCTTTTTGTACAGTACACAATCGTGTAATCACCATTGCTGCACTACCTGCAAGTGTAACGCTACTGAATTTTACATACGAGCGCTAAAGATATTACGCCATCTAGCAAAGAAACGATGATTGGGGATATATAAAATTAAGCACGCAAACATACCCTTGATGAGTTCATTTGAAATACCGTTCTGATTGTAGTAATGCAGAAAGTCGTAAGATGGCTTCACTACAAATAATCTGCATACAATTGGATCTTTTCTTTCAAATATAGAACCTGTATGCACATGTTTTATCCATTTTTTTTCTATCTATTAGTGTAAAATTCACTCACACAATGGTTGTCGATATTGTCTGACCTTTGCTTTCATGATTTCTGAAAGTATGTTTAGAGTACTTAAAACCGGATATAACTTTTTGGCTAATAATTCTAAAATAATTTGCTTTGTTCAGCAAATTTCCCGCCTATGTCCCTGTGCAAAATGATGCCATAGCATTCACAAATAAACAAGAGCATTCCCCGCATAGGTATGATAAGAGCCTTTAATATCTTATCATATCGCTACGTACACAGCGGGGTAAGTCAGGTAACATCCTTTCTAATGTACCTATTATTGACATGTTACACATTCAAATCTAGATACCATAGATAACTATAACTTTGTTTTTACAAAAATTATAGATCAAGATAATGTACATGTAAGCTTGCTAGACTGCAACAGAAGCCTTCATAAGTGGCACTCCATCTTTCAATAGCATCTTTAATTTTATCCGGAATCAATTGTATTTTACCTTCATTTGTTGACTATTTTACGCAAGAGGCAACATGGAAATGTAAATTTGCCATTTGATTAAACACCACGGCGATTTCCGTTAGAAAATATTGCTTATTTGGTGATTGAACGGAATAGTCTGAGACATTTCATATTCATGTTTGACATTCAATGACAGGCTTTAGTTTGAGTAGTAATCTTTGGGGTCATTGGACGAAGTCGACAATGATGAAAGCAGTACGATGATGAACCTGAAAAGTGCTCTTCTTACTAGGGATCCGCCATAAAGTTGCTTTAGTATAAATAGAAGAGACACAAAATATGACATAGATCCAATAGTTTCAAACTTGACAGGCTTGAATCCAAAATGTCCCACACTAATACAGATGAAGTATCAGTTCACTCAAGTTACAGTGAGGAGAACACTGCCATTCCAACTCAATCAGAGATCCATGTAGACCCTGTAGTGGAAAAGAGATTGCTCAGAAAGCTGGATTTTCGTCTGTTGACATTTGCATTTTTTTCTTATTTTACCAGTAATCTTGTGCGTAATAACATGCGTAAGTGGATCATTTTTCATATAGACACAATTAAATTGCTAACTTTCTATAGAAAATGCTTATACCAATGGCATGGATGTCGATGTTGGTATCGATTCTGAAGCTTACAATTGGTGTGTTACTTTCTTCTTTATCGGCTACATTATCCCTCAAATTCCTACAAACATGATCGTCGCTCGCATCCAGCCCAAGTACTTTTTGCCTACTGCTGAAATCATCTGGGGTGTCATCACTTGTTGTATCTCGGTAGCCAAGACTCCTAACGCAGTATGGGGCTTGAGATTTATTCTCGGAATGGCTCAAGCTACCTTTGTCCCATCCATGGTTTTCATCATTGGTTCTTGGTATACAAACGAAGAACTTGCTACTCGTACTGCCATCTTTATGGCCGGTAACCAAATGTCTGGCGCTATCGGTGGTATCATTGCCGCTGGCATCAATACCAATCTAAACGGTGCTTCTGGTAAAGCTAGTTGGCAATGGCTTTTCATTGTCGAGGGCTTGATGTCTATCTTTGTTGGTGTCTTTGGCTACTATCTCCTTCCAAATTATCCTCACAACACGAACTGGGTACAAGGCGAGGAAAAGGATTGCGCCTATGCTCGTCTGGAACGTCAAGGCAAGCAAATCAAGTCTCAAAAATACACTTGGAACACCTTTAGAAACGTCTTGGCTACTCCCTATGCATATCTTTTGACGTTTGATTTCATCTGTATCAATCTTGGTAACCAGCTTCCTCTAAATTTCTCTATTATTGTGAGAGATATGGGCTATGGCTCTGCTTATTCCAATTATCTGGTCTCGCCCATTTTTGGCTTTGCTGCATTCACTGTTGTGCTCATTGGCTATCTCTCTGACAAGTACAGTGAGCGTGCTTGGATCATTATCATTGTACAGCTGTGGGTCTCTGTTTGGTATATCGTCTTGTTTGCTGTGAATCATGGTCAAACGCCGTTCTGGTTGCTCATGTTGAGTTCCTTTGCCATTGTCAACAATATCTCCATGTTTCCCATTGTATTTTCATTCATCAATGAAATCTTTGCTCTGGATGCAAATACCCGTGCTTTGGCCATTGCCTGTATCAATTGTATTGGTAATCTCGTACCAAATTTCATCAGTGTTGGCATTTGGAAAGTCAGCGACTCTCCTAATTTTTACCTTGGAAAAGTGGTTACATTTGCCCTCTCTCTCTGCTCTGTCTTTGTTACCATCTTTTGTTGGTGGTGCCTTAAACACAGCATCAACCTTCCTCGTGAAAGAAAACCAGCTCAACCGGAATTCTCTGCTGAGGAAGGCTTTGAGGACGATGAAAAGAAGGAATAATTGCATTTACTTTTATTTCACTCCTCCGTGTACTATATATATATATATATATCATATCTTAGCATTTCATTCAACATCTCTTTTCATTCTTTGTATATTTATGTGTTGTTCAATAAAGGCTTATTTGTTTTTTCATTTCACTTATCGCCATATGATAGAATCACTGACTGCTGCTGAATACCTGCTAGAAACGAGACACGGATCAGATATTAAGGCAATGGAAATCTAGTTTTTTCAAATTCATTTACTATACAGATAAACTCAATCTATTTGACATTGTAATGTAGATCCCAAAAACGTGTTGACATGTTAAACATTTGTAGAGATTTTTTATGTATAAAAGAGATTTAGTTGTACAAAATGATGCTAAAAAGGAATATAGTATTATTGTTATTGTTGCAGGAAAAATAGGAAAGTTGTGTATATTTTGTCAATGAGTGGGGGGAATAGATGTTAGATTGCATATTTACAGCCATCATTTTCAAGCCTTTAGTTCTTTTTTCGCTTCTTTAGACGCTCCAGCTCCTTCTGCTCTTCGATCTGATCTTCACGTCTAGCTATGCGCTCGCTAAAAATTCGAGTTAGTAATGCCATCCAAGATGCGGCCCGACAATTAATTACCTTCGTTTTTCTTCTCTCAATACATCTCTGGCATCCGCCTCCATATCATCATCAGAGTACACAGGATCATTTGCATATCTAAAAGAGTATCGCCAAGTTAGACAATGAGCATGAATCTCCCATTTTCAAAGTAGCCATACCTGGTTCTATCGTATCTAAAGATTTTACTGATTTCGTCTGAATAACTATTTCTGCGAGGTCCTCTAGCATATCGTGGATCATCATCCTCATCATCATCCACAATGAAAGAGGCCAGCTCCTCGTCTTCCTCGTCCTCTTCCTCATCACGGTAACGTCTTCGAAGTGGTACACTTGATTTTCGAGCCGCTGGATCTAATGGTCTACCAGAGAATGGCATACGTCGCACTGCAGGTGGAGGCGGCCTTCTATCTGCGGTAGGTGCTGGGCGTTTTGCAATTGGTCTGGGAGGAGGCGATGCAGGTCTTCTTCGAGCAGGTGCTGAAACAGAAGGTGGTGGTGGGAATCTATTGCTGGATTTATTGCTGCTTCCACTCAATCTAGAATCTCGGGGCCTCTCATCTTCATCATCAGATCGAATGCCTTTTGAACGACGAATGTCTCTTTGTATTTCTGCTATCGAACGACGGTCTCGTTTCTGAGCATTGACCTTCTTCGGTGGTTCTGATACAAGCTGCCTAGCACGCTCTCTAGCTGACACACTATCTTCAAGATGTGCTGGCGATGATTTTGTGGGCTCAGGCTTTTTGATGCGATTATAGATAGTAGGGGTATTGCTATCGCTACCGGATGACCCTCTGCTCTCGTACGTTCCATATTTCTTTGGTGGGGGAGGAGTTGTTGCTTTGTCTTTACTGCCTCCTTTACTGACAGACTGCTCTTTCGCCTTCTTCATCAAATCGTCAAATGACATGTGAACCGGTTTCTACTGTCTCCATTAGTTGATACACCCTCCCCTGCTCAAGTGCTCGTACATACCTTCTTCTCAGGGAATAAGATGGCAGCATTCTTTCTACTTGCCGATGTTGATTTGATATTACTGAATGCATTGTTCGTGCGTGATTTTACTGGTTTTTCTGCCTGCATCTTTTTCTTTTCTTGTCCTCTCATCTGCTTTTTTTGATCAATCAATGATTTCTGCTTCTTGTCCTGCATTTCACGCTTCCTGACTAACTGTGCTTGAGCCTCCTCACGTTCCCGAAGAGCCCTTTCCTCTCTTCGTCGCCTCTCTTCATCTTCACGTCGTTTTTGCCTTGCACGTTCCATCAAGGAAGCATCCTGTTGCTTTGCTACTTGCGTAGCCTGTGCCATTAATTGGTCAAAGTTCAACGCAGTAGAGTCGCCCTGTGATATGCTCAATTAACGACGGCCAAATGGCATTCATTTTGTTCATACCTTTAACATTCCCATCAATTATATGTGTTTATAGGCCTATCTGGCAGAGATGTACAATGAATTAGAGTATAAAGGAGAGAAATAGAGAATGTATGCAGAAGAAAGAGAAAAAATTTATAGCTGTGGAAAAGAACAAAAAGGAAAAAAATACATTTTATTAAGCGTCACTCATTCGTCCAATGCCACCCAATCAACAAGGTAGTTACCGTGCTTGGACATGCTTGATAGACACCCAACATAATCTTGAACGTTAAATAGATGGAGCCTTGATCTCTGCCTGACAATGGACAGAGAGTATCGCTATTCTCTATTAGAGTAGCTTTACATTGCATACCACATGTGCTCCGATCTCAGGAACTTGCATGTCTTTAATGTGTGATGGGTAGCCTGAGATGGACATGTAACATCTCTGGCTGTGGATTCATTTACTCGGGTCTTTTCCAATATCATCAATACCATTCAATACATCTTGGATAGTGCAAATACCTTAGAAAAGCTGCCTAGGGCTTGGGATTATTTGCATTGGTGGATACCGATCATATCCTGTATGATGTGGCATCTGGGCAGACGTGTTTTTCGTTTTCAATATACAGTAAAGATCGAGCAATAAACACGGCTTACACAGCAAAGTTGCGACGAAATATCAACTAATGATACGAAGAGTAAAGGAAATACATATAGACCCCCTTAAAGCCATACAGTTTCATTGTGTGATTCATTGAATGGTACGTTAATCTGGGTCCAGCATCGCAATCAGGTCAAACCAAATTTCTGGACAACTTCAGGCCACAATATATGCCAAAAGTTGACATTTTTACATTTTAGATGCCAAATTCTCGTAGATAGAAGCTATTTCTAACGTCGAAAAAGGTACCAAATGAGTGCTACTGAGTAGTAGAAGTGATCAGCTACCACTCTTCATCGTTTATGGGAACTTTTTTTCGTCTCAAAACCTGACGATTTCGGCCTTATGGTAGCAAGGAAAAAATCTCAAATCAAACAAATGTCGATTGTTCGGTTGAAAAACGAAGCTTTTTATTAAGGTATACGAGCCTTTCGACACTTCGGGTGGTTTCCTGACCTACGCTCAAACGGCTCGCGCTGTCGCGGGCTTTTGGCTAATATCGCAAAATTAATGCAGCTAAAATGTTAGAAGAACCCTGATTGCTGATTGATATATAATCACTAATCATATAAGTGTCTATGCTTCAGATGGTTCTTTACCTTCGCTTCGCTTTGGTGAGAACCAACCTGCGCAGCGGCAGCTCGTGCTACCGATTGCCCTTGCGTATCTTATCAAAATACTGCTACTTTTATTTTGACCCTCCACTTACACATGATAACCCCTTATATTATCTGTGGATCTAATTCTTATGTGATGCTCTACACCCATATACAGGTAGCTACTTTATATACGGGCAAGCAGCATACTGGTATTTCCACTTTTTAGTCCTTAGTGTCCTTAATACAGCAAAATATGAGTGCATTTGAGCTGCGTTTTCTCGCGTTGAAGGCCATTTTAGATCGTCAGAATAGCACCAAGCGGTTGCTCTCATCTGGCAGTTACTTTATGATACCTTTGCTCAACTTTTTAGGTCAAAAAAAAATATGGCCAAAAATCGACCAAAAAGCATGAAGGGTACCTCATGGTTTTCATTGAAAATCAAACGATCGCATTTTTTACCTTGAAAATGAAGACTTTTACTATGGTATATCTTGAATCAAAATGTTTCTATCGATCCAAGCAACCTCTGAAATCATCTTTGTGGGACTTTGATATGCAAAATCTCGACTTTTTGGCCAGAAACCTCTTTTCATATTTTCGTAAAATTTTCAATAAGTTTATTCAAAACATCTATCTTACTTGGTACCATTGGAAGCGCCTTGAAAAGTACTTCAAGGATGTATTAGGAAGCCTTTTTTTTTTTTTTTTTTTTTTTGTAGGGGAGACGAGCTCCAGGTTTTATTTAAAGTCCTGTAAATGTCGCTATGAGTGATAGACAAGACTGTTGGTGGACCCAATGTCTGCAATGAAGGGGAATAAGATATTTTTTGAACTAAGTTGGGAAAGAAATCTACTACTAATAAGGTGCGACTCCTAGAGCCAGTACAGTCTTGCGGAAATCGTCAAAATATAGATCATGGATAAGAGTACAGAAACACCAAACGAGGACATCAGTACTACGTCAAAAAATCAAACAACTTGCGTTCACCAGGATTTGAACCGGGGATCCTCCCGTTGGCATACGGGAGTTCTACCACTTCGCCCTACCACCAGGGACAAATGTATTAGGAAGCCTAGGGTGATAACCATAGTTTATAGAGTCGAATATCGCAAAGCAGATTAAAGAAGTCGAAGAAGGGCGAAACTAGTCCAATCTTGAACAGAAAATATATACTGAGCTTCAATTGGTTTTAGCAGGCGGCACTGCTGCTGGCTGACCCAAACACCTTTCTGATGATGACAATAATGATTGCGATGCTGATTAAATGGGGATGATGGAGTTGAAAGGACAATTACTTGGCAAAAATAATCAAGTAGTATATTGAGCATCGAGGATACAAATGTGTGTATCCTCCTATTTACTCTCCTGAGCTTAACCCAATAGAACAATTCTGGCCAGTGGCAAAGAGTAAGGTTAAGCGCTATAGGTTTTGCAGGAAGATACTTTATCAAAAAGTATTACAGAAACCTGCAAAGTATAGAGAAAAGTCATTTCAAAGGCTTTGTTTCGCATTCTTACAAGTGCTGGAATAAATGTCGAAACAAGGAGCCTATGTAATGGCATCGACAATCACATCAGAAGCCAATAACACGGCGATTAAGAAAAAAGTAAGCTACAATCAGATCAGCAATAGACAATGTAAACTTTAATATATTTTTTTTTTATGTAGATCATACAGCATTGGCAAGTATTTTTAAGAGCACAAAGTGTAGGACACTTGAGAAAAGATATTGGACACTTGGGAAAGATATTGGATACTTGAAAACGATGTTGGACACTTCAACTGCACACAAATGATGGGAAAATCTGGCAATTCATGCTCATAGCATCGTGGACAGTTATGTTTTTTTTTTATACATACATGCCATGGATGAAAAGTAGCCATTTCATCGAAAAATGGTCGCTCTCATTCAAAATAACATACGCCATCTTTTCAATGAGAGCGACCTAATTGTATTCTTTTCAATTTCCCAAAGATCAATCTTCTCTGCTGATGTGAAGTGATGCGTTGCGAATACGATCAGAGATTTTTTCATTCTGCCTGACAGAAGAAGGATCGTTATTTACAACAGTCTTCAGCTTGGACCAAAACTCTTCGATCGGATTTAAAAAAAGGAGAATAAGGTGGCAAAAAGAGAAGTCTATAACCACGTTGCCCAACCCAATCTTCAATAAGTGCAGCCTTGTGAATGGATGCATTGTCAAGAACTAGATATTTGTAGCTCATGTTAGCCGCATCCAGTGTCGTGAGGACTTGCTCTATGTATTCAAGGAAGTCACTGCTGGTAGTACCCTTCCTCTTGGGGGCCTGAGATTTCTCACCAGTTCGAGTTCGTTTTCCACTCCTAGCACTAAGTACAACTTCTTTTCTGGATAATGTGATTAAACCACTTTTACAAATAGCACCCAAGATGCTGACATTTGCTCCCTTCGTTTGAACATCAATTTTGCAAGGTGTTCCAGCCTCAGACCATCCATATGAGCGATGCACACTCCTGTTAAAGCCAGCTTCATCCAAGAATACACATTCATTCATAAAGTCTATGTTCTGGCTAACCCAGTATGCTACCGCATCTCTGTGGAATTTGACCGTCAGTATAAAAAGAATATAAATTTAATGAGATCAAACTTGGAAATTTTATTAAGAATAAAAAAAGGCGAAGACTTTTTCTACTGCTAAATTGTTATGGTATTTATACTTTTTCTGTTTTAAAATCTTTTCTTGTCTAGACAATTGTTTTAGTCAGGGTATACCTAATAATTCCCTTTTCCCGAGTACAAGATATTGGCATTTCAAACAATGGATAGCCGCGAGCCTATCGGGTTCATCTTTAGGCGAGACGTACTACACAATGTGTCATTTATGTGTGTGGAACCTCTTAATCACTGGTATTTTTCACATACATATTGTGTTCAGAAGTTTAGGAATTACATAAATGTATCACCATGATAAGGGATTATAGGTTACTATGGTCACACTGATGAGTTGATTGGAACAGTTTCTTATTGTATTTGATAAAAGTGATTATGTCCATCAATTCTCACATATCAATCTTTTATCCCAGTTACTAGTTTTAGACATGTGTCTCCTAATTAGTATACTGGTGGTGGAACTCTACACTCTGCAATGTCTGTGTACAATTCTCACTGTATACCTTTTATTGTCATACAGCATCAGGTTTGATTTATAATATATATACTTCAAATTACAATGATTGTTCTCTTCTTGATATAAGTTAGCTACTCTCATACCAAGATCAATTGTATCCCGTCGTATTATATTATAAGCCATTAATATTTCAGGTATTGTGTGCCTGAAATATTTTATTTAAATGTTCAACTCTCAGTGTAATAATCAATTGTCTTTTTAAAGTCATATTTTGACATCCGTCGAAATATGCTTTTATTTTTTTATTTTTCTCATATTTCATTGTTTGATTCCAAATTGGTAATAGTTTATACGGATATCTGTGTATCATTCATGCTCAAATACAACACACCATCTTGTTGCGACTGGATCGACTTATTCATGACAATCCTGCAGACGATATTCCAGACTGCATTGGACAATCACTTGTTTAATGGTATTCCAGCATCCAAACTTGTTTTTTATCCTGTAACGCTTTCCTTCGCCTTTTTTCCCCTTGATCCTAAGGGATTTTTTAGAGCCACATGGCTATCTTTAACAAAATTTGAACGGGCTAGGCAAAATTGGTCAATAGTTACTGCGTGCCATATAAAGACTTAATAAAATACAATCTTTAATCGTAATGAAGTGATTAGTAGTATAACCTTCAGAACTATAATCATCTGACTGTTATAAGTTGGGGTATCATTTGAGTGTTTGATGGTTAGTTGTTTGAGCGTGGGGAAGTGAGTAGATATTTGTGTGGATGATTGATGAAATAGCTAGGACATATCGTCCATGTATTGGTAAATGAATCGCGCTAACGTGGCTACCAGGGCACCACTCCTGGAGTTCATCACAAAGGCCTAGGGTTAACAACTCCCTATTCAGACATGGCATCAAAGACAGGGAAATATCGAGTCATTTCGACATTTGTTCAAAGCAATCAAGTAGTGTATTTTTTTTATTATTGTTTTGTTTCCTTTTTTTTGAGGCAGAATCATAGACAGGGAGCACGGTCGTGTTGGGTACATAAGGCATAGGCATAGTTTGGTTATTTTTACGAGGGACCAGCTCGCAATGAAGTTCTTTCATAGAGATGACTCTATTAAAAAGTTCAATCCTTCGCGCTACACAATACTGGAAGTAATGTGTAGTGGAAAGAAAAGGATGAAGTATTATAATTTCAACCTTACCAAACATAAGAAAGTCAGTAAACGTATTATATAGTCATATTAATTGACTAGAAAAAAGTAGATCGAATATACAGTATGAATGGTTTGACTTTTATGGAGTAACATATTAAATGTACAAATGGTATCGTTGACAATAAAGAAACATGACGGGATGAGTGTAAAAGTTATCAATTGTAAGCTTCGTTAAATACATGTTGAATATTTCTACTGATTTGCTCGTTTCCATTTACGATTTCAGATGACAGCAGAGAAGCCAAATTCTTTAGTAATTTGTTCAGTTCTTTGTTTCCTATTATTGTAGTTGTTGAAATATCGTCCTCATACAAGTCTTCAATACAACCAAATATTCTCTCGACGTTTCCACTTTGTTTAAATTGACGTTTCAAAGATGTAATAGTATTCAAACTCAAGCTTGCTTCAGCTCCATTTTCCCACACTTGAGTTGCGATGTGCTTGAAAAGCTTTGACGCGGCCACAACACTGGAATCTCTGTCTTGATTACGGGAGCGATCTGCGATTGTCCATATTGTCCAAGGTCTTGTTCGAACATCATTAGTAAATTTAGACGAAAATCGGTAACACAGGTAGGTGGACAATCGATCAAACTTGGATCTTAGTTGGCGTAACTGAGCATGTTCATCGAATGGATAAAGCAAATATTGGTGAGAAGATCTAATTCCATCAAGTTGCGTATTTGCTTTTGTCGTCATTTCAATTTCTTGAAGTTTGCATTTCTCAATAAAGATCCTTGTATTCCTACTTGGTATGAATCCATTTGAGCTAGAGGCACCGACAGCTACTGGCTGATTGCTTTCCAGGCGTATAGATGAAGTAATCAAAACGTTCATAGTTTTAGTTCCCAACACTAATTTCTTAGCATTATCATTGTCAATCAAGCATAATTCTACATTTTGGTATCTTGTATCAGTGTGAGGTAAAGAGGACTGGGGGATGTTTCCTTTTGTTGATGATGTCTTTTCATAGTGTGCATCCAGCGATGGGAGTCTTGAATATATCTCTCCACCAAGAACAAGTAAAGACTTGCCTCCCTCCACAAAAACAGCCTCTTCCAACAAATGAGCACATGATTTAGCTGCCATTGGATTTAAAGTCCAGCTGTTGTTTAGCAAAAGTGCAGTCTGAGGATCCAACTCGATGTAGTTTGACTTTGATAGTAATGCTCTGCAATGACTATTCAATACGATGTTCCGGATTGAGCATGGTGTTTGGTCGGGTTGGCTGTCTTCATCAATTTCTTTTCTCTCTTTTGGAATGAATACGAGTGATGATGGTTTGTTTTCTGCTTCAAGCGTCATCATGTTGCCAATAACTTTCGGTGCAGCCAGCAAGTGGTGTTCTTCCCCTTTGTGGTCAACGTAAATCACAGGTTCCAAGTCCCCTAGCTCAGCTACCAACATTTTTTTTTCTTGTTCTTTTTCAGGTTGATGTAGTGCATCGAAAGCTGATAGAACTGATGTCTTGTAGTCATGTCTTTTGATATTATGTTCGTTCTTTGTTTGGTCTTTCGGCTGTGATGACGTTGTCTGGGTATTCAAAACTACATTTACAGCATCATCCACAACTAAGCTGTCATCATCTGAACTACTGTCGTATTTTTCATTGTTGTCGTGTGTTTTTTTTACGTGTCTTTTCAGTGAGTCAGGATTGGGGTAGTACTTCTCGTTACAATACGGACAGACAAAGACCCCTCTGTCATTCCTGATCACCCTTTTTGAGACTATTAAGTCAAATATTCATTAGTATCCAAAAAAAAAAGGACGTTAAGCTTCCACTTGCCTTTATTCAACTCAACAATGATTTCTTTGGAATGAAAACGGTAGGCATGGAGGCTTAAGGCTAGTTTTGATGAAAGCAATCTTTCACAATCTTGACAAACGAAAGAGCTCATAGAATTTAAAGATGAAGAAAAAAGAAAGTGGTCAGAAATCGGTTGTGAAATTGGTGAAATAGGCTGTGAAATCGGTTGTGAAATTGATAATTAGACCTGAAGAACAAAATAGGAAATGTTATTATCCCCACCCTTCCTTTCTTTACTTTATTTTGATTTGATTTATATTCCCCACCCTTCTTTATTCATTATGACCGAGCTTAAATTCGATTGATAGTATAGATATTTTCTTTATTGTCTTTATATATCTTTGAATTCGCTCAAAAATAAAACTTCAAGAAGATTCTAGCATAATAACATTTCCTATTTTGTTCTTCAGGTCTAATTATCAAAAGTGGTGAAATCGGTTGTGAAATTGGTGAAAGTGGTGAAATCGGTTGTGAAATTGGTGAAAGTGGTGAAATAGGCTGTGAAATCGGTGGTGAAATTGGTGAAAGTGGTGAAATAGGCTGTGAAATCGGTTGTGAAATTGGTGAAAGTGGTGAAATAGGCTGTGAAGTCGGTTGTGAAATTGGTGAAAGTGGTGAAATAGGCTGTGAAGTCGGTTGTGAAATTGGTGAAATTGGTGAAATAGGCTGTGAAGTCGGTTGTGAAATTGGTGAAATTGGTGAAATAGGCTGTGAAATCGGTGGTGAAATTGGTGAAATTGGTGAAATAGGCTGTGAAGTCGGTTGTGAAATTGGTGAAAGTGGTGAAATAGGCTGTAAAGTCGGTTGTGAAATTGGTGAAATTGGTGAAATAGGCTGTGAAATCGGTGGTGAAATTGGTGAAATTGGTGAAATAGGCTGTGAAGTCGGTTGTGAAATTGGTGAAAGTGGTGAAATAGGCTGTGAAATCGGTTGTGAAATTGGTGAAAGTGGTGAAATAGGCTGTGAAGTCGGTTGTGAAATTGGTGAAAGTGGTGAAATAGGCTGTGAAGTCGGTTGTGAAATTGGTGAAATTGGTGAAATAGGCTGTGAAGTCGGTTGTGAAATTGGTGAAAGTGGTGAAATAGGCTGTGAAATCGGTTGTGAAATTGGTGAAATTGGTGAAATAGGCTGTGAAGTCGGTTGTGAAATTGGTGAAAGTGGTGAAATAGGCTGTGAAATCGGTTGTGAAATTGGTGAAAGTGGTGAAATAGGCTGTGAAGTCGGTTGTGAAATTGGTGAAATTGGTGAAATAGGCTGTGAAATCGGTGGTGAAATTGGTGAAATTGGTGAAATAGGCTGTGAAGTCGGTTGTGAAATTGGTGAAAGTGGTGAAATAGGCTGTGAAGTCGGTTGTGAAATTGGTGAAAGTGGTGAAATAGGCTGTGAAATCGGTTGTGAAATTGGTGAAAGTGGTGAAATAGGCTGTGAAGTCGGTTGTGAAATTGGTGAAAGTGGTGAAATAGGCTGTGAAATCGGTTGTGAAATTGGTGAAAGTGGTGAAATAGGCTGTGAAGTCGGTTGTGAAATTGGTGAAATTGGTGAAATAGGCTGTGAAGTCGGTGGTGAAATTGGTGAAATTGGTGAAATAGGCTGTGAAGTCGGTTGTGAAATTGGTGAAAGTGGTGAAATAGGCTGTGAAGTCGGTTGTGAAATTGGTGAAATTGGTGAAATAGGCTGTGAAATCGGTGGTGAAATTGGTGAAATTGGTGAAATAGGCTGTGAAGTCGGTTGTGAAATTGGTGAAATTGGTGAAATAGGCTGTGAAGTCGGTTGTGAAATTGGTGAAATTGGTGAAATAGGCTGTGAAGTCGGTTGTGAAATTGGTGAAAGTGGTGAAATAGGGTGTAGGATAAAAAGGGTGGATAAAAAGTAAGGGTGGATCCGGATAATAGATAGACCGTGGGGGTACGGGGCGTAGGTAGGGATAGGGTAGATATGGTGTAGCTAGCAATGGGTAGATAGATTACATTGCATTACATGTACATCCCCGACAGGGCAGAGCAGTAAAAGTTTTTGACATGTAGGATCAGGCGCTTCATTTTGTTCATCTACCTTATTATATTTCTTCAATACTTTAAGCAGCATGGACAACTCAAGTTATGAAATGGAATATGATTTTTTCAATCAATTTCCTGACGAAACCGTTGAAGAAGTCCTTCCCGCTGCATTTGACCGCACCACCAATACATTCAGAATCAAAAGATTAAATATTGGATGGGCTTTGAAAAAAAACCACAGCAAAGCTTACAACAAGTACAAACCAGTTGAAAAACTCGCTGAAGGTGAGAGCCGTTACGACATAAAAATCCATAAAAAGTGTGCTGGTGCTTTGCGATGCCTCAATCTGCAATGCAAAAGACCTGAATGGGTCAAGGATCAAAGACCTCCTGTTGACTGGAAAGACGAGCTTGGCTGCCTCAAAAAGTTTCAATGCCCATACTGTGAGGCGCCATTGAAGCGGATCGACTGTGGTGTTGGTGCAACTTTCACCTTCCGTGTAACTGATATTCGCAGAGAAGACAGAGGTAGTACAGTTACAATGTATCAAGAGATAACCGAGAAAAAAAACACACTCATTCTATCTACAACTCGCTTCATCTTGATAGACACGAAAAAAAAGAGTTAAATAATATGGTCAAAGATAGGCCAAACATCACTGCTGCTGCTGCCATTGCTGGCATCGATCCATCTACTGGCGCCATCACGAAAAGCGTCAGAGAAATCAACAGTGTAATGGCAAATCATGGACGCACCAAGTATGAGATCCGGAAGTCGAAGATCCAACAAGATCTATACTCTACCAAGGAAGATGTGGTAGCTGCCTTTGAAGATCTTGATGAGAAGTATCCAGGCTTCATGGATTCAGCACAGATTGTCCCTAGCAAGTTTTTTGTGAGCTTCTGTTCACCTGAAATGCTTCAGCGTAATCTCCCTTTCGCAGATCAACCGATCATAACAGATGTCACTTTCAAGGCTGTCCCAAAGGGCTATTATCTATGCTCAAGTGTCATCTATATCGAGCAACTCCGGAAGCATGTCGTCTTTTATCAAGCAATAATCAAAAGCAACACTACACATGTTTTCAAAGAATACTTTGTTGCTTTGTTTAGAAAATTTGATGTCAAACTGGAGAAGTTTTTGGGAGTCATTATGGACTTTTCAGCTGCCCAACGCGAAGGTTTCATACTAGCCCTCAGGGATAACTTTGGTGTCAAGCAGCACAATGCATTACTTTTTTTAAAAGGGTGCTATATGCATTGGATGCAATCAGTCAAGCGCATGTCCAACAACCACCAAGTTGTCAAGCCAGATGAGATTGATACCTTCTTGAAGCTAGTCCATCGGTTCCGTACCACAAGAAACAGTATCGAATTCTTTCGAACTGGTAAGGAGCTTTTGACCTTGTTTCCCAACTGTAAAAAGTGGTTGCAGTGGTGGCTCCAACCTGGTGTCTCAAGTATGGTATTCAGATGCAAGTCTTTGATGAAGAACGACTTGAGGCAACACAAGAGCCGCACATCCAATGCAATTGAGGCGTTCCATAGTGCCTTATACAAGTTGATGCCAGAAAAAAGACAACCCGTTTCGACAAGCTTAAGACTTTTGTTGCAGGTCGCCAAGCGTGATGGAATGATGTTGATGGATTTTTATGACAATAATATCCGACCACATTACGGAAACAAACCCAAGAAGTCAACAAAAAAGTATGCAACTCTGTATGAAATTAATGACGGCCGTGCGCCAGATAACAACACTGCACTCTTTGGCACCAAGAAGAGAAAACAAGAAGTGGTGCTCATTAGCGATGCTGAGGAGGATGGCAAACGCAAGGCCAAGAAAGCAAAAACCCGTGATGTTAGTTTGGATGCTGCCATAATTGAGCATCTGGATGAAACTGATGAAATGGAGAGGAACTGTCCCAAGATGGATGATTTCCCAGATGATGATATCAGCGATGAGAAACTGTTCCTTGAATTACTCTCAGACGACGAATACAAAAGCGATAAAGCAGAAAATGTATTTGATAGAACTGAGGACCTAGATGAAGACATTAAGAATATGTTTGATGGTAAGGATACTTACAATAGTTTCTAATTGCTGTGGCTGTAACGTATTATTGATAATTTAGACCTTGGAATTCCTGTTGAAGATGTTGTCGGCTCAGATGAAGAATCGAAATCGTCCGTTATTGATCTTGTATCATCTTCCTCTTCCTCTTCCTCTTCCTCTTCCTCTTCCTCTTCCTCTTCCTCTTCCTCTTCCTCTTCCTCTTCCTCTTCCTCTTCCTCTTCTTTTTCTTCTTCTTTTTTTCCTTCCTCTTCTTCTTCATCATCATTAATGAAGACCAAATGCAAGCCCACATCAGTTTTACAACACAAGTCTGAGCCTACCTCATCCAAGATGAGAGCACTATCCGATTCTGATTTTTCGTTGCCTTTGCCTCCTTCGAACTCACCCTTTCCTGCAAGTGATGGCACACGTATTGATCTTACGATTCAAGGCATTCAAAAATCCATATCTGATAAAGTAATTGATCTTTGCTCTCCCCCAATGCCCCATGAGACTTCGACATTAGTAGCAGTCGAACCCGATACAAGCGATGCGACCAGGATGACAAGTGAGGCTCCACTTAAAAATGATTTACCTGCCACTGCCGGCTTCTTGGTACCACAAAAAAGGGCATCTCTTCTTCAAAAATATCAATGGCTCGTAAAGGATTACGAAAATAACGATCCAGGCAAATACTCGACTTTACCTGTTCCTACGTACATTTTCCCCAACCAAAGTAGTTCTTGTTTTATCGATGCATCTTTTGAGCTCCTGCTCAATGCCGTTCTTCCGTTTGTGGATATGTCTTTCGCTGATCAAAGCAATGTGTATGATAGTCTTCTTGTCAATGCTTATGAGTCTTATTCCCAGCAGTCTCGTTTTGGTATTCGTGCAGCTACCCTTACAGTAAGACAGTTTGTTTGGAATATGACAGAATACAAGATTGTCTCTGGTGCTCCCCGAATGGTCAAGACATTTCCAAAAGGCCATGAAGGTGATACCCACGATTTGGCGAGCAAGATACTACAGCGTTTGTCGGGTGCCTTTGCAAGCAATATTTGTACATTTCCGTCGTTGCAATGTGAAAGAAAAGTGTCTTGCTCTGTAGAAAAAGCGCATGCGTATGCTAGAGATGCCTTTTTTTTGAGTTTATCTACATGATTCCAACCACTATCGTCGAGGAATTGAGAGACTGTCGTGGATTTATCAATGAAGCGGCACTGGACGTGAAATTCAATGACTTGTTCAGAGAGAAGGTGCTCGAAGAACATCAGAAAGGAAAGTGTAACTTTCCAGGGTGTGATGGAGTTTCGACATCACTCAAAGTACTACCTCAAGATGATCAGTTTCCCGAGTTCCTGTTCATACAAGATGGTGCAAACTTTGTCCCTGGACGGACAGAAGGAAACAATGTTTACCTGTCTACGTATATCCACATATCACAGACCTTAAAATACAAATTGCACGGTAGAGTCTACTCGACTTGCTATGATGGTAGGCATTTTTATACAAGATGCTATAAGACAATTGGTGGAATTGTATACCTCGTAGATATTGACAATTGGAAACAGCAGCAAATGAAGGTGCTCACCTCAGATATAGACGTGACAGAGCGTCTTTTGAAAGATATCTCTAACACGGTGTATGCATGTTATCGTATTTGCCAGATCAGAAAATAGATCTGCATGAATAAAAGCTAAAATTTGATACTCATTTCACGTATTTTGTACCCTCTACACCATATCCACCCTATCCCTACCTACGCCCCGTACCCCACGGTCTATCTATTATCCGGATCCACCCTTACTTTTTATCCACCCTTTTTATCCTACACCCTATTTCACCACTTTCACCAATTTCACAACCGACTTCACAGCCTATTTCACCAATTTCACCAATTTCACCACCGATTTCACAGCCTATTTCACCAATTTCACCAATTTCACAACCGACTTTACAGCCTATTTCACCACTTTCACCAATTTCACAACCGACTTCACAGCCTATTTCACCAATTTCACAACCGACTTCACAGCCTATTTCACCACTTTCACCAATTTCACAACCGACTTCACAGCCTATTTCACCACTTTCACCAATTTCACAACCGACTTCACAGCCTATTTCACCAATTTCACCAATTTCACAACCGACTTCACAGCCTATTTCACCACTTTCACCAATTTCACAACCGACTTCACAGCCTATTTCACCACTTTCACCAATTTCACAACCGATTTCACAGCCTATTTCACCACTTTCACCAATTTCACAACCGACTTCACAGCCTATTTCACCAATTTCACCAATTTCACCACCGATTTCACAGCCTATTTCACCAATTTCACCAATTTCACCACCGATTTCACAGCCTATTTCACCAATTTCACCAATTTCACAACCGACTTCACAGCCTATTTCACCAATTTCACCAATTTCACAACCGACTTCACAGCCTATTTCACCACTTTCACCAATTTCACAACCGACTTCACAGCCTATTTCACCACTTTCACCAATTTCACAACCGATTTCACAGCCTATTTCACCACTTTCACCAATTTCACAACCGATTTCACAGCCTATTTCACCACTTTCACCAATTTCACAACCGACTTCACAGCCTATTTCACCAATTTCACCAATTTCACAACCGATTTCACAGCCTATTTCACCACTTTCACCAATTTCACAACCGACTTCACAGCCTATTTCACCAATTTCACCAATTTCACAACCGACTTCACAGCCTATTTCACCACTTTCACCAATTTCACAACCGACTTCACAGCCTATTTCACCAATTTCACCAATTTCACAACCGACTTCACAGCCTATTTCACCACTTTCACCAATTTCACAACCGATTTCACAGCCTATTTCACCACTTTCACCAATTTCACCACCGATTTCACAGCCTATTTCACCACTTTCACCAATTTCACAACCGATTTCACCACTTTCACCAATTTCACAACCGATTTCACCACTTTTGATAATTAGACCTGAAGAACAAAATAGGAAATGTTATTATGCTAGAATCTTCTTGAAGTTTTATTTTTGAGCGAATTCAAAGATATATAAAGACAATAAAGAAAATATCTATACTATCAATCGAATTTAAGCTCGGTCATAATGAATAAAGAAGGGTGGGGAATATAAATCAAATCAAAATAAAGTAAAGAAAGGAAGGGTGGGGATAATAACATTTCCTATTTTGTTCTTCAGGTCTAATTATCAATTTCACAACCGATTTCACAGCCTATTTCACCAATTTCACAACCGATTTCTGACCACTTTCTTTTTTCTTCATCTTTAAATTCTATGAGCTCTTTCGTTTGTCAAGATTGTGAAAGATTGCTTTCATCAAAACTAGCCTTAAGCCTCCATGCCTACCGTTTTCATTCCAAAGAAATCATTGTTGAGTTGAATAAAGGCAAGTGGAAGCTTAACGTCCTTTTTTTTTTGGATACTAATGAATATTTGACTTAATAGTCTCAAAAAGGGTGATCAGGAATGACAGAGGGGTCTTTGTCTGTCCGTATTGTAACGAGAAGTACTACCCCAATCCTGACTCACTGAAAAGACACGTAAAAAAAACACACGACAACAATGAAAAATACGACAGTAGTTCAGATGATGACAGCTTAGTTGTGGATGATGCTGTAAATGTAGTTTTGAATACCCAGACAACGTCATCACAGCCGAAAGACCAAACAAAGAACGAACATAATATCAAAAGACATGACTACAAGACATCAGTTCTATCAGCTTTCGATGCACTACATCAACCTGAAAAAGAACAAGAAAAAAAAATGTTGGTAGCTGAGCTAGGGGACTTGGAACCTGTGATTTACGTTGACCACAAAGGGGAAGAACACCACTTGCTGGCTGCACCGAAAGTTATTGGCAACATGATGACGCTTGAAGCAGAAAACAAACCATCATCACTCGTATTCATTCCAAAAGAGAGAAAAGAAATTGATGAAGACAGCCAACCCGACCAAACACCATGCTCAATCCGGAACATCGTATTGAATAGTCATTGCAGAGCATTACTATCAAAGTCAAACTACATCGAGTTGGATCCTCAGACTGCACTTTTGCTAAACAACAGCTGGACTTTAAATCCAATGGCAGCTAAATCATGTGCTCATTTGTTGGAAGAGGCTGTTTTTGTGGAGGGAGGCAAGTCTTTACTTGTTCTTGGTGGAGAGATATATTCAAGACTCCCATCGCTGGATGCACACTATGAAAAGACATCATCAACAAAAGGAAACATCCCCCAGTCCTCTTTACCTCACACTGATACAAGATACCAAAATGTAGAATTATGCTTGATTGACAATGATAATGCTAAGAAATTAGTGTTGGGAACTAAAACTATGAACGTTTTGATTACTTCATCTATACGCCTGGAAAGCAATCAGCCAGTAGCTGTCGGTGCCTCTAGCTCAAATGGATTCATACCAAGTAGGAATACAAGGATCTTTATTGAGAAATGCAAACTTCAAGAAATTGAAATGACGACAAAAGCAAATACGCAACTTGATGGAATTAGATCTTCTCACCAATATTTGCTTTATCCATTCGATGAACATGCTCAGTTACGCCAACTAAGATCCAAGTTTGATCGATTGTCCACCTACCTGTGTTACCGATTTTCGTCTAAATTTACTAATGATGTTCGAACAAGACCTTGGACAATATGGACAATCGCAGATCGCTCCCGTAATCAAGACAGAGATTCCAGTGTTGTGGCCGCGTCAAAGCTTTTCAAGCACATCGCAACTCAAGTGTGGGAAAATGGAGCTGAAGCAAGCTTGAGTTTGAATACTATTACATCTTTGAAACGTCAATTTAAACAAAGTGGAAACGTCGAGAGAATATTTGGTTGTATTGAAGACTTGTATGAGGACGATATTTCAACAACTACAATAATAGGAAACAAAGAACTGAACAAATTACTAAAGAATTTGGCTTCTCTGCTGTCATCTGAAATCGTAAATGGAAACGAGCAAATCAGTAGAAATATTCAACATGTATTTAACGAAGCTTACAATTGATAACTTTTACACTCATCCCGTCATGTTTCTTTATTGTCAACGATACCATTTGTACATTTAATATGTTACTCCATAAAAGTCAAACCATTCATACTGTATATTCGATCTACTTTTTTCTAGTCAATTAATATGACTATATAATACGTTTACTGACTTTCTTATGTTTGGTAAGGTTGAAATTATAATACTTCATCCTTTTCTTTCCACTACACATTACTTCCAGTATTGTGTAGCGCGAAGGATTGAACTTTTTAATAGAGTCATCTCTATGAAAGAACTTCATTGCGAGCTGGTCCCTCGTAAAAATAACCAAACTATGCCTATGCCTTATGTACCCAACACGACCGTGCTCCCTGTCTATGATTCTGCCTCAAAAAAAAGGAAACAAAACAATAATAAAAAAAATACACTACTTGATTGCTTTGAACAAATGTCGAAATGACTCGATATTTCCCTGTCTTTGATGCCATGTCTGAATAGGGAGTTGTTAACCCTAGGCCTTTGTGATGAACTCCAGGAGTGGTGCCCTGGTAGCCACGTTAGCGCGATTCATTTACCAATACATGGACGATATGTCCTAGCTATTTCATCAATCATCCACACAAATATCTACTCACTTCCCCACGCTCAAACAACTAACCATCAAACACTCAAATGATACCCCAACTTATAACAGTCAGATGATTATAGTTCTGAAGGTTATACTACTAATCACTTCATTACGATTAAAGATTGTATTTTATTAAGTCTTTATATGGCACGCAGTAACTATTGACCAATTTTGCCTAGCCCGTTCAAATTTTGTTAAAGATAGCCATGTGGCTCTAAAAAATCCCTTAGGATCAAGGGGAAAAAAGGCGAAGGAAAGCGTTACAGGATAAAAAACAAGTTTGGATGCTGGAATACCATTAAACAAGTGATTGTCCAATGCAGTCTGGAATATCGTCTGCAGGATTGTCATGAATAAGTCGATCCAGTCGCAACAAGATGGTGTGTTGTATTTGAGCATGAATGATACACAGATATCCGTATAAACTATTACCAATTTGGAATCAAACAATGAAATATGAGAAAAATAAAAAAATAAAAGCATATTTCGACGGATGTCAAAATATGACTTTAAAAAGACAATTGATTATTACACTGAGAGTTGAACATTTAAATAAAATATTTCAGGCACACAATACCTGAAATATTAATGGCTTATAATATAATACGACGGGATACAATTGATCTTGGTATGAGAGTAGCTAACTTATATCAAGAAGAGAACAATCATTGTAATTTGAAGTATATATATTATAAATCAAACCTGATGCTGTATGACAATAAAAGGTATACAGTGAGAATTGTACACAGACATTGCAGAGTGTAGAGTTCCACCACCAGTATACTAATTAGGAGACACATGTCTAAAACTAGTAACTGGGATAAAAGATTGATATGTGAGAATTGATGGACATAATCACTTTTATCAAATACAATAAGAAACTGTTCCAATCAACTCATCAGTGTGACCATAGTAACCTATAATCCCTTATCATGGTGATACATTTATGTAATTCCTAAACTTCTGAACACAATATGTATGTGAAAAATACCAGTGATTAAGAGGTTCCACACACATAAATGACACATTGTGTAGTACGTCTCGCCTAAAGATGAACCCGATAGGCTCGCGGCTATCCATTGTTTGAAATGCCAATATCTTGTACTCGGGAAAAGGGAATTATTAGGTATACCCTGACTAAAACAATTGTCTAGACAAGAAAAGATTTTAAAACAGAAAAAGTATAAATACCATAACAATTTAGCAGTAGAAAAAGTCTTCGCCTTTTTTTATTCTTAATAAAATTTCCAAGTTTGATCTCATTAAATTTATATTCTTTTTATACTGACGGTCAAATTCCACAGAGATGCGGTAGCATACTGGGTTAGCCAGAACATAGACTTTATGAATGAATGTGTATTCTTGGATGAAGCTGGCTTTAACAGGAGTGTGCATCGCTCATATGGATGGTCTGAGGCTGGAACACCTTGCAAAATTGATGTTCAAACGAAGGGAGCAAATGTCAGCATCTTGGGTGCTATTTGTAAAAGTGGTTTAATCACATTATCCAGAAAAGAAGTTGTACTTAGTGCTAGGAGTGGAAAACGAACTCGAACTGGTGAGAAATCTCAGGCCCCCAAGAGGAAGGGTACTACCAGCAGTGACTTCCTTGAATACATAGAGCAAGTCCTCACGACACTGGATGCGGCTAACATGAGCTACAAATATCTAGTTCTTGACAATGCATCCATTCACAAGGCTGCACTTATTGAAGATTGGGTTGGGCAACGTGGTTATAGACTTCTCTTTTTGCCACCTTATTCTCCTTTTTTTAAATCCGATCGAAGAGTTTTGGTCCAAGCTGAAGACTGTTGTAAATAACGATCCTTCTTCTGTCAGGCAGAATGAAAAAATCTCTGATCGTATTCGCAACGCATCACTTCACATCAGCAGAGAAGATTGATCTTTGGGAAATTGAAAAGAATACAATTAGGTCGCTCTCATTGAAAAGATGGCGTATGTTATTTTGAATGAGAGCGACCATTTTTCGATGAAATGGCTACTTTTCATCCATGGCATGTATGTATAAAAAAAAACATAACTGTCCACGATGCTATGAGCATGAATTGCCAGATTTTCCCATCATTTGTGTGCAGTTGAAGTGTCCAACATCGTTTTCAAGTATCCAATATCTTTCCCAAGTGTCCAATATCTTTTCTCAAGTGTCCTACACTTTGTGCTCTTAAAAATACTTGCCAATGCTGTATGATCTACATAAAAAAAAAATATATTAAAGTTTACATTGTCTATTGCTGATCTGATTGTAGCTTACTTTTTTCTTAATCGCCGTGTTATTGGCTTCTGATGTGATTGTCGATGCCATTACATAGGCTCCTTGTTTCGACATTTATTCCAGCACTTGTAAGAATGCGAAACAAAGCCTTTGAAATGACTTTTCTCTATACTTTGCAGGTTTCTGTAATACTTTTTGATAAAGTATCTTCCTGCAAAACCTATAGCGCTTAACCTTACTCTTTGCCACTGGCCAGAATTGTTCTATTGGGTTAAGCTCAGGAGAGTAAATAGGAGGATACACACATTTGTATCCTCGATGCTCAATATACTACTTGATTATTTTTGCCAAGTAATTGTCCTTTCAACTCCATCATCCCCATTTAATCAGCATCGCAATCATTATTGTCATCATCAGAAAGGTGTTTGGGTCAGCCAGCAGCAGTGCCGCCTGCTAAAACCAATTGAAGCTCAGTATATATTTTCTGTTCAAGATTGGACTAGTTTCGCCCTTCTTCGACTTCTTTAATCTGCTTTGCGATATTCGACTCTATAAACTATGGTTATCACCCTAGGCTTCCTAATACATTTGTCCCTGGTGGTAGGGCGAAGTGGTAGAACTCCCGTATGCCAACGGGAGGATCCCCGGTTCAAATCCTGGTGAACGCAAGTTGTTTGATTTTTTGAGGTAGTACTGATGTCCTCGTTTGGTGTTTTTGTACTCTATCCATTATCTATATTTTGACAATTTCCGCAAGACTGTATTGGCTCTAGGTGTCGCACCTTATTAGCAGTAGATTTCTTTCCCAACTTAATTCAAAAATATCTTATTCCCCTTCTTTGCAGACATTGGGTCCACCAACAGTCTTTTCTATCCCTCAGCATGACATTTAAAGGACTTTAAATAAAACCTGGAGCTCGACTCCCCTACAAAAAAAAAAAGGCTTCCTAATACATCCTTGAAGTACTTTTCAAGGCGCCTCCAATGATGCTAATTGTAATAGGTGTTTTGAATGAAATTACTGAGAAATTAGGTAAAATATGAAATGAAGTCTTTAGCGAATATAACCATATTTTGCATATGAACACCTCATAAAAGTGGTTTCAGAGGTTGTTTTGGATCGATAGAAACATTTTGAATTAATATATGACATAGTAAAATTCTTCATTTTCAAGGTGAAAAATGCGATCGTTTGATTTTTGATGAAAACCATGAGGTACCCTTCATGCTTTTTGATCGATCTTTGGCCATGTTTTTTTGGTCCCTAAAGAGTTGAGCAAGGGTGTCAGGAAGTTACTACTACTCAAGTGCGATTGTTTGGCGTCAATATGGTGGCTCAGAAAGGTCTACGTGTGAAGATATGAAGGGTTGAAAGCTGTCGAATTTGGTTATGCATTGCTTTATAGAGTTTAATTACATGGCATAAATCACATCTTTAGTAGCTGAAGTCTTCTGGAAGTGCAGTTCTGCAGCCTGTGCAACTTCTGATTCGAACAAGAGGCATATTGGTTTTGGTAAAGCTGGTTCATGTAAATTTTGATACGTTATATTGTTGGTAAGCTTGTATATATATGGTTGAGTTTCCAAATATCCAACTATTTCTCGGATTCCCTGGAAAACAGTTTATCATTGGTTATTGTTCAAATGCGGATATGCAGATTGCAATTTAATTGGTAACTACACTTTTTCCTGTACATGCAAATATTCTTATTAATGCCCTTTCTCGTAAAGAATACGCAGCAATAGAGATGATGAACTTCATACAGCAATGTTTCCTATTAAGTTCATATTTAGTCAATAAACAAAAGGTGCAGAATTTAAGTCTGTTTCATGCAGCTGGATAAGCAACAAGCAGATCTTTGTTTTGCATTAGCAATTAAGCAACATTTTTTCGTGGCTTGTAGGCGAGATCATATAAGGGCCTTCTCGCAAGCCACGTGCGTACAAACTTTTTTAATGTATCATTTCATTAATCTGAAAAGATGTATGTATATACAAAAAGGCCAAATGAATGCCATTTCTTGATATAATGCAACCTGTAATTTATCTGAAACATGGAATGCAAGGCACCAAAAACCTGAGTGATTTCAAACCACTTCTACTCCACAATCCAATCTATTGGATAGCTTCATGACACACAGAGGAGAATCCAATTCCGAATGATCTGATCGTATATTGGTACTATAAAAAAAAACTAATCTACTACGAAAAGAGAAAAAATTTTCAAGGAAGGGGGTGTCTAAGACGCAAATAAAAGAGCCTGTGGCCATGGATTCCTTGATTCAGTACCTCTTTCTTTTACTCCTTGAACTTTCTTGTAAAAAAAAAGGTCGCTCTATCCTTTCTCTTATCAAAATAGTTTTATAAAGATGCCTGCTACTGCTGCTCAAAAGAACTCTCAGAGCGATATTCAATCAAAGAAGATGACCGCTACCGTCGCTTCTGTTCCTAGTGACATTGAAACCAAGAAAGCAAAGGAGATTCTCTCCAAGCTCGCTGCTGCTTCAGATACTGATCGTGAGTCTGTTGCTCAAGAACTTGCTGCCTTCGTTAAGGCCAATGGTGTTCTCTCTCTTGTTCACAGTGAGATCATTCCTGCTCTTGCTAAGGACTTTGCCAACAAGAAGAGTGCTGGTGCCCGTCAAGGTGCTGTTGCTGCTTTCGTTGCTCTTACCAACAATTCTATTGATGGTCAAGTTGAGCCCTACATCTTGCCCTTCTTGCCCACCTTGTTGGAATTTCAAGCTGACAAGCAAGCCGCAGTCAAGGCCGCAGCCCTTGAAGCCGCTCACAACTTGATCAAGAAGATCAACCCCAACGCTTGTTCTCTTACTGTTCCTTACATTCTCGAAGGTCTCGGTAACTCTTGCAAGTGGCAAACCAAGATGCTCGCTCTTGAGCTTTTGGTTGATTTGACCAATGTCCACCCCAAGGAATTCTTTGTTGCTATTCCCGATGTCATTCCTGTTGTCTCTGACTGTATGTGGGATACCAAGATTGATGTCAAGAAGCAAGCTACTGAAACCATGGCTACCATCTGTAAGCTCATTGAAAACAAGGATATCGAGCGTTTCATCCCTGCCGTTATCGGTTGTATCAACCACCCTGAAAATGTCCCTGAGACCATTCACTTGCTCGGTGCCACCACTTTTGTTCAAGAAGTTGACTCTGCCACTCTTTCCATCATGGTTCCTCTCTTGGGCCGTGGTTTGAACGAGCGTGCTACTGCCATCAAGCGTAAAGCTGCCTTGATCATTGACAATATGTCCAAGCTCGTCGATGATCCCGATGTTGCTGCTCCTTTCTTGCCTCTTCTTTTGCCTGCTCTCGAGAAGGTGCAGGATGTCGTTGCTGATCCTGAATGTCGTGGTGTTGTTCAAAAGGCTCTTGCCACTCTTCAACGTATCGGTAACCCCTCTGTCGAATTGTTCACCAAGGTTCAAAAGCAAGCCAAGGTTGAGTCCTCCATCAAAGAGCTTTTGCCCATTGATCTTGACCCTTCTTTTGCTCCCACTGTCAAATTCATGAACGACATTGCCCTTACTCTCTGTGTTGCCAAGAACTTTTTCAAGAACGTTTGGATCGCCTCTCTCGTCCCCTATGCCAAGTCTTTCTACGCTGCTGCTGATGCCGAGAACCTTGCTTTCACTGCTTTAAACAAGTGTGAGGAAGCTGTTACTCCCAAGGACCTCGAGGAAGAGGACGATGAGGGTGAGGATCTCTGTAACTGTGAGTTCTCTCTTGCTTATGGTGCCAAGATCTTGTTGAACCGTACCGCTCTTCGTCTTAAGCGTGGTCGTCGTTATGGTCTCTGTGGTGCTAACGGTTGTGGTAAGTCCACTCTCATGCGCGCTATTGCCAACGAGCAAGTTGAAGGTTTCCCTCCTCGTTCTGAGCTCAAGACTGTCTACGTCGAGCACGATATTGATGGTTCTGAGGCTGATACTCCTCTTGTTGATTTCATCTTGGCCTCTGATGGTGTTGAGACCAAGGATCCTGAACAAGTCCGCAACATTCTCCTTGAGTATGGTTTCTCTGAAGCCATGGTTACCAAGATGGCTATCGGTGAGCTTTCTGGTGGTTGGAAGATGAAACTTGCTCTTGCCCGTGCCATGTTGATGAACGCTGATATCCTCTTGTTGGATGAACCTACCAATCACTTGGATGTTGTTAACGTTGCCTGGTTGGAGAACTACCTTTTGGGTCTCAAGACTGTTACCTCCATCATTGTCTCTCACGACTCTGGTTTCTTGGATCACGTCTGTTCCGATATTATCCATTATGAGCCCAACTACAAGCTCAAGCGTTATGGTGGTAACTTGTCTGAATTCGTCAAGAAGGTTCCTCGTGCTGCTTCTTACTATTCTCTCGAGGCTTCTCAAATCAAGTTCTCCTTCCCTGAGCCTGGATTCCTCGAAGGTATCAAGACCAAGGAGCGTGCCATCTTGAAGATGAAGAATGTTGACTTTCAATACCCTGGCTCTGACAGAAAGCAATTGATGGATATCTCCATGCAATGTTCTCTTGCCTCTCGTGTTGCCGTCATTGGTCCTAACGGTGCTGGTAAGTCTACTTTGATCAAGCTGTTGACCGGTGAGATTGAGTCTGAGGTCGGTTCCGTCTGGAAGCATCCCAACTTGCGTATTGCTTATGTCGCCCAACACGCTTTCCATCACATTGAAAAGCACTTGGATTCTACTCCCAACGAATACATCCAATGGCGTTATGCTACTGGTGAAGATCGTGAAGAACTCGACAAGAACGATCGTATGAACGGTGAAGCCAACAAGAAGGTTATGGAGCAAGTATTTGTTATTGATGGTGAGAAGCGTGTTGTTGAGGAACTCGTTGGTCGTAGAAAGCTCAAGCAATCTTACGAATACGAAATCTCTTGGGTTGGTCGTTCTTCTGTTGATAACACCTGGATCTCTCGTCAAAAGCTTGAGGATATGGGTTTCGGTAAGAAGATTGCTGAGGTCGATTCCGCTGAAGCTGCCAAGATGGGTCTCAACCGTCCTCTTACTGCCAAGGAAATTGAAAAGCACTTGGAAGAAGTGGGTCTTGAACCTGAATTCGCTACTCACTCTCGTATTCGTGGTCTCTCTGGTGGTCAAAAGGTCAAGCTTGTCATTGGTGCTGCCATGTGGAATAAGCCTCACATGTTGGTTCTTGATGAACCTACCAATTACTTGGATCGTGAATCTCTTGGTGCTTTAGCCATGGCTATCAAGGCTTACGGTGGTGGTGTCGTCATTGTTACTCACAACCGTGAGTTTACTGAAGCTCTCTGTAACGAAGTCTGGATGGTGGACGCCGGTCGTTTGACTCCCTCTGGTCACAACTGGGTTTCTGGTAACGGTACAACCAAAATCGAGGAAAAGGATCAAGAAGATATGATAGATGCTCAGGTGGGTGGAGATTTAGAACGATATCGTTATAATAGACATGTGTATTGACGATTTTTTTGCATCATAGGGTAATACTGTTAAGGCTGTCGAAAAGAAGAAGAAGCTCTCCTCCAAGGAGCTGCGTAAGAAGAAGAAGGATAGAATGGAGCGTCGTAAGCGTGGTGAGGAAGTTTACACCACCGATGAAGAATTAGGCTTGTAAATTCGCTAGATCTCTTTCACCTCTTTAAATATTATCGTTTTTCCTCCTTTCCTCCTATTATTGTTTATATCTGATGCGTTAATACTATACAAGCATCCTTATTCTTACTCAAAATAAAATTCAGCTGATTATAAAATCTAATTCATGCTTTCCAATATCTTAGTGTGATGAGTAACATGTCGGCCTTTTCAAAATACAAATTCATGCAAACGATCAAATTGATTTTCAAAGTAAATTATATATGAGCTTTATTGGACTTTGCAGATAAACGAGTGTTGCTACGTACAATGGATCAAAGATAACATCTGATGTTATCGATCTCTATTCAGTTGACCTCTATAGCTGGTCTCCTAATTTGGCGGCAGAATTCGCACTTGGGTGGTGATTTTGCAATTTTAACGCCATTATATATGTAAGAAAATCTCAACAAAAGTAAATTTAGACGCTTGGATTAAGCTGTAAACCCCTCCAATTTGCAATCAGCTTTTGAAAGCACCATTCACCCTCCATGATTTCTGTTGCCAGCCAAAACATTTCAACTTCCGCTTATGTTATTTCTGTCTAGAAATAGAAATTTCTGATTCATTTTCGACGTCGTTGAACTCTTTTTCCATATTCGACTATATAACCGAACCAACTATTCTGTGCACCTATGAGTTTTCTTGGAATGCTTTTCAAGGTGCATCCAATGGTACCAAGTAAGATAGATGTTTTGAATAAACTTACCGAATAATGTACGAAACTATGAAAAGAGGTTTCTGGCCAAAAAGTCAGAAATTTATATATCAACGCTCCACAAAGATGATTTCAGAGGTTGCTTTGGATCGATAGAAACATTTTAATTCAAGATATACCATAGTAAAAGTCTTCATTTTCAAGGTCAAAAACGCGATCGTTTGATTTTCGATGAAAGCCATGAGGGGTACCTCATGCTTTTTGGCCATGTTTTTTGGTCCCCAAAAAGTTGAGCAAAGGTGTCAGAAAGTAATTTTTAGATGAGAGAAACTGTTTGGTGCTATTCTGACAATCTAAGACGGCTTTGAACGCGAGAAAACACGGCTTAATTGCATCCAAATTTCACTGTATTCTGCATTCTTTTGAGTGATGAGAGGTAATGCAAGCGTGCTGATCACTTGTGTATGAATCATTCACATTGATACAGACGTGAAGCATCGCCAAAGAGCCAAATACAGAGCTACAGCTCAGTTAAGGAAGGCTCTCCCGTGAAAGTTGAATTCTTAGTATTTATGTTTTGTGTAGTATAATACCGAAACTTCCAGAATAGACTGTACCGCAATATCAGCACACGCACCTCCAGCTGTCGATGCGATGCAAAACGCAAGTGAGACAGGCGAGCCTCACATTATGCATGCGCTGTACAAAGGATGTCTCCCCTTTACACTCCCCTCAGCTTGCTCCAAATGTGTGAATCAATAGAGACAGTTGCCAACTGTAAGCTGCAATAGAAAAAGGCAAAATAATTAATCAAAATACACCAACATCAAGGCTGGTCGCAAGAATTAGATTTCATTTCGAAATGCACAGTCGGCTTTATATATTGATTAGTTTTATTAAAAAAATGAAGCATGTACATGAGTATGATATTGAAAGTCTAAGTGATGTTGATATAAATTACTATATTGAAAATAAACAAGAGTTGGGGAAATGGTATGCTTTTTTAGAGCACATGGTAATAGTAGGAATTAAGCCAATGCTGCCTAAAACGATTAAGAGATTAAATAAAAAGTAATTTGATTTTACAAGAATTCCTTGTGGTTGTCAGTAGATGGCATACACTCATTTGTAGCAGCATCTGCGCGCTCGATACCATAGACTTCAGTCTTTTCAGTGTCACCGTCTAATTTAGAAGCAGACCCATCAAGAGCAGCTTGATCCTTCTGTTGTTGATCTTTTTCATCATAGTTTTCAAGACCAAATGTCTTCATGGGGATAGTGAAACAGAAGGTCAATACAGCAATACAGATGGAGATAATAGATAAGACCATTTGAACATGACCATAGGCAGCAACAACACCTTCCCATTGAGGTTGAGGAAGTGCACTCGCATAGGCAACATCGCCGACAATCTTTGCATAGTCGTATTCTCCAGAAACATACTTGGCAATTTGACCGGGAAGCATATTGTTCCAAATGGTACCTGCCATTGTAGAACCAATACTAGCAGCAATAGAACCACCCACTTGCATCATGGCTGTAGCTACAGACATGTCTTCGTGAGGCAAACTGGACTGAATAGCAACAAGCATAGGGGTGTACAAGAAACCACTACCGATACCAACAATGGTTTGAGAAATGACAACAAAGGCATCAGAAGATGAGGGAAGGCGAGCTGGGATCATGAGGCCAACACCGAGAATGATCAAGGAGACACCAGCCCAAACAAAAGGCTTCCAGACACGGAAACGCTTCATCAAGTAACCTGCAATTACTTCACAAATGATATAAGCAACATTATAACCTCGTTCAAGCAAGATGGCCTTTTCAGAGTCGATTCTACGAGAGACCATCAAGTAAGTAAGGAAAAACTGCCAGTTGGTGGATGAGATGATGGTAACAGTGGACAAGGCACAGACACCATATAAAGGAGTGCGAGTGTTCCATTTAGCCAAAGGAATGATAGGCTTCTTGGCCATCTTCCATTCCCAGAGAGCAAAGAGAGCCCAGGCAACGACACCAGAGCACAATGTGCCAAGAGTAGTACCACTAGTCCAGCCACCCCAAGAGGGAAGTGCCAATACCAAGGGCAACAAGATCAAACACAGGCCAGCTACCAAAAGCAAGCTGCCAATGATGTCAATTTCGACAATGAACCAGACACACTTTTCCCAGAAAGTCAAGTTCTCCTCTTCACGAATCTTTCTCTGCTCATCTTTAAAATCCTTCAAGAGACCAGATTTCTTAACCTGAAAGTTCAATTTCCAAAGACAAAAGATCAAAGGGAATGAGGTGACAAAGATAATCAAACTCACACTTCCGTACCCCCATCTCCAGTTACCACTGTTGAACAATGCCTGGCCTGCTTTGGGAGCCAAAAAGATATTGATCAAACTAGGCACATTATAGAGACCTTGAAGCAAACCACGGTCTACAACGTTTGTCAGATCAGCAATGGTGATGGGACCGAGGATAGATGCGCCTGAATAGCCAAAGGCGTATACAACTTGACCACCCTGTACAAGAATGACATTAAGGTTAAATTACCGTCTAAATTGGAACCACATTTTCAACTTACCACCAGCGTTTCGTAGTTGTTGGCTGTTGCCATGACGATATAAGATACGATATAGAATGTCAATGCTACTGTATAGCATTGGGCACGACCATACATATCAGATAACTTGGAATAGATAGGCAAAAGTGCTGTTTGCAAGATGTACAGCACAGTAGGCAAGAGCGAAATCAAATTGTTGGTTTTGAACAAACTAGTAACATTAACAGACAAAGCAAAACTGAGATTGTACTCCCAATTGATAGCCCAGGACAAGAGGATCAAGCTAAACAGATGGGAATTAGCAAAAAGACGCCCTGAATGATATGCAAGTGCATACTTACGCAGAAAAGATGATCCACTTATCCCACTTGTTCCAGACAAATTTGTAGAGCTCGACAATCTTGACGCCTTGAAGCGACGTCTTTTCAACTGGCGTATCAGACATGTAATATGAAACAAGAGAGAAAAAGAGTACGAGTTTCACAGAAAAAGAGGGATTTGAAGGGATTTATATATGCTTTCAAAAAGAAAAAATTTTCCAGTAGAGATTCTAGGTTGAGCCATTTATGGTTACAATCTGCATCTGTCAATAGATTTCTAGTTAATCTGATGATCTGATATTTAAAAAGATCAGATAGGAGTCTCAAGCAAACAATAAACCACTGACATTTGATCGGTTTGTCATCACTTTTGTGTACATTAACAACCCCTGGTGTATTTGCTTGTAATCAGATCCATTTCATCGCCATGGCACGCATTTCTTATCTCGCCATTATACAGACATCGAGCCGAGCAGTGAGACGATCTCTATTTTTCGCACTGATTACAATTTAAATATGACTAGGAACAAATGATACGCTTAGAGCCTAGCCAGCATCTCACAGACAGAAGACCTAAAATAACGAAAAAAAGAACCCATAGAATGTTTGAGGTTACAAATTTTTAAGGTTACATTTTATATAATAAGACTATACAAGCTTGAATAAATTAGGGTGGAATAATACCAGGAATACCATACTGTTGGACACAAGCCATTGCACCCACAATACACACCATAAAGATGGAATGTAGGATAGTTCTACGAAGCACCCGACCCTCTTGACCTTGAAGTCCAATGGTAGATACGCCAGTTGTTAGATTTTGAGGTGAGATCATTTTGCTGCAGATGGCGCCTGAAGAATTGGTACTCGCCATCAAGATGGCCGATAACCCGATTTCACGTGCTGCAACCACTTGCAAATTACCAAATAGCGAGTTTGCTGATGTATCACTTCCAGAAAGGAAACAGGCGAACCAACCAAGCCAGGCAGACAAAAATGGGAAAGCTTTACCGACGGAGGACAGTGTTAGACCAATAGTATAAGCGATGCCAGAATAGTTGTACAGGTAGGCAAATGCCATGATGAAGGATACAGTGAGCACAGGCAAAAAGAGTTGAGTTAAGGTTTGTTTGAGAGCGTGCCAGAATACGCGAGGGTGCGATCCATTCCAAAGAACAAGGCAGCAGAAGGGAATAGCAGATACAAGAATAGCTGTACCAGTGGCCAGAGGCTCAAATGTCCAAATCGCATCGTATCTTTTACCGTACAAGGTTAAGTAAACTTCTTGATGCAAGTGAGGCCAGTGAACAGGTGTTCTTCCATAACTAGGTAGCTTGGCAAATGTCCAGCTATACAGCGTACATGCGAGATTAGGTTACAATTTCAAGAAAATGGTGTTTACTACTTACATAATCACAACAACAACAATCAGTGTCCAGGGACTCCAAGCAAGCAAGGTTTCTCGAATCGTCAGTTTTTCCACCTCCAACTGGCGGCCTTTCTCTTTAGCTGAGGCAATACTATCGTGCGCAACATCACCTCCAGCAACCGAAGAATGGCCTGGTTGTGCAACATTTTCTGCTGGTACGACAGAATCTGGGGATTCCAACTTGGAGCTGTGTTCAATATGTTGCTTTTCAGAGTGATTACTACTATGGTTGGAGATTCTATCAATGTCATTTTCAACATCATCGATAACAGCTTTAGCGACCACCATATGTGCCTCATATTCAGGTCTGTATTTGGGTTTCCAGAATTGCACAAAGATGATGATGGAAATCAAGGAAATAATGCCGGCAATAAGATCTGGTAACTCGGGTCCTACCAAATTGGCAAAAATAGCTTGAATGACAGCAAAAGACAAGCCAGCAACAAGACCTGCTGGCCAGCATTCGAGGAAACCAGCCCTGAAACCAGCGAAAAAGATGAGCGCATAAGTGGGAAGAAACAAACTGAGCAAAGGCAATTGACGGCCCATCATGGCGGATAATTTCATAACAGGTAAACCAGTGATGGTAGCCAATGTAGTGACAGGAATACCCAAAGCACCAAAAGCGACAGGTGTCGTATCGAAAATAAGGGTATAGGTCAAAGCATCCAAGGGGTCAAATCTATCATTGCAAGGTGGGTTAATCTATCGTTCAAGGAAATCCCATTTTAAATATGAATTTTACCCAACGGAAACCATCAAGGATGAGCAAATAGCACCGGGCGTACCGAAACCAGCGACACCTTGAGTAGCAACATTTAGCTATTTTGTACCACCAACCCACAGGTCTCCCTCTTACCTTCCAAGAGAGCACCAAAACTATAGCCGATAATCAGCAGAATAATGCGAGTATCAGGTGGTGTGTAAGCCAAGATCCAGCGACGAAAATAGTCAAATATTCCAGAATGAACAGCTGTATTATAGACAAACCTAGATATATTCCACGTCAACATTTTTCTGCTTTCATGTAGATCAACAGGTACACATTACATGGCATTGACTACGATCCACATAATTGGCCAATTTGCAAACACGATACCATTTCCAATAGATTCAAATGCTTGTTGAGCAGGCATGTGCCAGCCAAAAATTGCAATAAATATACTATAGAAGCTAGTGTAAGTACATTGGTTTTAAGAGAACTACAGTGAGGGTTACACTACCATACGATAAGCCCGGCTAGCGATGAGAAATGCGCAGGCACCTTGAATACACCCAACAAGACCAACACGAGCAGCAATGGGATCAATCCAACAAAGAATGATCCGACCAGATTGTTGGCTATAGGTGTCAATTGCTGAACAAACACACCTTCTGTTTCTGGACCTACAGGCGCAACTGGGATATTCACCATAGTTTGTATATAGAAAGAGATGAAGGAAAATGAAGGAAAAAAAGAGAAGAAAAATCAAAGATGCAACCACATATTTGTATTGAAATCGCAGGTTGATACATGTACTTGTTTAGACACTATCCAAACAAGCCTATCCGTCATTTGAGAAAAAAAAAGTGTGGGGAAGTAGTACATTACATCTTGTTTCGCGATATTAGTGTATACAGTGCAAATGATTGATAGGTAAGCGTTTGATGTGAAAAACGGGGCCAATTCTTTGTGAAAGGGACTTTGCGTTTCTATCATGCAAACTTGTTTCAATCATCAAACAAGGCAGCTTTATGAAACGGTACATATATAAATAATAGGTGCTGGTGGATCAGGTCAGTGATTTGCATAAATACAAGAGCCATTCATCAGCATGGATATATAAGCGCTATAGCAAGCATTTCTTTAAAGCAGCTAAACTATCTGCCGTGTGAATCACCGTGCTACCTTGCCAAACATAAAGGTCAATGTGAATTGAGCGGAAACCCCTAATTCTCTATCTTGCTCATCAATACAGTGATATCCATCCAATGGTTATTTCTCCTAATTCTCCTTTTTGATTCTCACGTTGTCTTGCTCTATCCCTTCTTGATTTGACATGGTAATAATAACATTAACATATTTTGCAGAAGCTCGCTTCGAAAAACATAGGCTGATCTTTTACTTTTATCCCCAGGAATCAAATGACCCTCGTTTTCAGTAATAAGATGCCTTGATGCCACACCTTGAGAAAACGGTATGGCCCGAGCCCTGCCCCTTCTTGACCATGTATATTTCCCCACACATAACAAACAACTGTTGTAGATTAAGTTTATTGTACTACTCCATCTTGCTTATTTTGTATAATTGTGTAGATCGTCTTTTTCTCATGCCTGTGATTTGAATTGATCTGATTTGACGGTACTCGTATCCAGCATTTGTCCCTGTGGTAAATAGTGGTACAAGTGATGCATAAATGGATTTAATGCTATGCTTGATTTGATGTTATGGTTTACCCCAATTTATGCAAGATTCTCACTGTGCTGTGCCTTACCTTGCTTCGCCAGTGAATTAACCCGTATTAAACGTTAATTGCTTTGGTGGATGGAAGGATTCTTATGTCAATAATATAGTGCCATTTCTTGTTCCCTCTTGATGCACTTAGTCTCATGTCGACACATGCGTGTAAGATACGTGAATGATCGTGGTATTCAGAACCCAATTCTTGTGGTGTGAGTATTTTTCAACGTCATTGATGAAAGGCAGAGTGAGGATCACAAAGTTTCAAATGGCAAGCTTATTTTCTTTAATTACGATAATAATACAATTTATGATACACACGCTAAATTGCGCTATAAGCCTTTGTGCTTGTTGGCTTGATCAACAACATGGCCGTCTTCATGCGCGGAAACCACGCCCTGATTAGCGGCAATATCTTCATCCACATATTTGATCCATCTACATCCAACAGTACCGTACAAGAGAACAACCACATAGGCCACGAGGGGTATGACAAAAGAGATATTCACGTTACTGTGGTCATGAATGACAGCTTGAATAGGTGGGAGTACAGCACCACCTGAGACGCCCATAATAACTAGAATAAAAAATAAAAAGAGTTGACTATTAGTCATAGTCTTGTCAAATAAATCTGTCCATACTTACTTAAAGCAGAGCCTCTCTTGTGATTTCTACCTAAATCCTTGGTACCCAATGCAAAGATGGTAGGGAACATGACACTCTCAAAGAAGAGCAAGATGATCAAAGCATAGGTAGTCTCGGGTGTCTTCATGGCAATGATAAACACATTGGTGACAATGGCACCTACAGCGTATACAGCCATCAAATAGTCAGGGCGGAACATTTTGAGCAAGATGGCACCCAGGAATCGACCCACGGTGAAACAGGCTTGGCCGACAGAAAGCATGATGGACCCCCTAGAATCAGGCATATGACCAACCTCATTGCTATAAAACAAAAACATGGATGCAAGTGTTACTTGAGCACCTGTATACATGAATTGTGTGAAAGCACCCAACAGGAGATGTGGAGAAAAGATGGAGGCTCTGCGCACCACTTCGCCTGTCTCCTCGGCTTCAGCTGCCATGAGTTTTTCTTCGTCAACTTCAGGGATTTTGGCAAAGCAAAACAGGACGCCAATGAGAAAGACACCACAAGCAACACCAACATAGGTCCACTTGACAGACTCCAAGTCTCCTCCTGCATCCTCTTTGCCACCAAAGAAGGCGTAGGAAGCAACAATGGGTGCAATAGTGGATGCTAGGCCGTTGAAACCTTGAGCAGCATTGATACGGAGCGATGCATACTTTCTTGATCCAATGATGGTAATGTAGGTATTTGCACCTGTATAAATAATGTTGTTAGCACGAGACACTTTTAGCACATGCATATACTCCAAGGACACAACTTACAGTTTTCCAAGGTAGCTAATCCACATGCAATGACAAACAGCGATCCAACAAATCCTCCATAACTCAAGTTGGTGGCGGAAGGATAGAAGCAAAGGGCACCAATGACATACAGCCCAAGGCCAAAGATGATGGTCTTTTTGTAGCCAAATCTCTTGGAGATCAAACTGGCACTATCAAATACCAAGGCCATATCAATACCCATACCGTTTGACATCACATCAATCTATCCACTTACGGTATACTCATGATAAAATAGGCCCCAAAATAAGCAACTTGCATATAGGTAGTCTCTGTAGTGGCTATAAAAGCGTGTCAGATCTCTCAAGTCGTCTGTGTAAAGTAAACAACCACTTACTAATGCCCAATACATTTCTAAAATGCTTGTTCAACGTATCCAGTAGACCGTAACTGAAACCCCACAGGAAGAAGAGAGTAGTAACGAGCACACCGGGAAGCAGGTAACTTTGTGTTGGTTCCGCTGCTCTTTCCTCTTCAACTATGGACACTTGTTTCTGTATGCTAGTGTTACTTGCATTGTCTGTTGTAGCAGTAGGCTTCTTTTTATTGAATAAATTCATTGATTGAGTATAGCTTTGATAGAAAGAAAGAGGCGAAATGTTCCTAGCCTATATATACACAAACTGTCATCCCTTTTTTCTGTATCTTTGCTTTTATAAGATATTCCCATACTATGTGAATTACATGTAAACATAAAGCACTTACATGGATTTTTTGATTTCCCGTGTTTTTCTGCTTTGAATCAGAACTGAACGGCAAATTAGTTTTAGTTTGGCATTCAACTTGATTGTGCAACATGGCATACTAGCAAACGCCGCTCCCTATTACGTACCTTTCAATGATTCAATATTAAAAAAAGTGAAATACAAACAAGGAAAGAGAAAAAAAAAAATGAAACATGGGTAAAAAAAAAAATCTCTTTATATACTCTGAAGCCCCTAGATCATTTCAATTCGCCCCTTTCTTTTGTTCAAGTTGCTGCAAGCAGACTGATTTAATCATACAAAAATGATTTTATGTAATGCAAATGCTGTGTGTGAATTGTTAACGTATGACCCCACATCTCATTAAGCTGACGGTATAAGAAATGGATTCCCCAAACGGAGAATTGGGTCCAAATACAGTAGAATGTACAACCGATAGCTTGGTGATGATTCATGGGCAGAACACATCTTATCAATGATAAGCTGCATGAAGGACGAGTAGTAAACTGTATCGATAAGCCATACCGTTTGCGATAGGGTAAATTGGAGGGTTTCACTACATTGCATAGCGTAAATTCACAAAGGTGTCGGTGTTGGATAGTTTGATCTCTTGGCTGTACTTTTTTAATAATTGCCTTCAAATCCCATTATGCCACGGCTCCTTTCAACGCTATGCGTCACCGCGGATTCAGTATTATGCATTTGCTTTCGGTTATTAAGCAAATACTTAGTATCAACCGTGCGCATATTCAAAGCTGATCATAAAAAAGAGCCTTCTGCATACTAATATAACCGCATTTCACTTGGTATCACGTCAGGATCTCTGTTAACGATCTGGAACTGCAAATCTGACTCTTTCATAATACTGCACGTCTGTATTAATAATAGGTACAGATCATAGATAGACATACAGCATATACGCTTTATCCCTTACCACCTAACCATATGCAAAACATAGCGAAATTTAGATGCATTAGAATCGCGATTTCTCGTGTTAGGCGCCGTTTTAGGTCTTCAGAATAACGCCAAACGATTTTTCTGATCTAGCTCTTACTCACACCTTGGCTCAACTTTTTAGGGACCAAAAAAAAACATGGACAAAAATCGGCCAAAAAGCATGAGGCACCCCTCATGGTTTTCATCAAAAATCAAACGATCGCGTTTTTGACATTGATAATGAAGACTTTTACTATGGTATATATCAAATCAAAATGTTTCTCTTGATCTAACCTAACCCCTGAAATCATCTTTGTGGGATCTTGTTATGTAAAATCTCGACTTTTTGGCCAGAAACCTTTTTTCATATTTTCATATATTTCTTAATAAGTTTGTTCAAAACATCTATCTTACTTGGTACCATTGGATGCGTCTCGAAAAGCACCCCAAGAATGCTTAAAGAAGCCTTTTTTTTTGTAGGGGAGTCGAGCTCCAGGTTTTATTTAAAGTTCTTTAAATGTCATACTGAGGGAAAGAATAGACTGTTGGTGGACCCAATGTCTGCAATGAAGGGGAATAAGATATTTTTGAACTAAGTTGGGAAAGAAATCTACTGCTAATAAGGTGCGACACCTAGAGCCAATACAGTCTTGCGGGAATCGTCAAAATATAGATAGTTGGATAAGAGCACAAAACACCAAACGAGGACATCAGTACTACGCCAAAATAATCACCAAAAATGCATTCACTGAGATTTGAACCGGGATCATCCAGATGGCATGTTGGATGCTTAAACACTTCGCCCTACCACCACGGGCACTTAAAGAAGCATAGGATGATTAGCATATTTTATATAGTTGAATCGCAAAATAGTTTGACGAAGTCGAAAATGAGCCAAAAATTTCTATTTCGAGCGAAAAAAAACGAGACGTAGTGTTAATCAATTTAAGCTGCTGGCAAACATCATGTCATTCTGCTCAAGAATGTAAACGATGCGTATGGGAGGCTCATAAGAAGGCAAAGAAGTAATATAAGTTAACCTGCCCCATCTCCATCTGGCTTTTTACCCAGTTTTGTGTCTGATGGATTTAATTTTTGCCATTGCGCGAATCCTAAACATGACCATCTCACTCAGAATGGCACAACAGTGGAACGAAGCAATCAAAGTAGAGCAGCAGAACGAATAGCATTTCTTCGGTATGATATAATCAACAATTTTATTCAAAAATAGTGTCATGTTTTGTTATTAACAACTGAACCAACACCATACCTTGGTTCATTTGCTTCAAATAAATAGCGGCATCTGCCAATGCAGACTGTTGTGTATCTGGTACGTTCACATAGTTTCCTGAGGATGAGGTTGTAGGCATCTCTTCAGCTCTGATCATGTTGGGTGTGAATACCACGGACAGATTATGCGTGTTCATTCTGTTTTTACTAGCATGTTCAGAGACTTGCTTCAAGAATTGACAAATGTACTTGAGCAATGAATAGTAATTGGGGGAGTTCTTGTAATGCTCTTGCAGTTTGGTCTTGACTTTGACAATGGTATCATTGGTGCAAATGCTGGCATCTGGATCAATGAGTGAGCAAGACGTGCCATGTCTTTACTGCTTTTTTGCTATGCAATACCTGGTAATGCTCCTATGCTTTCACTGAACTTTAGGCCAATGAGTGGGACGGGAAGCTCTCGAATGAAAACTTTTAGCAGAGCTGCTGATACATCAATGTCGTGTTGCTTCAAGTCAACAATAGAGCCTATCGAGGAGATTTGAGTTTCTTGATCATGCAAAGTTGCGGATCTCATTATCTCTTACCATTATTAAAGGCTGCTTTGACAGATTGCAGTTCATCACTCGAAGGCGACTTTCTGAAAATGCCCTCCTTTTCCAAGCCTATGTATGCGTCAGTACTTGGCGATTGACCCTAAATCTCATATATACCATAATCTCTTAGATGATTTACAATCTGTAAAACGAAATTTGGGACATAATCCGTCGATTCAATGCCTTCAAGCGATGCCAAATCTTCTAATCTCCTTCCGAAAGCCAATGATGGTAGCGGTCTCTTTTGGCGTTGCGGAACGGGAGGCGCATAAGCTTGATTGTTTAAGATGGCTGGAAGCTGGCTGTCATACTGGACAACTCTTTGAGGGATGAATTGCGGTGCCAAAGTGATGCTTGCCTGGAGTGTCTGCAGATTTGGAATGTACCGTAATTTTCGAGCAAATTTGGGACTGATGATTTTGTTGGCGAGATCGAAAATGATGCGATAGGTTCTTGTGAGATGAACGACATAAAGAGCCTTCAAATTCTTCTTGTATCTGACGACATTATATAAGCATGTTTGTGTCTTGTAGTGCATGTAATTACACTTACTTGCGATCGAGTGAACGATATGCTCTCAACAGCCACATCCATCCAGGTCTATATCTTGCTGGCGAAGAAAAGAACACAAGGACATAGTCATTCTCAACAAATTCATCTCTACACTCAAACATGCTTAGCCAATGTGGATGCCTGTCGCAGCCAGCATACTTACAGTCGCGCAAGAATAAAGCTAAAAAAAAACACATGGTTAATATGAAACCAGCATACATGCAACTACCAAGACTTACGACAGGATCAAATCATAATCATAGACATCAGGATTTGGTAGATTATCTGCACATAAAACCAAGATAGGTCGACTTTCACTATCGAGGCCTGTTGTCACTCGAATTAGACTAAAGTGATGTATACATTAGCAAAGCTTTCTTTACCAGCCTCATAGATGATGTTCAAAGCCGAGATCCCTTTGAATTCGGGACTATGACAAGACAGTGGAATAGCTTTATTCATAAAAGAATACGGAGGGAAAAAGTTGTAATGAACAATAAAGCGCACATGACAATGAGCAATGTGCACCAGCACTATCATATTAGGAACACCGAATGGAGGAGCAGCAGCCTGGGCTTGGTTCTCACTACTGAAGCAGTCCTACGGCGAGAGATTCTCCATCATCCTTGGATTGGAAACCAATGCTCTCGAAAGATCCTATAATCCGGTAATTGAAAGAAGCAGTTGGAGCAAGAAGAATACTTTGATAATGTACTTGAAGTGGGTATTTCATCTGACTGCATCCTTTGCCGAGAAACTTTACCTTGTCTGCATCAACATGTCAATGTCTAATGTTAGTTTAGCAATCATCCTATGCTATGCTATAAGCTTATCTTTTGTCCCATGTTCTTATACATTGAGACACTTTCCTCACAAATCTAAACGTCTGAGCATCGATGCCTCGCTCCTTACACCAGCTTGAGAGTATCAGTTCCTGTAAACATCTGCCAGATCAGTGTAGAATTACATCCACGCACTACCTTATACGGATGAACAAGTCATGTCATATGAGTCATACACCCTAACATTGACTAAATACATCATGAAATGAGCTAAAATGACACACTGCTAACCGTCAACCATACCATCGAGCACCGTCTTGATCTCCAATGGAGCATGCATGCCATCCATTTCATGATTTCGGTGACTGTCCATGGTCAACTGGGTGCAAAATTTTAGGACGCTTCAACATCTAGTGTTGGTATTTAAGTGCTTTGATCGCGTTTCTTCTTTCCTGTTCTTTTTCTTTTTCGAAAAGCCGATAAAACAACCATCATGTCAGCACCCGCACAAGATCCTGCTGTAGAAGATATCACTCAAAAGACCAAGGAGGTTTACTTGGAGTATGTGGATATTGACATTTATGCATGATGGCTTGCTAATTAAATAAATAGTGATGCCGGTAAGCCCATCACCAAGAATGCCTACAAGAAGCTTCAAAAGGACAAGGAGAAGGCTGAAAGAAAGGCTGCTACTGCTGCCAAGATTGCTGCCGAAAAGGCTGAAAGAGAAGCCAACCAAGTTGTAAGTAGCATGGCCATGTGTGTGTGTGTGGAACATGTCGGAAGGATGAGATGAGAAAAAAAAAATAACCTGTCAATCTTTTTGCCAGGATTGCTCCAAGGACCGTTATGGTAAGCTCCCTATGAATCAATCTCAATCTCGCACTGGTAAGTTTTTGAATGAAAGGAGAGTAGCATTGGAAATGGAGAGTATAAGCTAAGGCCCGTCAATGCGGATATAATAGAGACCAAGTATGAGGATATCAACACCATCAATGCCTCTCGTGAGGGTGAAACTGTCACTGTCCGTGTTCGTGTACAAACCTCTCGTGCCACTGGTGGTAAGATGTGTTTCTTTGTCTTCCGTCAAGGCGTTTCCACCATTCAAGGTATCATCACTGCTGACGACGAGACCATCTCCAAGCAAATGGTAAAGTACTGTGTTGGCATTTCTCCTGAATCCATCGTGCTGGTGGAAGCCAAGGTTGTCAAGCCTGTCGAGGAAGTCAAGAGTTGCACCATCTCTTGCGCCGAACTCGCCATCGAAAAGATCCACGTTGTCTCTGAAGTCAATGTTCGTCTCGCTTTCTCTTTGGACGATGCCACTCGTCCCGAAAGCTCTTACGAAGAAGATGCTCAACTCTCCAGAGTCAACCTCGATACCCGTCTCAACAACCGTGTCCTCGATCTTCGTACTACCACCAACCACGCCATTTTCCGCTTGCAATCTGCCGTTTGTTTGCTTTTTAGAGAGTTCTTGACCGAGCGTGGCTTCATGGAAATCCACACTCCCAAGCTGATCGGTGCTGCCTCTGAAGGTGGTTCCAACGTCTTCAAGGTCAACTATTTCAAGACCAACGCCTTCTTGGCTCAATCTCCTCAACTCTACAAGCAAATGTGTATTGCTGCTGATTTCGGCAAGGTCTTTGAAATTGCTCCCGTTTTCCGTGCTGAAGATTCCAACACTCATCGCCATATGACTGAATTCATGGGTCTTGATATGGAAATGGCTTTTAACGAACATTACCACGAAGTTTTGGAAGTTCTGGAAGAGCTCTTTGTGTATATTCTCGGTAACCTCAAGTCTCGCTACGCCAAGGAGATTGAAATCATCAAGAAGCAATACGAATTTGAAGACTTTGAGTTCTTGCCCAAGACCCTTCGTCTTCCCTTCAAGGAGGGTGTCAAGATGCTGAACGAGGCTGGTGTTCAAGTGGGCGAGTTTGAGGATTTAAGTACTGCCAATGAAAAGTTCTTGGGTAAGCTCGTCAAGGAGAAGTATCACACTGATTTCTACGTTCTTGACAAGTTTCCCTTGGCTATTCGTCCTTTCTACACTATGCCGGATCCTGAGAACCCTGGTTACTCCAACTCTTACGATTTCTTCTTGCGCGGTGAGGAGATCTTGTCTGGTGCCCAACGTATCCATGACGCTGATTTCTTGACTGAGCGTGCCAAAGCCCATGAAATCGATCTCTCTACTATTCAACCCTATATTGATGCCTTCAAGATTGGTGCTCCTCCTCATGCTGGTGGTGGTATTGGTTTGGAGCGTGTTGTCATGCTCTTCCTCGGTCTTGGTAACATTCGTCGTTCCAGCTTGTTCCCTCGTGATCCCAAGCGTTTGGAACCTTAAATCATCACATTTTTGTCCATACATGCATTACTTTTTTTTTTCTCTTATTACAGTAAAAACATGCAAATCTATTATCTATAGAAAGAAGAAAACTTGGCGTTCAAATAATACAATAGATGATACTTTGGGTGTGTTGATAGATCAAGTGAATTTTGACCACAAATTGCTTCTAGCTGGATGCACAGATATCATTCAAATGAACATTGCGTATATACTACTGAATGAAACACTTCAAGAGTGTGAATACCCACTATCAAATCAACAGCTATCGTTATGTATTGTTGAGAAGGTGCAATAACGGGATGTGTGCTTTAGATATAATACGCTTATTCAACTATTATGGGTTCCTTCACGTCAAGTAGCTATTACAATCAATACTACTTATATGGTGAACAATACAGAGACCAAACAGAAAACAAAGCAGCAAATTCGGCTTTTCATTTCCATTATTAATAAGCTTATCAACAACATAACGCATCAAAATTTGCATGAATTAGCTTTACCAAAATCAATATGCCTTCTGTTCAAATTAGAAATTGCACAGGCTACAGAACTACCCTTCCAGTAAATGACAGCTACCAAAGATGTAATTCACACAGTATAAATAAAAGCTATAAAAAAGTAAAACACAGCTAAATTCGACGGCTTTCAAGCCTTCATATCTTGACATATAGACCTTTCTGAGCCACCGGAGTGACGCCGAACAATTGTACTTGAGTAGTAGTAACTTCCTGACACCTTTGCTCAACTTTTTTGGGACCAAAAAAAAAAATATGGCCAAAAATCGACCAAAAAGCATGAAGGGTACCTCATGGTTTTCATCAAAAATCAAACGATCGCATTTTTCACCTTGAAAATGAAGACTTTTACTATGTCATATATTAATTCAAAATGTTTCTCTCAATCCAAAGCAACCTCTGAAACTGCTTTTACGAGGTTTTCATATGCAAAATATGGTTATTTTCGCTAAAAACCTTATTTCAAATTTTATTAAATTGCTCAATAAGTTCAGTCAAAATATTTATTACAATTAGCATCATTGGAAGCGCGTTGAAAAGTACTTCAAGAATGTATTAGGAAGCGTGGGGTGATAATCACAGTTTATATAGTCGAACACCATAAAATAGATTAAAGAAGTCGAAGAAAGACGATATCTGTCCAATCTTGAACAGAAAAAAACATACTGCGTTTGAAATAAATTTGGCGGCGGCGGCTTGCTGCTGGCTGACCTAAATGCCTTTCTGTTGATGACAATGATGATTGTGATACTGATTAAATGGAGACAATGAAGTTGAAAGGACAATTGATTAGCTTGAATACTTTTTCGGGGAGGTTTGCCGCATAAAGATGTCTTCTGCAATGACAATATCTCAAAAAAGTCGCTGTAGATCTTACACAAGTCCTGTACATCAAGCGTAAAGAGATAGATCGACTAGTATAGGAAATACTTGATTCTAAGATTACTGTTTAGCATTAACATCAAGCACACGCCTTCATCTCTGATACAAGAGCCCTCCTCCAAGATGTATAGACTGCCAGATGCTTCTTGGATCGGCATGCCTCTGGCCACCCAGGAACAAATTGTAGCAAGCATTGCTAAGCATTTGTTTGTCACATTAAGCATACAGCAATGATGAATCAAAGCATGACACATCATTTGCTTTGGAGAACCTTAAAAAGTAAATTGCCTTTATTTAGCCATTCAAGTAAGCGGAGCTTTGGGTGTGCCTGTTTGTATCATTCGAAAGGGCCAAGGAAGCCAAGGAATGTGTATATAATCTCTTGTTCTTTCTTGTTCTACTTTTTTTTTTCTTCTTCTCAACATGTCTACTCCACTTCTCTCTAGCAACACTGCACAAACACTCGGTGCTGCTGCATCCAACATGGCCAGCGAAGCGCGTTTCTCTTTTCTTCAAAAGTTTCGCGAGCAACGCTTAGCCAACATTCGACCTCTTGGTGATTTTTTTGATAAAAATAGAATCAGTTTCACTACCAATTTTCATACCATCAGTCAACGTTGGAAGTAAGTGCTCAAGTGAGTAGATACAGCCTACATGTATTCATCGTTTATACACAGCTATAACTTGCAATATTTCTCTGCAAATTACTTGGTGATCATCTTGCTTCTGGGTGTCTATGCTATGTAAGTAGTTGGGATGTTGAGAGAGAGAGAGAGAGAGAGAGATTGGATGAGGGGTGAAACTCTGATGCCGTCTACATACAGCATTACAAGTTGGTGGTTGGTATTCACCATTGCTTTTCTGTTTGGTGGATTCTTTTTGATTTCTCGCTTGGATGGACCTCTCACTATCGGAGGAGCAGCATTATCGCCTTCCACCTTGTATGCTTCGTACGCTGGTATATCGTTGCTCTTACTACTTTTCTCGGGTGCAACGGGCGCCATTTTCTGGATCATTGGTAAGTGGTTTTGTATATTGGATATAAGAACAAGGCACTTATGCTAGAGTGATATTGTCTAGGTGCTGCTGCTATTATCATCCTGGGTCATGCCGCTATCCTGGAACCAGGATTGGAGGGTGATTTCTCTGCAGACGGACAAGTTTAATAAACATCTGTCGCACAAAAAGGAGCTTGTTCTTCTGATAAAATTAATTATATATTAAGCATATCTCTCTTTTTCTCTCTCTCTCTCTTCTTTTTTTCTCTCTTTTTATATATATATAAATACAATCATATCCTAATAATTAAAAAAAAAAAAACTGAAATCCGGGGTTATCAAGCTTGAATTTTGAACATAAAAAAGATGCCATCCAATGTGTTGATTGAACCCAAGCCAACATCCAAACTGTCAAAATCATCGACAACAAGCAGGAAATTCAGACTGTTTAAGAACCATTCCAGAAGAAAACGGCCAAGAAGTGTCGAGACAATCAAGCACCCGTCAAATGAACATGATCAAGACTTGAAGAGGCATTTAAGATTGCGAATAACAATAGCTCAGGCAAGACATATCGCCCCAGTAAGTAAATAGTTGAATAGAGACCTCATCCTGATTGGGATTTAAAATGAGCGATATAAATTGTGATAGGATTTGGATACCTTTGTCATTGTGCGATGTTTGAAGCATAGCCACAGAACACATGTTGTCAGAAACTCAACAGAGCCTACTTGGTCTTGTTCATTCGATGTTCCAATCAACAGCATTACCAAAAGAAAGCAATGGCGTCGAGGTATCACCATTATTTTATGTTCAAAGGATAGATTCAGATCTCAGTTTCTCGGTCAAATTCACTTGCCGTTTCCTGCTACTAAAGAGGAAGCGACGGCGGCTCTTTTCTATGATGATGTTTACAATACTGTAAGTATAAAAGATTCATTGTGAGACATTTTTGCACTTGTTTCTCCTCTTTGCTAACACATTTATACCAACCATGAAGTCCAACTGGCGCCCCGTCCATCCCACCCAAAATCAGCAGAGAAAACTATCACTATCCAGCACACCAAGACGAAGAGCCTTTTCAGAGTCTCTGGGCAGCGAAATCAATGTCAAAACTGGCCTTATCCTGGAAGGCTTTGAAAATGATCATTCGCAGGTGAAAAATCAGAGAATCAAGCAGGTTTGGAGGAAGCTTACCCAACATCATCATAACCAACCATCAAGCAACATGACCAGCTCTGCTCCAACAACACCGGCAGTCAGATCTGCCTCTTCTCTGCCGCCTGAATATGGAGGCTACATATCCAAGAGCAGCAGCAGCGGTACAAACACTCCCTCAGATTACTTTAGCAGACAGCGACACTCACGACAAGCATCCACGGATGCCTTCCTAAGCTCTGCTGTCTCGACTCCACAAACCATGTCGGATTCAAGCTCTCGGAAACGACTGACTGCTCGCAGAAAGAAGAAGCATGGCATTGAGGGCAAATTTCACCAGGATGTAATGGGTGTCACCTTTCTGGAGGTTTGCCATGCAAAAGATTTGCCGCCAGAGAGAAACTGTAAGCTGAATGAACTGTGCGTGTGTCATTTCATGCTAATCTACTTGACTAGTGGCCCGTACTGGCTTTGATATGGATCCGTTTGTTGTGGTTTCGTACGGCACATCCACATTTCGAACAAGTGCTGTACGACACAATTTGAATCCAGTGTGGAACGAGAAATTATTCTTCCACGTTCGACACCACGAAGCCAACTTCCACTTGAAATTTACAGTGTACGATAGAGAAAAGTTCTCGGGAAACGATCTCGTTGCATGGTGTCAGGTGCCGATTCAAAATATCATCAAACAGCACAAAGAGATGCACTTTGCTGATAATCAAGAGGAAGAGGAAGAAGGTATCGACATGATTGAAAAGGAAATGGACCGCCTCACATTTCCACTGCAGATGGTGAACCCAGACAAATGGAAAAACAAGCGGCCTACACTAACCATTCGTGCAAAATTCATGCCGTATGAGGAAATTCGGAAAATGTTCTGGCTCTCTTTGGCGAAGGCTTACGATGCTGAACATACCGGCACCTTGAGTCGATTGCAAGTGCAATCTATGCTGGAGACCATTGGATCAACCATCACTGAGGCCACCATTGATAAGTTTTGGTCAAACAACGGAAAAGACCCCAAGAATGAGGCTCAAGAGATCACACTGGAAGAGCTGGTCAATAGTTTGGAAAACTACATGAAGGCTGAAGCAGAGTACAATGACAACTGGTCCAGTCCCTCTTTGACCCCATCAGCTAGTGGCGATAATATGGAGACGCTTGGCTTGGATATGATGCGAATGACTATGAAGCAGGACGAAGATGAAGAAGATGAAGACGAGGAAGATGATGAAGAAGATGAAGATGAAGAGGATGAAGAAGATTGGAATGGGATTGAAGAAGAAGAAGAAGAAGAAGAAGATGACGACCAGTTGCCTTTTGGCGTATTGAATCCTGAAATATTTGACTACTCATCTATGCCTACAACACCTGCTACGGGGGAACAACAGCAGCAACAATTAACCGACGTTGATCTGGCAGAAGCTTTGATAAAAGAAGAGAATAGCATGATGAAACGACTGCCTACAACATCCAATGGTAGCAGCATGTTAAGGCAACACTTTCCTTCACATCGTCGCACAGCAGTAGAAAAAGTCATCCGCCTCAAGGAATGTCCTATTTGCCACCGTCCTAATCTTGGCAGAAGATCTCAAATGGATATCATCACGCACATAGCCACCTGTGCAGCAAATGACTGGACAACGGTAGACCGATTTTTAATGGGGAACTTTTTGACAGAGGCTTATGCCCAAAGAAGGTAACAGCACAAAGGCAATCTCTCGTGCACAAGAGCTCATTGGTTCTATATAGATGGTTTGTCAAGCTTGTTCGCAAGGTTGGTTATGGAAAGTACTCCCTTGGCAGAGACAATGCCAACATTATCATTCAGGACAGACGAACAGGCCAACTAATTGAGGAGAAGATGAGCGTCTACGTACGACTTGGCATGCGACTCGTGTACAAAGGCATGAAGACCAGCATTCAGTCCAAAGGTGCTCAGCGTATCTTGACCAATTTGACACTCAAGCAAGGTCGCCGCTTTGATTCACCCAATTCGGCAAGAGAAATCCCTGGTTTTATCAAATTTCACAAAATTCAGTTGCATGAAGTGTGGAAACCAGTGTCCAGTTTCAAGACGTTCAACGAGTTCTTTTATCGCAAGCTGAAGCCAGGCGCCAGACCAACTGATTCACCTGAAGATCCAACAGTGGCTGTCAGTCCTGCAGATAGCCGAATGACAGCATTTGATTCAGTATCAGAGGCAACTCGTTTGTGGATCAAGGGCATTGAGTTTAGTCTCAAGAAACTGTTGGGCGATCCATGCGGTGCCAAGGAGTTGCAGGGAGGTCCACTTGCTGTGTTTCGATTGGCACCTCAGGATTATCATCGCTTTCATTCACCTGTGGATGGCGTTGTGACAAAGGTTAAGCATATTTCAGGGCAGTACTATACCGTCAATCCCATGGCCATTAGGACAACGTATGTTTATTCAACAAAAATGTATGTGATTTGCTGCTAATTCATTATTTAGTATCGATGTATTTGGCGAGAATGCTCGCACCATTGTTTGGATGGACTCCAAACAATTTGGCAAAGTCGCCGTTGTTTGTGTGGGTGCCATGTTGGTTGGATCTATTATTATCACTGCAAAAGTGGGTAGTGAGCTGAAGAGGGCTGATGAAATGGGCTACTTTGCGTTTGGTGGATCCACTTTGGTGGTAGTGTTTGAAAAGGGGAAAATGAATTTTGACCGGGATTTGCTGGGGAATTCAGACAGAACAGTAGAAACACTGGTAAGTGGCATGAATGTCTAGTATCCCTGGATCATATATTCAAGGTGTATCTTGCACAGGTTCAAGTCGGCAATCATATTGGCAGATTGCCGCCGCAATAACATCATTTAGGCTCATGATAGCATGAATACCACTTTCCCTCTTTCTTAATATTATTTATTCTTATTTACAATGGTGATGATGATGTACACATTTACATTCATAATTTTACTGTGATTTCTGCCTTGAAGCCTCCTCTGCTTCTTCATCAGCCTAATAAATAAAGCATTTCAGTGAGAAATGATTGTTTTCCTTATCCAGTCCAACTTACTAGCATTTTCTGTTGATCTATGAACCATGCAGGTAAATGGAGAGGCAGCGTCACTAAATCCAAATCAAACAACTCTATAAACTGCTCATTGACATAGCGTGCTTTTGTGCCTGCATAAGATCGATACTATAATCGAGTGTTACCGTGATGCTCTGCGAATGGATGCTATTGACATTACCTCGGTGACAATGGAGCTGAAATTCCAGCCCTCCAGCTTTCGCAAACATCCTACCAGTGTACCCGTCTCATGAATGCCTGATCTATTGATATCGCAAGCGCTTTAATGACTGTCAGTAATCGCACCTTGAGTCGCATACATACGTGCACATGATCAAGATGGGATGTGTTTCGACATCCAAAATCAACTCCAATCCTTCTTTGATGAGCTCCTCAGAAACAGGTCTCCAAGTCGATGGTTGTGTTGGCTTCCATGTTGCCATACCAACATGTACAAGCTTGATATCACCCTCTTCAATGAAATTGGTTGTTACTCTGTTTGGTAGTTCTGGACTGAGCATGACAAGTGTCTTGAAGCCAAACTGCTTTAGATATGAAAAGTGAGGCTGTTGTAGCATGTCTGATCGATAGATTCCTGGCTCTACAATCCCAAATTGCTCGGGAGGGCTTAATAAGTTGATGTTACTACCTCCCATGCTAGAATCAATCGATAGTGAAAAGATAGTGATAGACCAAGAACGAGTGTTTCCTTTGAAAATGTAGCAAATGTGATTAGCACTCCGTAATTCCCGTTACTCTTTTTCCAATGCGTATCCAATATGCCATCCTATGGCCGAAGTTTGTAGTCATTGTGTCTATGAATACATACTGATATTATGGAGATCAATGTTAATTTCTACCTGTAGGTATTTTCTAGGTAAAGCTGTTCAACATGAGGATCAATTGATTGATTTGCCAGTGTATTCAATGCGTACTCTTACTGATACCACTTACCAACGCTTTCCACGTCAGAGCTGCGTTTCAAACACATATCATGTTTTCATTTGTTCAACCATCGACATCTTCTTTATTAGTAACTGTTCTTTCATAGTTAAGAAGTCCTTTTCACTTGTTATACACTGGCAATATGGTAAATACCAATCCACTATTGGAAATCGACTTACAACTTACATCCGACTGTAGGCACAAACAGCTACACAAACTATTGAAACAAATCATGAAGACATGATTGTAAGTGATTAATAACTGCAACGCGTTCCCTCATTCTAACAATCAATGTGAACAGCATGATGCTCAACTCGACTATTATTCTCGTCGTTTAGCAACAGCCTCTTCTGATCACACTATCAAAATCTTCAACGTTGATGGCGATAATCAAACACTGAGTCATACCATTACAGAGTAAGAACTGAGAAGCTCTAGTATGCCAATAGCACAAAAAACTGAATATTGCAACAGTAATACAGCTCCAGTATGGCAAGTAGCATGGGCTCATCCCAAGTTTGGCACCATTTTAGCTTCTTGCGCTTACGATGGTCGTGTGCTTATCTTTAAAGAACAAAACGGTGCTTGGACAAAGATTCATGAAAACAACAAGCATACAGCCTCAGGTAAAAAAAAAAAAAAGAAAAGAAAAAAGAAATGAACAGAGTAGTTGATATGGACTATATTCGTATTCATATGTATGTGTGCTGTAGTTAACTCTGTTGCTTGGGCTCCCCATGAGCTTGGTGCCATCTTGGCCTGTGCTTCTTCTGATGGCAAGATTTCTATTCTCGAATACAAAGGTACATACGGCACAAAGAATATACGACAGAGAATATACGACAGAGAACAGGGGAAATTGATTGTTTATATACTGTAGATGATGGAAGTTGGGAAACACAATTAATCGATGCACATGGTATTGGCTGTAATGCAGTTACCTGGGCACCTGCTGCTATTCCCGGTAGCTTAGTTCAGACAAATGGCGGCAATCCCAATGTGAATGTCGTAAAGAAGATCGTGTCTGCAGGCTGCGATAATTTGATCAAGATTTGGGGATATAAGGATGACAGTAAAAATTGGCAAGAGGAGGAAACATTGGATGGTCACTCTGATTGGGTTCGTGATGTTGCTTGGGCTCCCAATGTTGGACTCGCCAAGAGCTATTTGGCTAGTTGCTCTCAAGATAAGTCTGTCTTGATCTGGACACAAGAAAACCCTAAAGCAGAATGGACTCATAAGACACTAGGCGACAAGTTTCCTGATGTTGTTTGGCGTGTTAGCTGGTCATTATCCGGTAACGTTTTGGCTGTCTCATGTGGTGATAATAAGGTTACTTTATGGAAAGAGTCTTCAAAGGGTGATTGGGAACTTCTCGAAACGCTTGAAGAAAATGCTTAATTAATATCAATTATAATAAAAGAAACTAAAGACTTGTATGCATTAAGCTGTTTAGAGAAAATCAGTATAGATATCAATTTTGTTGTGCAATCAATAATGAGGGATGATGATGGTATTAAAAATTTTCTGAGAAAATGAACGTCGTAGAGTTTTGCAAAATGTCATACTTGGTTGGTTTGAATTATTGTAAAAGGATGTTAAAACACGCATGTACACGATTTTTTACTGCGTTTCGCCTTGTTAAATTCCATTTAAAATCGATTTTGCCTTTCTCGTTACTGCTTTAGCCGAATTAACTCGATGAAGCTTTGAAGGTGACATCCTACCACTCGATAGCGATGTGGACCGAATAGTCTCGCTTGTCAACCGAAATAATGATTGCAACTATTGAGGATATAAACCATCTCTAAGATGCAAATGTATTATACAACGTATAATATACGATGAGAAGATTTGAGAACGAGCAAAGATGAGTAGTAGATTGAGATTTCTTTATTCAAGCAGTACAAAGGGACATGAGTGGTGCTACAAAATGGCTAATCTATATCCTGATTCCTAGAGAGTGGTAGCCTATGGCCTTTCGTCCCTGAGAGTGGGTTTCAATGCCGACAAATGTTCTTCCGTCAAATCAACTAGAAAGAACATTCTATCCTGGATCAACTCTATTATTTGTTTCCGACTGCTGTTCAATGAGCTCTTACGCAGCACATTCTCGTCAGGCTTATACAATTATCCCGCATTCAAGAGGAACGTCCTATTGCTGGGGCATTTCTAATTAACTGTAAATACCTTCGAAATTTACACTAGTTTTAATCCTCATTCAATCTTGGAATAACAATAAATATGTTCATCAGCTCTAATTGTATATCCTCTGTTTATATTTCGTTATTCTAAACAAAGATCTCTGTGTCGAAGTACTGTAATATATATATTGTTGTGCCAGAAGGGCTACAACTGTCTATAAAGATTAAGGTATTCTTGATGGGTAGATATGTCTGTGTTGTGCAACAACATGGACAAGCTATGATAATTGAAGTGCATCTCAGCTATCTAAATACTGAGGTTCACCAGATGTGATAAGCATTGTACAAGATAAATTGCTACTTTGACATTCAGAACTTAGTATAAATAGAATAACTCTTGTCTTCATCAATAAATCTTTAGTTTTTGTGTCTGATCTTATTCAAATAAGTCTTTTCTTGTTTATATAATATCGAACATTTTTTATAAGCTAAAAATAATAATCCTTTTATTCTTTGTGCTTAACATATATAACTTTCCCACCTAACAACTTTACAAGTCATTTCTCACAGTAAACCGCTGTGCAAAAGATTGTATATTACATAAAACCCGCATTTTATCTCACTTTTATATAAGCATGGCTTTAAATTGCATCTATTTAGATACCCCTTTTATTGCAAACACAAAATTATAATAAATGACAGATTAATAGGAAATCAACTAGTTGTAACCCTTTGCTACTTCAACCTCTGAGCCAATCAGATTGCTTGAAAACTCCGCTGACCTAAAAAAAAATTTGCGAGGGTTTCCCTTTGTTTTGATGTGAGGCAAAATTTTAAGCTCCGCTATATAGCAATATAACCGTTACTATCATCAAATTTCCCCCAGGTGCTAGAGCATGCCTTACTTACACCACCTAGCTTTAAATTCAGGCATTGAGACCCTCAATCATCACGAAAGTAAGTAGCGATAACCAAGTGGAGGCGGCCTATCTGCCTCCTAGCCTCAGATAAAGTCTTGTTGAGCTTCAGGGATAGGCACATCCACACAACGTAAAAAAGGTATGCTTCAAAGAAACATAATAATAATATAAAAAAGAAAAGAATATAAAACTATACGAATATAGTAGTATATGTAGACAAAAAAGGAATACTCATACGCAATGAGTCAAAGAAAAGCATAACAAACACAACATCAAAGATGTTCAAAAAAGCTTGTTGCTGTTGCAAGAAAAATGCATACATGAGCAACGCGCATGGTAGTAATAGTCGAATGTAAAGAAACATGACACAAACACGCACAACTGCAAAAGCAACAGTGGTATTATAAGTTTGCAATACAACATAATGACTAATGCTGTTTCATGTACAACTACAGAGGAAACACCACCAACAAAAGAAAAAGAAGTAAGCGCAACAAGGCAAACACGATGAATGCATTATCACGATAAAGGAAGCAATAATATAAACGTTCAAAGAAGTTTTATATCATTGCGACCAGAAGAAAAAAGTTACTTACCACTTACCACAGCCACAGATAGACCAGAGGATACGAAATTACCAGAGACAGACCAGAGAACAAGCATACATCAAAAACAGTAGACCATCAAGGACCAGATTACCAGCAGCAACAGCAGCAACAGCAGCCGCACCAGCACCACTATAATAGAGAAACAAACAAACAACATTAGAGAAGGCTATACACAGAACGTACACAGACCAGGTACAGACCAGGTACAGACCAGATACAGACCAGATACAGACCAGATACAGACCAGACAGAGGCAAGATACAGACCAAATAATAAGCAACTGCAACAGTACTACTGTAATAGAGAGACGAGAGAACAAACAACATTAGAGAAGACCATACATTGACCGTGCAGAGACCAGATACTGACCAGACATATACCAAATAAGCATTCACCAAAAATGGTAGGCTAAAGGAGATTCCAGAGATAACAAAAGTAAAGGCAGCAGGATCCACGTCAAACAGGCAAAAGAATTATCAAATCCTAACAAATAAATACTTTTAGTGTTAATTCCACGGCTTCCTGTGCTTATTATTAAATTATACCTGCTACATTCCACTTGAAAGAAGCAGTATCAAGTCTTTTTAGCAGCGTAAGACAGTGTTATCAGAAGCTAGGATGATATTGTCAATCAAGCGGTTTCCAAAACCGCCATGGTTTGATACTAAACGCGTTTTGCAAAAAGGGAAAAAAAACGGTGGTATGGGAAAATGAGAGGGCGCCCTACACGACGTCACGGCCAGTAGATTTGGTCTCAGTCTTCTGCTGCGGCAGCCGTAACTGCTGCGCTTTAATTTGAAATTGTGCAATGGGTATTTTCGTGTTCAAATTTGACATAATCTCACATCCTTTAAACGTTTCTGCTAAATTTGACTATGAAAATTGTCATTGTCACACCCAACTTTCTAATATATCTTTAGAGGACTAAAAAAGCTGCATCAAATGGTACTAATTACATTCAACTTTCAAACCAAAAATAATGAGGAATTTGCAAAAATATGAAAACAGGTTTTTTGCGAATATGTCATAATCTAGCATATACAAACCTCATAGAAACAGTTTCCAGTGATGCATTGCGTCTTTGCAATCAATTTGATCTGATATGTATCATAGGAAAAGTCTTCATTTTTGAGGTGAAAAGCACGATTGTTTGATTTTTAAGAATTCTCCCTTACTAGTACACATGAAAAAAGGAGAATTTTCATGGATTTGCGATGACCTAAAGAAATTTGAGATAAAGCATCAGTAAGTAAGGCGTATCAAAACAGAGCCGTTTGGCGCTATTCCAAGCGTTCACAACGCTTTGTAGCATGAGTTATTCGTGCTGCTTCAAAATGGCTAAATTTAGACAGAATTTGACCAAAAATAAGATGCAGTAGGTCGTATTGACGAAGAAGTAAATAAAGTAATGCTTTTTCTGGTATTTCTAATGTTTGCATTGTACAGAACTCGACACTTAGGCGATCGACATGTTGTATTCACACATATCTGTTTTTGAATCACAATTGTAATGAAATAGCCACCCAAACGCAACGTGATTGAAAACCAAAATTCACCAAATAGCACTTATTCAAATTCATGCTATTTGGATCTATTAGTAAAAACGCTCAAATGTACATCAACAACCATTTAAACATACTAAAGTAAAGATACACGCTTATATCACACATCGTGTAAATGGATCACTCCTGATCACAGTGTATTCAATCACACCCATAATGGCCGTAATAAGAGATGTTATTATCTTTATCCAAATAAAATCAAATCAATAACAAGCATATTCAAATATGACAACTGTGGAATACATCCACTATGATCTGCATTCCGACAGTTCATCCAGTTACCAGATTTAGATATAAACTGTATGTACACTGGATTAGATGTACGATATCGATTTATATTATGAGAAGATATGGACTTCAGATACGCTAGTACTATAAGATTCGTACTATATAAGATATAGGCTATAGATGGCACCACGGACATGGATGGCACTATAGACTTATACTTGTATTCCGACATTGACTACGGATGTTTGCCATATCTGGATAGGCACCAAGATTAATGCAATATGAGCTTGTTGCTTCAGATGTGCACTTCATGATCCACGCTATAAGACACATGCTTATATCCGTGATACTAGCTACAGATACTTTATGTACTACAGACTTGTACTATATATGAGACATGCTATAGACATGCATACGATATGCTATAGACATGCATACGATATGCTATAGACATGCCATATATCCAGATACATGCTAACGATGTATGCTTAGCGATATACACTCAGATATGTACTATTAATATAGACTAAGGAGACTGTACCTATCGGATACATGCTACTAAATCGATATTAATTATCCTTATAGAAAGGATAGATCAGGGTACTTCGGATGAGAGTCTAATTATTCATCCAGACAGAGCTAAATCATGATTAGCTTGCTGGAGTTGTCTTTTAGCATGATTAGACATTAGTTGATCTGAGTTGACTTATTTGTTAATTTAATTAATAGAACTTTTATCCATTGTTATAGTATATAAGAAGGATCATCTACCTGGCCAGTAGAGAGACTTCAGTTTACTTTACACCTGTCAGTTTGATAATAAAACATACCTTTATCAAGTTGACATTACTGTTTTTTTTTATTCTTTTTTCCGTGAATTTTAGTCTATCAAGCCTCAAATTCCACAAAATCAATGGGAGACTACCTCATACCAGAAAAGTGGCTTGCTACTGCAGCCGATGACAATGTGGTATTCATCTTCAGGCGCCTCCTGGCACACCTTACAAAGAGGGGAAGGATACTTCACAACGTTGATGGAGTGCAGGTGAGCCTGAACCGAGAGATGGCCATGCAGTAGACGCCACCATGGCGTAAAAGCCTTGGCGGGAAGGCAGAGGGACCAAAAATCACGCCAGAGGCGGGGTGGAAGCAAGAGATGTGGTGGGCGATACCGAGGAGGGTGGGCTGGGTCACGAAGCATATTAAATGAGGGGTGCCATGAACGTCGCAGCGCACCGAGCGTGATTTTGTCCACCGTAGCTTTTGAGCGCGGGCCGGTGATGATGTTCTAGTGCGAAAAGCTAGGAGCGGAAGGAGAGGTGCTTGTCGAGCTCTCCAGCATGGCGGTACGCTCTTGGTCGGTGAATGCCATGACCGATCTGAGAGAATCAGGGATGATCCACACAGGAGGACCCTCAAAAGGGCATAGAGCATTGAACAGATGTTGCAAGGTTGCGGTATTGCGAGGGCGTAACCAAGCCAGATGCTCCAGATGGGGGCATTTTCTCAAACGAGGCCAGTAGTTACGAGGATACAGCAGTAACGGAAGAGCATTGGCATGACCTGAGTATACGTGGAAAGTATACAGTAACCAGGGAGAGAGAAAATCGGCCAGGGAGCGAGGTAGAAGCAGCCGTTTGACATAAATGAGATGCAAAGCGAGATGCTGATTCTTAATGTCGACCAGGCCGAGACCACCATGTTTGCGCGGAAGGCAAAGAGAATCCCATGCCACAACCGGCCAAAACGAGACAATATATTGACGCACAATGCGCTGGATCTCCTTCAGCCACTTACTGGGTACCACAACCACACGAAGAATATGCCACAGACGAGACAGAAGAAGGGATTTTGTCACCAAACCCTTGCTACGTATGGAGAGCTGTCGCTTCGTGAGCGAATTGCATTGACGCTGCACCTTCACTGTGATAGTATCCAGGAAATGAGCCAACTGTTCATCGGTATGGTACAAAGGGTAACCGAGATATCTCACAGAGCCAGTTGAAGATTCATCGTGCCATACAACGTTAGACGAGTCTGCCAAGTGTTTCCAGTCGTCATGAGGCTTGCCAGACAGCGACACCAGCACGGTTTTCTCCAAATTGACCTTGGCATTGGACGCTTTGCCATAGAGTGACAAGAGCGACAAAAGCACAGGCCATTCAGCAGGAGACGTCAGAAAGACTTCCAAATCATCAGCATAACTAAGCATTTTGACTCGTGGAGGGCTTGCTGGAGCTCTCAGAAGGACATGATCAGTCTGTGGCTCAATTGGAGCGGAAGCAACCGAAATTCGACGTGCCAAAGTCGAGCGTTTGTCCGTAGACATAGCCACACCACGTAAGTCTGCACAAGCCAAGATGGTTCTGAGGAAAGGCTCAAATGCGAGATTGAACAGTAGGGGCGAGAGCGGATCGCCCTGCCGTAGACCACATCGTTGTTCAATAAGAGCACCCTGCCATCCATTAATGGATAAAGAGATGCGAGTGTCAAAGAACAGACCCGAGGTACTGTCAACCAAGGATGCTGGAAACCAAATTGATGAAGCACCACCGCCAGATACGTAGGGTTTACACGATCATAAGCTTTCTCCTGATCCAAAAGCGCAGCAACATTGGGATCATTGGGAGCAGCGGCACGGAGGTTGTTCATCAACGTCTGGTTGAGCCAGGCGTTCTCCGAGATCAAACGGTGAGGCATAAAGCCAGTTTGATACGGGGTGATCAGCTGAGAGAGAACACGCTTAAATCTGTTGGCGAGCAGTTTGGTGAACAACTTGGCATCGCTATTGATCAATGACAGAGGGCGCCAGTTCTTGAGTAGCTCGGGATCTCCCTTCTTGAAAAGAAGCACCATCCTCGTCTGTTTCCAGGAGTCTGGGAAGATTCCACGCAGTGCGTCAGTCAACACTTGTTGTAGAAGAAGCAGAACAGGAGGGAATTTGTCACACAAATATCGATAGACCTCGAACAGAAGGCCATCTAAACCAGGAGACTTGTTCTTGGGTGTATGGTCAAGCAACCCTAAGACAATGTCTATAGAGGGTAATTCGATGAGCCTATCTGCCTCGGCATCTTGTAGCTTGGCATCCTCAGGGATATTTTCCAAAAGAGAGTTCACTGCCGCCAGATCAATGGCATCAGGGGTGTACAGCACTTGGTAGAATGATCGAGCTTCTTGAAGAATCTCACCCATATCCGTCAATCTTTCACCTGTACTAGCCCTTTTCAAGGATTGAATTGTCTGTTGAGCCTCACAATTCTTGATCACACCATAGAAGTACTTGTTATTTTGTTCACCCATCTCTAGCCAGCGAGTGGCCGAACGCAGCATCGCTTGGCAAGTATCATCAAGAATCTTCTGTTCAATCAGTTGCTCTAGTTTCTTGACCCGAGCCATCTCCGCCTGGTCACCAAGCAGCTGTTCTCGTTCACGCTGAAGACGAGAGACTCTAGCTTTAAAGCGAGCCTTCTGGCCTTTGGTGAACTGTTGGGCACAGTACTTGATGATGGATTTGAGCGACTCCCGCTTCTCCTGGACAGACCGTACACCCAGACCCCGAGACTCAGCACCAGAGACATCAGCACCAGAGACCCCAGCACCAGAGATACTTGGATCGCCCACAACCTCCTCATAGTAATCAGAAGCCAAGAGGAGTTCCACTGTTTTATCCAGAAGAGCTTGGAATTCCCTGTTCTCAAGCAAGTATGGATTAAAACGCCAGCTGCCAGGACCCATCTTCACGCCAGAGGTGACCAGATCAATAGTTAGAAGACTGTGATCTGTCCATGCCGGAGGGATGTGATGAATTTGAGCATTGAGCACACGAGTTGCCATACGAGGAGGCGCAAAAATGTAATCAATGGTGGAACCTGCACAAGGGAGAGTCATAGTACCTCTTGGGAAACAGTTAAGAAAATGTGTATTTAACCATTCGACAAAGGGTTTGATCTTTGGGCCACGAGCTTCACCCGCATCATGCAAATGGATATTGAAATCCCCAAGCAAAATCCACTGGGAGTCGAGCATATCAGACCAAAATGGCATGGACATTAGCTCTGACAGGAAAGCATGGCGACTGGCTGCCTGTGCTGGCATGTACACATTAGCCACTTGGCAGATGACTTGGTGAGCGTCCTTGACAGAGGCAGTGATACAGCGTTCGTCACGAGAGATGACAGTGTTCGTGAGCTCTAGGCCGGGTTTTAGGCAGATGATGGCACAGTATTTGGAGATGACAAAAGCAGACCGAGGAAACATATAGGAAAAAGTGCACACATTGTCATCAGCGAGATGCTCTTGTTGACGATAATGCGAAACCTCCTGCAGACATAGAATATCAAGCTGAAGGTTTTTGGAGCGTAAGAAGGAAGTAAATTCTCTCTGTGTTGACTTAGAGGAACCCTTAAAGATGCTCCGGGCATTAAGGGTACCTATACGCATTGATTTTTGTATCATTAAGCCCTATGGGCGGCATGATACACTGGAGTCTGCGACATAGACGTCGAGCTCACGGAATGACGGCAGAGAGGGAGCACGTCAGACGAAAAATCAGCGTTGGCAGCACTACTACCTTGGGAATCCACATGCATGTGGAGAGACACATCGAGAGGCGCATGCTTGGAAGCATAGCTACTCTGGGGAGTACGCTGGAGAGCCTTGGGATCGACATCCATCGCTTCAGTCGTTGAACTGCGTCTCGGGCGGCCAGTGGACCCCTTTTGCTTGTTGGCAGGCTGAGCGGCGGCGGCGGCGGCTTGATGCTGCAGTTGCTGCTCGACGACATCATGGATGGTGGGAGTGGATCTATGGCGCTTCTCTTGGTTATTCTCGCGGGTACGGCGTTGAGCGTTGGCAGTATTGGGCTCCTCAATAGCCTTCTTGCTCGATTCGTACTCATCCAGTGCCTCCTCAAAAGTGGTCTCCTCTTCGTTGCAAAACCTAGCAGTGTGACCAAGCTTGCGACACTTGAAGCATTGGCGCTTCAATAGTACAGGGCAGGCAGCGCGGATGTGGCCACTCTGGCGACAGAAGTGGCAGACGGACTCATTAGAAAGAATGAAAAAAAAAAGAAGGCATTGGTTAATTCTTCATTGATAAAAGAGAGGTTAGCAAATCAAATTAAATGCATATAGCGGTTGCATCAAGATATCTTTCTAAACATTAGTTATCTATATTGCGGAATTAATATCTATTAAACAATGGTATTCCAAGCTATCATGAGCTGACGATGATAGAAACTAGCAAGTAAACTGCAGTAATTAAGAGACTATCAAATTTAGTCAACTGCAACAAATTTATTGCAAAACAAAGACATCAAAGTTTACTATCTTTTGTCAACTCGACTACCATATCGCCACCATCGATCAAATCATTTGGAGCTGCATAAATGGTCTTTACGGTACCTGCAGCAGGAGCCTGAATTACAGTTTCCATCTTCATGGCGCTCATCACAAACAACTGCTGACCTGGAGCAACAACATCTCCCTCCTTGACATTGATCTCAACCACCATGCCAGTAACTGGAGACCCTATATCAGTAGATGCACGAGGATTTGCTTTACGACGTAGTGTAGACGATGTGCTAATAGCAGATTTACGGGTCAATGCAATCGATACAGGATTTCGCGCAGAGGGAAAGGATGTCTGGACTTGAGCAACAAACTCGTCAGGGAAATTGTTGGTCGAAATAGTGTCGATTTGTAGTGAATGTACTGATTCCACAATCTTGGTTTTCGAGTTGCTGATTTCAATGTTGAACGCATCTCCAGGCTTGAATTGTAGTGACGAAACGGCATTAGTAACAGTAGAAGCAATAGCATTTGGTGTAGGGTATGCAGTGCCAGATTCAAGTGTCTTGCGTGGTGGGCTACCTAATTGTTTGGTTGCAGCAACCAAATCATCTATTTTGTCCTCTAGTGATTTGATGTGTATGTGTGATAATTGATCTCCTATGAATGAACGGTCTGAAATGATAGCAATCAGGAACTGAATATTCGTCTCTACACCCTCAATTACTGTGTTTTGCAGAGCACGCTTCAACTTGTGCAGCGCATCATCATAAGATTGACCGGTAACGATGACTTTGGCCAGCAGTGAGTCAAATGTCTACTCAATGCGCTGGTTAGTAATAGGTACGAACTGGAAATGATGGCACTGCTTACCGGGAGAACAACACAGCCAGGCTGAACCCAAGTATCCACACGAATGCCATGGCCATGAGGAAATTGAACAGCATTGATTTTGCCCACCGAAAGCATGTTATTGTTGAGAGGGTTTTCAGCAACCACTCGAGCTTGAATAGACACCAAGCGATTGGGTCGAATTGCATCTTGCAAAAGTCCTAGTACCTGCAGATTTTCACCCAAAGCAATTCTAATTTGTGTTTGCACAATGTCGACATGTGTGATTTGCTCCGAGATGGTGTGCTCTACTTGAACACGGGGGTTCACTTCTAAAAAGTAGAATTCATTAACATCGGGACGAACAAGGAACTCGACGGTGCCTGCAGAGTTGTATTGAATGAGCTTGGCTAATTGAGTCGCTGCTTGATGGATATTGTCTCGCAATTGGGGTGATAAACAAGGGCAAGGTGCAACCTAATGCGCAGAAGCACATGAGTATCGCAGACTCACATCTTTCAATTCATGCAAAATGCTTACCTCCAATATCTTTTGGAAGCGTCTCTGAATAGAGCAATCTCGTTCAAAGAGATGTATGACGTTTCCATGATTGTCGCCCAGGATTTGAACCTCGATGTGTTTGGCGCCAAGGATAGCCTTCTCGATAAACACTTGCTTTGATGGCGACTCATTGATACAGCGCTTGAGCGAATCAGGTACTTCCTCAGCATAGTGTACCATTCTAATACCTCTACCACCGCCACCATCACGGGCTTTGAGCATGACAGGATAACCAAATCGATCTGCAAAAGCAAAGACCTGCTCAGGGGTAGAAATAGATTCTTCGGTGCCTGGAATCACAGGCACACCTGCTGCTTTAGCCACTTGACGGGCAGACACCTTGTCCCCAACAGCAGAAATGCATGAAGCAGAGGGGCCAATGAAAAGGATGCCCGACTGCTTGCATTTATCTGCCAAATCTGTGGATTCAGACAAAAATCCATAGCCTGGATGAATTGCAGTGGCATGAACACTGTGTGCAATGGTTTCTTAGCAATGTATGCAATGGCTGTGGTGGCTGAAATTACCTATTTGCTGCGTCAATGATCTGTTGAGAATCCAAAAAGGAGAGCGCACTCTTCAATTTGATCGACTCATGTGCACCTATACAATGCGATCTATCTTGGTTGTCAGAGTAAACAGCGACTGTCTCGAGTCCAAGTTCGGTTGCTGCTGTAATGATGCGAATAGCAATCTCCCCGCGATTGGCTACTAGTATTTTTGTCATTGGTAGGTATTGAAGAAGAAAGGTGAATTATGAGTTTTTTTTTATTCCATCTATTAAATAGGTTTGTATAATTTGGTGTGTGTAATTGACTTGACTCAGCACTCAAGGTGAATTTTCCCCACGCGAATTGTGTGTATACAGTTAAAACCAAGATTTCAGAAATGAAAAAGCCGATAGAGAGTTGGTAGTGAATCCAACGAGAACATATCTCAAGCCATCTACTGCCAACTGAAATATGGATAATGTGCGATGGATCTGTAGTATGGCAAATGCAATCACTAGCAGTAGAAGAGCAGTTAGAAACATAAAGCCGTACACTTGCAATGGCGGTAGTATAATCAATTGCTGCACTATGGATGTTGCGGTAGGGTTTGAGGAAGAGCTGCTGCTGTTGCCATAGTAATGCGATGTGCTAGAGATTGTGATGGGCACGCTCACCATCAGCAAACTCCCTACTGCGTTTGTCTGCTGCTGCATGACTATTTCATTGGATGTTTCCTTCTTCTTCCAGAATCCTCTTCTTGTAGGCGTTGACGATGATGTTGCCGATGATGTTGCACTCACCACGCTCTCCTTCCTGTGAAAGTAGCCTTTGAATTTGGTCATTTGTGCTTTAAATCTCAGATGAGTATCATCCTTGGCATGTTGGTCTTTTCGCTTGGCTTTTGTGAGTGCTGTGCTAGTATTCAGCACGGGAAACGCTCCTGGAGGTGTATGTTGAGGCATCGAGAAGAGGTGTGCTTGAAAAAAAAAAGGTCAATTTTAATTAATATCAACAAGAATTCTTAATGTTATTGCTCTTTTGCTATATTTAGCTGGATGTTCTCTCAGCAGCCACAGTTTGTTGTAATGTGTATGGTCACACGTTGGGTTGATATTCAGTAGTGTTTCTTTCTTTTTGTTTGAAAATGGTGCAGGTTATTCCCATCATTTACTGGACAAAGTGGTTCAATACAGATCAATGGGAAGGATACAGCATCAACACATGTGGACTGCCATACCAATGTCAGCTTACACACGACAGAAAACAGCTATCAAACAGCTCAGTAGTCATCTTCCATGCCTCTGATATGAACGATAAAAAGGATGTGCCTCCTATGAGGGAGGACCGTGCCTGGGTGTATCACAACGCAGAGGCGCCCAAATACCAACCTGACATTATCGATAAAATGCAATACAGCATGACCTACCGCCTGGATTCTGATTTCCCGTGGGGATACTTGGAGAAGGATGAACTACTACAACACATGCAAAAGCCTATAAATAAGCAGCAATTCAAGCAAGAGACACCTGTGGCCTGGATAGTGTCCAACTGCAAAGCATCCAACTACAGACATCACTACGTGCGAGAGTTGAGTAAATGGATAGATGTCGACATTTACGGCCATTGCATGGAGAACCAGCACTATCCAGACAACACGACCACCATCGATCTGATATCCCAGTATCACTTTTACCTGTCATTTGAGAACTCAAATTGCAAGGACTATGTCACTGAGAAGCTGAGCAATACGTACGTGGCAGGAACGATACCCATTGTAGACGGTCCCAGCGATTACGGACCTTTCATACCCAATACGCATTCCGTCATTCGTGTGGATCAGTTTGAACATCCAAAAGAACTAGCGGCCTATCTAAAGAGAGTGCTGGCAGACAAGAACCTGTATAACTCCTATTTTGATTATCGACGGGAGAGCGGTCTATCAGATCGGTTTCTATCCACATTGGATGCGTATGAACAAGGGAAATGCAGTCTGTGTAGACTAGCGTACGAGCGATACACCAACATGTCACTCTACTACTATCCGGGCAAAAAGATCTACTTGGATAATACATGCACCGCTTACAAACACTATAGTTTCACGAAAACCAGCCTATGGAGAATATACCTGCCTCTGATGGTGTTGTTCCTGGTAGTCAGTCTGTGCTCTTCCAAAGTGAGAAGAAACAGCTACAGCAAACTAAAGAGTATTCATGTACCTTTTTTTTGAACTGCGCGCAACACACATTACATGCCCACCTCATAAAATGGCCATGTTTAAATGGATCAAGCTTTTTTTTTTTCTTTTTTTCTTTCTTTCTTTCTCTCTTTCTCTCTCTTTCTCTCTCTCTCTCTTTTCTTCATTTGAATAAATTTGTTAAAATGAGTCATCACCACCATAATCCATTTGTGAAAAGAGTCTTGGCACTCTTCAAAAAGACACACGAAGAAGATGACGATTCACCAAAGTATCCTCCTGCTCTTACTGCTAAATACACAATCCATGAAAAGAAGCTGGGTGTTGGCTCCTTTGCTGTGGTAAAGGAGTGTTCTGAACGCTCCACAGGTGAAAAGTATGCTGTCAAGATCATTTTGAAAAAGGTGATTGCTGGTAAGTTTTGTCTTGATCGGATAATCGGGATCAAGCACAAGTTGACATGTTCCTGTATCATTAGGCAAGGAACACATGTTGGACAGTGAATTAGGTGAGTGTCCTTGAAAGCACGCATTAGCTGTTGAGTGTCTCTGACCATGTACGTAATGGATATCACAGACATCTTGAAGAAGGTCCGCCACGAGCACATTGTTTCTTTGCATGACATTTTTGAAGACACGAACGCAGTGTACATCATTTCTGATTTGTGTACTGGTGGTGAATTGTTTCAGCGTATTGTGGAAAGAGGCACCTACACCGAAGCTGTAGCCTCTGATTTGGTTCGCCAAATGTTGGAAGGTTTAGCTTATCTGCACTCTCAAAATGTACATTTGAAACTGTATGTTTCTCTGCATTCGATGCTAAAAAACTTTACCTTTTATAGATTGTTCACCGAGATATCAAGCCCGAAAACGTAAGATGGCACACCTGGAATGCAAAAGTTTTCTATGAGTATTCATGTTTTGTGAGTGTAGTTGCTGTTCAAGACACCTGCTGAAAATGCAGAACTGCTCATTACCGATTTTGGATTATCCAAGCTGTTAAAGAACAACAACGAAGTTTTGACAACAGCATGTGGTACCCCAGGGTACGTGGCCCCTGAGGTTCTTTTGGGTACTGGTCATGGTAAGCCTGTCGATATCTGGAGTGTTGGTGTGATTATGGTGAGTATAGAGAGGAAGCTTTTAGAGTGTGGCTGCTTATCTTATGCACTGCATTAGTACACTTTGTTGAGTGGATATACCCCATTTTATGGCGAAGGTAACAGGAGGCTGCGTTTGCCTTGTGTGGGCCTATGCTAATCTATGTTTTAGATCAAAACGAGTTGTTTGATTCCATCATGAAGGGAAAATATGATTTTGATGATGAATACTGGGGAGACATTTCAGATGAAGGTACAGCATACAGGCAAATGGATCCAGGTGGTATCATGAATATTAATTTGAACTCGATTTACAGCCAAAAACATGATCAACAGACTCCTCACATTCGATCCCAGAGAGAGAGTTACTGCTGAGGAAGCATTGAAGGATGTTTGGATCACCAGTGAAGAGGATAATGGCATCAACTTGGCTCCCAATGTTCGCAAAGGCTTCAATAGTCGCAGAACCCTCAAATCACTCGTCACTGCAGTGGCAGCCATCAACAAATGGAAGCAGGCTGAACACCTTACTCTTGAAGAAGAGGAAGAAGAGAACAAGAAGGTTGGAGAAGAAGCATAATGATTTAGCGGTGCAAATCATAATAAATCATACATCGCGACTGTGGTGGTCTTGCGATTGCAAAAGCTACATTCAATAGGCATTACCAAGTATCAATAAATCAGAGTGTATATATTTGTTCGATATTGTAGACTATTTAGAAACGGGGAAAAAAAAAAGAGGCAGAAAATATATATTTAAACGAAAGCAAGAAAAGAAGAGAACTGTACAAAATTTGTTTGAAAGTAGTAGTGTATAGAAACGAGCACGATCAGATGGCTGATCTAAGCGCTTTCCGAGTTCCAACCAGATACAGATTTCTCGTCATGAACCAACTGCCAAGAATCCCAATAGTGCAAATCGAGTTTGACAGCGACAACACGTACAGTTTCATTTCTACTGACAGTCTTGATACGAATATAGCCCTCATCATTGTCGTCATCATCGTCTTCATCAACGATATCAGGTATCAATGCATCATTGTCGTCTTGCTCACTCTCTCTTCTCGCCCTCTCTTCGGCGCTTCTCTGAACAGGTGGAATATAGCTAGGGCGACGACGGCGTCCCATTTCCAGTTCATGCGAATGGACAACTTGCAAGAAGGAATCCAGATCTTTGACTGGCTTGCCTTGCACTTCCACAATCCAGACTCCAGGACGAAGTACGTTGGATGCTGGTGAGCCATACAGTGTGCAAGAGACGTAGACACCGGCAGGAACATTGCGTACTTGCTCCAAGACAGCCTTGTAGGGACGCTGGATCAAAGCACCTTGCCATCCAATGACGCGAGTGGTTTCATAGCTACTGAACTCACTCATGGGGACATTGACATTTAGCTCTTTTCCGTCACGCAAAATCACCATGTCAATGTTGTCCTTCTCATGAACCAGCATCATGTGGCTCATACGGGTCACCAGCTTACCGTCGACACTAAGAATAACATCGCCTACATTGAGGACCTTGGCACACGCACTGCGCTCATCCAGGATGTTGAGCACATAGAGCAATGTATGACGCGTGGAGCCGCTTTCTTCAATCTTCTTGACCCATTCATCACTCAGACCCAATGTACGAGCAGCTGCAATGCGCATGGTCCACAGCTCAGCATCAAGGCCCTTGAAGACTACCTTGTCACCGTTTTGCAAGAACTTGTCGATGGTTGGCTTGACCAGAGAAGAGAGCAAACCTGACATGAACGAGATATCTTTGCCCTTTTCAGACTGACTAGAGTAGCTGATCCACAATGCTTGTACCTGGCCTTCGTCGTTGGTGATGAGGCCGCCTTGCGAGTTGAGAGAGTCGTCAATCTTGATACCCTCTACATTCATGGCACGCCAACGAGGAGGTGAACATTCGCGAGTGCCGATATTGGAGACAGAGGACACGGTTGTCTTCCTCATGACAACAGAATGATCGTTACCAATACCAATAAAATTGATCTCATCGCCTTGATTGAGCTCCTTTTCACTAAACTCCAAGGGTTTGACAGGTGTTTCGCCAATCAATTTGGGGTCGTATGTCAGAATCACGTAGTTGTAGAAGGGGTGCAGGAAGAGCAGACGTCCAGGGATGATAATGGAATTAGCAAATGTGATGAAAATGTCGCCTAGGCCGATAGGAATCGTATCTCGGTCGCATACAATCAACGGAGGGTTGGTGGAAACAATGAAACCGGTACCGTAAAACTGAGTTGCCTTCATACCATCTACCAGGTAGGGCAAATAGAAATCGATAGCGACAAAAGATGGCATCAGTTTCTCAGCAAGAGCCAGTGATGAATCCAAAGGTGGAAAAGTAGCAGTGGATGGAGAATATGGGATTGTAGCAGGTGGAGGCGGCATTTCAGTGAAATCCCAGAGGCCAGTAACGTCTACAGGTAATCTGTTAATACACTTACATTAATTAGTAGACGAAAGAGCTTACCGTTGCGAACAGCAATTCTAAACTTGTGCCAGTGTCGATCCACATGCATAATCATGACCTTGTCCTTGTAGGCTTTGTGCAAGGCATAAAATCTGGCGTAATCAAAGTCAATGATCCAGTTTGCATGAATGTCGTAGATTCAAAACTCTCATCCTTCTTACCTAACAGGTACACGAGCTCCATCTGCCAAAGTCTTCATTGCTTCGATAAAGGCATCCAAATTGGGTGTTGGGATATTGTTGACGCTCACAATGATACTTTTTCTCCAGGCACTGGCACTTGCTAGCATATGACCCGATGTAGCAACATAAACACCACCAGTGGGCTGAGAATAAGATTTGGCCAGTTGATACGATAATTCATGGACCACGCCACCACCAATCTCAACGAAGCGATTGGGCGTAATAGAGTGCAGATCTTGTACAGTAACCTTGACCTCTTGCACCTTTTTACCACGACTGACAGTCAATGAAATCTCTTGATCAACAGCGTCATCTAGAATCTCGAATAAGGCGATGAAATGAGGCACCATTTTACCGTTACAGCCAATGATAATATCACCAGGCACCAATACATTGTCGGCAGGTCCTTTGGGCAACAAGGATCGCACAACAAGCATACCCGTCTCTTCAGGGAATTTGTGTCGGACCTTTTCCTCAATGTGAGCCTTGAGGCCTAATCGACGCACCTCATTGTAGGGCAGGTATTCAAACTCTGTTTGCAGAGTACCACGAGGCACTTGAACGCCCTTTTGGATAAAAGTCAGTGCTCTTTGAACGCGGTCCAATGGCAAGTAGTAAGAGGATGAAGCACGGCTTGCACCACCTGCGTTGAGAGCGACTGCATGTCCATCAATGTCAAGCACAGGACTACCAGACGAGCCTCCGCTGGTGCCTGATGCGGCTTGTAAGTAGAATGTGTTAAAGTCATTGTATTCACCAACGCCGTATTCAGGAGCTCTTCGATCAAGTCTGGCCAATGTGCCAGCTAAAATACTCAATTTTTCACCAGCATCATTGCTTTTTTTTTTGTCATGGAAACTGTGAATAGAGGTATTTTGGCGTTTCAATGCTCACTTACCCGACAACTCGAATGTCTAAACCAACTTTAGCACGTTCCGGGCTAAGTTTAATTTCTTCTAGTTCCATAAATTTAATGCGACTAGGATCAAACTAAAACACAAAATCTCAGCAAGCGAAGTTTTTGGTGTTGCAATCACCCATTACCTGCATAAAACCAAAATCATGGACAGGATCACGATAAACTGGCTTCAAGTCTACTTCCTCATAGTTTGTCAAAACGGCTTGAGCTACAATGGGTGCTGGCGATACCACATGACGATTTGTCAATATGATACCGCGTGCGGCATCAACGATAAATCCAGTAGCAGTATAGCCACCTATTCTCAAATGTTGAGTATCATCCCATCTCTTGCAACTCTCACTGGAATCCCGCTTAAATTTACCTGAAGTTTCAGTATCAAAGCTTCTGACATGGCTAGCTTTGATAGACACAATAGCACGAATAGCCTTTTCGAGCGTGGGCTCCCAAGATCTTGCCTTGTAGGGCACACCTGGTGTACTGACAGGCGCAATGTAATCTACAGGAGGTCTAAATGCTTGCATACCAAATGCGAGAGACTTTGATCTTCCACGCAAGACCCTGCTATCAATGGGGCCCTGCTGCTCATACTGGGTTGTGGCTAACGACATGCTGTCTCGGTGAGCCTTCAGATCGGAAGCTGCTTCTGCGGCATCAATGGGAGCTGGAGAATCAACGGGGCCACGTAAAGGTGGGGTAGATACGACAAGTGGATGCTGTGAATCATCCATTTTTTCTTATATGTGATATGTATTGATAACGAAAAGAAAGAAGTCTTTTTATATTTGTTTTCTTTTCTGTAGGGTGGAAAAGAAAGAGTAAAAAGGAAAAAAAGAAAAAAGAAAGCAAACGAACACTAAATGTGATAATTTAACTCCAAGTTAAAGCTAACCGCAAATCGGGCGGAACACAGAAAAAAATTAGCTGGTGAAAACGCAAGTTTTTGCAAATGCTTCATCCATGAGAAACCCATGGATATGTATCTGATCGACATGGAGAAAATGGTTTACACTATACCAACATCTATCCGACATTTGGCCTCATAGGAATCCTTTGCGTCAAAACCACAGGCCCACCCAAACCATGAAGCCTTTGTATTTCAAGATGGCCATCCTTTTTGTTTACCCAATTTTTTTTTTTTTTTTTTTCACAAAGGTTTTAAAAGAATCATGCCGCTTTTGCCCAATGAAATGCTTATCCACATCTTCCACTAAACACATTTGAACAAATTTGACATTTGCCACTAAATCAAATGCAACGATAATTTGTTGCCATGACAACGATCAATAGATCAAAAAATTTGGCTTTGAATCTCGGCATCTTGCCTTTAACAGATGTCCACAATATGTGAAAAGAAATGATATATCAATACAGGTAGCAAGTATAGGCTTGAGAAACGATGATTGTTATCGATATTTACGTCATTGGCCCAGACAAATAGCATCATATGCTGCTTAATTAGAGCGAATAGTCGAGGAAGAATCTCCCAAAAACTCACGCTGCATGTTTTGCGTAGGATTACTGCGTCTCTCCCTCTACAGTGCCTTGTAAATAAAGCAAGCATGGTCGCACCAACGATCGCCTGTAAGAAGCACTCTTTCAGCTTAAATGGAGTTTCAATTGTGCAAATGCTTCCTGTCTTGCTCAACAAATACTATCATAACTAAGGTTAAGATGATAAAAGAACACCCGATTCTTTATTCGAAAGTACCGGGAGAAAATGAAAAAGTAGATGGTAATATATACAGAGCTAAATAATAGTAAAAGAGAAAAAAAAAAGAGAACTGGAGGCTGCCTTTGCTATTGTGTTTTGTAAACTATGTGTGACAAATGGTGTATATGTTATGTGTGTGTGTGTTTGTGCTGAGCGCGTAGATGGTGCTATAAATTTTTTTTCAAGATTTTCATTAAGGTGATGTTGTATATTTCCGAGGGCTACCATAAGAAATCACTATACATTGTTATGCTGCTTCATTCTCTTCCTTTGTTGCTTCCAATGTATTACTGTTGACCGAGCGTCCCAATCTGTGAACTCGTAAATGGCGTCTCATATTACTTTGGACGCTGAAATGTCTTCCGCAACCAGGCTCTGTACAAACAAAAGGCTTCTCACCAGTATGCGAGTATGTATGGATACGTAGTGAGGAAGGTCTTGAAAACTTTTTATGGCAATATGGACATACGTAGCGCCCGGATGTATCAGATGCTGCATTGCTTGCATTGGAAGCAGAGACGTTATTGGTAGTATTACTAGTGCCGTTTTCTACCTGAAGTTGATCAAACAAATATGGGTTTGGAGGTGATTGTCTGCCTCCATTCATTGCAGCTTCTTGAGGACTGTAGGATTGAGCTCTCACATGGCCGTTGGGGGATGGACTGAGCATGAAATCTATAGTGTTGGCAGATACAGCTCTTCTATGAGAATGAGAGGGTGTATGTCTGCGAGTTGTGGTCGTTGAAGGTGGAGTGTTTGATAATGGAGGTAGTGTAAATTCAGAAATAGATCTCCCATGACCGCCGCCAAATCCGGATTTTCTTCTATGTGTATTTTGGGAGGATGAAGCAACTAGGGGTGGAGTGAGATTCATTGCAACAGGCGGTCTATCATTTGGAAGCATCCAGCTTGGAGGTTTTTCTGTTGATGAGAATGGTATGCCACCATAAGGTTGATGTAAATCAGTAGTAATGAGAGGTGGTTGACTGGGCTCTGGATATGAAAGTCTGATGTTATCTTCTGGTGCTTGCAGCGATAAACTTTGCAAATCTAAGGGAAGGCTGCTGACGCTTCGAGAAGCTCTGTGTCCAAACTGTCTCTTGTTTTGATGTGCAGGAGCAGTTGGAGCTTCAACAGGCTCGTTCTGATTGCTGCTATTACTGTTTGGTGGTATGACGGGGCCTATTTTTACCATCAGCATTTTGCATTCAAATAGCAATATTTCAGACGACAATTACCAGGTGCTTCTTGCAACAGAAACTGAATAGAAGGTAAACTGGGCTTTCCCATTTGTATTTGCGACATGCTATGATTTCTTTTATAGTTTAATATGTGTGAGGAAAAGAAATGAAAGAGAAAAGAAAAGGGAGAAAAGGGATGTTCAAATGGAAAACTAAAATAAAGCGAATCTGGTGGCGGCGACCAAATTAATCATCATGATCAGGATTCATTTGAAAGATCGACATGAACCTCTGATGTGATGCTGTTGGCTAGAAGAGAGTTTTTATTACAAATACGCCAGGATTAAAAGGTATTTAACCATTAGCTTTATTGTAGGCATTGTCTTATATATATGGAATCAGGTAGACATTGGCGTTCAACAAGATATTTGAAAATTTTTTACGCAAAAAAATCTAAAACCACATTTACCGGATATGCTGCCTGTTATGAAGGGCAGAAGAAGGTGTTTAAAATCAGCATGTCTCATCGTCATTAGATAGATCGACTGCAGGTTCGATAAGGAATGTATGGAGTGGAGAAGGTATTGTAATCAGTCATTTATCCAGTTTTACAAGACCTCAAATCAACCGAGATGAGCCAAGTGTTGAGCAATGCCTCATTCAGAGCAAATGACATGATAGGTTATTACTACATGAAACGTAAACTAGCCTTCAATGCCATTAATAGCACAAAAGATCTAAAATTTCTATTTATGATCAATTCAATTGCATATAAATTCAGCATGCCAACAAAGGTTAAACGGTATAGAGTGTACAATGCAAGGTAATCAGGAAATCGAGCAGCAGAAAAAGTAATCCGTCATCCTCCGGTTATGTTTGTATAACAAATCAACTTTTCGTCTTGTCTAAAAAGGAAGTTTGATACTACTTTAAACTGGTGCAGCAGGTGATATCACTGTGTAAAAGACTTTAGTGTAATGTTATTCAACCTTTATAAAGTCGTCTTTTACGGCAAAAGTTCCTATTTCCTTTTACTCTCTATTAAATCATGTTTAATACAATCAGACAATACCTCTCCCAGAACTATCAGCTTGGCAGCAATAGCAGTGACAATTACCAATACCGAGATAACTGGCATCAACAAAGGAACCATCATGTGGGTAACTGGCTGGCTGATATGGCTGCAAATCAGCACCAACCCTTTTATGAAAAGGATAATCGCCAGCACTTCTGGAGCAGAGGCCGCAAGAAGAAGCAATACTATGATCCAACACGACAGCCTTTTGATGAATCCATGTATTTTCACAATGGTTACAACAACCAACGCCTAAAGGGCAAGTCATCGCATAAAAGTCTATCTTCCTTATTTCACAGACACCGGGATGAAGATGACTACGCTCAAAATCACTACCAGCAAGAAAATGGTGGCCTGGGCTCTCAGTACACTAACCGCTCATCGTCTTATCGCCGTCAAAGACATCATTCGCTTCCCTCGTCCACCAAAAACCCATTACAACATCAATCTTTCATGAATGGGGCTGTACCTAATAATGGCCGCCATCCAGTCATGGATATCGGTCTGCCCGTTCTAACAGCAGCAGCAACGACAGCAGGAAATCGAATTGGTGGAATGCTAGTAGGCAATACTGGCGGTGGCCTAGGAAATCCTCTATTGCCACAACATCATCACCAGCAATTACGACAACAGCAAATGTTACAACAGCAACAGCAACAGCAACCTTATTACAATCGTCAGTCGATGCCAATGCAGGGTCAACACTACAATAATGGCATGTTTGATCAATATAATCAACATAGTCCATATGACGGCAGCCCATCTCAATCGCAACAATATTCAGATCGACATCATTTCTCTAGTTTATTCGGAAGACATCATAAGGATCGTTCTCGCCGTCGCTATGAGCTGGACCAACATAGCTTAGATACCTCTCCGTATTCGAATTCTTACCATAGTCCAGAGCAGCAGCATGCTTTGAATTACTATCATCAGCAGCAACAGCAACAACAACATCATGCATACCCTTACGTAAATTCTCGTTTTGGTGGAGGCGGCGGTATGAGTGGCAACTATCCGCTTCAAAATAATCAAAAACGTCATGGCTAATATCAGCCTTTTTGTTATTGTCGTACATTCCTCCTCTTTTGTGCTCTCCTGCTGATCGTAATTGCGGCTTGGTGTATATTTCATTCCATATGTGTTCTTTTTGATTAAAAGGCTTTATTGAATAAAGCAAATATTCCATATTTTTAATGAATTCATGCTGCTGCTAGTGATTTGATGCTTTGTACACTGTTGAGATCATCTCGTCTTCTTGTGTCGTTCATTCAAGCATTCTAAGATTGTTTTTCTGCAATTACGTATTGCACATACGGGTGATCCTCTCACCTTTTATACAGTATATTACAACTAGCCGACCTATCTCGCTACGCTCGATGTCGGCGTCGCCCTGTGGGCTCTCGTCAAAGACATTTTAAATCAGATATATTAAAATTTTGGTATATCAAGTAGTGTTTAAACAATTTGTTATTATTGTTAGTTAGTAAAAGAAAGGTTATATTAGAGCCACCAGGAGGAGGAGAGGAGGTATCTCCCTCAGCATCCTTTTTGCTTACACTGATATCAAACAAAGCCTATTATTGAGACGATATGAAAGAAAATTCAAGTTTTATGCAGCATTTGTACATCACAATTGCCATTTTCTGATAATAGAGATGTCATATCATTCACTGCTGCTGATGCTCTTACTAAGCTGGCGACATAAAGCTGGTCATAGGTAAATACAGGACTTGTGTAAGATCTACAGGGGTTTTTTTTTGAGATATTGTCGCTGCAAAAGACACCTTCATGAGGCAAACCTCCCCAAAAAAGGTATTCGGGCTATTCAATTGTCCTTTCAATTCCATAATTCTCATTCAATCAGCATCGCGATCATCATTGTCATCAACAGAAACGTATTTGGGTCAGCCAGCAGCAGCGAAGCCTGCCAAAATTAATTTAAACTCAGCTTATTTTTTTTTTTGTTCAAGATTGGACAGATTTCGTCTTTTTACGACTTCTTTAATCTGTTTTGAGAATTATTTTGTATCAATGACATCGCAACACCCACTTCCTGAGTTGTGGACTCATGTCGTTCGCAACAACAAGAAGGGCAAACTACGACAACAACAGCAAAATGTTTCATTCAACCCTACGTTGATCACCCCTCCTGCCGACTCGATCCAGAACGCGTCTGCAGCTAACACCACTCCTCCCAAACCTATTGCAATGGTTCGACCATTCATGAATGGGATAGAAGAGGACTCGGTATTCATAGACTTGACTACAGTTAAAGATAGAACTCTTTTGGACAAGGCACTTGTCAAGTTCAATGAAGAGGCAGAAAGAGATGATCTGTATGAGGATTTTCTAGGATATCGAAAACAAACTAGACACTACCTTGGTCACCAATTCTTGGAAACTCTTTGGCTACCAAATGCAGCTGGCCGAAAAACTCTCATCGAACAGGGAATTACCTTGGAGGATGGGACCTACCTGAAGGGCTTTCCCTCTTTTACCGAAGATGCCAACATTGTGCGTATCACTATGGAGAAGCTACCTTTTCTTCCTGCTGTCCAGCTGAAGAAAGAAATGGCGGAGCGCTTCTCTTGTTTTGGAGACGTATTGGATCATGGTATTTTCAAGACAGAGACTGGTATCTTTCAAGGTGAAGGATATGTCACCCTCAATCTCACCTTATCCAATGTTCCTGGTAATGAATGTATGGATTCACATGAAGCTGGAGTTGAATGTGGTGGACAGCGACACTTGGAACCTCTCAAGAGAGTTATCATTTGGGACACTCGCTCGAAGGAAGATGACCAGCGACAAATCCTATTACAATGGGATCAAATGCCAGCCTTTTGCCGCCAGTGTCAGAAACCTGATCACTGTCGTGCTGACTGCCCAGACTACCACAAATGGGCAATATGCTACCACTGCAACAAACGTGGACATGTATCGAAGAATTGTGATAGAAACAACGCAGAATCGGTACCTGCAAAGGTTCGTGCTGTTGACAGAACTTCTGCTAAGCCCAAGGAACGAAAGGGAGCCAAGCCTACTCCCCCAAAGAGGGCCGATCCTGAACGTCGAAGCAAACCAGTAGAAGACAAGGATCATATCATGCAGGATGCTCCTCAACCTAATGCTGATGCACCCTCCCCTGAAGCTTCTCAACAACAAACCAAAATAACTGGAGATACCATTATGGAAGAGAACAACACGAATACAAAGTTTTCTGATGCGGATGCATTAAACAGTGTTTCCAAGGATGTGCGCAGATCTCATCCTGAATTTGATCCCTCGAAAGCAGCGAAGAAGTTAACCCGCCAGGAAGGATCTTTAGATATCGGTTATGCCAGATATCAACACGCTGAAACCTCTAACCCCCACAGTGATGCCAGGCGCATGTCTGGTGATGATACGGATACGATTGATAGGAATTTGACACCACCTGCACCTTCAGGTACACCACCTTCCACCAATCTTTAAATATGAATAATATCCACTATCAACTCAAAATAGCCACCCTCAATTGCCGTGGCTTAATCAAATCAGAAAATCCCAAAAAAAGACAACAATTCATTCGATATCTTCGAACACTAGAATATGATATACTGGTGTTACAAGAAACACATGCTACAAACTCAACATCAATTGACATACTCAATAATCATTTTATCAGCAAATCAAGTCTCTGGACACAACATTGTGGCATCATAGCCCTCAACAAACATTTAACAATTAATCTTATATCGGAAGGCATCGATGAGGGACGCTATATACTAGCTTCTGTTCACCTAACTCGCGATATACAGGAATCTACAACTACAACACCAATTGCAACTATTCTAAACATATATGGTCGATCATCGCTTCCATCAGCTCGATCAGCCTTTTATACAGAACTCCTTGACATACCCATTGTTAAGGATACTATTACCAACACACTACACAACACTTTTATTATGGGGGACTTTAATTATCAATACAAGGATCGAAGGATGGACGGAACATTGTCTAGCGCCCCTAAGGAATGGACGGATCTGTTAGATGACTACTACATTGACATTTTTGGAGATGACAAACAGATAACATGGCATAGTGGGAGAAACTCGGCCATCTTGGATTATGTGTTTTGCAGTACGAATGCTCATCATCAAATTCCTAGTATCCATCAACAGTATCTCTCTCCAGAATGGACGGATCATGAATTATTAGGCTTCACTTTCAAGTATCAAGACAATAATGGACGAGGACCTGGCAGCTGGAAGGCTAACCCATTTTTGGCTCGCAATCGACAGTTTCGCAAGGCATTAGCCGAATTTCTCTTGGCTAATGAAGAGCAATTTACACTAATCAAATCCTTTTCTACTCCTCAACAACAGTGGGATTGGGTAAAAGCTGAAGTCAAGATTTTCATCAAGTCATTTCAATTAGAAGATCTGAATTGGAGGAAGAAACAACTGCATCAGTTACTGTCCAAGCGAAACAAGATGATGAGACAACACAAGCATAGAGGTTTGGTTTTCCAAGGCCTAGATCATGTCAATACTCAAATCAAACTACTGCAACACACTATAGCGGAAATTGAGATTCTCAAAGCCGGCAAGTTTTGGAGGGAAAATGGTGAGAAGTCTGCTGGTTTCCTGAAGAGGAGAGCTTTGGCCAGAGAGAATCAGCGCTCTATCACTGAATTGAGGGACCCCACTACTGATGAACTCTGTCGCGATCAACAGGGTATCTCCACCATAGCGACTAACTTCTACTCTACTCTATTTACTCCCGACCCAACTGATTCAGTAGCTCTTAGTACCTTGATCCGATCCATTCCTGGTCATTTGAAAATCTCTAGCGAACAGCAGGAATCTCTGATGTTATCAATCGACATGGAAGAACTCTTGGAAGATAGCAAACACACCCGCAGACTCAGCAGCCCTGGCCCAGATGGCCTGCCTTACGAGATTCTGTACTTGGTTTTGAAATATCCTCCGTTGCATGCCCTTGTCACCGATGTATTCAACACAGCTCTACAGAAGGGTAAGTTTCCTAAATCTTGGAACGAAACCATTATGTGTCTTTTGTACAAGAAAGGCGATCCAGCTCACATGAAAAACTATCGACCTTTATCCTTGGCCAACTCGGATTACAAGCTTTTTACTCGATGCATCAACCGGCGTATCATGGACGTCTCTACCCAGCTTATCAGCCGCCACCAGTTAGGATTCATTCCAGGACGATATATTGCTGAAAATGGTATGATTTGTCAACTAATCATGGAAGACGCACAACGAAAATGGACAGTTGCGGAACAACGGGACGACGATCCTACATTTGGCTCTTTGGATGCTGATATTGGCCTTCTCCTTGATCAAGAAAAGGCATATGATCGTGTAAATTTAGACTACCTTCGGCACGTCTTGCTGAAATTTGGCTTCCCCCGCCCTTTGGTGAAATGCATCTACAAGTTAATGGGTGACAACCTGATTCGCATCAACCTCAATGGACACTTATCGTCCGAAGTGGCGAAACTGAGAGGTTTGAAGCAGGGTGATCCACTGTCTCCAATCCTATACAATCTAGCTTTTGAACCCTTCTTGTTGGCCATAATTAACGATCGTCAATTCCAAGGGTACCTTATGGGAACTGAACAAACCAAGCTTCTTTGTTATGCTGATGATGCCTTGGTATTTGTCCATGATTCTGCTGATCTCGCTCGGTTGCAAATACATATGTCCAGGTATTGCGGCGCTTCCAATGCCAAATTCAACTACGATAAGGTGGAGGCCTTTTCGGTATCTGGCAGAGATACATGGGATATTTGGGAGACCTCGTTGGCTCAAATCCACATCAATCATCTACATTCCGTTGAAGATGATGTACCTTTAATCTATTTGGGGTTTCCTTTGGTTCAAAGTCGTCTCCAACGTGTCAACTTCATGGGCTCGCTGGTAACAAAGATCAAAATTGCCACTCAAATACATTCTACTCGATCACTGTCGGTTGTCGGTCGAGCTACTGTCTTGAACTCTCTTTTGCTCTCCAAACTTTGGTACATCCTACGGGTTACTCCGTTGACTCTGGCAGACTTCAAACAGCTGAGATCTCTTGCCATACAATTTTTGAGAAAGAACATATTCCCCGTCATCCCATGGTCTGTCTGGACCCTCCCAAAGGAACAAGGTGGTCTCGGGGTGATCGACATCCAGCTACAAGCTTCGGCGTTGTACTTTCGATGGTTGCAACCTTTGTTGGTGTATGATCAATCCACCATTGATGCCCATCCTGTGTCATCTCTTCTCAGCCATCACATTCGAAATGTTAACAACTGCCAATTTCACCAAATCCCTTTGCTTTTTCCCTCGTCTCGTTCTCAAGGGTTACTGAAACAACGAACTGGCACTGTGGATATGATATATCGTGCTGTTGATTATCTCCCTCGTTCTTTTGGCTCTGCCCGCATTAATACAGCTACAGCTATGGCGTTGCCACTGCAGGCTGCAGTGTTTGTCCCTCTCTCCTCCAGCTTCGTGCTTCCTCTTCGTGTCAAAGAAATGATGGTGGCCGACGTTTTTCAGTATGATTCCCGGCTCAATTTCGTCCATTGGAAGGATACTCGCGACCCCTCTCTGCTCACCTGGAAAAGAACTCCCTCCACAGTGTTCAAAGGCCTAGCGACAGGGAAATTACAGTTTCAACCTTACTTCGAGCCAGTCTGTAGCCCAGCTCCTTTAGAGGATTCAGTCGTCTCATTTGCTCCTTTGATTGAGCAGTTTCGTCTTCTTGATGATCAACCTCTTGGTAATGTTCAGGCCTCGGCTAAGGCATTTCGTCGGGCTGTCCTTTCGTCTGTGGTCTCTCCTTTGGCATTGCGCAAAATCTCTGCGTCCAGCTGGAAATTTTTTTGGTCCCTGTCTCTTACCACTGTCCAACGTAATGTGATATACCGTCTCATTCTGGGTCGAATTCCTCACCGTCGATTTTTGCATTTTATTATGCCCAAAGTCTTTGTGTCTCCTCTCTGTCCAGTTTGTTTGTCTATGAACGATTCCCCAAGTCACCTCCTCTTTCATTGTCCTTCTAAAGAGAAAGTTTGGCAGGGAGTCATCTTCGAGTTTCTGTGGCCTACCACCTCGATTCTAGATATTAAAGAGGCTCTTCTGCAACTTGATTTCTCCAACGTTTGGTATTGCCAAATTGCTGGAATCAAGCCTTTCCGAATCCTCATCATCACCCTTGGTCAACTGTGGCTTGCCCACATGAGGTTCATCTATGACAATGTTCCTATGGACCATACAGCGATATTGGCCAGTATTCGAACCAGTGTTCGTCAGACCATTGCGGAAGATCAGTGCCATTCCCTCCTGTAATCCAAAGCCAATTATTAGATAGTTTTTTTTTTATATAGTTTAGTTTAGTATATTATTCTTCATATTTTAGCTTATAGTTATCCAATTCTTTATCTAAATTGCACTCGCCTCTTCACTCTGACCTATTACTCTCAGTGTACGCGAATCAATCAATAAACAAAATTTAAAAAAAAAAAAAAAAAAAAAAAAAAAAAAAAAATCTGTTTTGAGATATTCGACTATATAAACTGTGATGATCACCCTACGCTCCCTAATACACTCTTGGAGTACTTTTCAAGGCGCTTACAATGATGCCAAGTAGAGTAGATGTTTTGACTGAATTTGTTGAGCAATTCCAAAAAATTTGAAATAGGGTTTTTGGCCAAAATGTCGAAATTTTGCATATAAAGACCTCATAAAAATGGTTTCAAAAATTGCTTTAGGTTGAAAGAAACATTTTGACTCGATATATACCATAGTAAAAGTCTTCATTTTCAAGGTGAAAATGCGATCGTTTGATTTTCGATGAAAATCATGAGGGATACCTCATGCTTTTTGATCGATTTTTTGACCATTTTTTTGGGTCTTCAAAAAGTTGAGCAAAGGTGCCAGGAAGTTACTACTACTAAAGTACAATTGTTTGGCGTCATTCCGGTGGTTCCTAAAGGCCTACATGTCAAGATATAAAGGTTTGAAAGCTGCCAAATTTGGTTATGTATTGCTTTATAGAGTTTACTTACACAGCATGAATCACATTTTTGGTAGGTGCAACTAAGCCCTCATATAGGTCAATGTTACCAACTGTTAGATTTATTACCATGGCTTTGCACCTTTGCTTCGCTACGGTAAAACCCCCTATAAATCAATGCTATCAAGCGTTGAACTAGACGCGTTATGTTCCTCCCCCAAACCCCCTCCCCATTGCCAGCTTTGCTCGTGGTTGTATTCACCTTGTACGGCACACAATTCTTTAAAATATTGGAAGGGCATGAGAATGTTTTACAGTATATATATAGCGAAGATCACACACGACAGATAGCAAGAATATTGTGCATCTATTGCTGTACAACATAACCGTGGAGCCTTGCATACAAAAAATCAATTACGAGTACTTCTAAGCTTGGGGTGGCTCTTTACCTGCATCATTCCATCTCATGAAGGCATTGTACGCTCCATCGAATATCTTCCTAATGCAGGATTTTTTACTTTTCATGTTCATGTGAGGACCTTCACAAACGGCCTGTAACTGTGTACCCAATTCTCCTGCAATGCTCCACGTCTGTATCTACGAGCTAATTGCACACACAAGTGGCCAGTATACTTGCAATACCTCTTACTGCTCAAATATATGTGAAATGCAGCAAATTTCGGATGTCTTTGAACTGCAATTTCTTGCGTTAAAAGCCGTTTCAGACCGTTAGAATAGCGCCAAACTGTTTCTCTCATCTAGCACTTACTTCCTGATATCTTTGCTCAACTTTTTTGGGACTTCAAAAACATGACAAAAAATCATGAGGCACCCCTCATGGATTCCATCGAAAATTAAACAATCGCGTTTTTGACCACGAAAATGAAGACTTTTGCTAAGGCATATACTAATTCAAAATGTTTCTCTCGATTCAGCGCAACCCCTGAAAGCACTTTTGTGAAATCTTGCGATGTAAAATCTCAACATTTTGGCCTAAAACGTCGTTTCATATTTTCAAAAATCACTCAATAAGTTTGTTCAAAACGCATCTTAAAATTAGTACCATTAGATGCACCTTGAAAAGCACTCCTAAAAAGCTTAAGGAAGCATAGTCTGATTAGTAGATTTCACATAGTCGAATTTGGCAAAACAGTTTAACCAAGTCGAAAAAGAACCGAAAATTCCTATTTTGAGAGCGAATAAATGAACGAGATTTAAACTATTTGTGGCTGGCAAGCCTTATTATTATGGAAATAGACGCTGCTGGAAGCTTATAATAATAATGTGTTCCGAATTGAAAGGTACCAATGGATATTCTTTGTGTTTGCTTCAGTCAACTTGGTTCACCACCAAGATATTGCATGCATAATTCCTTACTAATAAAGCTTTGAAAGTACTCAGCGATTGAATTCATGATCAGATGTTCATACATAAACAAAAGACGGTGTTTTATACGTAGAGAAGCATTATTAAGGGAAGAAGACGAAAATCAGAATACAAAATATTTAGGGCGAAAGTAGAGGATGGATTAGGAGGGGGAGGATGTAAGTGTTGAATTTTTGTAGAGGGACGCAACGATGATGTTACCCAACAAAAGACAATTGTAAAAGGTAAGTTAGGGACTGTATTAAGGGGAAGGAAGGTGCTTGTTCTTTTTGTTGTTTTTTCTTTGGTTCCAGTATGATCAAGTAAATTAGTGATAGTAGATGAATGAATGTAGATTGAATTAGTGACAAGTGAATGTAAATTAGAGTGAATGTGTTGACAGTTTTTTTTTTTTTTTTTTTTTTTTTTTTGCTGTGTATGTGGATGATTAGTTTTCAACAGGAATAGGCTGTAGTCTTTTGGATGCTCTACGTTCGATTTCAACCTTCTTCATATATTTCTATATTCATTTTGAAATTTAGTCATTGACATTAGCAAGGAATTCATTGATATCTGACTTACCCTGAATTCAAATGTTGGATCTGGCTGAACAAATGGATGAGTCAATAACTGCTCCGCTGTGGGTCGATCTTCAGGATTACTACAGAAATGATCCAGATGTTAATGTCACTCCCCCCTCTCTGTAGCGAAAGAGTAAAAAGGATGTCCAACTTACATTGTAAAGCACTTGCTCAGAAAATCTCGTGCATCTTCAGGAACATCTTCAGGTATAGGTGGAGCTTGATACTTTCCTAGACTGTACAAAGCAGCCAACATATTGAGATCAAGCCAAGGGTGACTTCCTGTCAACATTTCAATCACTGTACAGCCCAAACTCCAGATGTCCACCTTGGCGTTGTAGTTGGTTCCTTTCACAACCTCAGGAGCCATCCAAAATACAGTGCCTCTCATAACAGAATTGTTGGAATGGGGGTCGTAAGCCTTGTCTTGTCCACTCAATTTGGAGAGGCCAAAATCAGTGATTTTACAAATTCCATTCTGATCCAACAAGATATTACCCGCCTTGATATCCTAATTGCAAAACGTGCGTGTGTTAATTGTACTGCCTCAACAAGGAGAGCGCTGTGCTAAACTTACTCTGTGCAAGACGTTTCGGTTATGGAGATAGGCAAGACCCATGAGAATTTGTTGCGTGAAAAAGCGCACAAGGGGTACCTCGAATTTACCAGTTTTGCTGAGACAAGATGCGATACTACCGCCGGGAACGTACTCCAAAAAGATATTGATATGTCCTTCGTCTTCGTCCACATCATAACCAAGGTATTGAACAATGTATTCATTGTCAAGATCCTCCAGCAGCGAAATTTCACGAAACAAGGCGTCTTTGGTTTCCCTCAACTGGGGATTTGCATAATCTGCTTTGGTGGTTGGTAGATCTACTTGCTTGACAGCAATCCATTCACCCGCCTCGACATTCAATGCGTGGTATACTCGACCAAACGAACCTTTTCCGATAAGCTCACCACGGATCCATTGTAGTTTTTTAGATTCTGTGTGCAAGCGTTGTTAGATAGAGGTTAGATAGTGCTCAGCTTCATCCACTTACTAGGTTTGCTATCGCTGGATTGAAGATTAGCCTTCATACCAGGCTTCACTTGCTCCACTGCACGATGCCACATCTTGGTGCTTCGTCGTCGGATCAGATTGTTGGCACGGATTACATTCACGGCGTTACGCCAATTCCTGTGAGCTTCATGAGCGACATTACGAATGGATTTCTTATGGCCACCTAAACGTCTACCAGGGGGCAAAGTAGCAACGATAGTAGCTCCAGTGGGTGCTTGGGTTGCTGTGACAATGGTAGCAGTAGTAGAGGGTTCCACAATGATTTCTTTATCTAAGTCATGGCCAGGCAGATACTTGTCAATGTCCTTGTACAAACGCTCGACAGAGGGACGTTCTGCCCAGTTTTCTTCATCTTCAGCTTGAACTGAAGGCGATGAAATGGGTGAATGTTCTCCAACAATGGTAGATGAAGACGATGTATCAATGGATAGCTGTTGTTGGCTGTGATGATGAGCAAGTGGAGGATCAGATAAGGATATGCTTTCAATGCCCTCCTCCAGAGCTGGTGCGCTGGCTGTGCTGGCTGCAGAATGAGGTTCGGAATCCTCGTCAACCTCGGTAGTAAATTGGACGCCTCGCTTGTTCATCGGTGGAGAATAAGTCTTGGCAGAAATGCTTGGATGTAGGTTCAAGTTTTCAGAACCAAATTGCTGAACAGGAGACTCTGGTGGATTGGTTTCCTCTTGCTGCTGAGATGAAGGAGGAGGAGGAGAAGCGGCCTTTTGCTGTTGAGGAGCAATGGCCCACAGAGATGGCGAAGGCGTAGGTGCCGAGACAGTGGATGGTGCAACAGCCCAGAGTGACACAGAGGATGTGAGTGTGTTGTTATTGACAGGTTTGTTTAATGCCGGAGCTGCAGCCGATTTCAGGTCGCAAGTAGAATCGCTCATTGTTCTTTGGTTCGAAGGAGGAATAGCCCACAGGGATTGCGACGTTGTGATGGTTTCCTCAGGGTGTTGTTTTGGTGGAACAGCCCAGAAAGAAGGTGTATGTTGCTGCTGTTGTTGTGGAGGTGGAGGAAGAGGCTGGTCTTGATGCACAGGCCACAAAGTATTTGGATTCACAGAATTGACAGCTGTAGTTGCATCACCCAACGAAGAGCCCAAACTCATATCCGAAGTACTCTGAACAGGCCACAAGTGTGATTTGTCATTCGTTGATGAGGTGCTACTTCTTTGAGATTGAGGAGTGATATAAGGAGTTCTACTGTTTGCATCCATGTTGGTGGTATTATTGATATTGGCAGCTGGGTAGGGCTGTGTTGACCAGATACCAGCATCAGCATCCATCGAATGTTTTCGACTGGCTGTTTTATCAAAGTATCCACTGTCATCTCTGCTGTCTTCCATGCCTTCCTGAGGTGAAGCGATTGTAAATTGACTGTTTCCGTTTATAGGAGAGACCATGCCGCTATTGTCATAACGAGCTCGATTGACATTTAAGTCGTAATCACTACTGTAATTATTGCTTGTTGGTGTAGTAGTGTATTGTTGGCCCACATAACGTCTGTATATTAGGTTGTTTGTCAGAATGTACTCCGTGTAATAATAGCTGTTTCTCAATGTTACCTCTGATAACCTCCTTGTACAGCAAAATCATAACAATTTGTTCCATCTTTAGAATACGACCTATAATGCTCTAATGCATGATCTGCAGGCTTGACCAGTATTCTGTTGGTAGAGCTATGGTCTGAGATCTGACATATATGAGATAATTCGCTGTCTGATAAGGCAGTTTCTATAGCAGAGAAAAAAAAAAGAGTTAGCTACTCTAATGTTGTCCCCTAAACAAAGCCCCAACTGCTCCTTATCCAAGAACTTACCAGAATGCTTTCCATTTTCATGGAAAAAGAGATATCTTTCACATTTGCCTTCCAATCCTAATTTTCTGAGAATAGAATTTTTGATCAGACGAGGATCATGCATTCCAGTAACATGTAAGCTGTGGAAGGTGTCTGAATCTTTGGTGACATGAATGCTCTGCTGAGGCTGCTGTTGAGGTGGTGGAGGAGGAGGAGTAATTTGAACAGGGTGATCCTACACAGTCAAACGTATAGATTAGGTTTTTTTTATCATGATAGTGGGTGCACATTTCGCTATTTACCATGTATGAGTTGCTGTTAGAGACGCCTGGCCTTCTTCTCACAAACTTCCATGTGCCATCGCTCTCTGCGACTCGTGGGCTGCTTGGACTGATTGGATAGCGACTTGTGCTAGCTGGAATAGACGGTCGATTGCTTGTGCGTACATTGGTTGTTGCAACAATTGGACGCTTTGGTATATTAAATGACTTCATCCAATCCAACACTTGCTCGTTATTCGATGATTTTCTCTCTGGGATCAACGGAATGACAGATTCAGATGTCGGTAGTCTATCTGCATTGGTTGGTATAGCATATCTCGAGCCATTGTTGAAGCGGTTATTCGTTGCTGAGCGAGGCAGATTATTGACATTGTTGATCTGATAGTGATCTTCGGTCTAGTGCAAACAAATAAAAGTGAAATCAGTATGGAATCGAGTCTAAAAAATGCTTATTCATTGATCTTACTGCTCGAAGTGCTTTTATGGCATGTGCAAGCTTACGTTTCTCTGTATAAGAGAGTACCAACTCGTTTTGAAAAGTCATCAAATAAGACATATCAATGTCCAGAAACACTCTTCCACAAATATGTTTAGCTGTAGAAAAGAAGGAAAAAAAAAGGTGGAAAGGGAAAAAGGGAAGCAAGAGGTTAATATACAATGAAAATAGGAGAGACTGTTCTCAAACATAGGAGCAAACAGAAACTTACCTTTGAATACGTCAATAGCAGGCTTGAAGTCATTCACATCAAGCCATCGTATGACTCTGTCCATTGTCCAATATTCAGCATAGTCTTGAGGTTGCTGTATCTTGTCTGGAAAGGGGGGAAGCTGTTTGTTTTCTGTCACTTCACCTTCAAATGCCATTTTGGCAGTTTCAGATATATTCACTAAAGTGTAAGAGAGAGAGAGAGAGAGAGAGAGAGAGAGAGAGGTGTGTGTGTGCTGTAGTTTGCGTGTAAAAAGATAACAAAGAGACACAGAAGAAAATATTACAAATTCATTTCTTTTTGTAGGATTGATTGGCCCCATCTTTACTGTACGTCATCCTGATAGGCTTCTAGTTTGGCTGTAAAAATCTTCATATACCCAGTTCTGTCACATTAGATTGTATCAGATATGCTCAAGCAGAGCTATTTTTGCAAAGAGAACATTCTAGCAGAGTCTATTAACCCGATACAGTTTATCAATACTTGCCAGCACTAGAGCAGCAGTCTTTAAAGATGGTGTTCTGGAGATTACTGCTGCTCCAATGTTGGCAAAAGCATTGCTATTGCTCATACACTCTACGTCTTGTACCAGGCACCAACATTGCTTGTAAAGCACTGGATAGTGTGTGTCTCATCGATTACAGTAATGTAATCTGGACATTGTAGAGGCTGGTAGTGCAAGTTACTACAAACTGCCTTTCCAATATTCTACATCCAACATTCAGCTCGACATTGGATACAAGCAGCAGACGCCATGATATGAAAGGCTGCCATGAAGCATTTCTAAGATGATGTCTACATTGACAGAATAGTAGATTCATGGATCACATGTAGAGATCAGGCACCACATGTACAAATCTATAAGCTTGCTTGCAATTCTCCCCTCAAGGCCACAGAATGGATGTGACTATACGAAACGCCTAATCAGGACGTCGCGACAGGAAAACAAGGTCCAAAAAAATTTGTTTTTGAGATTTCGGTCAACCGCGTTTGATAGACACATCTCCCCTTCCTTTTCTCTTTTTCCGTACATCATGGCTGACACATACACTGAGGTCCCCTTGGCTGATAACGTAGCTAAACAGCGCACTGAACAGTTTGAAGAATTCCTTAAATTTGATGTAAATGATCCCTGGATGCGATCTAGTAAAAGTGCGGTGCCTAATCTCTCTTGTAGAATCACGCCAACGAAAAAGGTGCCTATGTGGATCAATTGGAGACTCTGTTTCTTGCAAAGAGCCGTCGTTTGATTGTCAGTATCGATGCTCTTCGTCAATGGGATCGTGAATTAGCAATGGAGTAAATATACGCAGAGACACACTGAAGCGACTCCATTAACATGTCTGTAGATTAATGAACAACCCTGCCGAATGTTTGCCTGCTTTTGATGCTGCTTTGATGAACATGGTCAAGGCTGTCAAGCCCGAGTTGACGGAACAGCCTTTCTATGTTGGATTCAAGGGAAGTTTTGGTGACAATTATGTGAACCCTCGTACGCTGCGTGCCATGTACTTGGGCAAGTTTGTCTGTATCGAGGGCATCGTCACTCGCTGCTCTCTCGTGCGTCCCAAAGTGCTCAAATCCGTTCACTACGCCGAGAAGACCAACAGTCATTACATGCGTGAGTATCGTGATGCCACTACACCTGGCAATCCAGTCCCTACGGGCGCTGTGTATCCCACTGCAGACGACAACGGCAACCCTCTTATCACTGAATTCGGCTACAGCACTTACCGCGATCACCAGTCTCTCAGTATTCAAGAAATGCCAGAACGTGCACCTGCTGGTCAACTGCCTCGATCTGTGGATGTCATTCTAGACGACGACCTTGTGGACAGAGCCAAGCCTGGAGACCGTGTGTCCATTGTGGGTATCTATCGCTCACTAGGTAACAGAAATGCTAGCCAAAGCAGCTCCACCTTCAAGACTGTCATCCTATGTAACGAAATTAGTCTTTTGAGCACCAAAGCAGGTGGCGGCATTGCGGCACCTGTCATTACCGACAGAGATATCACTCATATTACAGAACTGGCTCGCAAGAGAAACTCATTCAACATTTTGGCGCAATCATTGGCACCTTCTATTTGGGGCCACGAGTATATCAAGAAGGCAGTGTTGATGATGCTGTTGGGTGGTGTTGAGAAGAATTTGGAAAACGGAACTCATATCAGAGGTGATATCAATATGTTGATGGTGGGTGATCCATCTACTGCCAAGTCTCAGATTTTGAGATACGTCTTGAATATTGCACCCCTCGCCATTGCTACTACTGGTCGTGGTTCCTCTGGTGTTGGTTTGACAGCTGCCGTTACCACAGACAAGGACACTGGCGAAAGACGTTTGGAAGCAGGCGCCATGGTGTTGGCTGATCGTGGTGTTGTGTGTATTGATGAGTTTGACAAAATGAGTGATGTGGATCGTGTGGCTATCCACGAAGTCATGGAACAGCAAACTGTCACTATTGCAAAGGCTGGTATCCACACCTCTCTGAACGCTCGATGCAGTGTTGTCGCAGCTGCCAATCCCATCTACGGCATGTACGACTTGACAAAGGATCCAGCAAAGAACATTGCACTTCCTGATTCGCTGCTTTCTCGTTTTGATTTGCTGTTTATTGTCACAGACTCGCTGGATGAAATCAGAGACAGACAGATCTCAGAGCATGTGCTGAGAATGCATCGTTATGTTCAACCTGGAGCTGAAGAAGGTGCCCCCATTATGGAGGCCATTGACGATATTATGGGCGAAGAACCAGAGGATGAAGCAATGGAGGATGAAGAGATTTACGAAAAATTCAACCAGCACTTGCATGCTGGTGTGTCAAGCACAACAAAGATTCTCAAATCAAGCTTCCTCAAGAAATACATTTATTACGTCAAAAACATTGTTCAGCCCACCTTAACAAAGCGCGCTACCGATAGAATCATCAACGAATACACATCTCTTAGAAATCACAAAGAAGACGATCCCATGCGAAAGAAGACAGCACCCATCACTGCCCGTACATTGGAAACCTTGATTCGTCTCTCTGCAGCACACGCTAAAGCTAGATTAAGCAAGACAGTGGAAGACAAGGATGCTAAAGCAGCCGCAGAAGTACTGAGATTCGCCATGTTCCAAGAGGTGATTCGTGTCCGAAATGTTAAGCGTAGAAGAATGGCCAAATCAGATGACGAGGAGGGCTTTGGCTCGTCAGAATCTGATAACGAAGAAGAGGCAGCCGACGGTGCTAATGACGATGACGACCAAGATGAAATGATGGAGGACGTAGAGAGGTAAAATTTCATGCATATTTATTTTGAGGAGGCAAATGACTTATAAATAGCAGTAATAATAATAGCAACAACAACACTGGAGACGCCATGGAAGAAGACTCTGATCAACCACTTTCTCAAAGCAGATTCAACCTATTCAAGGAAAAGCTAATTACTGTGCTTAATAATGCTGATGATGCAGGTGCAACAGGCGTTTCATTCAGTGATGTGTTTATGCAAATCAACCAAGAAATGGGCTCAGACGACTTCTCAGCTATCGAGACAGAGGAAGCACTGCAGCAAATGTCCACACTGAATCAAATCTTTTACAGCGACGGTATGGTTTACCGTATCTAAATCATCTACTATTACTACTACTACATTCCTTTCTATCTCTTCTCCTTTATTTTATACTATTGAAACACCAATAAATTGCATAAATATTAATTTTAAAAAACAACAGCAAATGGACCGTATTCATATAATTTACAACACTGCAAAAAAGTTACACCAGCACAAGAAATTTTCATATTAATATTTTCAGTAGGAGCAGCATGCTCTCTCTTCCTCTTTCTCTCTTTCGCAACATTATTGAATGGCGGCAATCACACACAAAAAGGCACACAAAGCCAAGCCAGTAACCGCAATGCCCCAGAAAGAGCAAGTAAGGTGTATATCCGTTACGACAGTGGCAGGCACTAAACTCTACGGCAGATTGTGTTTACAGGGCAAGACAAAATCATACATGATTTGATAGTAGCCCCTTCAAAAGAAATTGATGCAATTGCATCAAATCTAATCCTTAGAGACACAAGCTACATTATTGAGTACTTGAAGCAGAGGTAATACTCAAGATGGAGTCATGATAAAAGCAACCTTAACCTACCTTTTGAACATAGAATCAATTTGGAGCAGAGGTACCTGGATGATTTATCGACAATGACCAAGAATATACAAAAGTGCTGTGTTCCTAGCGAAAAAAACCTGATTCAAATGAATTTCATGAACTATGTCGGTTTAGCAGAGCAGCAAAAGCCTCTCAAGGAAATGTACATTGAGCAACTCAAACAGCAATGTGAGAATTTGGTGCAATTTCGAGTGAGTGCTGGAAAGGAGCTGTGTGATATTTCCATTACTGACGCACACAAACAGAATGACCAGCAAAAATCATTTGACAAAAACAAAGCCTGGATGAATCATGTTAACGGCGACTATCTAATAGCAAGGTTGAAAAAGCTACCAACTGTAAGTCAAGCTTACAAGAAACACAGCATTCATTTTATACTAACATCCAAGGTGATACATTAATTATAGGCACACGAAATTTACATTCAGAAATGGGACGAAATTGAACGATCTGCCGGTGGTACAGCTGTAGCCTCTCCTATGTTGATGACACCAATGACACCTACGTTATCTGTGGGATCTACACTGACATCTCAGCACAGCGACGACTTACTGGAATCAAGAGCGATGAGCATGGACGATGACCGCACACGAAAGTTTGCTGATGTGGTGAATGCAACGCAGAGTAGCCGTATTGAGAGATTCATGAAACGGCATTTGAATAAGCCTGAAGATGCTACCAGTAGAAATATCAAAATGGCAAAACTAAAAGTGGAAGTAGGCGAGGCTGGTAAGACAAATCGCTTTAATATATGTATGAGAAAAATATAACCTTAAAAGCGCTGACCTAATAGATACTAACTATCGTAATGTTGTACGTGAATTAAGTACAATGGCTATCAAGATCGACGCTACCAATCTCCATATTCTACATAATGTGCAAGCTTCGTTGAAAGAGAAATCCGACAAAGTGAAGAACATGCTCCAAGCGGCATTGAAAGCTGATCTGCGTCAACTGGAACAAGGACAGCATCCAGTCAACAATTTACTGGCAAGTGTAGATAAGATCAATAACGAACATGAAGCAAAAAAGTTCAATGCTTCGTCGACAGCTGTGGTGAAAAAATATCCAAAGCCTGAGCCGATTTATTACGAGAACCATCATGTTGGTGTTTGCAAGGGTAAGCCTCAGCCTTTCCTATCTTTTGAAAGATGAGTCCGCTTCTAACCTTGTGTAGATTTGATATTTGGAACTTCTCTGACCGAATACGCCCAGCAAAGAAACAGGTCGCCACCGTTGCTCATCACAAAATGTATCAATGCCATTGAAAGACTAGGTGGTTTAGAAAAAGAAGGCATCTATCGTGTGAGTGGAAAGCAAAGCAACATGGAAAAGATTAAGCATGCTTTTGAATTGGACGAAGAGGCTGTAATCATCGGACAGAATGATGTTCCTGAGGATGTTGTCAGCATTGCCTCAGTAATCAAAATTTTCCTGCGAGAGCTCAAATCACCGCTGTTCCCTTTCAAGTTGACAGATCGATTAGTTTACTCTCGTAAGTGCACAAAAGACTAGCAAAAGAAACCATGCTAACCATCAAGATAGAAATCCCTGACCAAGAGCTACGTTTAATGAATCTGCTGACAAGATTACTGAAATTGCCACCAGCAAATTACGATACGTTGAAGGCTCTGATACACCACTTATCAAAGTAATGTACCAACCCATCTCAAAAAAAAAAGTGAGCTAATTTGATATAGACTTCATGCTCATGTGGAAAAGAACAAAATGACAACCAACAATTTGACACTTATATTCACGCCAGCCATCTTTCAAGACTTGAACCATGCTCAAAATTCACCAGGCGAATGGGCCAAGGACTGTGTGTTGGAGGATTTGATCATGAACAGCCAAGATATCTTTGCCAACAAAGATCTTCATAACAATTCCGCTATCACAGGTGATATTGAATACGGCTTCCATCAATCAAGTGATGAACACCATCATGAACCAAATCGATATGCAATGACCATTCAATCACCGGATAGCCCAACTGGTGCTCATCATGAAGAGACTGAAAGTGAATATTCGTTTGTCATTCAAGATGAGGACGATGATGGCACGGAAGACGATTTTATGATAAAATCCGTTACTACCAGTAGCAACGACAGCAGTGTTTTACTGCATCATTATAATGAACCAGAGGAAGCCATAGCTATACCCAAGCCTACGACATCGTCACCACCACCATTGGAGGAAGAGCGCCAAGAAGAAACACCTTCTCGGTCTACGAGCGTCGAAAGAAAAAAGTACCAGGCCCATTTTCAAGGAAAGGGGTTGAAGGTGAACACAGGTAGCATGTCATCTACGGGTTCATCTCAATCGCAGAATAATCACTCAGATCACCATATCCCTACCATCAAAAGTGCGACAGTTCCCTCGTACGATTGGCTTGCATTGGACCCTGATAATGCACCTCCAGTGCCCAAACTGCGTCGATCAGCAACAACTGGTAAAAAAGTCTTGTCAAGGCGTAAACTTTCATCAAACCAATTACGTGCAGATGCTGCTGCTGCTGCTACCGCTATTCCTGTGCCAGACATCCCCCGTGTACCTATATTAAATTATCGCAGTAATACCAATGGAGGTGGTAACATCAATATTACTTCCTCCACCTCAACCATACCTTAGTCATACGATAATAACCAAATACAACAAAAATATTATTTCACAAATCTATTGACATTTATCCTCTATCTTTTAGCTTCTACCCTACTACTATCCCTTAGTATAATATATATTCATCCATCATTTACCACATTCAACTATTGAATACTACTACAACGCGCATGTTCAATTGGCTTCAATTTTGTTGATTATTGCATTGTTTTGTTAACATTGGTATCAAGATACTGTGAAAGAGCCATTTTCACTATAGAAATGAAGTATAATCTTAAATTACAATCTATTCCTAGTTCTCGCTTACAGAGCTGTAATCAATGGCACGATAACATTCATGTAATTGGACTAAATCTGTCTTGCATAAACATTAATGTGCACTTGAGACCAACAACAAGAGACTACGCATTCTATCATAGCGTCAATTCTAGCAAGTACACCTTTGGGTAAGAGGCTTTCTATCAGTTTTATCTGTGAAGTATCATCTAAGGGGAAGGAGATCGATGCCTGTTAAATCTGCAGCGGCTTTTATGAGAGAAATCGCTTGAATTTATTTTAAACAATCACCCTCTTCAGAAGCAGATTGTCGACAGGAAGTTCCCATCTCTTATAGTTTTGATAAAATTAAAAGATTTGTAAACATTAATAATGTATGTCTCATTCACAGCTAGGAATCCTAAGCATCAACAGGTGTGTGGTTAATCGCATCGAGTTTGTTTTCTATGAATTACAAAAATACAAGACGCAAACAATTCAAATAATTGATTTTCAAAGGCCCGTAACGCTGGATTTCACCAAGTGAACCTGAGCCTAAAGCCGAACATCTTCCGTTTCCCTACCAATTCTCTATACAACGTTATAGTTTTTACAGATTAATTCCAAGAACTTCAAAAAGTCGCCTACTTGTTGTAGCAGCTAATAATAGAATATAAGGCCTTAAGCGAATTCATGAAGGGAACGTACATTTCGTATCCATAGTCCTTACAGCATAATAAATGCAACGTAAAGATATTGAATAGTCTTTGTTTTGTGCGAATCTGGTGAGTATTTGTCGAGATATGGCCAAAAAAGGGTATCATGCAAAATCATGGATTTTCCTTCAAAATATGCCTGTGATAGCAAGCAAAAAATCTGGTGACGATTTTTTGGTCAGGGCAATATTGTCAGTATTTCATGATAGAGTCATGTCAGAACTTCAGGCAATAGCTCATTCGATAGGAAATTTTTTGGTCTACAATGTTTAGTAATACTTAACAAAATGTTTTGATGACAGATACTGATTAATCTTTTAAAAACAGTGAAAAAGTCGCAAAAGTTATCTCATCAAAAATCAGTTGAGCAATGTACACCAAAGACTTGATATAATTACCACTGTATTTTCCTTTAAACTCTCTACAAGTTTCATATAAGTTTGAAGGGATGTTTACTATCAAGAAACGCGTACTTTTAAGGTCGATAGATTTTTGGAATTCTATGGATCATCATTCAGAACAATAAAAATTAAATCTCCGTTGAGCTTCCACATGCGTACACGACACATGTATGAATTTGACTGAGCATTTTAAAAATCGGAGCGTACGAAAAGGGCCCTATTAACTTGCTAGTTTCAAGTTATCAATGGATACCTGACATGTTGAAGAATTTTGTTGTTAAGACTAGACAACTGTAGCTTGCTTTATTTAAGAATAATAACTTTTCTAATTTAAAGTATGTATATTCCCCCGCTTAAAAATAGCATCTCCAATGTTGATTATCTCATGAAGTATGCATTTTCAATATAATGTTCTCGCTAAGAACTTGCTCCAATATCATTATTCTACAACATTTTTAAGTTTAACGAGATTCTAATTTTTTTTTTTTTACATCTGAGGACCTGGATGTACAAAATGTTTTTTGATTTTAAGGTTTTCAACTTTCGGACGATCGAAAATCGATTTTCCAAATATTGATGCTAGAGCCTTGAGACTAGCATGTTTCTATATCAATTTTTTGCCCTCTAAACGATGGTGCAATTGAAATTTGCGTAGGTAAAGTGGTTATTGAGAAAATGGAGAATTTAGAAAATGGGTAAATATGAGTATATGCTACTAATAACACTTTTTAAATTATTATATAAATGTGAGATGTATGTGTAGTGAAAGTTGTAGAGGGTACATTTTTTGATTAGGGCGTGATTAATGTGGGGTTATTGATGGTAATGTGGATGAGTAATGACGGAAAATGCTCCAGATGACCGATTTTCAAAGGGCCATACCTCTGGATTTTACTAAGTAAACGAGGACTTCAAACTTAATAGCTTCTGTTTCTTTTTCAATTCTCTATACGATGGTATGGTTATTATAGGTAAATAAAAAAAAGTTTTGGATATCCTCTGCTTGTAGCTCGTAAATTATAAGATTTTGTTGAGCGAATTCATAAAGGGAAGATACATCCGGTACCTGAAGCACTTAGCGCATAATGGATGTAATGTAGAGCTATTGAATTGCTTTTGCTTTATGAAACTAATCAGGTGGTGAACAATATCGCGTATTACGCTGGAAAGAAAAAAAAGGGTTTATACACTACTCTTCGAACTGAAGGATTTGATGTGAGGACAAGGTGTGTGATGGTTGATTTAGGTAATAGGATAACAGATTGAATTTACTATCTTGAGTGTGCCATAACTGAGATTGTCACTGAATCCTGCCTCATGTCAACGTTTATGATCTGATGCGGTCGTGCTTGAATTGAGTGATTCTTTGCGTTTAAGGTTCCGGTTTAGAAATGATACTTCAAGTGGTACCATTCGATACGCGTTTTAATTCTGTACAAACTTACTACGGACTGGGAAGGATGGCTGGTATTATGGAGTCTAGCAGGTTAGAGAGAAGGAAGGGTGATTCTACTAGCATGCATTTCGGGAACAAAATATAAGAAGAAATATAAATTTGCCTTATCAAGCACATTGATATGAGATGATTCAGTATTACAATGCAGTGAAAAGCAGTTTTTTTGTGGAGAGAACGAAAGCATCTTTACATTAATTTGTTGATGCGTGGATTTAGAATGCTTGAATTTTTATGAATGGTATTTGATGAATTTCGTCTACATTGAGCGTGCTTAAAGATCATTACTAGATTTCATTGCACAGGAACTCTGACATGTAGAATATCATATTTACTTGGGAGGAGATGGCTAATCAGCAAGCCCATTATTTATAATTTATCATGGATGGTGATACGATTGAGAGCGAGAAAATACATATAAAAAACTTGTCTATTTATTCTTTCCAAATCACTGCTAATTGATGGCATTGACTGCGCAGCCCTAAGACTTGCCAAAAATACTAGTTTGAAGAATGAATTAATTTAGAATACTATCATGAAGGTAACTGGCAGGCGCACCATGATAATACTTTGAAGCAGCTGCTTATCGTAGCTTATGCTAAGAGTAGGCTTGCACTCCTGATGCATTTGTTTATACATGCATGATGAGATAGCATAATTACTTTATTTACAATGTTTAAAAAGCCTCGAGGCCTATACAAGCGCATCATTGAAACTGTATTCAACAAAATTACTACTACAGGAGTGTTGTGAGAGCTTGTTAAAAGCTTTTCGTCAACTAGTCTCTTGATGCATAATTAAAAAAAGAGATCTTGTACATACTTGTACCAATTTATGACGAAAGTGAAAAGGTAGTTTGACGAAATAAGATCAAAATCACGGAATTGACAGTAGATTACAGTAACAACCGGGATGAAGCATTGTTTGTGCGTCTTTTTTTTTTATCACAATCAATCGCTTATGCATCAAGATGGCAGCCCATTCAAATCAAGCTACTGACAAGCTTAGTTTTTAATCAGACATACTGGTACCTGAGATTTTTGAGATCGGAAACATGATGTCAAGTTGATCATTATGATGAGCTAGATGCGAATAGGGGATATGCACCTGCAGTAACGGAATCAAATAACATAGATATGCAATAACTCCACAGCTTAAAAAACAAACTTTTTCTTCATTATTCACTAAAGAGCACAACTAAAACATTTCGATCAGTTATAGATCTATCTGTAAGACGTGATTTTCCTCAAACTTTAGTGGTGGATCAGATATTGGATGTATTTCAAACGAGGCGCCATATTGGTGGCACCTAAGTTTTGCTTTCCGGCGAGAGGCGCCTGCATTGGACACCTCTTGTAACACCATTAGGCCATGAAGGTATGCAAAACGATGCTCAATTATGTCACGGATGTATTCCTGGGACTTCAGTGCTAACTAAAAGGAGATTTGTCATCCAGGGCTACATAATAATTGACTTGAGTCTCAACCCGAGAGTTTTTCTCTGTATCCTCACTAAATAGGTGAGCCTACTGCCATGCTCTATGGATTTCGAAAATTTTCCGTAACAGAGCGAACAAAAGAAACTCATGCTTGACCTATGTAATGATGCATTGCCAAGATAATTATTGGGATTAAAAAATATATCATCCTGAATGCAGTAAACAAGCCAATTATAGAATTGAAATGTGTCACCATCTTCATCATATTTCTTTGAATTTAGGGGAGACATACATTATGTATAACATGTTTACAAATCTATTCATTTACGCATTTGACAGATATGTTATTGTACCCATCAAATCAACAGATCAATGGTATTAGTCATCCAATACTCTACTAGTAGAAAGCCTTTATGGTAAAAAATCAATCTAATTATAGGCTGTTTAGCAACTATGATGTTACAGCGCAAATGCCTAGTTTGGAAGATCTATTCATTTCATTTTGAGGTCGGATGGCCAACATTAAGCTCTCTAGGTGACACTGAATATAAAAATAAGCAAGTCTGACTGGGAATGCAACGGTAAGTTGGATGGAAAAGTTGAAGCAAGATCAAAAGATTATCTGATGGAGACAAAATGTCGAATTTAGATTAGCCTTGAAGGATGCCTATTGATAAGCTTGATATAGCAAATCAGAGTCCAGATGTCCATTGCTATGCAGTAGCAGCTAATGTATGAATATGAATTGGAGGAGCTACTTTATTAATTGATTTTGACGATAATTCCACGGAATTTTATAAAATGAGCGGATGATCCCTTTTATCCTACAGCACAGCCAAAAAAAAAAAAAAAAAAACCCCATAAATTCAGGTAGGACAGGAGTTAAATTGTTCCCAGACAAATTTTCTGCGACCTGTGGCACATGGACTATACTTTTACGTTGTTGCAATTGTAGCTTCATTTATTGTAGAACCAGACTTTAAAAAATGGGAATTTGTTCCATTAACTGTATACCTTGAAACAAACTCAGAAGAGAGCGGCTTCGTTCATCGCCTGGCTGCCTCTTTTACCAGGTAATAATAAAAAAAAAAAAAAAAAAATTCTGTAGAGCATTGAAAGATTGATCTCTTAGAATGAGCCAACATGTCATTGGGGACAAAATTTTCTAGATAGCAACATCATTCAAACTTGATAGATGTTTATTGGGTTACAGATCGTCAGAATTGATGTTACTATTTTTCGGTAGTTAGATTCATATCATCTTTGTGTCTTAAATTAATCAAACATCTCTATCACCTTCTCTTTCTTCTTCTTTCTTCTTTTACCAACTTTGGGAAACAGCATGAATCCGACATCACCCTCCGAGCCATCGTCGTCATCATCACCAGTAAAAAGAGGCAACAAACGGCTGAAAGTTGGACGTGCTTGTTATACATGTCGAGCCAAAAAAATCAAGGTAATTAATCATTTGCTCATCAATTATAAGAAAAACCTTAAAATGGTGGTTTCTCCTCTGCCATAAATCTCCCCGCCATTACATCTACAAAAAAAATATTGGATTTAATATTAATAATGTGAATTGTTTAGTGTGATGGATTACGGCCATGCATGCAGGTACGCTGATACATTCACTGATCCTTGATGAATTTGATTCTAAATAATTTTTGTATTTTGCAGTGCAAAGGTATATATATAAAATCTAGAGCCCAAAGACATCCATATCTGACATTTTTTAAAATTAAGCTCGGCAGCGCCCGTGCTCATTTTACAAAGATGGTTCCTTGGAATCAGATCAGCAGGATCACATACAAAAGATGAACGATACCAATACGGCAGACGACCCTTTTAGTGGTGGAGAATGTAGCAACAGTAATATAGAAGATTCTACAATGGACAAATCAGAATCAGAATTGGACGCAAAGAACGACAATGACGATGACGATGGCCGAATATTCTTCACAGACACCTCAGCGGCAAACCACAACAAGCTAAAACGAAGAGGCCCACTCATGGAGTCCAGAATCAGCAATACACTAGGATCATTAGGCGATAATCTACGGAAAATGTCCAGTGTGGATAGTAGCAGACTAGCCGAGAAACTACTAGATTCCGCAGATACATTTGGGAACTTTATCATGTGGATGCCTGAACCATCGCTACCTAGCCGATACTCTGGTTCAATTGAAATGCCTTCTCGTCAAGTACAAATGGCATTGATAGATCAGTTTTTCAACGAAAGATACGAGAGCATTGGATTGGTGCCTAGATACTACTTTTACGAACAATTGGAAACGAAGGGTTTGCTGATCACACCTCTTTTACTCAACATTATTTATGCGCACGCTGCTAGATTTGTCAACATTCCAAATTGCCCTAAAACCGAAGTGTTCTACCATAGAGCAAAGCGATTAGTCGATGATTTTATGGATGTTCCAAGAGTCAGCACTGTTGTCGCCCTGTGTTTGCTAAGTTTGTACGAACCTAGTCCAGCTATCTATCGACCTGGAGCACACCACTGTAGGCAATGGCAGTACTGTGGCATGGCGTGTCGCATGGCGATCGAATTGGGACTGTACGATGATGGACACATACACAGTACTTTAGCTCCTGTTGAAATCGAGCTTCGTCGCCGTGTATTTTGGGGCTGTTATGACTTGGACAAGTTTCATAGTGGAGGTTGGGAGAGACCCTACATGATTTCGAAATCGTTTATCAAGACGTTACCGCCAGCACCCTTGCCAGACGAATCTGAAGACGAAGTCAAAATACTGAATCTGTACGTAGCTCGAATGCAATTTATTTCCATCATTGAAGACGGCTTGATGTTGCTGTGTGCCTCTCAGTCCTTCCACAACAGCTCAAACACTGTGTTCCTCGGCATCCATCGAGACAACATGGTTGAAAACATCACCGACAACCACGCTCAGCATCAACAATGGCTGCGGTCTTTGACTCCTGAAATGCAATGGACTCCAATCACAACCATCTCTGTCAAAGACGTATTAGATCTACCAGCACCGAGACCAATGGTTGGACATTTGCACTTGTATTATAACACGGTTGCTTTGGAACTCCTGGTGAAGATTCCCAGCAACTCAGTGATACAGTTCCAATCTCGAGTTACTGCAGCTTGTATGACTCAACTCGTTTATCACTTATGCCAAACACCCTCCTATATCATCAAGTTTGATTTCCTAGTGCACTCCATCATTAATGCTATCAAAATTCATCTCTGTTACCTAGACGATCCAGACATCAATTTAGCTCAGCAAGCATGGCTCTTATTTGACAGATCCATTTGGTGTATGCAGTTGGTCAATACGTATGCGGTCATCCCTAATTGTACAAAATTCCTTCAGCAAGTGCAGAGCATTTACGGACTACAAATGGCATCAACCAACAGCGAGAGTACCAAGGGCAAATCATCACCCAAAGCGAACGCCACCGCATCCTCCGAAAGCGTTCGTGCGAGACAGCAATCTCAGTCATCGCCATTGATATCCAATACTCAGCAACAGCAACAGCAACAGCAACAGCAACAGCAACAGCAACAGACACAAAAAGGAATGCAATTGACTGACGAGAGCAGTAGACTGAACAGCGGTTCTGCCAGTCAAGGCTTGCAATACAATCCTGATCTGAGAGAAATATCGGCTCCTACCTACATGACAAACTGGACACCCACATCTCAGCCACAGGTCTCAAATCAGAGCGATCAAACTATGCTGCAACTAGATTCCAACACCAATACTGAAAGCATGGTCTATTTGGATAATCGATATAGATTCTCAGCAAATACTAGAAGCAATAGTAACAACAGCAACCTACCGCAACATCCAGGATTTGATCAGTCATCGTCAAATACAACAACGAATCAGCTATGGCCACCTTCACATCATCAACAGACATCCAGCAATCTCGATCAGCAGTTTAGCCTCAATAATAGAAATGAAAGCAACGCTGTTCTCTCTTACAATAACGGCGATATTGTAGTGCCAAGTCAGCTTTTAGTAGACGACAATACATCTGATAATGCCATGTATCAATCTCAACAACCGCTACAGTTGCCTCCGCCGCAAAACCAATCAGTCACCAACTCACCTGCAAGATACACCCCTCAACATATGAATACAAATACTGCTCCTACTAATTTAATATGGCAAGATCCTAGCAATAACCCCAATTTGAATGGTAAAAATTTCTGATTTAGTTTGATTTAAGCATTGTATTAAAACAAAAGCAAACCTATGTAGACGACAATAATCACGCAAGTAACAATGGAGGCCTTGATGTCTACTTGTCTTCAAGGCAGCATTATCAAAATATGATTAAAAGATGAGGATTGTAAAGATTGTTTTATTATTTATAAATACAAAAGGAAGAAAGAGTCTATACATATATGAGAGAGGAAAAGATTTTTTAGACAACGGGAATAATTTAAGCAGAACCAATATAACCATCCTTCTCAAGCAACAAGATGATTTCATGGACGGCTTGAGAAACAGATTGTTGAGTGATATCAATGGTTAAATCAGCATTGGTGGGGACTTCGTAAGGAGCATCAAGACCAGTGAATTCCTTAATTTCACCACGCTTGGCACGCTCGTAGATGCCATCACGATCACGCTTGATACATTCCTCGAGAGGAGTGGCAACGTGAACGAGGTAGAAACCACCAAATTGCTCAATGGTCTTCTTGGCAGCGTTACGGGCATCAGCATAAGGAGCGATAGGAGCAACAATAGCAGCGGCGCCAGCACGAGTCAATTCACCAGCAACGAAAGCTTGACGGGCAATGTTGATATCACGGTCGCGCTTGGAGAAGCCGAGTTCAGAGGAAAGCTCAGCACGAGTGTTCTCGCTGGCCAAGAGGGAAACAGAGCGAGTGGATTCTTGATTCAAAGACACCTGGAGAGCACGAGCAATAGCATTCTTACCAGAGGCATGGAGACCAGTAAAGAAGATGGTAAAACCTTGTTGGTTACGAGGAGGATGAGATTGACGCAAGACAGAGACAACTTCAGGGTAAGAGAACCATTCAGGGATGGGCAAACCAGTCTTGAGGCGACGACGGAGCTCAGTACCACTGATGTTCAAAGTCTTGACACCCTCAGGAACCTCGTCAGCAGGAATATATTCATCAGTATCAGGAGAGTAGGTGACCATTTGGAAGGGGACAATCTCAATACCGATTTCACCCTTGTACTTTTCAACTAATTCTTGAGCCTCATAAGGTCCATAGAAATCGACACCTTGAGAGTTCTTACCGGGACCAGCGTGATCACGACCAACGATAAAGTGAGTGACACCGTGGTTCTTACGGATCAATGCGTGCCAAACAGCTTCACGAGGACCACCCATGCGCATAGCCAAAGGCAACAGACTGAGTTCAGCCATACCGTTAGGGTACTTGGGCATCAAAGCCTTGTAGACACGGACACGAGTGTAGTGATCGATATCTCCAGGCTTAGTAAGGCCAACGACGGGGTGAATGAGCAAGTGAGCCTTACGTTGACGAGCAGCACGCACGGTCAATTCACGGTGAGCACGATGCATGGGGTTACGAGTTTGGAAGGCAACAACACGAGTCCATTGAAGCTTCTTGAAATGCGCACGAAGTTCGGTAGGAGTGTCTATGAACATGTTTAGTTACATCGCTGCTACATGGATTTTGCATTTGCCCCTACTCCCCTCTTCCCTCTTCCCTCTTCCCTCTTCCCTCTTCCCTCTTCCCTCTTCCCTCTTCCCTCTTCCCTCTTCCCTCTTCCCTCTCCTCTCTCTCCTCTCCTCTCTCTCCTTATATTTTTGTGTATGCTTACATCTATTGGCAACATAATCGTAGTGAGAGGGAGATTGAACGGCTTGCAAAGAACCGCCCACGTTGAATTCTTTGGCAATGTTGTGAAGATAGTGAACAGCGGGATGAGCACTGTCATCAGCACCATAGACCAAAGCAGCTTCCTTGGACTTGTCGGGTCTGTATACATCCTCGACAGTCAAGATAGCCAAAGGCTCGTAATCACGAGGATCTAACAAGGCAATGCGCTTGGAAGGCTCAATCTTGCTTTCCTCAATTTGCTCCTTACTGACGTCGAGAGTGATGGGGATGGACCATAATAATCCATTAGCAAGACGCATGTTCTCGACAACACTGTGCGGAATGGGTCAGTACACGGGCGTTCGTCCTTTTGCATTGTTTAACGGACTTACCCTTCATAATCCTTTTGGTTCAAGAAGCCTTCGAGAGGAGAAAAGCCACCGTTCAAGAGAAGCTCAAGATCACACAATTGACGGTCAGTCAAAACGACAGAGGGCAAAGTAGCGGCCTCGGCAGCGAGGGATTCTTGCTTGTCAGCATCGCGAAGATAAAGGTCCTTGAGGACGCCACCATGAGGAGTGTTAGCCATTTTTTTTTTGATAGTCGTGTGAATAAAAAGGTAAAGAGTTGCAACCAAAAAAGTTTCAGAGGCAAACTATTTAAATTTATACCAATCTCTCGAGAATTGGATTGACTTATAATAAGGCTGCCTTGTGATGTAGCGACTCAGGGGCATGATGGCGCAATTGCATAACATCCAATAGAAAGTATCTGAGATATATGGTCGAATCTTCATGGTAGATATCATTGGTTAGAATTGACGTATAATGCTCCCCAGCTTCCTGACAGATATTCTATTCTCTATCATTTGCAAGCTATTATGATTATATACAAACGAGATTGAGATTTAAAATTTAGATCTTGGATGAATGACTATACTACAATTACTAAGAAGCTAGTTCCACAAGGCCAGTTGGAATGCCACGGTTTATGCAATGATGCGTAGCTTGACTCCGAGATGCCATTGCTAGTGTAGTTGAATCACTCGTGGTATGTCCTTGTTTGATATAATGGGCATTGAATGACGATATTTGCAGATGTATTCTGAAATAGAAGAAATAATGGAGAGAAACTTCAGAAACTTAAAGACACCATTTCTCATTAGATTGTCCCTTGATTTTGTGCTCGTTGGTATCTCGCTCTCATCAAGACATTTGAACGTCTAAACTACGTCTCAGGCATGCGCTAGACGCTTGGTAAGTTTCAATTTACTTGCTGTCCTACCACTGCCATGTCTAGTATTTCAATTGCTACCTATCCCGAAGCTAGGCCGTGATTTTCAACTAGTGATGGATGTTCATGCTCTTACAATCTTTGGTTTCGAAGCCTATAAAAGGTAATACACAAAGCGTCACATTACTACGTTACCTTACGAAATGTCGTCTTATTGAACATCAATTGTCAATATCCCTTTCACTTTTAATCTTACTGTCATACTCATGGAACAACAAGTTATATCTGCTACTCTTCCTATGCTCATCCTAGGTCTGGGATGGACTGGCCAATTTCTGGCTGAATTGATGGTATCCTTGCAATTAAACTATGCTGCTACAACGCGCGATGGTAGAAATAACACAATTCAATGGTCTTTGCCAAGTGCATGTCAAGATATTGATGTGTCTGCCTTGCCCTTGGCCAAGACGGTACTTGTTACATTTCCAGTGATGCAGCCTGAATGCATGACTACTCTGATAGACGCCTACCAAAAGAAACACGACACACAGCCCCAATGGATTTTACTGTCATCGACTCGTCCATTCGATGGCAACCCTGCCAATAGACATACACCTTTGGATAGATCAAAAGATACGGGTCGCATCCCAGCAGAGGATATTATTGTGGAACGTGGAGGCTCAGTGCTCCATTTATCTGGTTTGTGGGGCGGACAAAGGTAGGTGTAAACCAAGATGTTACCTATATACAGCATTAGATTCACACATGGCTTTTTCTCCGCAGACAGCCCAAAGGGTGGGTTCCTCGTTTTCCATCTAAAGAAGCTATCAAAAACAAGTTGCTAGCACGTCAGTTGCACTTGATTCATGGGAAGGATGTCGCAAGATCTATTTTGGCTGTCCACGAGCACTATAAACCTGGTCGTTGGATTGTGACAGATAATGGGTGCTATGATTGGATCAAGCTGTTCCTAGTATGGGGTAATGCAGAGCAAATTGCCATTGCAAGAGATTTAGCTGCAAATGATGCTACCTGCCATGATGCTCTTGGAGATGGATCATTAGAAGACATTGTCAACCGAGGTGGTGTCAAACCAAGACTAGATTCCACTGAATTCTGGGAGACCTTTGGTTTAGAGCCAACTGAATTCCTGAAGATTGAATGACTTGGTGCAAATACAAAATCCCAAATGTAGCTTCGTCTTGTAATAAATATAGAGTCGAGATATTTGAAAAAGCAGATTATCTTTTGATGTCGTATATAGTCCAGAGCAGGATAGCGTAGATAAAAGCATATGATGGATATTTTGTATGATAACGTTAGCAATAATATTCATGCAAGATCAGGTTGGATCAAACTGATGAATTCCAGTGTCGTTGCGACAAACGTCAGCAGTATACGATGCAATGCAAAATTACGCTTCGACGTGAGATGTACACGCTCGATAGCACCTCAATGACGGAACATTGGTATGCTGCAAAAAGAGACTACCGGAGAAGGATAAAGAAAAAAGATATTCATCTGAAAAGCCGTAGAATGAAACGTTTTTGATATAATCTATATCATAGTAGAGTGCGATGGACTTTTGCAGCTTACTGAGGTGAAATTACTGAAAACCTCCACCAATGCTTGATACTCATGTCCTTTATTGTATATTCAGGCCTGTTGTTGTGCCTTCCAAAGCTTGTTTCAAATATAAGATGCTTACTAAAACCTCACTTTTTCAACTGTCTATATCATATGGAAACCATTTAACTAGCTTTCAAATGTAAATTTGCTTGTTCTACGATGCTCCAGGTCTATATCAATGGGAACAGTTCATAAACGAGCAAACATTATACTAGCGTCGCCTATCAATACTCAAAATTACAGAAAACACAGCGTAAATTGGGTGCATTTGAGTCGTGATTTCTCGTGTTAGAGGCTGTTTCAGGCCACCAGAATTCCTCTAAACAATTGCTCCCGACTGCGGCCAATTTCCGGAAACGTTTACTGAACTTTTTTGGGATCGTCAAAAATCGACCAAAAACCATGAGGGATACCACATGGTTTTCATCGAAAATCAAACGATCACGTTTTTAACCGCAAAAACAAAGACTTTTACTATGTTATGTATTATATCAAAGTAATCGTGTCGATCCAGAGTAACCCCTGAAACGACTTTTGTGAGACTTCCATATGCAAAATCTCGGCATTTTGGCCAAAAACCACATTTGATATTTGCCAGCATTGCTCCATATATTTGTTCATAATGCCTATTCTAATTACTGCCATTAGATTCGCCTTGAGAAGTACTCTAAGAAAGCTTAAGGAAGTATAGAATGATCATTACAATTTATATAATCGAATTTGACAAAATAGTTCAATAGAGTCGATTTTGAACAAATTTGGACCAATATAAAGCAAAAGCAAATTGAGCGGAGATTTAACTGATTTTAGCTGGCAAAAGCGATTCTATACTCATCATCAAGGCAATTGGTACTTTTGGAACCTCATAAAAAGGAAATTGCAAACTAAAAAAGTGCTGTAGCTTAGTTAAGCTGATCTTTTATGCTTCTGTTACACATTCTTACAATTGATAGACTTAACTGTAGCAAACTGCTCATTTAAATGCGAAATCTAATGTAAAATGCAAGCCTGTCATCTTCCGAGAAATGACAGATATTATTTTGGATGGTTATCAGCTACAAATGCTGAGAGCTTATACCTAAACGCAAATTTAAAGCTCTCTTGCTTGAAGCTATTTGCAATTTTAATGTATACCCGAACGAGCAATTACATCATATAGGTCAAAGCAATCACTCAAAGAGACATCTCTAAGCCTGCGACCTGGCGTTTCGGTGATGAATGATAAGTATCATACATTCAGATTGCAATGTATCTAAGAGAGAAAGCAGCTAGATGTAGCTAAAGAGATGTGTACTACACTCACATGACGACACATGTACATATTCAATGATTCTATTAGCAAAAAAAAAAGCAGCCATCATCATACACATGTAGATAGCGATATTCCACTGTAAGCGCCCTACAACATTATAGACATACACACACATATATATCTCGCTGGAACAGCGTCATCAATTGAGGCGTATCTATCATTAGCATGATGATGATAATAATGATGATGATGATGATGGTCGAGGAATGATTCCGGTTCAATGAGACCACCCGTATTTACTATAACAAGTAATTTCCTATTAACAAACTGGTTTACATTGGCTGAAAACACATATTTGTTGGCATCGGCGTCCCAATGGACAATGAGAAAGAGAAACTTGTACACCTAAAACTTTTTTAATGCCTTGTAGTGGAATTATATACTCCAATTGACAGAGAGAGAGAGAGGGGGGGGGGGAGGAGAGGGAGCGAGAAGGGTGTCTTATGGGAGGAGAATGTCTATTTTCCTTTTCTCTTTCTCTTTCTCTTTCTCTCTTCATTACCCCTCTCCCAAAATGGATTTTTCGTGGGTATCGGATATCCCAACTAATCGCAAATGTTTACCAAATACCAGTACGAACAACACCAATAGCAGCAGCTTGAATCAGAGGTAAGGGTAAACACATTTCTTGCACGTTTCATTTGACATTGACAAGAATACATGTACAGTGATGCCGCTTTTGCAACACCAACGTCTCGCACGGCTGGCTCTCGTCTGTCCTACACACCGCCTTCTTCTTCTCATAGTAACATGAACGATACCACCAATACGTCTGTAGACACTGCTGTTAGACGCTCTCGCGCTGGCACCATGCCCTCGTCTACTCTCCCTCCCTTTATGGGCCTTGGCTCTTCAAACCTCTATATCGCACAGCAGAGGCCCAATCACAACAGGACCAATTCAATGAATACAAGCAATCCAGCAATGTACTCGCGTTCTGGCATGTCAAGTCCCCTGGATGAAAACGCATCTAATTCAATTGCCAGTACTTTGGCTTCATTAGGCTTGCATGACGATCCTCCTATGGCAGACAGTAACAACAATGGTCGTGAGTCTAGTACGTCTACATCTACTACCGCATTGAATCATTCAAACTATTTTGAACCAGTAACGCGTAACAGAGCGTTCACCGTTTCATCTAGAAATACAATGACGGATAATCATAGACCCCAAGACATGATGTCATTCAGTCCCTTTCCTCAACAACATCAAAAGATGCCAACTCGTCCTCGAGCTATCAGTCTGGGCATGATGGACTCGCCGTTGACGCCACCTCCATTGCAACAGCAACAACTCCCATTTTTGCCCTTTGATATGAACTACCCTCATCATCCACCCACATCGGATTATCAAAGCTTGGGTTCCACCAATTCAAATTTGACAGATGATCATGGTAACAATAGTGGTAACACATCGTTGCCTTTATTATATCACCAATCTCGTTTGTTTGCTCGTATGGACTCGCACGAAGAAGAAGAGGGAGACGGCTATCGCCATGATGTGCCTTCTCGTCTGTCTTCGCCTCACAATGATATGGAACCTCCTGCTCAAACTCCCTCTCGTGCCTTGTGGCTGGGCAATGTCAACCCTTCATTGAGTGTGCCTGATTTGCACAAGATGTTTGCTCGCTATGGCCACGTTGAAAGCGCTCGTATTCTGTCAGACAAGGAGTGCGCCTTTGTCAACTTTGAGAATGTCGAATCCGCCTTGGCAGCTAAGGAGGATCTCGTCAATCGTCTTGAAAGTAAAGTAGCTGGCTCTGTGGTCAAGGTAGGCTTTGGCAAGGCAGATGTCAGCTTGGCCATGGCCCTGACGCAAGAAGCTGGCCCCAATGCTCAAGGTCCTACTCGTGCTTTGTGTAAGTGTATATGTTAAAGTATCTGATTCATAACGAACCAACACTTGTGCTTTTACATAGGGGTGGGCAATATTCCCGCCAACATCAATCCTGCCATTTTGAGATCCCTGTTTCAATCCTTTGGCTCCATTGAATCGATTCGCATCTTGTCTCATAAAAACTGCGGGTTTGTCAACTTTGAAAGACAAGAAGACGCTGTTCGTGCTCGCAAGCAGATGCAAAACAAGGAAATTCTGGGTCCCGGAACTGGCACCGTGCGTATTGGGTTTGCAAAGGCGCCCACCAACAGCCCTGACGAGATCATTCAAGATGTGGTTATTTCTGGCAACACGGTTACTTCCTACGCTACGCCTGCCTACAAGTCATCTCTGGAAAGCAGCAAATCCAAGGCTGCCACACCATCGCCTTCTTCTTCCCTTGCTGCTCATAAATCATCCAATTTGCCACAAGACGAGTCTGCCGAGAATGCACCCAACACAAGTCAGTGGGCCACTGTCATCCTAATGGCAAGCATGATGATGAACGCACAGAAACAGCAGAATGGAGCATCGACCCCTACATTGTTATCAGCTCATCCTTCGCCCTCCAACTCCACAAGCTCAGCGTCTAGCAATGCTCGTTTAGCATCTGAGCGCAAGATGATTATGCAGCAATTGGGCTATGAGCCTCCATCCGATGAATGTAAGTTGTACCAGTGTATTGCGCGCGCTGTTAGCTTTGACTGAGCCTCTGTGCGTATAGATGAGAGAACCGCCATCAACTACTTTTCTAGTATTCCAGCAGTTCCTGAATTCGATGCGGATCGTCATCTTGGTCCCATGCGATTGCGTGAAATCAAGAAAGCCCTAGACAACGGGCAGGGCCTTAAGGATGTTGACTCCATTGCTTATGAATGCATGAGTGAGATTGTAGAGCTTTGTAGTGGTGAGTCTTTATTTATTTTTTTTTTTTTGCGAGTGTTTGTATTTGAAGAATGACTGATTTTGCGTCAATAGACTACATTGGCAACACTGTGGTTCAAAAGCTGTTTGAGCACTGTGGCAACGATACCAAGCTTGTCATGGTGGAGAAAATCGCTCCCTATTTGGCCTCCATTGGTATACATAAAAACGGCACCTGGGCAGCACAAAAGATCATTGACACGGCATCCACTGACCAGCAGGTAAGTAGTATGTTGGTCTTACTACAGCAGCAATTAATAGGCTTGCTCTAGATTCAACTCATTTGCACAAATATTGCACCCTATGTCCCATTGCTACTGCTAGATCAATTTGGCAACTATGTAGTTCAGTGCTGTCTTCGTATGGGACCCCCTCGCAACCAGTATATTTTTGATGCCATTGTCGATCAGTGCTGGGAGATCGGTCAAGGGAGATTTGGCGCTAGAGCTGTGCGTGCTATTTTAGAAAATCCAATTGTCACCAAAGACCAGCAGGTAAGGAAGAGGCGGTAAATTTCGATGTAGTTTGTTGTGCTCACATGCAAGTAGATCTATGTCGCTGCTGCCATCATGCAAAATGCCTTGCTGCTGACTACAAATGCGAATGGCTCCATCTTGCTCAATTGGTTACTTGATACCTCTGGATTACTTGGGCATTATCGTGCCTTGTGTAATATCAATTAGATTACCCTTTTACTCTCTATATATAATCATCTACATATACACACACAACTTGCACAGACACACGCACCCACACGATTCATCCTACCAACAAAATGTATATACACAATACACACTTCAATTTGATCCATTTACAGCACATTCTTTAATAATTCTGTTAATTTCTTTTCTACAAATACAAAGAGCATGTCGTCCGGGCTGCTTAAATCGAAGCTAATGTAGAACTGTTGCTTGTATTTAGCAGCTATAATGAATCCCATTAATCACAAGTTCAGCGTTGACAGGCAGCCTACCTACCTAGTCTACGGGCTAAATTTCGACCATGTTCTGAAACACCTTTGTTGATGATGGTTGTTGCTGATGCATTGGTCTAGAGTCGTGATTGTGAGTGCCATTGAATGGCATTTTGGCATGGATGTACGTTACCTGTGTTCCAAAAGGTGGTACTGCAACCGACATATCGCCCAATTTACCTTCTGCTTTGCCTACCCAGATGAACGCAGATTTGTTCATTTGGATCACTTGAAAATGAATAGCATCTGCCAGGAACATGTGTGTTGCTTGGTGTATCAAGAACGTGGGTTCTGTAGTGGTTGATACGTCTGACATGCTATACGTTTTAGTATGGAAAGAAGCGCAAAAAGGAGTAGACACGTACTGCAGCGCATCATTTAACCCGGAGCGGCGTGCAAATACTGTGGAATACTTGACTGGATGCGTGATGAGCATTTGTCCATGAAGCTACTTTCAATGGACAGATCATCGCACAAGCTGAGATGCTACACGATGCCACATACAGTCTTACGGATCAGCAGAGTAGAGAGAGATATATATATACAATTGGCGCTTTATATTGCTTATTTATTTCATTTATATCAACAGAAAATTTAACGAGTCTTGAAGTAATCCAAGAGAACATTCATGGCCTCAGATTCCTCTCCGAAATCAGTGACAGCAACACAAGAGCAACCAACAACCTTACGGGCGTTACCTTCACGGTCAATCTTACAGAGACCAGCCCATTCACCAAGCTTCTTGGCATCAGAAACCTTGATCAAGTTGATGTTGTGTTCGGCACAGAGAGCTTCAACGAGCTTAATGTACTCGGATTCGGTACATGACTCACAGAGAACAGCCAAGTGAGCTTGACGTCTAATGGAACCAGTTACAATCAACGTTTTTTGCAAGAAAAAAATGTCATCAAAATTTCTTTATACAAGAAACTCTCCCTTTTTTTCTTGTAGAAAAAACACAGCACACGTGTACATGTGCGTAAGGTATAAAGACATTTGAGAAAAAGATGGGTATTTACCTGTCCAAAGCCTTGACGGCTTCCTTCAAACCACGAGCAAGACCATCGTGAACAAGAGCACGGTGGAGGACCTCTTGAAGAGCATCTTCAACAGACATTTGACCAGAGGTGGCCTCAACGGCAACTTCGACTTCTTGAGTATCAATAACTTCTTCGTGGTCAGACATCTAATGATGGATGGATGGATGAGTTCCAGAGTTTAGGGCACTCGATTATGTGTGTTGACTACTTACGTTTGTAATGTGTATTGTAAAGAGGAGGATCAACAGGACACCTGTGTGTGAATCCCTTTGTATCCTACTCCTTGATCTGATATCCGGACCGGATTCTTCAGTGACCTCCTGGCACTCGATTTGAAACGAAGGAGCGGCAATATGTCAAATGCGATTTGACGCTCCAAATCAGAAGAGTCCTTTTTCTGCTTGACCCCATTTCTTTTAATCGATTATCTTGTCCTCAGCATGAGCAACAATAACAACAACAACAACAACAACAACAACGGAAATAACACCAACCAAAACAGAGTCAGTGGTCCAACATCTGCTTTGAGCAGCTTTTTAAGGGTAAGTCATTGACAGCAAAAGAGAGAGAGAGAGAGAGAGAACGCCGCATTAAAGCAGTGATACAGGAGCATGGTATTAGAGTTCCTAATGCAAGTCGACGAGCCAGAAGAGAACGCTTGCAACAAGCCCAAGAGAACGGTACGGATGAAGCTGCTCAAGACACGCAGACAGAAGCAGCTCCAGAACCAGGTACTCAAGACACTGAGATGGCTGAATCATCCACGGCTGCAAGTAGCTCTGCTGCGCAAAATGCTACTTCTTCCATGTTGTACAATCCTCGTTCAACCCAAAAGACCAAGAAACGATTGAGAAAGAAGAGCAATGAGAACGGTGATGGTAGCGACAGCGATACTGACGACGACAATGACAATGCTGCTGGTCCATCCTCCTCATCCAGAAGAGCCTTGCCAGGCCGTTCTCGCATCGTCTTTTGCGCCAAGTGTAAAGGAAGATTTGCCCGCAAGAACGATGAAGACGCAAGCAACACTATCTGCCCTGCTTGTCAGGCTGGCCCCTCCACTGTCAAGAAGCAAGCGAGAAAGAAGAAGGTCATCCCCACCATCAAGAAGCAAGCCATCAGCACGGAGGCTTTGCCCTCGTTGCAAGATTGCTGCATTGCTGTGATTGCTGAGTATATTGATGAGGTAGAGAACTTTGGCGATATTGCTGATGACAGTCTTGAGAAGTTGGCCAAGATTATCTCTCGTAACCGCAAAATCAATGACATGACAGCCAGGCTCTTTATGCAACCCTTTAGAAAGCAACTGAGCTTGTTTGACTGCACCAATATGTCGGATCACGGCTTTTACATGATCTCTCAGTTCTGCCCCAAATTGCAATACCTCAGCTTGATCTATTGTGGTCAAATCACGGACAAATCACTCAAAGCTTATCAGGAGCGCTTACATGATCTCAAGTCGTTGGAAATGTCTGGTCCCTTCTTGGTCACCAAAGAGGCTTGGATCTCGTTCTTTGAGACGGTGGGAGCTCGTCTGGAATCCTTTGAGGTGCGTCATACTGCTCGATTTGTCAAGGAATGCATGGAGGCATTAGCTGCGCACTGTCCTAATCTGAAGAAGCTCAAGTTTGGCCATCTCTCCCACTTCAACTCTGATTGGACTCCTCTTATTGCTAAACTCAAGCATCTGGATACCTTGGAGCTGGCTTGGACATCGAACGAAAACACTATGCATACCGAGGATATTGTGCATTTGCTATCTGAAGTGGGCTCTGGCCTGAAGGATCTCTCAATCAAGGGCGGACATGAACTGACAGACGACATGCTGTCGAAAGGCATCCTCAAGTACTGTCATCAAATTAAACGCTTGAATCTGGAGCAATGTGATCAATTGACCTCTCCTGCCATGGTGGAGTTCCTGGATCAATGGCAAGCCAAGGGACTCACTCATCTTGACATTTCTCGCTGCACCAAATTCGACGACACTGTATTAGAGGCTGTTCTCCGTCACTCTGGCAAGTCATTAGAGTATTTGAACTTGCACAGCTTGATTGAATTGACTGCCGCTCCGCTGGAATTGATTGCTGGAAACGACACTGATCTCACACCTTGCCTATCACTCACTCACCTGAATTGTGGGTTTGTGCGCTCCATGGATGATTATGTACTTATGAAGCTCATAAAGCACTGCACATCACTTCGAAATATCCAAGTCTGGGGCTGCCACATGTTGACTGAAAGCATTCCTTCCAAGCCTGGATTGCGTATTTCAGGCAGAGAAATGTCGGTTCAATACATGTAATAGAGTGACACCACACGAATTCATCTTGCGTATATTGAAAACTTTTAAACTTTTTCTCCCTTTTTTTTTTTTTTCTCTCTCTCTGCTGCTCGCTTTTATCCAAGAATATCATCCAATGCACACTACAGAATAAATGAAATCAAATAGTAAAACAAAGAAACCTCCTCGTTTTTACTTTTGGCGAAAGACATTGTCGTTATCTGATCTCGATGTTCCTCGAAATTCGAAAATAGCCATTGACGCTCTTCGTACATTGAGTCTGATACCCACCTTCCTGGGATTCCTCTACAACAGCAGGCAAGCTTTACAGGTGCCTTTACGTGATGCTGGTGGTGCTGTGATACTGCAAAGCTCTCAGGTAGATTACGTAGTTGCAAATTTCTGGGTAACTATCAGCCTTCATCGGTATAAACAGTGTGTCTAACAGGATGTAATGCAGTGTGCTTTAGCTGGCTATTGGAATTGGATCTTAACAACGAGTATGATGAGACGCTGGATATTCCACTACGAAATGAGTAGCGCCATTGTCAGATTAATCACCTTCATCGTCATCACTTGGTCCATCTCTGCCTGGGTCACGTCTCGCAACGGACCTGATCAACCCATTCGTACCTGGATAATCAACTGTTTCATTTTATTAATCACAGACATCATACGGCTATCAGTTGTATCGGACCCAAAATACCATGGAAAGGCTGCCAATGTCAAGGATCCCAACCTGTTCCTGAAGTTGACCGTGATGAAAGTCTTGATCTTTCCCATGTTTGTTGCTACATGCTTGTCTGTGTTCGCAGTGTTGCGCCAAATTGATCAATTGCAATATACCACGAGCCAATTAATGGTAGGTGATGCTACATTGGACAACCAGCTTCGATACTCAGAAACCACCACATCGGCTGTGTCCGTACTCATTCTCATTATATCATCTTGGTCACAAGCATCATATGAAAGGCGCCAAATGTTGAGAAAATCGGCTCTTCGACTATTGTCACCACACAGCGATCGCATCTCAGTCCAGTATAGATTCGTAATTGGACAGCCACCATCGGCCAGCCATCAGCTCCATGGCGACGACATACGAAAGGAATCAGGCATCTATCATGATTTACTGATGGTCAAGTCATCCGATGTGGAATCAGACAAGAGTAGAAAAGTGTTTGAAGCGATGCGATGGGCAAAGCATATGGGACACGACTACATTGTGAAATCTGATGACAATGTGTTTGTGCGTTGGGACACTATTCTGCAAGAATTGGATGCATTAGGGCCTAGATTGTTCTACTGGAAAGGCTTCACTTATCGCAATATACCCGTCCATTCAATGCCTGATGCAAAGAGTCTGCAAATTGACTATGGATTACCCGTCTTACCTGCTTATACCCACAGCATGCTTTATCTATTTTCCAGAGACATGCTGGATCTTATTGTATATCCCAATTCACCTAGAAAATTCATACACGGAGATGGAGAGAACATTGCTATCTGGCTGTTTGGTTTCAGCATTCAGCCCATCCACGACAGACGGATTCAAGACGGAGACAATGTGTGCGAAAATGACATGATTGGAAAGAGGATGAATGTATTGTCGGATATGTATAAAATGTATCTAAATATCGTGAATCAACGGCCACAGTGTACAGGATTTGATTCAACAGCATGTGCAATGTGCTATAATTGTAAGGACAAGAAGGTGACTTGGCGAACACTGAATCTAGCTTGTGATCAGCAACGAGGAATATCACTAAAGGAAATGTCAGGCTTTGCTCAGGTAGCAGGCAAGACGCCCTATTAGCTGTTGCTATGCATTTTCAATAAAGTTTCAAACACTGCCATATTGATCGTTGTCACTGGAATTCCCCAAGCAATGCGAACCAGCATGCCCTGTGTAAATGCTTTGAAACGTCCTTCCTTTTGCCACATCAGTTGTGCAATCTTCAAAGGACCGCCCTGATACGCATGCTCTTGTGCAGACACTTGCCATCTTGTCTTGATAATATCCAGGGGTGTAGACACAATCACACCCAAAGTGCTCGCCACTGCTGAGCAAAGCACATAGACCAAAAATGTCTGTTCCTCCACTGTCCACAGCACTTTGAGTTGCTCATAAACCACAAAATAGGTAACAGTATGTGGCAAAAACACAGCGATGGTCATCCAGTAGCCTCGGTAGAATCCTAGTAAGCCCTCCTCGCTGGCAATATGCTTGGCCAGCGAGATGGTGGTTGTGTCTCTCTGCGCATTAGTCAGTATCTGCAGCTGGCTCTTGATGACCTCCATGGGCGTAAAGAACAAGCCTGCTGATACTTCAGCAAAACAACCAGAGATAGCATGGTTCAATAAAGCGTTTCGTTGAAGCCAGGTGACTGAGAAGGCTGTATCCAAGTAGTCTTTTACAAGTTCATAACAGGAAAGATAAACTGTCAGGGCAGGCACCGAAAAGAGTAATGTGATGCCTACGCCCTTATATAGCGAACGGATATACTTGTACCAAGTTGCAGCAGGTTTCTGGTGATCAGAATCGACTAAAAGGGTATATTTTCTTTGCTCAGATTGTGTTTGGATGCGAGTCTTTATAGTGTCCACTGTAAAACAAGAGTGAGTATAACGATGCATCTCCTCAACATGGATTGATATTACATGGATATGTGACAGATCTTGCTACGAGAGCAGCAATACTAGAGGCAACAAGATAAAATGAATCTATAGTCATGATAGATTCCTTTATCATGGAAAAAATGAAGATAAGAAATGAAGGGCTTAAATGAAATGATGAAACCCCATTTATTTTTGATTAGAAGCAAAAGAAGGCTGAAGGCGTGGTGTATCAAGGTTTTATCCACCGCTAACAGGAGGGATGATGGCAACTTCAGCATTTGGCTTCAAGATGGTAGTGGATTCGTTATCTTTTTCGACATAATCCATGTCAATGGCATACATGGACAGGGACAGAAGCTCTTTTAGTTTATCGCCATACTTTGTGATCAGTAAATTGGTCAAATCAGTCAGTGTCCAGTTGTCTACAGGTATTTCAACATCTTCGGATTCTTTGCGAGTGATATCCTTCACGCCAGCGAAATATAAGACTTTAATCTAGTGTGTTTTGAAACAGGGCAGGTTATACTTCTTATTGTCAAGCCGTAGTGGATGCACATGAACTACCATAATGATAAAAATGTTGCCAAATGGAAAAAGATTATTAATTTCAAACGAGCACCAACGTTTTTGTTTGTATGACGTGGGGAGAAGAAACCCGCTCAATTTGCTCAACCAAATCTGATATAAAAGGCACAGCAAAAAACCCGCTGTGTTGTTGATTTTCGTTTTCTCCTTTACGAATTACTCAAAAGAACAAAAATATTAAAACATGGCTGTAAGTTGAGTGATGGCATAACGTTCAAGAAACTATTCTAACTAACAATATATTCAGCAATACACATTCAATGTTGAAATGTCCTGCTCAGGTTGCTCCAATGCTGTAAACAAAGCTTTGTCAAAACTCGAAGGTAAGCTCAATGAAAGATGTGGTCTATACCCTCCAATAGGCATTGACATACCGTTTATTCAGGCGTCGAGAAGGTTGATATTAGTCTAGAAAAGCAAGAAGTTGTTGTTGATACTGAGCTTCCTCGCGAAACTGTCCTCGCTGCTATCAAAAAGACTGGCAAGACTGTCAAGGAGTAAGAAGGATCTGATAAGATATACCTCTCTTTCATTTATAATAAAATCTCATTTTCAATAAAGAACATGCCTGTCAGAGCATGATACGTGAGAATTTATGCCGTGATTTTGTGTCTTCATTTTGTAGAACAGTGTGTATCGACCTATAATATAGAGAATGAATGTCTGCTAAGATTTCAATTTAAAACCAAGCGATGAAAAGGCGGTTGTCCAACCAATTTGTACTAGATTTTCGCCTGTCTACCATCATGTAAGGTCCCCACCAGCTAAAATAATCTATACGAACAGAGAGTATGCTTGCATTGCTTCTTACTGCTCGATAGTATGCAAAATACAGTGTAGTTTGTGTGTATTTGAGCCGTGTTTTCCCGTGCTAGAAGCCGTTTTAGATTGTCAGATTAGCATCAAATGATTGCTCTTGTCTAGCACTTACTTTCTGATATCTTTGCTCAACTTTTTGGGGACCAAAAAAAAAATATGGCCAAAAATCGACCAAAAAGCATGAGGTACCCCCTCATGGTTTTCATCAAAAAATCAAATGATCGCGTTTTTCACCTTGATAACGAAGACTTTTACTATGGTATATATTAAATCAAAATGTTTCTATCGATCCAAAGTAGCTCCTGAAACAGCTTTTGTATAACCTTGATATGTAAAATCTTAACATTTTGGCCATAAACCTCATTTCATGGTTTCATAAATCGCTCAATGGATTTACGAAAATAAACGTGTTATAGATACTACCGTTAGATGCGCCTTGAAAAGTACTCTAGGAATACTTAAGGACGCATGATGAGAATATCACTTTTCATATCGTCGAATCTGACAAAATAGATTTTTTTTTCTAAAAAAAAAATTGTTTATTGATTGAGCCGCGTACACCAAGAGTAGGAGGTCATGGTGAAGAGGCGGGTGCAATTTAGATATGAACATACGGATAAAATATAAGATAAAATATACTAAAAAAAAAAAAAGATAAAATAATAAATAAACTACCTATTAGATAGTTTATGTTACAGTTGGGAGTGGCACTGATCTAGCAACGGGAGCTGATAATATTGACATTGATTGACATTTCGAAGATGATAACTGAGGAGCGACGATACCGGATGAGAATCCACCGTGGATTGGTCATACACCAGCAGCGGTTGCAACCAACGAAAGTACAACGCCGAAGCTTGAAAGTCAATCACACCAAGACCACCTTGATCCTTAGGATGGGTCCAAACTTTCCACGGGATGACAGGGAAGATGTTCTTTCTCAGGAATTGGATTGCAAGAGATCGCAACTGCTTGAAATCAGCCAGCGTCGACGGTGTAACTCTCAAAATATACCAAAGTTTTGATAGCAAGAGAGAGTTCAAAACGGTAGCTCGACCTACCACCGACAGCGACCGAATAGAGTGGATTTGGGTGGCAATTTTGGTCTTTGTTATCAAGGAGGCCATGTAATTAACACGTTGTAGACGACTTTGCACCAGAGGATACCCCAGATAGATCAAAGGAACATCATCTTCTACCGAATGTAGATGGTTGATGTGGATTTCAGCCAGAGAGTCCTTCCATAAATCCCAAGTATCCCTGCCATACACCGAAAACGCTTCCACTTTGTTGTGATTAAATTTGGCATTGGAGGCACCGCAATACCTAGACATACGGATTTGCAGCCGATCAAGATCAGTACGATCATGGACGAACACTAGGACATCATCTGCGTAGCAGAGGAGTTTGGTTCGTTCAGATTCCATCAGGTAGCCTTGGAATTGGCGATCGTTGATGATGACCAGCAGGAAGGGGTTCAAAGGCTAGGTTGTAGAGAATCGGAGACAGCGGACCCCCCTGCTTCAAGCCTCTCAGTTTAGCTACTTCAGCTGTCAAATGTCCATTGAGATTGATACGAATTAGGTTGTCACCCATCAGTTTGTATATGCACTTGACCAATTGACGGGAAAATCCAAATTTCAGCAATACATGGCGAAGGTAATCCAGATTGACCCGGTCATAGGCTTTTTCTTGGTCTAGAAGCAGCCCGATATCCGCATCCAGGGAGCGAAATGAAGGATCATTGTCCCTTTGTTCGGCAATTGTCCACTTTCTTTGAGCGTCCTCCATAATTAGTTGACATATCATGCCGTTTTCAGCAATATACCGTCCCGGGATGAAGCCCAGTTGATGTCTGCTGATGAGCTGGGTAGATGCTGTCATGATGCAACGATTGAGACAACGAGTAAAGAGTTTGTAGTCAGAATTGGCTAAGGATAGAGGGCAATAGTTTTTCATCTGAGCCGGATCTCCTTTCTTGCATAGGAGACACATGATAGTCTCGTTCCAGGATTTCATATGGCAAGCCGTCTGGGCCAGGGCTGCTTAGCCGGCGGGTTTTCTTGCTGTCCTCTAGGAGATCTTCAATGTCAATAAGTAGTATCAGTGATTCCTGTTGTTCGCCTTGAATCCTCAGATGCCCGGGAATGGATCGAATCAAGGTACTAACAGTAACAGAATCAGTTGGATCAGGTGTAAAGAGAGTTGAGTAGAAGTCGGTCGCAATAGCAGCGATGCCATATTGGTCCCGACAGAGTTCATCAGTAGTGGGATCCCTCAATTCCGCGATTAAACGTTGATTCTCTCATGTCAAAGCCTGCCGCTTCAGTAACCCAGCAGACTTCTCGCCATGTTCTCTCCAAAACTTGCCTGCCTTGAGAATCTCAATTTCCGCTATCGAGTGCTGCAATTGTTGGACCTGATTGTTAACATAATCCAGCCCTTGGAACACCAAACCTCGATTCTTCTTTTGTCTCATCATCTTGTTTCGCTTGGAAAGTAGCTTGTGCCGTTGTTTTTTTTTCCTCCAATTCAGATCTTCCAATTAAAATTTCCTGATGAATAGCTTAACTTCGGCTTTTACCCAATCCCACTGTTGTTGAGGCGTAATAAAGGTTTTGATTACTGTGAATTGCTCTTCGTTCTCATGTAGGAATTCTGCCAATGCCTTGCGGAATTGTTGGTTACGGACCAAGAACGGGTTGGCCTTCCAGCTGCCAGGTCCACGTCCATTAATGTCCTGGTATTGGAAGGAAAAGCCTAGTAGTTCATGATCCGTCCATTCCTGAGAAAGATATTGTTGGTTGAAGCTAGTGATTTGGTGATGTGCATTTGTGCTGCAAAACACATAATTCAAGATGGCCAAGGACCTCCCACTATGCCAAGTCATCTGCTTGTCATCACCAAACATATCAATATAGTAGTCATCTAAAAGATCCGTCCATTCCTTAGGGGCACAAGCCAGTGTTCCATCCAGTCGGCGATCTTTGTACTGGTAGTTAAAATCCCCCCATGATGAAAATAGGGGATAGTGTGTTTGTAATTGTTTCCTGGACAATAGGAATGCCCAGGAGCTCTGTATGTAATGCTGATCGATACGAAGGAAGTGACGCCCGACCGTAAATGTTGAGAATAGTTGCAATTGATGTAGTAGTTGTAGAATCCTGTATATCTCGAGTATGGTGAACAGAAGCCAGAATGTAGCGTCCCTCATCAATGCCTTCCGATATAAGATTGATTGTATAATGTTTGTTGAGTGCTATGATGCCGCAATGTTGTGTCCAGAGACTTGATTTGCTGTTAAAATGATTGTTGAGTATATCTATTGGTGATGTGTTGGTAGCATGTGTTTCTTGTAACACCTGGATGTCATATTCCAGTGTTCGAAGATATCGAATGAATTGTTGTCTTTTTTTTTGGGATTTTCTGATTTGACTAAGCTACGGCAATTGAGGGTGGCTATTTTGAGTTGATGGTGGATATTAATCATATTTAAAGATTGGTGGAAGGTGGTGTACCTGAAGGTGCAGGTGGAGTCAAATTCCTATCAATCGTATCCGTGTCATCACCAGACATGCGTCTGGTATCACTGTGGGGATTAGAGGTATCAGCGTGCTGATATCTGGCATCACCGATATCTAAAGAACCTTCCTGGCGGGTTAACTTCTTCGCTGATTTCGAGGGATCAAATTCAGGATGAGATCTGCGAACATCCTTGGAAACACTGTTTAATGCATCCGCATCAGACAACTTCGTATTCGTGTTGTTCTCTTCCATAATGGTGTCTCCAGTCATTTTGGTTTGTTGTTGAGAAGCTTCAGGGGTGGGTGAACCAGCATTAGGTTGAGGAGCATCCGGCATGATATGGTCCTTGTCTTCTACTGGTTTGCTTCGACGTTCAGAATCGGTCCTCTTTGGAGGAGTGGGCTTGGCTCCCTTTCGTTCCTTGGGCTTAGCAGGAGATTTCTCAACTGCACGGACCTTTGCTGGAACCGATTCTGCGTTGTTCCTATCATAATTTTTCGAAACGTGGCCAGCAGTGGCAGCAAATTGCCCATTTGTGATAATCTGGACAATCGGCACGACAATGATCAGGCTTCTGGCAGTGACGGCAGAAAGCTGGCATCTGATCCCATAGTAACAGGATTTGGCGTTGTTCATTCTCCTTTACTCGCGTATCCCAAATAATAACTCTGTTGAGAGGCTCCAAGTGTCGCTTTCCGTTACATTCAAATCCAGGTTCATGTAGATCCATACATTCGTTTCGCGGGTCATGGGATAACGTGAGGTTGAGGGTGGCGTACCCTTTCCCCTGGAAGATCCCATTCTCCGTCTTGAAAATTCCATGATCCAAGACATCTCCGAAGCAAGAGAAGCGTTCAGCCATTTCCTTCTTCAGTTGCACAGCTGGAAGAAAGGGAAGCTTCTCCATCGTTGCGTGGACAATATTGGCATCTTCAGGAAAAGAGGGAAATCCCTTGAGGTAAGTCCCATCCTCCAAGGTGATTCCATTCTCGATGAGGTGCTTGCGGCCTGCAGAGGTTGGAAGCCACAGCGTTTCCAAATAGTGGTGGCCGAGGTATTGTCGAGTTTGTTTTCTGTATCCAAGAAAGTTTTCATACATATCTGTCCTTTCCGCTTCTTCATTAAACTTGACCAAAGCCTTGTCTAATAAAGTTCGATTCTTCACCGTTGCCAAGCGATAAAGACGGAATTCTCTTCTACTCCTTTCATGAATGGGCGTACCATAGCAATAGGTGCTGGAGTTGAGTTTGATGCGGAAACGTTCTGGCTCGAATCTGCAGGCGAAACAGGAGGGGGTGATCAGAGTAGGGTTGAACGAGACGTTTTGTTGTTGTTGTTGCTTCTGTTTGCCCTTCTTCTTGTTGCGGACGACGTGAGTCCACAACTCAGGGAGTGGGTATTGCGATGACATTTTTTTTTCACTGACAAAATAGATTAATTGAATCGATTTTAAGCAAAGTTTGTCCAATCTGGACAGGAAGAAAACAGCGAAATTGTAAATGATTTTGGCTGGCAAAAGCAATTCTACCCTCATCATCCAGGCAATCGATGCTTTTGAACGCTCAGAAGGAGGAAATTGCAAAATAAAAAGAGTTCTACAGCTTAGTCAGATTACTTTTTTTTATTGTTTCTGTTATAAATTCACGCAGCTAATAGATTTGATTGCTGTAAATTGCACATCCAAATGAAAAATCTAATGCGAGATGTCAAGCTACTGCCCTTTACAAAATTGCACATGACACTTTCAAACGCGCTAGTATTATTCTTTGAAGTGTTCTAGTGTAATACTGACTGAACTTTCAGTTTAAACAGTAAGAACGCTATTTCTACCCTATAAAGGTTATTTACGTGGCTTAATTTGTAGATGTAGTGAAGGCTTTAATACCAAGTAAGCTATATTTGTAGGTCATGAGGTATATGGTGTATATGTATCTAGGGACCACTTTTCATACCTGGAGCGCATTCCTGACATCTCCAATGATTTCTAAATCTAACACCACCCCTGCTTTGACTCTGTTTCTTGGCTTTATCCGTTGCCTGACAAATAAAGAAGACATTTGAGATTATACTTTTATATCATCCCGGGGAAAAAAAAGATAAGGAAAAATCAAACAGAGATAAATTATGATTCGAAAGTGTGACACACAATGTTCATCAAGATGTTGCCATCTTCATATGGAGAATGCTTCAAAAGGCTAGATAAATGGTATTCAAGGCAGGTATATGCACATATGCCCTTGCAAATGTAAACATGGCATTACTAAAATCTACATGTAGCCATTGCTTGTCGGCAAGATGATAATCTCGACATTTGAAAGAGTCATTGTGAAATGACTTGAAAATTAGTCATTTACCCTCCGAAAATGCCTCGCTCGCATAAGCAATCAAGGGGCAAACAGATGATGAGAACTGCCAATGGTAAATGATGTATAAATCCGGCTTATCTATGGTAGCACGATTCTACAGCCACTCATAGTGTACATCTAATATGTGTCACTCACTATTATTTACAATACAAAACGTTCATGGTTGATCAAGATGGGTATGTAAGGCAAGTGATCACGTCAACTCAGGCAATTGTTTACAGATTGAAAGCAGAGATTCATGTAAAAAGGGGATGGAGGATCTCATATCATCTCCGAATCAAGTCTCTTGATTTATCCCTCTGGTGAAGATACTTGTCGGTCAGAGATATTGCGCAATGATCATCTGGATCTTACATCTGGGGAGTTAAAAATGACTCTTACTTGTTCACTTGCGCTTTTGCGTTAGGTACTGTACACCGATTCATCCCAATATAAATAGCTGTAACTTCCAGGAAATCGTTCTCCTGTCATACACTTTTTTTTTTTTTTTTTTTTTTTTTCCATATTTTAAACTTTTTCATTTTGTTTCCATTACATTTACAAGATGGTCCACGCTGAAAACACAACTGAAAACACTCTTGCTACCACCAACAATGTCACATCTACTGATGTTGAGGATTTGAAACGCACTCGCTCCGGTTCATTCAGCCTGCCTAAAGCCAAGGTACTCCGTCCATTCAACACAAGCGAAGTCAAGATTTTGTTATTGGAGAATGTCAATGAAACTGCTGTCAGTGCTTTCACCAAGCAAGGTTATCAGGTAAGATCATTACCCAAACAAACAAAACGCACATAATCAACATGTGATGTACCCATATGCTGACCCCCTTTTTTTTTTTCCTACCAGGTTGAAACCTACTCCAAAGCTTTGGTCGGCGATGAGTTAATCGAAAAGATTCGTGATGTTCATGTCATTGGTATTCGCTCAAAGACTAAGCTTACCAAGCAAGTCTTGGAGCATGCAAAGAACTTGCTGGCTATCGGTTGTTTCTGTATTGGTACAAATCAAGTTGATCTCCAAGCTGCTGCTAAACAAGGTGTAAGTTACATGAAATTTATCGTGTTTGGATATCATTGGATGGGATGCTGAATTCTTACGTTTGACATGATTTAGGTTGCCGTGTTCAACTCGCCTTTCAGCAACTCCCGTTCCGTTGCCGAACTTGTTATTGGTGAAATTATCATGCTTGCTCGTCAGTTGGGCGATCGTAATATGGAGATGCATCAAGGTATCTGGAACAAGGTCTCCAAGGCATGCTATGAAATCCGTGGCAAGGTCTTGGGTATCGTTGGCTATGGCCACATTGGTGCGCAATTGTCTGTCCTGGCTGAAGCTATGGGTATGACAGTCTACTTTTATGATGTGCTCCAAATCATGCCTCTTGGTCAAGCCAAGCCTTTGGAAAGTCTTGATGAACTTTTGGCGATTGCTGACTATGTTAGTTTGCATGTTCCTGAAACCGAAGATACCAAGAACATGATTGGTGAGCATGAGCTCAAGCAAATGAAGGAGGGTGCTTACTTGCTGAACAATGCTCGTGGCACTGTTGTTCAGATCCCTGCTCTTACAAAGGCTCTTCAATCCGGCCGTCTTGCTGGCGCTTGCGTCGATGTTTTCCCCAAGGAGCCTGCCTCCAATGGCCCTCATTTTGATTACTACCCTGAATTATTAGCATGCAAGAACCTGATATTGACTCCTCACATTGGTGGATCAACTGAAGAAGCTCAGCGCATGATTGGTATTGAAGTCTCTCAATCTCTTACAAAATACATCAACGACGGCACCTCACTGAATGCAGTCAACTTCCCAGAAGTCGACTTGCGTGCTATCCGTGAAGACGACAAGAATACGGTTCGTGTGCTTTACATCCATCAAAACATCCCCGGTGTACTCAGGGTAAGCTTGGGGGTTTCACTGATACAAGTCTTATTAAACACAAGCTAAATTTAAAATTATAGGAAATTAACGAAATTTTTGCTGACCACAATGTCGAGAAGCAATACTCTGATTCTAAGGGTGATATTGCTTACGTGATGGCTGATATTGCTGATGTTACCGACCTCAAGAGTCTATACAGTGCAATTATCCAGACCCGTGCCAACATCCAAACTCGTATTCTTTACTAGATTACATGCTCAACTATTTCATTTGTATACTTCCTTTTCTTTAACTTTGCATTCAACATACATACCCTTTTTTCTCTTTAATCTCTCTATATACTATATATTTCAAAATAGCATCATGTCTCCTCAACTCGGCATGTTTTAAAATAAAATCTACGTTATCTATTATCCAGAATCTCAATGAGAGGCTTCTATAAGCCAAATGTACTTGCAAGCGACAGTAGAATACACCAGACTTTGATGGATCACACGAGGCTTCCATCCTCAAACAACAACTTAAACTCACAGTCATTCAGATCATTCTAGCAAGCTATCCTGACAAAATGTCGCAAAATAACAGTTGTGCTTGTGTAGCCTGGGCCTTGTAAGGCAGCCATGCGCTGTTGAGAACAACGAGCACTGCAAATCACTTTGATTACATGCACCATCCATTGTATGTGTTTCTCGGATTTGCCTCGACAAACACTCGATCAACATCGTTTTCAATGTCTTGGCCAAAAGAAAAGCGGCTGATTAACCAGCACATGTAATGCGCTCAATTGAATGTGTATATCGCACAATCATCGCACTTGTGATCCATAGTTGTAGTAATGGACTCTACCTGACCACTGTCACACGAATGTAGATATAAACTCTCATGTTTTTTTTTTTTTTTTTTCCCTTTGCCTCGCTTTCTCGTCTCTCTTTTTCTCATTATCTTTCAATTACCAAAAAAGTCAAATCATTTTGATGAAGCGATTTACCAATGAACCAGCTTCTTCGAAAAAGCATCTTCCTGTGCTATTAGAAATCAGCGATTCACCTGTCTATTTCATCGGCCCAGCAACAAGAGAGAACCCAATGTCTCAAATGAGAACGAAGCTCATGGGAAAAGTCGTCTTTCAGGATCGCAAAATCAAATGGAATCGGGTCAACCTTCAGTTCATAGGCAAAGCAGGTATAGACATCGATGCCCCTCGCTCGGCATTCCCACGAGAAAATTACCTCAGTGATCTGGATGATCCCGTCAATGCAAATGCAACCACTAAAATACAGACGACTATGCCCATTTGTGAGGTGGAAAAGGAGCTCATCTTCTCAGGGGAAGAATTCATCGAATTTGGCTTGCATTTGCCTTCGCATTTGCCTGCCAGTTGCAGAACCAAAAACACATTTGTTGAATATACCCTAGTGGCAAACTTCACTGCTGGCACGTTTTTCAAAAAGTACAGAACACATCAAGTTGTCACTGTTCATAGGCATTATTTGCCGAGCCCCAGTGCAATGATACCTACGATGGATTTTTCAGGTGTGAAGGAATGGTTTGAATGGTCAGCAGAGCTTCCTAAAGCAACTGCAATTGAGTCTGGAGAAGTTGTTATTGCCTTTCGTTGCAGTGTTGAAAAAGAAAGGGTGGAAGTGGATAGAATCGAACTGGCTATCGAGGAGATTGAGACATACAGGTGAGTGTATAAATCCATTCTTGTAGGGGAGGGCTGTTTCTCATAGTTTCGCCTAGATTTTGTACAAAACAAGGTGTACATAGTTTACCACCTATAATCACCAGATTCCCACCTGCTACATATCACTTGCCGTCATTCTCAAGTAGCTCAGAAACACATTTTATCAGAACGCCAATGCCGTTGAGCAAGAGTCCCAAAGTGAAATCCATCCACACACATCAATTTGATCCTTTCTTGGAGATATCGCACCGATGCCGACTGACTGTACACTTCAATAAAGTACCTACATTGACTATCGAACCTGTAGTCTTGGAATTCCCTATCATCATTACAGACTATCCCTCCGTCGTTTCTGACTCTGCCTTGTCCCTGGCATCTTCTACGCATAATGTCATCTCTACAGAAACACTCAATCAACCAAGTACTATTACCAATGGAGGGGGCGATGATGCCGTGCCTGTGGATTTGGACCTGCCTGAATACACACCACGCTATGAGGAGGCTTCTTCGTCTAATGCTTCTCCACCACCTATAGTTACCAACTAAGATCTAATTGTATATATTCATTTAGTTTAAAACTTTTCAAATATTTGTTTGTTTTCTTATGCCTAAATAAACTTTATTGTCACCCTTTGGTCATTTTATCTATTATCAAATTTAGATTAGATGTGGATGGTGCCATCTTGATTTTGTGTTCCGCTGAATGTTTACCTTAAATTTGTGGGTATATAATATAAGCTTTTAAGCGTTGTAGGCATCAGTGGTGCTGCCATGTACATAGCTCTGACGCTGGCAGGTAAACATGAGCTATCACTAGCTATTTTCCAGCGATTCGGACGTTTTATTATTACAAGTACGAGTGTATATGCTTCGGATGGCTCTCTACCTTTGCTTCGTTTCGGTGAGAGCCAACCTGCGCAGCGGCAGCTCACGCTACCGATTGCTCTTGCGTATCTCATCAATATACTGTTACTTTCATTTTGGCCCTCTACTTACACATGAAGCCCCTTTATATTATCTGTAGATCTAATTCTTATCTGATGCTCTACATCCATATACACGTAGCTACTTCATATACCGGCAAGTAGCATACTGGTATTTCCCCTTTTTTAGTCCTTAATGTCCCTGATACAGCAAAACCTGAGCGCATTTGAGCTGCGTTTTCTCGTATTCAAGGCCTATTTAGAAGGTCAGAATAGCACCAAACAATTGCTCTCGTCTAGAACTTACTTTCTGATATCTTTGCTCAACTTTTTGGGGACTAAAAAAACATGGACAAAAAAATTGACTAAAAAGCATGAGGTACCCCTCATAATTTTCATCGAAAATCAAATGATCGCGTTTTTCACCTTGATAAAAAAGACTTTTACTATGATATATATTGAATCAAAATGTTTCTATCGATCTAACGTAGCCCCTAAAAGCATCTTTGTGGAACTTTGATATGTAAAATCTCGACTTTTTGGCCAGAAACCTCTTTTCATATTTTTGTAAGTTATACAATAAGTTTATTCAAAACATCTATCTTGCTTTGTACCATTGGATGCGTCTTGAAAAGCACTCCAAGAAAGCTTAAAGACACATTTTTTTTTTTGTAGGGGAGTCGAGCTCCAGGTTTTATTTAAAGTCCTTAAAATGTCATACTGAGGGAAAGAAAAGACTGTTGGTGGACCCAATGTCTGCAAAGAAGGGGAATAAGATATTTTTGAATTAAGTTGGGAAAGAAATCTACTACTAATAAGGTGCGACTCCTAGAGCCAGTACAGTCTTGCGGAAATCGTCAAAATATAGATCATGGATAAGAGTACAAAAACACCAAACGAGGACATCAGTACTACTTCAAAAAATCAAACAACTTGCGTTCACCAGGATTTGAACCGGGATCCTCCCGTTGGCATACGGGAGTTCTACCACTTCGCCCTACCACCAGGGACACAGCTTAAAGACACATAAGATGATCATCCTATTTTGTATAGTCGAATCTGGCAAAATAGTTCAATCGAGTCGAAGATCATCAAAATTTGGCCAATCTTGAACAGACCATGAGTCTGAGTTGAAATTAATTTTGGCTGGTAGGGCCAGCTGGTAAACTCTGGCAATAATAATAGATGCTTTTGAAACGTATAGCAAATTACATAGCACTATCGTTAGCCATGCTACCCTCCTTGAGTTCTATAATTAATAAAGCCAGTCTATCAAAATACTTATTAGGTCAGCTTCTTCTCTTTGAGGCTTTGAAAGTGTCCAGGGACCATAAATTTATTACGTTACGATGAGCATTTCGACTCTGGCTGGTTTTCTGACCTATGCTTCGCTTTGGTGGAAGTCAACCTACATTTAGGTAGCTCGCGCTGCCGCAGGTCATGGTCTAATATTGCAAAATCAATAATAGCTAAAATGTTAGAGGAAACACGATTGCTGATTGATAATAATTTAATATAAATCTGCAATCATATACGAAACATGCCTGACAAATGCCTGGCTTATATATGATTAATGATTTTACAATGAATTAACAAAAGCCATTTTTATTTTTATTCTCTTTCCTCTGCTCAATGCTTTCAACGTTTTCTTTGAACGACGACCCGGAGTCTCAGAGATATAGTCAACGGTTGCGATCGAGACAACAAAACAAACATACTCGACCATGGAGAAGAACTCGTCGAAACAGAAACCTAGGCAACATATTATTTGAAATACTAAAAACTTGAAATTAACGTTTATTTTGTTCCAAAGATGATATATTACTGATAACACCCAGTTTAACGAAACTGACCATCTCTTGGAGAGAAATATTGATTATGATCCAGTTTCCCATACTTACTGCAGACATGTTATGCAGCCCCTGAATCTTTAATGTCCAGATTGGCGTTATTGATTATAGAACTCAAGGAGGATAGCATGGCTAACGATAGTGCTATGTAATTTGCTATACGTTTCAAAAGCATCTATTATTATTGCCAGAGTTTACCAGCTGGCCCTACCAGCCAAAATTAATTTCAACTCAGACTCATGGTCTGTTCAAGATTGGCCAAATTTTGATGATCTTCGACTCGATTGAACTATTTTGCCAGATTCGACTATACAAAATAGGATGATCATCTTATGTGTCTTTAAGCTTTCTTGGAGTGCTTTTCAAGACGCATCCAATGGTACAAAGCAAGATAGATGTTTTGAATAAACTTATTGTATAACTTACAAAAATATGAAAAGAGGTTTCTGGCCAAAAAGTCGAGATTTTACATATCAAAGTTCCACAAAGATGCTTTTAGGGGCTACGTTAGATCGATAGAAACATTTTGATTCAATATATATCATAGTAAAAGTCTTTTTTATCAAGGTGAAAAACGCGATCATTTGATTTTCGATGAAAATTATGAGGGGTACCTCATGCTTTTTAGTCAATTTTTTTGTCCATGTTTTTTTAGTCCCCAAAAAGTTGAGCAAAGATATCAGAAAGTAAGTTCTAGACGAGAGCAATTGTTTGGTGCTATTCTGACCTTCTAAATAGGCCTTGAATACGAGAAAACGCAGCTCAAATGCGCTCAGGTTTTGCTGTATCAGGGACATTAAGGACTAAAAAAGGGGAAATACCAGTATGCTACTTGCCGGTATATGAAGTAGCTACGTGTATATGGATGTAGAGCATCAGATAAGAATTAGATCTACAGATAATATAAAGGGGCTTCATGTGTAAGTAGAGGGCCAAAATGAAAGTAACAGTATATTGATGAGATACGCAAGAGCAATCGGTAGCGTGAGCTGCCGCTGCGCAGGTTGGCTCTCACCGAAACGAAGCAAAGGTAGAGAGCCATCCGAAGCATATACACTCGTGGCTTATAATAATCATTGATAGCCCTTACTCGCAATGTATTCAAGATAAACGAAATCTGATTATTGGTGCATGTAAATGGCCATCACGCTGATAGAGTAGAGCAATTGAGATTGGCCTTTAGTGGCGTATACAAAGCATCCATACAATGCACCTTTTGTTCAGCAATCAATTAGTGTGCGCTGACATGCAGAACAGAGCGTCTCGGCCCAATATCTGGAATGTCATTGTATCATATAGTAGGGAGATAGGAGTTATTACATACATTCTACGGCATTATTGTTTGATTCCATTGTCCTATTACAAGTAGAGTGCCATTTCAGTTGCATCCATTCTTGTTTATGTTCAGTTTGTTCTCATTTTGTTCCGGGATCACGCTGATGTAATAATCGACATTCCCCTCCCCCCCTCCTCACTCTTCCTACCATTATGATGTAGGAGTAGTACCAAGTAACGTGCCTTTGAACCACTCTTTGTGCCTTGATACGTTCTCTTCATCATGCCCCCAAAAAAAAGGTAGTTGAGTACGAACTGAGTAAAATGAAATCACTTGTTGTGTCCTTCAGCCTTCAACTGCCAAAATCCATGCACAATCACATGAACTGACATAAACTATCATGTACATCGATACATGATCTTTTTACGTGCGTCATGTGTGTCATGTCAGTAAAAGAGGCACGTACAAGGTAACATACATTTGTATGTAATCCAGCAAACAAAGAACATGCAACTGAGTTTGGGTTCAATATCGCTTTAAACCATGTAGTCCATGATTCTAATCGCCCGCGTACCTCTCCCTTTTTGCCAGTGTGGATAGTGTTGTCGCCATACAAATCAACATCTCGGTAACTCGACACGGCTCAAACTCGCTTTTAACTTGTATTTTTGTAATATAATGTTGTGCATATTGTTGTCATCGCATGCATCTATGTTTGTATAAATGAAACTTTTTGAATATATGGAATAGCATCATTATTTGCAATCAAAAAGCAACTGCAAAATCATATCAAATACTGAAAACGGGCGTTAGAATATGAATTAATTGTGATATAAAGAGGAACCTGGTGTCAATTAAATGGAACAAAAATCAGCATAATGACACTATGGACATGTATCGTTCCATATTACTGGAAATCATTATTTTAGACAAGCCGTTTTAATAATATTTCGCATTTCTCCCTTCTTCTTTTCCTTTTTCTTTCTTTACACCTTAGAGATTCAAACGCACTATTCAATGAAATCGATAAATGGATCGACGTTCAATCTGTTCCTATTATCAATGTTCTTTGTTTCCTCTGTCATGGCTCAGATAGATCAGCAAAGCTCGCTCAAGCCATCTCCCAGATGGGCCAATGGCAAGTTCATCATGTTGTGTGCATTGTTTCTGTCTTGAGCTAAACCGTTCAAATGACATTAAAAAAGAGTAGAATGCGTACTATTGACCTTCAAGGGTGCACTCGTATGCTTTGGGGGATTACTGGAATCAGGCGTTTCGACAAATTCGATGCACTCATTAGACCTATATCAGTCATGGAATACAACAGACCCTGCTTGGTCTGTCATGGAGACATCAGTAGATCAAATACCGCCTGTATCCTTCTTTGCTGCAACGTATTTGCCCAGCACACACAACTTTTTGATTGATGGAGGTGCAGCCATCGTTCAACCCAACATGAAGAATCAATCGACGCTGTACTATGGCGCATTGCAAAATCATTGGGAAAGTCCCACCATCAAAGGAGATATGCCAGCACGAAGGTATGTATCTTATTGCCGTTATGACGATTATGCAAAAAAAAAAAAACTGAGTTATTCTATTAGAAAACAACATACCGCAGTGTCAGATGATCAAGGTCGTATATGGCTCTGGGGAGGTCAAAGGTAAAATAGTATCAAGATCATACAATAATGGTTCCTTAAAAATAATGCCTTAATATCAGTGATATGTCTACGTATGGCGGTCCCAGCGTTTTCTACAATACATGGACTATCGTCGATACACAGACATGGACAGTATCACATCCTCAAGTCGAGAACAATCCCTCACCTCGTATTGACCATACTGCCACCATAATATCCAACAAATACATACTAATCATTGGTGGGGTAGTATACTCACATGATGTGACGGATCCAACAGGCCAACTTGCCTTAAATCCCGTCTCCATGAGCTCCTTGTTACTATTTGATATAGACAATAATCAGTGGATCAATATTAATGCCGGTGGAAACATCCCTGCCCCTCGAAGAGGCCATTCCGCTGTACTTAGTAAGAATGTATAAAAATCAATGCTCATATGTATACAGCAAAAGCACTTGCTGTATACTTGGCAATGGCTGTCTGGATGGTGCTTTGTATACTAATGCATATTCAATTTCATTTAGGCCTTGACGGTAAAAGCGTCATTGTCTTTGGTGGAGGCATGCCTGAAGACGAACACATTCAGATGAACGATGTTTTTATATTAGAGCTAGCTACAATGCGCTGGACAGCACCCTCCATCAAGGGTGTACCACCAAAACCAAGGAGATATCATAAAGGTATATCAAGTTCACTCAAGTTTTTGACCCAACAAATCTCACAGAACATACCCAAAGCCTATCTTGTAGACGATTTCATGCTTGTGACATTTGGGCTAAGTGGCGATAATACGGGTTTCAATGATGTCAATATTCTCAGTACCTCAAGTTGGTCATGGATTACGCAATACACTGCCAATGTGGCATGGCTGTCAGGAAACACATCATCTACAGACGGCAAGGTTCGAAACAATACAGGTAACCAAGCTCATAAGATTGCCTAACAAAAGTACTCATACATACCGCCCGCAGGTAATATTACTGATCTCGATCCCAATGCAAACATTGAAGGAAAGGAACATGAAATCTCAACTGAAGCCCGTATTAAAGCAGGAGTAATCGCTGGTGTTGTCAGTGGAGGTGTTGTTATAGTAAGTGTACTCGGTGACCACGCTTTATACCAAAAGTTGACACAATTTAGTTGGGCGGTGGCATCTTTCTTGTACTGAGTGTCGTGATACTTAAACGAAAGCAGAGCAAATCAAAGAAATCCAGTAACAGTAATGCAATTGATCCAGCGAGCATTGGCCAGGACAGCGAGTCAACCATGACAGATTTTGTCTATGAGCCTGATTCAACGATTGTGCAATTTCAAAAACCAGATAACCGGTCCTCCATCCGTTTTGCGTCTCAAATTGAAGATGGAGAGCACTACTATAAACCGAATGCCAAAACAGATGAATGAAATAGCAACGCATATTAGGCATCACCTTGTACCATAAAATACACAAACACTTACATGAAAAAAGCCACAAACTACATACACATTCACTTAATCTCATTATTGAACTGCCAACAATAAAATGTCAAATATCAATGCCTTGAAATGGTATTTTTAATGGTGAAATATGTACAGAGATCGTCTATGAATATAAGCAGTTACAGCCAACTGGGTCGATGTTGATGATCGTAAGGTACCAAATCGTGGTCAAATGTCTCTATAAACTGTGTGTTCTAAATGTTATCTGATGTGCTCTGTCCAAATCATCTGAATCGCTGCTTTACCTCTTGATCTGCGAGCACTTTGGTTCCTGCAAATTTTCGATATTCATCAAATATTGAGGTCATTGACCATCTTTGAATCTTTCTTAAACAGCCCACTAAACAACCGATTCGATGCTATAATAATGACATACTCTCAGCAGATGCGCATTTGTTTGTCATTTTCTAATCTTACCTTTCCTTTTAAACAATGGATAAGCACTATCAGGGTGAGCTGCTATAAGTTGACCTGTATATTCTCAATTCCATCTGATATTTACCTGGATGGCTTCTCTTATCCAGCAACTTAACCAGTGCGTGTGATATGTCTTCAGGATTCACTTCCACAAACGGCTCCTTATTTCCTTCAGTACGATAGTGCAAGACCTCAATCCCTTCTTGCTCGACAAAATGCTGCATTTCTGGAGGATAGTCTTCCATTGCAAAATATCTAAAAAGTAGACAGACATGTCAATCACCATCTCTCAGCTTGAATCATCCACATGTTCATTACAATATTGTTTTCAATCCAAGCTTTCTCAAAAACGCGAAGTTCTGCTTGTTTGGGTGTCCTGACCGATACACACCTGAACCTATCATTGCAAAATTGAGGGGAGGCACTAGAGGCATACCCGGTCGTGTATAGCAAATAGGACATGTATCATAATAATGCATTGAAGGATCCGCACGCTGATGTCTGCTAATAATAACCGAACTCTGCTCTCGCTCTTGATTGTGATTGATTGCCATCTTGAGGATGCTCACTATTGAGAAATAGAAGGTAAAGAAAAAAAAAAAAAGCACAGCGGCCTGGGCCACTGGCGCATTATTTTGTAGTAATTCAAGATGCGCACATGTTTGATTCACTCATATTGGACTCCACACGATGGGCCGCATTGTAAGTCTCTCGGTAGAGACATCTTGGATCGTATACTATTCAATTAATAGCATAAAACAAAGGCTATGGCAGCGCAGAGTATACAAAAAAACCTCCTTGAATAACATGTACGGGTGATACAAAGCTTGATGTTCATGGTTATGTACTAGTTTTATCAGGCAATTCGATTTTTCCGTGCCTAAATCATGATGTAATACACATAATATAACTGCAAGAGCATCAGAAAACGTATATATATATATATATATATATATATTCAGATGTATACAGAATTAAGAGATCTCGACTCTTTCTTTAAACTAAATATTCTTTATGCCTGGCGTTTTCATGTCAAATCTTCTGCCAAGTTCCTTATTTAGCAAGAAAGAGGCTATTGTCAAAGCCGATCCTGCTTCTTCTGACGGATTGGCAAATGACAAGAGCCATAGTGTGCCGCTACCGCAAGACAATCATAAAGACAAGGAAAAAGACATTGTGCCTTTACAAAGACAGGTACATTGAATGCTGGTAGCTCATAATGCAAGCAAAAGAGACCATATCTAATGGCACATTCATTTTTCAGAATGCTCCTCCTCTTCTCCCCCCCCCCGACTGGAAATCAAGATGTATCTACAAGTCATCTCACAATTGATACGAAACTACCGCCCAGACTGAGAGACGAGATACCTCCCCGCAATTGTCACCTATAATTAATCATCCCAATCTACTCGAGGAAAAGAAGAAGTTTACTCGGCCCTCCATGCTCAATGAAACAAGTCGTCTAAGCACATCTGTTCGCTTTCAAGACAGTAAAACTGAAGGAAGACCGAGCATTTACTTGTTCATTTTTGTGAATCCTCTTTCCGGTGATTGCAAAGGCAAAGATTTAGTGGAGCTTCCTATTCAGCACTTTCGATTGAGACGATTTCCTCAAGTGCAAGTTGAAATACACATCATTCTGGATGAACAGGACAGAAATCTAGGCGTACAAAGCATACAACTTGTAGAGCAAATGGCCAAAAGCGGCCAGCTGCCGTCGCTCGAAGATGAAGCATTACTAGAGCAACACGACTCTGGTGTTCGTAAAATTAGCAAAACTGTAAGAGCTCGACATATACATGTGTGGAGCGCAGGTGGAGACGGAACAGTAATGAGCGCATTTGAGCTACTGGTTCATCATCATATCGATCTGGACTACATGTTTTTCTCATGTAAGCATGTACATTTGCAATATCTCATGTAGAGCGACTCTAACTCGACGTTTCTTTTTCGTAGGTATTCCTTTTGGCACTGGCAACGATTTCAGTCAGGTGCTAGGCTGGGGCAGAACCATCAAGCATCCCAACATTCTGGGCAAACGCCTGTAGAATCTAGAAGAGTTGATCACTGAGCGACTGGAGAAATCAGAAGCAGCTCGTTTGGACATTTGGCAAGTTGAAACGACCGCTTACCCTGGTGGCTATGTCAAATTAGCAGGTCCACAGCGCAAAGATGGACATGACGTGTTGGAGATTGATGAACGTGAACAGCAAGGAACATACCTCACATTTGGTCTGTAGAGCTAAAGCCTTGGATATACATATATTGACATGCTACCTCCGCTCTCAGGGGAAGAGAGGTTGACCTTTGGGGCGATGCCAAGTACGGATTGGAAGCAGTTGAAGATCGTACTGGACACAATGATGCACTGACTTGGACACCCCAGTTAGCCAATGACGGAAAGCTGGAAATTTTCACCATAGAGAATATGGCCAGTTACATCAAGAAACTAGCAAATATAAGACAGCATGTATCTCGTGTTGGCCAGTTTGAAACACCATCCGAGATTGTCTTCAGAGAGCCCGCCTCTTCATCTTCCAAGCAGAGCAAGAAATGGTGGCACAATCTGACTAAAAAACAAGTACAAGCGAGGAAATGTGATTTGCATCATGTGCGATGGTGAATTCTACATTCTCAAAGATCCCAAATCATTCAGATTCAAGCGGTCCGCTCAAGTATGGACACTGGGAAGGCTTGATGAGCATGTTCGTGGTAGGCTTGTTCAGGATGAGCAAATATCTCAGAAGCGTCAACGAGAGCAGCTTTATCTGAATACATTGTAGCATTTATACCTTCGTTTTTTTTCATGTCTCAAATCAATCAAACTTATCAATATAACTCACATATCAAAGATTTCGTATTTTAATTGATAATGGCTCAAATAAGGCACAATGCCCTGATGCATTCCACCTCTGTGTGCTGATCTCGATTATTATCATTTTGCATGTAGACCAGACTCGCATTGTTGTGACGATTTATTCTCTTTCATAGCCTAATTACTTGTGCAAGAAAACAGCATCAATACCTTTACAACTTCTCTATCTACGTTCTCATGACAACCGAAGCATCTTTCTCGTGGGACAAAGAGCTAGCACACTTTTTCAAAAGCATTGGTCTTGTAGAAACGAGCGAATGCTTAGAATCAGAGCTGGTTGTGCTCTCGCAAAGCCAATTGCAGAAACTGCCAGCAGAATTGGAGACACTGGTCGAAAAGCTTTTAATTTCCCTGGAGAGACATGTAGATGCCAAAGAAGAGATTATTGGCAAACCGGACAAGACGCACGACGGCTTGCTTGTATCCAAGCGAAAACGAAGCGACAATGAGCAGGACGAAGAAGATGAAAAGGAGAGAATAAAGCGGTTTGATGGAGAGCAGATTCAAATCAGAGCAACGACTGAAGAGGTTGAGCAGAGAATCAACACGTTTATCCAGGCAAAGCAAAACGAATTGGACGAAAGCAACAGAACAGAGTTTTTGAGTAGACATGATCCCACAGCAGACGACGTTACTTGCGCGAGGACAGATGCTAGAGAAATCAATCGCAACATTCAGATGAAGTTTGACATTGTCAACAATGAAGATGGCCCTATTGCGAGATCTCTGCTGGCACACAACGACAAATCCAAACCAGACGATTCAACGCAAGTAGCAACAGCAGCGGATACGTCTGAGAGACTGAGCAATATAGAGGAGCATCTCAATGTAAAGCTGGATAGCGCTGCAAAACCACCATTTTCTGCGTTTGAAAGGATCAAGATATTGGAGAACACACTGATGGAAATTGAGCGACAACATCCCACATGGGCAGCAGTGCATTTCAACCAACCCAATCGCAACTTCCCTCCACCGCCACCAGTTACTTATATTACACGGCCCAACACTGAATCAGAAGAGCTATTGTCGCCGCCACCGCCAAAAAATAGACAGCAAGAAGAAGCCACTTACATCTCTACACAGATCACTACAGCGGCACCGCAGCAGAGGATGCTACGAGCCCACGGTCGAGCCAATTCATCGCTAACACGAGCAGTGATAGATCAGCTCAACAGACAGAAAGATATATCCATTACAAGGCAAACCATCGAATCATCGCAGCTTTGATGACACACACTCAATAAACCCATATAGCGTCTACTTTTTTTTTCATGTTTTATTCTACTATTATATATAAAGTGGTTGTTTTTTACTTAGATTTCAAGCTTAAATGTAAAGTAGTCAGGATCAAAGTGATGGACACGAACGTAACCATCTTCACCACCACTTGAATAACTTGTACCATCAGGATGAACAGCAATGGTATTGATAGGACCGAAATGGCCTCTAACACGACCGACTTCCTCTTCAAGGATCTTGTGATAGAATCTACTCTCGAATTTACCTTGTCTGGCAGATGTAGTTGTGACATTCATGGCATCTTGACCACCACCCAAAATGACAAATTCTTGGTGTTTGGGAGTTAAAGCAGCTGAATTGAGAGGTGTATCAGCAGAAAATGATTTCTTTTCGTCTAAACTGAGTGAATCAAAGATCTTTGCGCTCTTGTCCTTGGAAGCAGTGATAAAATATGTGCGATCAGGGCTGAATTGCATGTCGGATAAGACACCTTCGTGAGGGTGAATAGACTTAACCTTTTCGTTTGTCTTCCAATCCCATTGACAAATAGTGCCATCTTCATGACCAGTGATGATGTACTTGTCTAAGCAGGTCCAGCCAGCAACGACAGCCTTTGAGCCACCGTTGTTAGTAATAGTAACGACAGGCGCATCGGATTCTACAAGCATCATGCCAAATCAGTCTCACATCTCCTTTGATATACACATGATAACTTACGAGTGCCATTCACATCATTGTTGACAGGGTAAACAGTGACAGTACCAGAGAAACCCATACGTTCCTCAGTAACACACAACACCATAGTATTATCCTCACTGAATTCAACGCGCTTGACAGCAGTCTTGAACTCCCATGTCTTCAAACAGCGGCCTGTTTGAACCTCCCAAAGCTTACAGCTATTATCGGCAGAACCAGTAACGAGCAATGTAGAGTTGGCTATGGTATGCGTCAATCAAACAGGAACCTAATGCGCAAAAGTGTGCACCACTTACCATTGACATCAATGGCCCAAACGGAACCTTGATGGCCAGTATATGTACCGAGACGTTCACCATTATGAGAGTACCAGACATTGGCGACCTTGTCTTTGGAGACTGAGAAGAGTAAATCACCTTCTCTGTTGTATTTGATTTGAGTTAAAGCTCTGGTATGACCTTGAAGCAAAATAGGTCTCATGTTGTAGGTTTGTTGAAAGAGGGGTGTGTCGTTAAACGAGAAAAGAGGTCGAAAATGTTGAAAAAAATTATGAAAAATTCTATACGAAAAAAAAAAAGAGGCTTTCTCTGCAAAGGGCCCGAGGTAAGCGTCCGGGTCGGATGCTTATGATGTTGGTGCACCAAGTGAAAACTTTTGCTGGTGAATGCGCTCAAGATGGACAGTGAGCATAGCGCAGGGTAGTGCTGAGAGAGAGAAAGGCAGAAGGGGGGGGGGGGGAGGATATATGGATTCTACAAACGCACATTCTAGTAATCTTCCCTTTTTTCCTCATCATGGTATTGTATCCATACATCAAAGCATCAATTGGATGGAAGGAACTGGATCAGACATGGAGATGAATGGATGGATGAAGTGGATCAGCTCAATACAACATGGATACCATTACTCGCATCAGCCTCTGATAAATACCACATGTCGATTTATCGCCCAGGACATCACCACATGTACACTTACTACTGGAAATCACTGTTTATTCTCTCCCTCTCACTATGCATTCCTTCCTGTCCTTTGAATTGATCAGAGCCAATGTTGCAGCTTATTCATTAATTCTCATCTACATAGGCTGACGAGCAAACTACTCCTAGAAAGAGAACTTTCCGTAAGTTTACCTACCGTGGTATTGACCTTGAACAACTCTTGGACTTGTCTTCTGAACAGGTAAATCATATCGCCACTTGAGATTGCACATATACGCGTGAGAATGGAGACAACTGACATTGTTGCATTGGCCAACCTTTGTAGTTCATGGAGCTCGTTCACTGTCGTGCTCGCAGAAGATTCCAACGTGGCCTTAAGCGTAAGCCTATGGGTCTCATCAAGAAGCTCCGTGCTGCCAAGAAGAACGCTCCCGCTGGCGAGAAGCCTGAGGTTGTCAAGACCCATCTCCGTAACATGATTATTGTCCCTGAGATGATCGGTTCCGTCATTGGTATCTACAACGGTAAGGTTTTCAACCAAGTTGAAATCAAGCCTGAGATGACTGGTCACTACCTCGCCGAGTTCTCCATCTCTTACAAGCCTGTCAAGCACGGTCGTCCCGGTATTGGTGCTACTCACTCTTCCAAGTTTGTTCCCCTCAAGTAAATTCGACAAACAGAAAAAGAAAACGAATCGATCAGAAGAGAGCAAGTGTATTTTGCTATTCCTTTTTCGATTTGTATTTTGTTTCCTTTTTTTCATTAAATAGGGCTTTTTACCATTAAAAAAGCATGGTCAGTTATATTTGTGGTTTTGAGTGTTTTGTTGTGTGGGATGTGTTGGTGATTTATTAGAGCCACTTGTCTTGTTTTTCAAATTGGCTTATGTGTAATGAAATACCAAGTTTATTAATAGTCTGGCCTACCCTCTACACTCTTCTGTTGTGATTTTTTTTTTTTTTTTTTTTTTTTTTTTTTTTTTTTTTTTTTTACTTCTTCCTCCCCTTAGACGTTGGAAACACCATTTTCAATCCATATTAAAGCTATTAAACTCCAGGCTTCACAGTATTTTTCGCAATAAGGTGTTCGCTTGCTGCTTTCAATATAGTAGTTTGGCTTTTCATAGTTTACATAGTAGTCGATCGTTGTGTGCTTTTAAGTTTAATTGCTTGCTTTTTATTAAAGGATTATGCCTAATCAAACTTATGGCCGTATATTGTCCCTAGCAATCTAATAAATTCACCATTTGTTACATCCTAAAAGAAGTCTGGGGCTTGGAACCACGTATTATTGGCTTAGTCCTCTGTGTTGTCATTATATGAACCAGTGTATCTACGCTTCGGTGAGAACCAACCTGCACAGCGGCAGCTCACGTTACCGATAGCCCTTGCGTATCTTATCAAAATACTGCTACTTTCGTTTTGACCCTCCACTTACACATGAAGCCCCTTTATATTATCTGTAGATCTAATTCTTATCTGATGCTCTACATCCATATACACGTAGCTACTTCATATACGGGCAAGTAGCATACTGGTATTTGTTGTACCAACAGATACATTATTAAATAAATTAAGATAGAGATCAAAAGGAAGACTTTAAAAGTAACCAGATACGAAAACTAATGGGTTTATTAACTGACTCAAGCACCTCTTATTTATATGAGATCGTTATCGCTGAATCATCAATCAATCTATCTTATTGTTTAAACTGGGTCAATACATCAAGTTCTGTATATCCAATACCGATCATTATGAAGGATTCGATCGCCAGTTCAGCTACGATGATACGATTCACAACCTATTATCATGATAATAAAAAGGGCATTGAGTTTGCCAGCCAGCCACACAAGCTAAAATTAATTCAAACACAGACTCATAGGCTGTTCCAGATTGGACAAATTTTGATGATCTTCGACTCGATTGATCTATCTTAGCAGATTCGACTATATAAAATAGGATGATCATCTTATGTGTCTTTAAGCTTTCTTGGAGTGCTTTTCAAGACGCATCCAATGGTACAAAGTAAGATAGATGTTTTGAATAAACTTATTGTATAACTTACAAAAATATGAAAAGAGGTTTCTGGCCAAAAAGTCGAGATTTTACATATCAAAGTTCCACAAAGATGCTTTTAGGGGCTACATTAGATCGATAGAAACATTTTGATTCAATATATATCATAGTAAAAGTTTTTTTTATCAAGGTGAAAAACGCGATCGTTTGATTTTCGATGAAAACCATGAGGGGTACCTCGTGCTTTTTGGTCGATTTTTGGCCATGTTTTTTTGACCTTCAAAAAGTTGAGCAAAGGTGCCAGGAAGTTACTACTATTCAAGTACAATTGTTTGGCGTTATTCCGGTGGCTCAGAAAGGCTTACATGTCAACCTATGAAGGCTTGAAAACTATCCAGTTTGGTTATGTTTTGTTTTATGGCTTTTATTTACACAGCATGAATCACATCTTTAGTAGCTGAAGTCTTCTGGAAGGGCCGTTGCAGCCTGTGCAACTTCTAATTCGAACCGGAGGCATATTGATTTCGGTAAAGCTGATTCATGCAGATTTTGATGCGATAAGTTACTGGTAAGCTTATTAACAATGGAAATGAAAACCCGAATTTGCTGCTTGAACACTATGGTTTTACACCTTTGCTTCGCTACGGTAAAGCCGTCATTAAAACCAATGCTATCTAGTATTGGATTCAATACCTGATTATCATGGCTTTGCACCTTTGCTTCGATACCGTAAACCCTCTCTGTAAACCAATGCTATCCAGTGTTGAATTAGGTACATTATTATGTTCTTGTAGATAATGAGGTCGCATTCTTCTTAACTCTGAATTCAAAACGGCAGGTGCTCTCGGTGACCTTGGTGTTCTGGGTGGTCTCAATGCAGCTCCTTTTTATTTCTTTTGATTTATTTATCAAATTTCTCTATTTACTCGACATAAATCTCATTTTCGAAAATTGTAATCTTCAGGTAGAGCAACTCTACCATTTACACGGTTTCTAGCTTGAACAGGAGGCATGACAATTCGATTTGATTTTAACAAAAGATATTTCATAAACTGTATGCAAATTGTGATGATTGATGTTCTTGGTGGATGGGCTAAGCCCCTCCCCCAAACACCCCTCCCACTTGTATCTTTGTTCTAAAAAAGATCCATCCAAGGTTTCTGCTTAGATAAATGAAGTAAATACGCTGAGCCTCCTATGAGACCAAAAGTTTCCTTTCGTTTCTTATTCTTACTGGCAAATATGTATCGTTCGATTATTGTATTCAACAAATTAATATAACCCTTTTATTGAGAACTAATGATAATCTGGATGCGCATGATACAAAAGCTATGCCATTTTAGCGAGGTGCATGGGAAATTCTATTCTTGCATAATCATATGTTAATGTCAAGCAAAGATCATTTGAAATATATAATTTGGATATGGTTTAATGGAAAATAGGCTTTGTAGTAATGAAATGCATTTTAATAATGAAGAGCAATTATAAAAAAAAATACAAGATCCTTACAAAGAGCTCAGATTGAATGAATAGGAGAGTTGATTGCCTTGAGCACATCCCGTGGGTCAATTGAAAGGGACATTGTCTTGAGCACTGCTTAGTGCAATTACCAAATATTTATCTCACATACCCCAAAATGTTGCTGTTCGATGAAAAACAAAGGATATAGACACCTTGGCATGCGCTAAACGTCGCCATCTCAAGAGCAAGAGGTATTTGATTAAGCGTTCATATAATGATGTGCCTATGATTTCCTAATGAGCCCATCTTTTCAAGTTGCTCAAAATAGTTGTCAAGCACTGATCTTCATTGGGCATAACTTGGATTTTCCAGATGTTAAATGCGTTTGTGTTTGCTTACATAACGCTAGCACTTTTTGTAGAAAGTGTGAGTGCTGGAGGTCTTTGCTGAAAAGAGGCTGATACTTATATACCACATCACTCACCACTTTCACATATAACTTTTGGTAGCAGCCCTACATTTAAAACCGAACGTTACGAATGCACCCTTCTCATGGCTGCCCCTGACCAACTTGGTTTTTTTTTTTTTTTTTTTTTTTTTACCGATTGAAATGTTGAATATAATACCTTTACTCGGTGAATGGTTTCAGCCTGTTGTATATATACTATATATATATATATGTATGGGAGATTGCCGCATTCGTATGTCACAATGATGGCCAATGCCATGAAAATGGAAAAACTTTAATTTTGACATGTATAGACTGAATTTTGAATTCTGATGAAATTTTGCTTTGTCATGCTATGAATAAACCAAATCGACTCAAAGCTCGACACTAGAATTTTTATTTGGAAGATCACTGATGCTGGGGTCCAGCAAGCCCTTTGCACTTTCATCTATCACAACTAGGTGTATGTACGCGCTCGCGGTACAGGTAGTAAATGCGTTTGAACCCAGGCGAAAAAAGCTATTTATGGAAAATATGACGAGGAAGCGCTAACTTGTAGAATGTTTTTGTGTAGTATGCCAAGTATAAATAGTTGCTCTGCAGTATATATTTTTAGTTTCTTCCCTTCTTCATCTCCTCTCATTCAGAAATGTCCCCCAGATCTTTGTCAACCCCTCCTCCTGAGGACAAATCTTGCAATGCCACCACGATCAAATACACCAAGAGAGCTAGACATGGCCATGGCCAAGACGTAACTGATGCTCACAATATTCGACAGGTTGCCGGATGTCTACCCATTGATCCTACATCCAAGAGATTTCTCTTGATTTCTTCCAGTAAAAATCCTGAGGCATGGGTTATCCCCAAAGGTGGTTGGGAAACTGACGAAACACAAGAGCATGCTGCTCTCAGAGAGACGTGGGAGGAAGCTGGCCTCAAGGGACGTATCACTCATCAATTGGGCGTCTTTGTGGAGCGTGCCAACAAGAAGATTAGAGCCCATCATTGGATTTTTGAAATGGAAATCGACGAAATTGTAAAGAAGTATCCTGAACGCATGAGACGTGATCGTCGTTGGTTTACATTTGAAGAAGCTCTTATTGCAACTACCAACAATCCATACATTCAAGAAGCTATCCGTCTTTCAAGCATTAGTCCCTTGCCCCGCCCAACAACACCTCGCTCATCTTTTGATGGAAAGTTGAATCAGAATGTGCCCAAGCCATTGACACAGCAACAACAACAGGAATCTACACCCATGGATAGCCCACCTTCGTCCGTCCCTTCTACTCCTACTAAATCAACCACAACCATCGAATCGCCATCAGTCCAAGAAAGTAGAAAATCCAACGATGCTTTCCAGGCATTGAGGGAATTGATGGAGCAAGCAGCTGTAACCGTTTAAAGCAACGTATGTTAGATATGTGTACTAGTATTTATAACCTTTTTGTCACTTTTTTTTTTTTTGCCTCATTCTTGGCTACAATTTATACCACTCTTTTTTGTTTTTCTCTTTCTCTTTCGCTATCTCTGTCATTCTATATTTGTGAAATAAACACTGTTTTAAACTGATATTGTATTCGTTGCTTGAATTATCGAAATTGCACTTTGTTTGGTCATTTTTCGCTGTACTAGTAGTTCCTTTAAAAATAGATTTCTCGGGTTATGTGCCTTGTGAGTTTAGTGGCTGCTGTGGCATTGCAACCTATGAGGCAATTGCTGCTTGCTCTACTTGCTTCATAAGTTAATTGCTTTTTATGGAAGGGACAAATAAAGGGTGATTTGAATGGCATGAAAGCATTATACGAATGAGATGGCTTACAAACCCGGTGGACTAGTTGCTAAAAAAAAAAAAAGGCCTGATTGAGAGATTACAAGCGGGTCTTGATAAGGAGGCATCAATTGACAACAACTCAAGCATGCACACATCCCTTACAAGGCAAAAATATGTAGGCAGGGCAATGCTTTGGCGCTTCAACCTTTTTCCTAATATTCGTCAGACTGAAAACAGTACTCTCTTCTGTTACCCGGGTCTTTTTGATACACAAAATAATGTCTGGGGAAGAAGATTTCTTCCCATTTAAACTGGGAGCACATGGACCTATTTTTACTTGTTGACATGTCAAACATTGCGGCTATTTAATGCATGATTAGAGGTGCTGAATCCGAGATGTTTCTATCTAGCACTCTGCGCTGGTCGAACTGAAGAAGCAAGAACAATAACAAACGTATTAATCGAGCAGTGTGTTTATGTTCATAAGACACATCACAAGGAATGCATGGTTTTTGGGTAATTCATGATTCACGATCCAACAAATACTTACATGCATGACATTGCTATATTTGTGCTGACAGAAAAAGATCCATGCGATTAAACCATTTGACACATTGTGTGCCATGGCTTGCATTTTATTTTAGCAGTTAAAATACACGTTATATACAGATTAGCGTCTTTCCTTAACGAGATACTTGAGGAAGAGAAACGAGGTGAATAATGTGGCAAAGACAAATATAATCAGTTTTGATACATCAGACCAGAAGGCTTGCCCATTGAACCCGAATCGAGCAAGAATTATTGGCCCAGGGATTTGAATGTCGGCAATGGACTTGTCACGCAATGTAATGTCCTTAAGCTCATTAACAATCAATGCTTCGTAGCCATAGTTGAAGAAGCTCAAATGCTGGAGCCAACTAAATTAAATGCTAAATTCAGATATTGAATCTCACCAGATACAAATGACTTACCTCAACATGGGTGGTATGTGATCTATAAATGACATTGAATTAGCATTGCTGACCACACAGTCAAGATGTCTGCCTTACCTTTGTTCAACAAAAACCCACCAAACAGCATAGAGAACAATATCACCAAGTTAGCCAGCAAATTGGCAGCAGACAAGTTTTTAAATGCGGTGGCAAAGCAAAGACACAGCCCAGCAGCAGCTAAATTAAACAATACCAAAACTAGCAGAAATTTACCGAAAATAGGTAATGCTGAATTAAGCCCAATCATGTAATAACTGATGGATCCCATTACCAAAGGTGGCAGCACACGCAGAGGCACAATGTCGAACAAGACTTTGGCTACAAAGTATGCGCTAGGACTGTAATAGCCATTCTCCCGTTCGCGCATAAACAAGATTCGTTCTTTGTTAAACATATCCAAAGCACTTGTTGCTGCAAAACCTAATAAAGCACACATAAAGAACAAGACGCCAAGTCGGTTCTGAACACCGGATAAGTCAACATCAACTTGCCAAAACAAGCTACCCAACAAGATGGCCAGAACTATTGAGAATGCAAAATGAGCAAAAAAGAGGAACGGATTTCGATACAGATTGATGAATGTGCGCGATGATAATAGTGTCTAGACAAGCACGTAACGTTAGCTCGAGCATGAGCTTCTACAGCAAAGATCAACAATTACCAGCTCATGATAAAATTGATAGATTGAGAATGCAGATTCCTTTTGACCAGGCGTATCCACCCACACCGAATAGTCGCTTGCATTAGCCGTTGCTCTGCATATGCGATTCTCAATTACTTGATACAAATCAGAAGAATAGAAAGAGTCGAGTAAAAAGTGCGCATGGTTTGAGTCTCCCAGTAGATTCACTTCGCCAGCTTCATCTTGTGATTGCTGGCTGTTGCCAAGGGCGTATGGTGCGTGTATTTCTTCTAAAGGTTCGGTCTCTACATCGATCTGACTACGACTGGAAGGCATGGGCGTGGTTGGTCTAGTAACAGCATCATCCGGTCTCTTCATCGTAAGATCAACTATTCAAGCCATTAGTCTGTGCACGCACTTTAGCATCTTAGATGCTACATACTCAAATAGTCAGCAACATTGTAGTCTGCAGGAATTTTAAAGCCAAGGTTTTTAAAGTAATTGGAGCACGTCCTTGCTGGTCCAAAGTAAACTAAGCGTCCACTAGCAAGGAGCATGAGGGAATCAAACATTTTGAATATATCTGATCTTGGCTACTGACATTGTAAGTATCCATGAATGAGCATGTTTCATGCATTTCTTACCTGATGAATAGTAACAATGATGGTTCTCTTGCCTTTATGGGCCAATCGTTGTAGACACTCCATAACAACACCCGCATTATAAGCGTCCAAGCCGCTTGTTGGTTCATCCAGGAACAATAAGCTGGGGCTTGTTACCAACTCTTTACCGATACTCACTCTTCTTTTCTCGCCTCCACTGATACCTCGTTGTCCAGGCATTCCAATTTTACTGTCTGCAATTTTGGAGATACCCAGCTCCTGAATGACATCCTCCACTCGCTTCTGTTTGACCTTGAGCGGGATCTTGCGGGGTAGACGCATCAATGCAGCATATGTTAGTGTTTCTCTCACGGTGAGCGTTCCCATCAGACTGTCGTCTTGATCCACAAATCCAGTCATGCGCTTGAATTGTCTTCGTGTGGGCGAGACGCCATTGATCAAGATCTTTCCACTGATAACACCTCGCTTGTGCTTCCTTGATAGGATATCTAGCAGGCTAGACTTGCCAGCACCAGAGGGTCCCATCACTGCTGCTAACTGGCCAGGTTCCATGTAGCCATTGATATCTGATAAAATGGGTTTTCCGGCGACGGTATAACTGATATCTGCAAATGTCAAAGCGACTTCAGTTGATGTGAAATGGTTGAACATGCTTTCATCATCGTCGTCATCTTCAAGCTCAATCCGTGTACCAAACATCTTCTTTTGGCGAGACGCAGTGAATTTGGTGATGGCAAACAACAAGACGCAGGCAACGAAAATCGCTCCAATAATCATCATTTCTGTGTAACTGGAAAACTCTTGATCCTGCACGCAATACAACAGTTAGCAAGACAGCCCTTGCATGATCACATCTGTGGAGACTCTTACAATAGGAACTGCATCCAGGAAATCTTGTTCATTCGCGCATTCACCAGCATCGCAGGCCAGTTGAATATTGTCTGGAAATACACTGACTAAAGTGGAATACTCTTGTGTAATTTTGTACATTAGATCATGTACGACCCCAATATCACACCATATACAATTGCTTACCGTTGTACCAACAATCTTTCCCGTTTTTGCAGAACCATTCGGAAGGCCCTTTTACATTCTTGACCAACTCTGACATGTCTAACACAGCCCAAAGACATAATTAACACTGTCACCCATGACTCCACATACGCCCAAGCCAACTCACCCACTTCTTTGCCGCACATAAAGGCATCCTTCATGCAACCACAATTTGCTTTCGCACAATGGCCTTGAACATCATTTTCTCCAGAAGCTGAATGGAATTGATATTTTAGATGCACTGCAACACTAACCTCTTAGCGCATGATATACTTACTGGCTTGAGCGCACTCGCTTAATTCACAATAAAACTGTTCCTCACTATCCTTCCAAAACTGAAATACACACTCGCTTTTTTCCCACTCACATGATAGCGACACATGTGTGTTATCAATCCAGGGTATATCTAATATACATTCACGTCAATTTACCATGCTCCTTTGCCTGCTTGCTCTTCGTCTTACTAGTGGTAGCACACCAAGCATGCAGTGATTTTAGTCCAATAGCTGATTTGATGCAAGTTGCGTTTGTTCCTTTAAACGGCTGACATGATTTGTCTTCTTGGCACACGTTGCAATTGATGCCTCCCCATCTACATACTTGATTAGCGCTGTTGATTACTGGCATGTTGGCAATATATCTACCCAGGATCACAGGCACAATCCTCGCCTTGCTTTCGCTGTGGCCTATCTGTGTCGTAGAGTGATCCACAGAGTGGCTGTGTACAGTCCAAATCCCCTAATAACTCTACATAAGCACCTGTATCTTCGATCATGCTTTGGCTAAATATTACCCCATCCTGCTGGACACACACAGGCTCCACTTGGGTCGCAAACGCCTCCATTAGCACAATTGTTGGTAGCTAGTTGACAGTTGAAGCACACAGGACATTCAGGACATTCTTGGCGTCTGCTCAAATGCGGGAAAAAACTGTTTGGATAGCTTTTCATAACTAGAATCCAGAGAGAAAATAAGAGAGAGAAAAAGAGAAAAAACAGGAAAAAGGCTAGAAAGTCGCTTTAAATCCATCTAATGTGCATTTAAACTCAACGTGGATCTTTTCTATGTAAACAACAAGCACAGCAATTAATTCATGCAACTGATGACAGTAAGAGAAACAGGATGCAATTTTCCAGTGCAACTACTACTTTACTTGATTTTAAAAAATCAACGATATAGCCAGAGATGCTTCTTGCAATACATAACTGTGATCAACGAGGGTGACAGTGCTTCCCAAGTTCCGGATATTTTTCCAACCTCACCTAATGTGCCTACTGTACTTTGCAAAAAAAAAAAGAATAGCTGAAGAAAAAACACAGCATTGTGCACTTAGAACTTGGTTTTCTTATAAGCAACGACACAATAACTGAGGTCTCTAGAGGACCCTAACTAAAACCGTTTTTCTTGAGTCAACCAGCTTAACTTTTCCAGACACTACTCTCTGAAATAGTCTTGGCAGACGTAGCGACTTTCGCCAATGATTCGTGCCTACCAGAGCCGACTAAGCAATATCCGTATCTTAAAGATCAGCGTTCTTAGTAATAATGCACAGCACGAAATTGTTGAAGCGCATTGTGTTCAAAATATCACCTTACAATTTGAGGTTCTGCCTTTCTTACTTCTTGAGCTAATTTATTTTCTAGCTTAAAGATTTGTTTGATTTTATGTTCTACCATTTTGAATGGAAAGGCAAGTTGACATCTTATCTGTTTTCTGTCTCAAAGTAGGTATTCTTAATAGGATACCATTATATCACCGAATGTAAATGCTGTATATTTCATTTCAGGACCACTGTATGCCCACTTTGAGGGATGGTTGCTAAACATATGAACGCGTTTTCAATCGCTAAATTGGCTACTGAATATTTAAGTGAGTGAAGTGTTACAAAACCAATTTAAAAGAGTAGTATTTGGGTGCTTTCCTTGTTGTTCAACTGTTAACTCAGCCCGCTTTCTCCATTAACTGAATTCTGCTCCCCTGTGTTTGCTTTACGATATGAGATCTCGTTTGAGTATCTGCGATGTTTCCTCGCAAAAATCGAGTCGTCAACCTCCAAATTTGAGTTTACAGCAGTGATGCATGTAATGAAATAACGACTCAAACGCTGCTTGACAGAAAGCCGAAATTCATCGAATATCACATTCAAATCCATGCTATTTGAATTTATTAATAAAGTGCTCAATATACTTCAACAATCACTCAAACACACTAAAGTAAAGATACACCCTTGTCTCACACATTGTGTGAATGAACCACTCTTAACTACAGTGTATTCGATCACACGCATGATGGCCGTCATAAGTAGTGATATTATCTTTATCCAAATAAAATTGAATCAATAACAAACAGATTTACATATGACAGCTATGCCCTGATGCCATAGTTGCACAGTACTCCAGATAGAGAAGGGTTCTACATCTTAATAACAAACATCACGCGTTAAACTGTCAAAGTCACTGCATTGAATCATGCTATGACGGTAGCTCATTCAAACCCATCAAGATTACTCAAATCGATCCTTATGGCCTGTGCTCTTGCATCGATTACTTCTTTAAATCAAACATCAACAGCATTTTCCAGATATCGCAACAATAGGTGCTGTTATTGCTCTTTATCATCACTAACCCTACAAGCTACTAGTTACAAATGTATATAAATACCTTTTTTTTTTACTCAATTCCAGGATCTTCAGTTCATTTTATACACAAATAAAATACAATGGATTTCTATTGTATTATTGCTTTTTTTTTGTGAAATTTATTAAACCCAATTTCACTGTACAAACTTAGCCATTTTGAAACAGGAATAACTCATGCTACAAAGCGTCTACAACGCTTGGAATAGGACCAAATGGCTCTTCTTCAATATGCTTTACTTACTGATGCTTTATCTCAAAATTTTTTAGGTCATTGCAAATCCACGAAAATCCTCATTTTTTTATGTGTATTAGTAAGGGAAAAATTCTTGAAAATCAAACGACCGCGGTTTTCGCCCCAAAATGAAGACTTTTCCTATGATACATATCAAATCAAATTGATTGCAAAGATGCAATGCATCACTGGAAACTGTTTCTACGAGAATTTATATGCTAGATTTTGACATATTCACAGAAAACCTGTTTTCATATTTTTGCAAAGTGCTCATTATTTTCGGTCACAAATCTGAATGCAATTAGCACCATTTGATGCAGCTTCTTTAGCCCTCTAAAGATGTATTAGAAAGCTGGGTGTGACAACGACAATTTTCATAATCAAATTTAGCAAAAACGTTCAAAAGATGTGAGATCAAGTCAAATTTGAACACGAAAATACCCACTGCACAATTTCAAATTAAAGCGCAGCAGTTACGACTGCCACGGGAGAAGACTCAGACTAATTCTACTGGCCGTGACGTCGTGTAGAGCGCTCTCTCATTCTTCATACCACCGTTTTTTCCCCTTTTTGCAAAACGCGTTTAGTAGCAAATCATGGTGGTTTTGTAAACCGTTTATTGATAATAACACCCTACTAGCCTCTGATAACATTGTCTCGCATTGTTAAAAAGACTTGATACTGCTTCTTTCAAGTGGAATTTAGCAGGTATGGTTTAATAATGAGCACAGGAAGGCGTGAAATTAACACTAAAAGTATTTATTTGTTAGGATTTGATAATTCTTTTGCCTGTTTGACGTGGATCCTACTGCCTTTACTTTTATGTTATCTCTGGTATCTCTTTTAGTCTACCATCTTTGGTATCTGCTTATTTGGTATGCGTCGGGTAAGTATCTGGTCTCTGCACGGTCACTGTATGGTCTTCTCTAATGTTGTTTGTTCTCTCGTTTATTATAATAATGCTGTTGTGGCTGATTATTCGGTCTGTGTATGGCCTTCGCTGGCGCTGTTTATTCTCTCATTTCTTTATCCTGGTGCTGTTATTGCGGCTGCTTATTTGGACTGTATCTTGTCTCTGTTTGGTCTCTATCTGGTCTTTATCTGGTCTGTGTTTGGTCTGTAACTGGTATGTGTCTGGTCTGTGTACGTTCTGTGTATGGCTTTCTCTAATATTGTTTGTTCTTTCGTTCCTCTATTGTAGTGGCGCTGTTGCGGCTACTTGTTTGGTCTGTGTCTGGTCTGCGTATGGTCTGTGTACGTTCTGTGTATAGCTTTCTCTAATGTTGTCTTGTCGTTTCTCTATTATAGTGGTGCTGCTGGTAATCTGCTGGTCCTTCATGGTCTACTGTTTTTTATGTATGCTTGTTCTCTGGTCTGTCTCTGGTGATTGCGCATTCTCTGCTGGAGGTCTATTGGTGGTTGTGGTAAGTGGTAAGTAACTTTTTTTCTTCTGGTCTCAATAATATAAAACTTCTCTGGACGTTTTTGTTATTATTGCTTCCTTTTTCGTAATAATAATGCACTCTTGACGTGTATTTTGTTGCGTTTTTTGTTTCTTTCGTTGACTGTGATATGTTCAGCTCAACAAATGCGTGCAATGTCGTTGTTTCGTATGTACGAACAACAACAAGCATGACTCACTGCTACTACATACTTGTATTGCGGTTGTAATACTTTGTTATATTGCCGTGGGTTGTTGTCTGTGTTGCCTCTGTGGCTTCACATGAGACAACATTAGTCATCATGTTGTATTATATTGCACACTCATATATACCACTGTTGCTCCTGCTATTGTGCGTACTTGTGTTGCTTTACATCAGACTTTTATCATGCACGTTATTTATGTATATATTCTTGTTGTTGCAACCAGAATATAATATGAACATCTTTGCAATGCATTCAGTATAATATCTTAGATGTTATATTCATGATATGCTTTTTTTTTAAACCACTTTGTGTGAGTATTTCTTTTTTGCTTACTATACTCGTATAGTATTATATTCTTTTCTTCTTTTTCTTTCTTTCTCTTATTATATGTTTCTTTTGAAGCATACCTTTTTATGTTGTGTGGATGTGCCTATCCCTGAAGCTCAACAAGACTTTATCCGAGGCTAGGAGGTAGATAGGCCGCCTCCACTTGGTTATCGCTACTTACTTTAGTGATGATTGAGGGTCTCAATGCCAGAATTTAAAAGCTAGGTGGTGTAAGTAAGGCATGCTCTAGCACCTGGGGGAAATTTGATGATAGCATCTGCTATATTATTGCTGTATAGCGGAGCTTAAAATTTTGCCTCACATCAAAACAGGGGGAAACCCTCGCAAATTTTTTTTAGGTCAGCGGAGTTTTCAAGCAATCTGATTGGCTCGGAGGTTGAAGTAACAAAGGTCTACAACTAATTGATTTCCGCTTGATGTCTTGTATTATAATTTTGTGTTTGTAATAAAAATATATTCAAATATTGATAATAAAATTTAAATCCCTCTTTATCCAAAAGTAAGATAAGGTGCAATTACTGGATCTGGCATCTATCACACGGTTTTATGCGAGGGATATTCTTTAAATAAGTTCACTGCAGTATGTGAGGAAAGTTATATAGCTGCTGCAGTATACTAGGTACCAAGTATAATCCCAATGCCGTATGCCTTGCCAAACATACATCGTTTAAGATTGACTCCCAACATTCAATTTCATGAGCTGCTGTTGTGCTGGAAAGGTTACAAGTGTCTATAAGGTTTACGTTATTCTTGATGGGTATGTGTAATACATCCACTATGATCTGCATTCCGACAGTTCATCCAGTTACCAAATTTAGATATAAACTGTATGTACAATGGATTAGATGTACGATATCGATTTATGCTATAAGAAGATATGGACTTCAGATACGCTAGTATTATAAGATTCATATTATATAAGATATAGGCTATAGATGGCACCACGGACATGGATGGCGCTGTAGGCTTATACTTGTATTCCGACATTGACTACGGATGTTTACCATATCTGGATAGGCACCAAGATTAATGCAATATGAGCTTGTTGCTTCAGATGTGCACTTTATGATCCACGCTATAAGACACATGCTTATATCTGTGATACTAGCTACAGATACTTTATGTACTACAGACTTGTACTATATATGAGACATGCTATAGACATGCATACGATATGCTATAGACATGCCATATATTCAGGTACATGCTAAAGAGATGTATGCTCAGCGATATACACTTAGATATGTACTATTGATATAGATTAAGGAGACTGTACCTATCGGATACATGCTACTAGATCGATATTAATTATCCTTATAGAAAGAATAGATCAGGGTACTTCGGATGAGAGTCTAGTTATTCACCCAGGCAAAGCTAAATCATGATTAGCTTGCTGGAGTTGTCTTTTAGCATAATCCGACATTAGTTGATCTGAGTTGATTTATTTGTCAATCGAGTTAATAGAACTTTTATCCATTGTTATAATATATAAGAAGGGTCATCTACCTGGCCAGTAGAGATACTTCAGTTTTACTTTACACCTGTCAGTTTGATAATAAAATAGACCTTTATCAAGTTAACTTTACTGTTTTTATTCTTTTTTTTCCGTGAATTTTAGTCTATAAATCCTCAAATTTCACACTGAGTTTGTGCGCTGGATTGAATGTAAAATACGAGTTTATATTATAAGGACGACATGAGAGTCAAATACCGTAGTACTCTAGTAGGATTCATACGACGTATGTAAGATATGGGCTGTGGTGTAATGATCCGCATTACATATTATGTTTCAATCCGCCGCATGATTGAAACATTAGTAGCATAGTATATAAATAGCCTTCCTTTTGACATGTATTAAAGTCAGTAAAAATATCTGTCATTACTTCTTCCTATACTTTTATTACAATAGACCCACCACTAAATCCTACTTTTCTAATAATATTTACATATCATATTATAATAAATGTTCAGTCCCTAGACACTTTTACAACCCTAATATAGAAACTGAGTTTCCAGGCTTCTGTGAGGCCTGACTCATATGTGGTTAATGATTTTACAATCAATCAACAAAAACCACTGTTATTTCTAACCTCTTTCCTCTGCTCAATGCTGTCAACGTTCTCTTTGAACGACGACCTAAAGCCTCAGAAATTTCACTATTTACTGCAAACATGTTATGCAGCCCATGAATCGTCAATGCCAGACTGACTTTATTAAATATAGAATGCAAGAAAATAGCATAATTAACGATAGTGATATGACTTGCTACCTACTTTCCATACGCTTCAAAAGTGCCTATTACTGTATTGCCTTCATAATTAGAAGGGCATTGGGTTTGCCAGCCGGTCCCACCAGCCAAAATTAATTCAAGCCCAGACTCATAGTCTGTTTTAGATTGGACAAATTTTGATGATTCTGGACTCGATCGAGCTATTTTTGCAGATTCGACTAAGTGAAGTATGACAATCACCACATGCTTCCTTAAGCTCGGTTGCCACTCAACAGCATCCGCTTTTTTAAAAAACTACGCAAAAACCTACCCTCTTCCTCCTCCTCTCTTTCTCCTCTCCAACCTCCTCAATGGCGCTCATTCTGGACACTCGCAATTCCCCTTGCTGCTCGCACGGTCTGGTATCGGGCTATATATGAAAAAATCCCCACCAGAGCCCTCCTACATCTACGCATTCCTGACAATCACCCTTCTCACCGCTGTACAATCTGCCCTGCCTCTCCCACGGAGGATATCACACATGCTCTGTTCTCCTGTCCTCCCAAGTTGCTGGTCTGGCGATACATGTATCACACCTATCTTTCTGCTTCTCCATCAATCTCTGATGTTGATCTGATTCATTTCTTACAACAAACTTTACTCTGTTCTTCCCCTTTTCTTGATCGTGATCCCTCTCTCTCGTTCAATGAACTCTCTATTCCTCAACTATTCGCAACTACTCTTTTGACAATTTGGCAAGCGCATTGGCGCTGGATCTTCGACCGAACCCCGTTCATCGCTGACACCGTTCAACTTCGCCTTGCTCGCTCTCTTGCTCGTTTGGATGCCGAGTTAAATCTTGATTCGTAAGTATTCAGTTTTATCTTTTCGTTCATTCTTCTGTCACCTTTTTTTTTCCAACCCATTTTCCATCCGATCCTTTGTCTCTATATCCAGTCTTTTCTATCCCTCAGCACGACATTTAAAGGACTTTAAATAAAAACTGGAGCTCGTCTCCCCTACAAAAAAAAAAAATGCTTCCTTAAGCTGCCCCTGGTGGTAGGGCGAAGTGGTAAAAACTCCCGTATGCCAACGGGAGGATCCCGGTTCAAATCCTGGTGAACGCAAGTTGTTTGATTTTTTGAAGTAGTACTGATGTCCTCGTTTGGTGTTTTGTACTCTATCCATTATCTATATTTTGACGATTTCCGCAAGACTGTTTTGGCTCTAGGTGTCGCACCTTATTAGCAGTAGATTTCTTTCCCAACTTAATTCAAAAATATCTTATTCCCCTTCTTTGCAGACATTGGGTCCACCAACAGTCTTTTCTATCCCTCAGCATGACATTTTAAGGACTTTAAATAAAACCTGGAGCTCGACTCCCCTACAAAAAAAAAAAAAAAAAAAAAATGCTTCCTTAAGCTTTCCTGGAGTACTTTTCAAGGCGCTTCCAATGGTACCAAGTTATATAGATGTTTTGAGTACACTTATTGAATGATTTGTAAAAATATGAAAAGAGGTTTCTGGCCAAAACGTCGAAATTTTACATATCAAAGTCCCACAAAGATGATTTCAGAGGTTGCTTTGGATCGATAGAAACATTTTGATTCAAGATATACCATAGCAAAAGTCTCCATTTTTAAGGTGAAAAACGCGATCGTTTGATTTTCGATGAAAACCATGAGGGGTACCTCATGCTTTTTGGTCGATTTTTGACCATGTTTTTTTTTGGTCCCCAAAAAGTCGAGCAAAAGTGTCAGAAAGTAACTGCCAGATGAGAGCAACCATTTGGGGCTATTCTGACGATCTAAAACGGCCTTGAACGCAAGAAAATGCAGCTCAAATGCACTCATATTTTGCTGTATTAGGGACACTAAGGACTAAAAGTGGGAATACCAGTATGCTGCTTGCCCGTATATGAAGTAACTACGTGTATATGGATGTAGAACATCACATAAGAATCAGATCCACAGATAATATGAAGGGTTACTATGTGTAAGTGGAGGGTCAAAATGAAAGTAGCAGTATTTTGATAAAATACGCAAGAGCAATCAGTAACACGAGCTGCCGCTGCGTAGGTTGGTTCTCACCGAAGCGAAGAGAAGGTAAAGAACCATCCGAAGCATAAACTTTCATATGATTAGTGGTTTTATATCAATCGACAATCAGGGTTCTTCTAGCACTTTAACTATATCAGTTTTGCGATATTAGCCAAAGGCTCGTATTTAGATAAAGATAGCATCACTACTTATGACGGCCATCATGCGTGTGATCGAATACACTGTAGTTAAGAGCGATTCATTCACACAATGTGCGAGACAAGAGTGTATCTTTACTTTAGTATGTTTGAGTGATTGCTGAAGTACATTGAGCATTTTACTAATAGTTTCAAACAGCATGGATTTGACTGAGTGATATTCAATGAATTCCGGTTTTCCGTTAAGCTGCGTTTGGGTTGCTATTTCATTACAGTAGATTTGACGGAAACGCGCTTTCAGGGACAAAATGTCATAGGCTACGACACATCAGGAACCAGAATATACATTAATCGTCTGATAGCACCACTGATATTCCTTTGCATTGTGCGAATAAAGAGACCTCAATACACCACGTATCGCTACTCCTGCTCAATCCTTCTCATGTACTATACGTTGTATATAATACATACGCCTCTCAGATATGATCTGTATTCTAAACAGATTGATGGACTAGGTGTTAGAAAACGTTATAGTGAAAACTTCTTGTTGGTTGAATCTTCCTTCGTTGGGGTGTGACAAAGGCTTAAGCTGTACTGCGCATTTTAGCCAATTTTGAGTAATGAGCTTCATGTAAGAACTTTTAATTACGAGTAACTACGCGTAGTAGATTAATAGATCAGATGTTGAAAAGGTTATTCAAACCCGCTTTATCATCAGATGCTTGGTTGTCGTTTGGCGAAGGGTCAAAGGTTTGCTACGCATTTAGGAAAAAGGGAGAACGGCTGATTCAAACCCTATCTTAATGCTGGAGCCTTCAGATTAGAATCGTTATATGTGTACTTTGAGGAGTTGCCAAACATATAAACAGATTTTCAGTCGCTACGTTAGCTGTCAAGTAATTACGCGAGAAGAGTATAAAGTAATCAATATATAAAACCAGTGTTTGGACGCTATTATTTGGTAAAACTGTTTACTCAATTCGACTTGTCTATTAATTGAATTTTGTTCTCTTTGATTTGCTTTACTAAATGAGACCTTGTTTGTTCATCTACGGTGCTTCGTTTCAAAAATCGATTTATTGGTACCCAAATTGGAGTTTATACTTGCAAAAACACGTTTTCTTTAAAATAATGGCATTTTCGGCAATATTTCATTGCTCTATGGCGTGTTTCAGTTTATTGGAATATTGCATCCCACCTGATATCAATTTCTGGATGCAATTGCAGATGCAATTTTTAGGCATGAGGCTGTTGTTACAAACTGTTGTGTATACAAACTTACGGCATTTTAAGTTAGAAAACTTAAGATGCTGTTTGTTAGATTAAGTTTTATTACATTAAATGCGCATTAGCTATACAGTTTTTTTAAGCCGTGCCAGACAGTAAATTTTGAGCTTTTGACACGACAGCCTCAATTTGGCTAGCCAAGTGATCTTGATTTGCCAAGTAAGTTTGAAGTCTTTCTAATAGTTCAACTTGTTCCTTTGATGACAGATTATTGACGACCAGAGCCAAGATGGTTCCCACAGAAACATTATACATCTAATAAATATTGTCAATTTCCGTATCATGGCATTTTACAGTTGCAATCTACCTTGATAAAGCTTTGATAATACATGTATGCAAACAAGCCCATCAAAAACTGACAATCACATCTGTCAGTTAATCCGCCATGTCCAGGAATACTGTGTCCAAAATCCTTAATCTTGAAAGCTCTCTTTACTGCACTGGCAAAGAATCCACCGAAAGGAGCAATCAATGAAGCAAAACATGCCATGACGATGGCATGTAATTGAACAGGAGCAATCCATACTTCTGTAACATCCACAGTGGTCTATGTGGTTTGTTAGTTTAGTTTCATCTCAGTAACCACACTTAATTCGCGGCTTACAGTGTATTTGATCAGATAACGGAACAACGAGGGCATTTCCCAAGGTGCAGCAGTGAATACGGGATTTTTGGGTTCACAAGAGACATTAGACCATGCAGATGCACCGAGATCTTGAACAGGACATGTCATATAATCAAATCTCATTAAAAGAGTTGTAGCAAGGAAACCAAAGATGAGTGTAAAGAACATGCCGCCAACAAATCCTTCAACAGTCTTTTTGGGACTAAGTTGAATAAGAGGGGTTTTGCCCCAAAAGAACCCACAAACGTATGCAAAGATGTCATTGCAGACAACTAGTGCAGCAGGCAATACAAACCAGATCAAACCCTCCAAGATATTATCCACAATGAAGTGAGCTTGGAAGACAATGAGAAAGATGGCCATATGAGTCCAGCCAAATTGAGACATTTGAGATCTGTATTGTCCCTTCTTCAAGTTCATGACAAAGAATACAAACCCTGGTTTTTCGTGAAACGTTAATGCTTAGTGCAATTATACAATGATGGTCTATCACAGCGATTGTACTTACCAATGACGTAGAGAATGAAACTGATGAATCGATGATGGGTAGCAAATGGAAGGAGAAACGCGTCCACCATAACAATCTCTTTAAAGTAGTAAATGATGGATTCGCCGTACAAGAAGTACTCGGTTGTGATCAAATAGTACCTGTGTCAAAGTGGTCTCTGTCAGTCTAAAGTACACAAACAATGATCCACACACACACACACACGTTCTCTCTCTTGTCCTCAGATCCCACTTACCAGCTCATTGTCTTGAACCATCGCAGATTACCTTTCGCTGAGTGGTATGCAATCGATATAACCTCTCTGTAAACCAGTACGGTGATGATCATCACCATAACAATGGACCAAATATAACCAGATGCGAGAACAACGAAGAATGCTGCAATCATGATTAATGTAGTAATCGTACGGATCCACCAATTTTGCCATTTTTTGCTTGGTATTTCTGCTGCCAAGAGAATTGGAGGTGCTTCTTCGGTTGTGGTAGGCATATCAACATCTACTTTCTCTGTGGTAGGCGAGTTTGAAGAGTTTGGTTTCTTTTGCTCCTTTGCAGACGCTGATCTACGTTTGGGTGCCATAATATACGGTTATTTATGCGTCTTTTGCTGTTGTGATATAAAAAAAAAGCGAAAAGGTATAACGACAAAGTTATTTGCCCGGGTTTAGATTGGATTGCTTTTTTTTTGCCTATTCTTTAAGTGTATGTTGCAAATGATGCCGATGAAGTCACATCATTGTTGATCAGGCATGTAAGTATGATGACATTGATTTGTCTTGTAAAGGGATCTTCATTTCAGTAACATGATGTAGCAGACAACAGGCCCTTTGAAAAGTATTTCTTCACTAATCTACGTTTATAGTCTTTTGCTGCTGATTTTACATGTCTTGTTATTTGTCGTAGATCACATCTCAGCAAAATTCAACCATTTGTCACATTCTGACAATTGAACGTCATAATGTGCAAAACCAAAGCTTAATTGTTACAAGAAACTTCTAAATTTGCGTCTTGCATTACCAATATCCACACGGCAAAATCAATGTCTAGCAGCTGCTTTGAGTCACATTCAGAATAATCTTTATCATTAGGCCCTTGATCAATTTAGTGTAGACATTTCTCGTTGCGCTTACAATCTATTACAGTCACCGCTTACGTTTACGTTTGACAGGCACTGTTCAGGATCGCTTCTAGCCTTCAGATTTGATATGTACTCTGATATCGTGTATTGCGATCGATTATTTGGCAAGATCATTTCGATCAGGCTATTCTTTGAAAAACACTACGAACATGTGTTTATGTTGAAATACAAGCACATTAGTCTACCTTCAATGTCTGTAAATTTTAGAATTTTACATGATCAACGCAATCATCGGCACTTCAAGTTACCATGCTGTACTCTTCATTTCGTCCATCCTCCATTGCAGGTTTACTGAAATTACATTCTGCCCTTGCCGACTATACTCTGTATCTCTTCAATCAATTTAGTGTGGGTCTGTATCAGGATCTGTAAGTGTCTAAATTTAAACATGTTTAGTCAATTTGCGATGTCATTCGGAATACGCAGCCTCATCATACAAATGTTGCAGTCCAAGGTGTCTAGACAAAACTCGAGTTAGACCGCTATATGTTAAAATAAAACCAAACCCTGCATATCTAATTAAATATTATCAGATTGTAACACTTTTAAAGGCTGAAGACGTAAAGCATACATGTAAATGACACCAAGCACAATATGACAGAGGTTTTAAAAATAGCTCCAAGGTTGAGTTTGTTTCTAAATATAACGGCAGTCTGTGCACTGACACATTATTTTTAGATTTCTTTCAAGTGAAGTGCAAAATATAGTACTTGAGTGAACTTCTACTGTACGACATTAAACTAAAAGCTTGAAATTACAATTATTATTGAAATAAATTTGCAATTAAGGTTCGTGTCCAGTAGTTTGAAGAACTGTAAGCTATCGAGCTCTCAAATACACCAATATAATATATCTTCGCTCAGCTTCATCAAGCTGGGCGAAGACATCAACAATCATTACACATCAAGCATAGTCGGCTATCAGATGACCCTCATTTAGTTGCCGCTCAATACAGTCAATGCAAAAATAATGGCAGATCAAACATGTACCTGAATTAATCTATTGTGTTGCACTCAACTTCTAAACTTGTGAGACCATGGTATTGAATATGATATCATCATATGTCGGTAATTAGGCAGAGATCAATACTCCAAGTGTATGTCTATTTTTAAGTCTGATCCCAAAGAGTCTTAGAATTTGACAGTTAGTACACAAAATAAAATCTCAAAGATGTAGCAACAGCTATTGTAGTTTGAAATAATTTCTTTATTGATTAGACTAGGGAGTAATATAGATATAGAATTGCATACTTGAAGGGATAAGATATAAAGTATACGATTACTTAGAAGGAGTAAAAACAATGGTAATAATAAATAGAAGAAAAATATAAAAAGTTGATAAATGTAGATCAGACCATGCACAGCAATAGGCTCAAAGAGAAAGGCGTTGTTGTTTAAGTTCTACGGCGGGCAATGCTGTAAGCAGTTCCATTACATAATAAGAGCATTTGGTCAATATCAATATAGACTGGACCTTTGAATGATTGACTTTGGATCCAACTAGAAGAATTGAGCGACCACAGATTTTCAATGTGTTGTTGAGCGACAGCATCTAAAGTGACCCAATTGCAACCATTAGCGTAAACCCATTGAACTGAAGGCATTTGAATATTAAAGCGTCTAATTGTTTTGTTGATGTGGATGGAGAAAAGTAGAAATGGCGATCTCCCATGCCGATGTATTTATATGATTTTCAAAGTAAAAATGTGGAGATCTATTTTTACAAAAATGCGCTTTAAAGAGGAATACAAATGTCAAACATATCGTCCATCGGCCCCGCCACATACAGATAATTGCAAAGAGTCTATACACAAAGCACATAAAGTTTAAAAAGGAGGCTTTTGCTTAATATCTCCATGAGCCTTCCTTGTGTATCATCAACCTTACTGCCTGGAAGCTTAATTCTGGATGCAGTGAGATTTTAAGTCAGCTGAATCATGAGCTAATGGACGCCTCACATTTGTGAATTTTGAATATCATTTCAAAGATGAACAACCATACATGTACTTTAAAATACATATCACATAGAGCAATACAGCCACAAATTGCAATTGTATGCTCTGTAGACATTCAATAGACTGCGACAGAGACATAATTTGGCTCGCACAAGCATTGCTACGATATTGATTGTACCTTGAGCTATGATACAAATTTATTTTTAGATAGATGTTGAGGTAGCACATACAACGATATTCTCAACATTAATTCGAATTTAGCAGACTATTTTACATGAACTGCTGAAATCTGATCAAGGGTTCTATCAGTGGGAGTTTGGTTGGTCATGTAAATCAACGGCTCAATAGTTCAGAAATTAAGGGCAATTCAATTAATCGAACCATTCTTCGAGTTTGTTACACACAAAGTTATAATTATACGCGTCAAAGTTCAATACACACAGATGTATGTAACATACACCCATTTAATATGAGCAGTACGTTGCGAAATCAGGATGATTAAACAGCTCTCTAGCTGCAGGTATTCAATGACAGCAACGTCAATTGAATGTAATTTAAGACCTATACATATATGTATGGCCGAAAATATCAATTTCAAAATGTCCAAGATGCAGTTTTAATCTCATCAGCCTCATCACATCACTATTACAGCTTTACGTTCAACATTGGGACATCCTTTTAAGAAGTAAAACGCCTCCAAAGAGAAGAAAACCTGGCGACGAAATGTCGAATTAAGTAATTGATATATGTGTACTCATAAAATCCAACGTTGGAGATCAATGGACTTGTTGTACTATCGGCGATCAGCTGCATGCAAATAAGTCTATCATCGCCGGATACCATAATGTATTCCAATGCCATTGAATAATTTGTATTCGCGAATGCCCATGACTAAACTATGACTGTATGTATACATATAACACCACCCACGCTGTGATACGTTATCACTACAATTTGTGATACAAATCCTGGCTCGATCTTTGTACCTGCAACATGTAAACACGGAGAATGGATTCTCCTTATTGCAATATCACACTTCAACCCTGACAGCATTACACAATCTTTAACATTTATCAAAAATGTCTATTAATAAATCTTTCAAATTAAATGCAACAATCCGATCTGTCGGTTTTTGGAGGATGTAGCTTTCCGAGATTTTTATTTTAGGCCATCAGATATAAATCTCGTCATATGGGCTCAGCGATAAATTACTGTTATTTCCAGGAGCTTGCGGTATGTAAGAATTGGCCTCTCCGAATTGCAGTTTTTGCAACATACACAGATTCGCATCAGTCGCATTGATTCGAGCATTGACCACTGCTCAGATAACTCACTGCATTTCATTGCTAGTGTCTGATTGTATGATTACTACTTATCCATACACATTTGCTTTGTATGGTGGTGGTAAACAAGCAATTGAAATTCTGCGCAATTCGCTCATGCTGTACAAATTGTTGATAGAATCTATGATTTGCTACATGTTAGTAATCTTGGTACTATTAATGAAAAATGGTACATATATGGGCATTTGGTCGTTGATGTATTAAAAATAAAATCAGCTAGCACGACAAGAGCGCCACAATTGCTGAAGGCTATGTCTCACTGCAATAATTGTTGTGAATGATGTAAATCAAGAGATGGCCTTTTGGCTGGAATCATGTCTCATGACCTCTATTATTGTGCTCCTTCAATCAGGTCATTACTGTATTGTACCACAAATATCATCATAACATTTTGGTAGACTGGCGCTATTAAAATAGAATACAAGAAGAATAACATGACTAACGATATCGTTATGTAATTTGCCACCTACTTTTCATACGCTTCAAAAGTACCTATCACTGTATTGCCTTCATGATTAGAAGGGCATTGGGTTTGCCAGCCGGCCCCACCAGCCAAAATTAGTTCAAGCCCAGAATTATAGTCTGTTCCAGATTGGACAAATTTTGATAATTCTGGACTCAATCGAGCTATTTTTGCAGATTCGACTAAGTGAAGTATGATAATCACCCCATGCTTCCTTAAGCTTTCCTGGAGTACTTTTCAAGGCGCTTCCAATGGTACCAAGTTATATAGATGTTTTTAATACACTAATTGAATGATTTGTAAAAATATGAAAAGAGGTTTCTGGCCAAAATGTCGAAATTTTACATACCAAAGTCCCATAAAGATGATATCAGAGATTGCTTTGGATTGATAGAAACATTTTGATTCAAGATATACCATAGTAAAAGTCTTTATTATCAAGGTGAAAAACGCGATCGTTTGATTTTCGATGAAAACCATGAGGGGTACCTCATGCTTTTTGGTCGAATTTTGCTCATCCCCAAAAAGCTGAGCAAAGGTGTCAGAAAGTAATTGCCAGATCAGAGAAATGGTTTGGTGCTACTCTGGCAGCCTAAAACAGCTTTTAACACGAGAAATCACAGCTCAAATGCAGCCATATTTTGCTGTATTAGGCGTACTCTTGACTAGAAAGGGCATAATACCAGTATGCTGCTTGCCCATATATGATGTAGTTACACATATACGGGTGCGGAACATCACATAAGAGTCAGGTCCACGGAGAATATGAAGGGTTCTCATGTGTACGTAGAGGGTTAAAATGAAGTAGCAGTATTTTGATAAGATGAGCAATGGCAATCGGTAGCGCGAGATGCCGCTGCATAGGTTGGTTTTCACCGAAGCGAAGCGAAGGTAGAGAGCCATCCGAAGCGTAAACACACTCATATTAATAATTGATCTAACGTTGCTTTAATTTGAATGAGATACCATCATCAAAGCCTACAGACTACCAGGCTCAATCTCACTATTAGCAATTTAAAATGCTAATGTTACCTGCGACTTTAATTAGGCACTGATTGCCTTATTCATTTCGTAAAATTAACAAGCATTGCTTGCCACTGTGCTTTCAAAATGAAACACCTATGTGAGTTTCTTTTCAGCATAGAAACAGGAACAATCACTTGTTTGAGATGCACTGGCTTCAGAAATTGTCTCGTTGCTTTGACAAGCCCGCGACCTGAACCAAATGTTGGATCAACTTGATAGCTATGGCACTATTTCTCAAGTATACGTAGTGGTCATTCCAGAATTGATGATGAATTTGATGTTTAGGTGTTGATCGATGAGAAATAACACACCAAATCCTTTGAAATTAGACTGCAATGCATATCTCTATGTAATTATACGCCTGATTTAAGATTAAGGTCTATCGCGTCATGGTAGTAGTATATCATTACTTCCGTTTTAGGGCATAGCGATCGCATCCCTGACCCAGCAGGAACAGAAAGATTGCTTGTAGAATTCTTTGATCTATCCAACCATTCGAAATACGAGTATTCAAACACAACATATTATAAGATTTGCCAAGTTACTTTCAACCATTATAAACAGTGGGAGAGTTTCACAAAGCTTGTTAACAGGCCACCTAGCTCCACTCAATGGAGACAAAAGAAAATGTTTATTGTATTTCTCCATACACAACATCGGAAAAAAAAAGCTCGTGCAAACCACACATGTCGATCATACATCTACAATGATTGTATCATACAAAGCTTACATAGCGAGCGGTACTGTCATCGCAATACGCTCCGTCATTTTGCTGATTGATATCCCCTACTGCACGCTGCCTTTCCTCGGGAGCAGGCAAATCATTGCCAAAATGTTAAGACTGCCATTGAAATTCTCACCCTCTCATAAGCGTCTATTTTAATCTAATTCTTGTTTCTTCTTCCCTTCTTCCCATACAATTTGAGACCTCCTTTTCTTTATTATCATGGTGTCTTCAGTTACAGCGGCAACAGCAGCCTCCGCATTGAAGAAGCCGATTGCAGAGGATGATTTCGAGTCTCAACAGAAAACCAATGCTGAAGTATGTGTCGATTATTTATCATACAAATTCGATGAAATGGATTTAGCAGCTTCCTGGAGAGTGATGACCAAGCAAAAGAAAGATGTAGTCGATGGTATACGTTTAGAAAATGCCTCATGGAGAACCTGGGCCAAACAAAGAAACAACCTCAAAACTGTTAGTCCACAAACTCTGAACTGGTAATGAATTTTTCTTTCAAATGAAAATGTGGAGGCAGAGAAGGAGGGGAGAGACCAGGGTGATATTGATTGAGTTTCTTGATAGGTTGAAAGATAGCGATGTTACATGGCTATATGGCCCTCTACACACAGTTATCAGAGCAGAGGAAGATCCATTCCTGACACCTAGACAAGCAACAGCAGAGGATACCCTTGGCTTGATACTGCAAAGCAAGACTAAACAACAGAGCAAGAAGCCTTTAAAATCGGCTCTAAAGAAAGTTACTACGGTTGATCTTTTAAAACGTTCTGCTACTGAGTTGGCCATCAATACAACTAAAGATAGTAGCAGGCACCGTCGCAAAATTTCCATCTCCCAAGTCAATGACGAGCTTCGTGCTGTATCACCTGTAATTTTAGCCTCACATCGTCAGCCTAGACTTCGATTTAATCATCAGGTTGAACAATGCATCGCCTTGACAGATGAAGATGAAAGAGAACATGAAGACATTGAAGAAGAGCATGATGATCTAGATGAAGATGATGAGGACTTAATATTGAGGTCGCCCACCATGGACCATCATGATGACAGCAGCGAAGGAGATGAGGATACAGATCAAATCATTACATCTCACATTACTTATACTGAAGCTGCTGATGGGAACGGAATCGTCGGTCGTCGTCAATTGTTCATGCCACAGCGAAAGTCTATCAAGAAGATTGCTCCTGCGCGACTCAAAAAATCACAATCTGATCAGGATACAGACGATGCTTCCATCTCATCCACGTCGACAACATCCTCGGTGGGCTACATTACCAGCAGATCCCCTATACCTTCATCGCCTATCGTGTACGATAATGAAGAAGAAGAAGACGACGACGACGACGAAATGACGGAAAACCATTCAATTTCAGACTTTGAAGAGTACAATTCGCAGCCCACAACGACGATGGACTCATTTTATCAACGGCCCACGCCTGGGCAGTGTTTACGACAAGAAAGACCTTCAGCGCAGACGGTGAGATCATCTTCATCCAATTCAATTACACAAACGTATAGAGAAAAAACCAACGCTGCAGAGCCAGCCCTGGTAACCATGCATCAAACAGCTACTGACATCAATAACAGCCCGTCCAACAAAAAGGAAGATAACAGCACATTATTTAATCACATTGCTACGTGGGCAGCATCGTATTTATGGCCCAACAACACTAGAAGATCGCCTACTCCCCAAGCATCGGTTTCCACATCGATTCTCCCTTCTTCGACCACTGCTGCTTCCAGTCCGACATCCACTGCTACTTCCGCGATCCCAATAGAAAGACATTATGTCCCTCCTACTTCATTGAATGCCTCTAGTTTCTAGATTTCCGTAGATTTGAGTATTTAAATTATTCCTTGTTATATTACTATCATCATATTTTGCTTTTCCCTTCATTCGCACCAACAAAATATCACACAAATACATCTTTTTTTTTTTTTTTTTTTTTCAAATAAACACCATTGTAGATTACCAGTGATACTTATATAGACAGATTCGCCAAGTTCTTGATATCTGTACATCTGAAAACAACCAGTGATGAATTTAGGCAATACTGTGCATTGATTCAGGGTCCGGAAATGCTATCAACATGATTATGGCTTTTTTTTTTTTTTTTTTTTTTTTTTTTTTTTTTTTTTTTTTTTTTTTGAAAGCGTGTATGAGAGAAAATCGTATATGGTGCAATTTATTAAATGAGGATGAGAGAAATAAACATGCTCCCAAGGTTTGATATTAATGTGGTACAACAAAAATTGGAGTATTGAAATAGGTACACGCTGCAGATGCACAACAGCACTGTTTGAATGCTTTTGAAACTTCCCGAAATCAAGTTACAGCATGTAATTTACCCCCCACGATGTCTCGTTCTAAAAGGCACATATTCAGGACAAAAGGAAGTGTTTATTTATAATAGAGAAGAAGATGTGAGCGCATATAAACAGTTTTGTGGTTAACATTTAAAGGAGTATAGCTAGTAAGATTTTTACAAATTTCTTTGTGATGGGATGATATATTCAGTGGAAGGGGGGGAAAGGAAGAGGGAATTTTTTTATATTCTATGTACATAATATAGAGCGATATATGTATAAAAAAATGAAGAGGTGTATGTTACATGTAGGTGATTAATGGACAAGATTGATAGTGGTATTGAAAGAGTAGTTTCTTGAATCACCAACACTGAAAGATCTGGGACGAATAATTTTACTGTCTGATGAAACAGATAAATGGGAGACAGCTTGATGAATAGGAATAAAGCTGGAGTCATTGGGCAAAGGATTGTTGGTGCGGATGATGGCCAGATCTTCCATCATGCTTGTGTGAGAGGTAAGAATCTGTCGAAGCTCTTGACATGCTTCATCGTTTTCTGACCAGAAATGTTGCTGGCTGTACGAAGAGGGCTTCTTTGGGAGAGGTGCAATAATGTTCATGTTATTTACAATATGTAGAAAGAAAAGAAAAAGAAAAGGGGGGGATTGGAACCAGATGTAGCCTCGCTTGGGGTTTTATACTTTTGGATGGGATTGGAACGCCGTTAGATATAAGGTTCAAATTTAGATCACTGGGCTGACGGACCATCTCATTTAAAACTGTTCGTTTCTGTATTACATATTTGGTTGGTCTAATTTGAAAACGTTTTATACAGCTCATACATCTGATGTTACATTCTGTATTTCCAAGAAACATGTTGCAGCATTGAGGCGACATGTGTTTCGGTGTCTGTTGACATTGGAGCTATTATAACTATCAACGTTGTATGATTTATCGAGCTCCATTTGTTTAGACTGCATTTGCAGAGACTGTAGTCTACTTAAGTACAAGTTCATGTGCCCGAAATACCTGTGATCTCTATAAATAAATTCGGGCCATTTTCATTTTTGTGGTTGAAGAAAATAGCTGTATCATTTCTCCAAACGAGGATCAATCAAACCAAGTCGGCTTTCAAGTGTTGTTGTATTACAGGTGAAACCATTCCTGAGGAGAAATTTCTTCTATTCAAATTGTCTGTGAGTATAAAGTACGTTATTGGAGCTGGAACAATCTCAACAATACTTGGAACTTTATCTCTGGAAAGAGATTTCATTTGCAGCGATGTAGTCCAAGAAACAATCGTAAAAGAGAGACGATCCAGAGAAGGAAGAAACTCCCAAAAAGAGGCACTTTATGTCATGATCTCAAATCGACAACTGTTGCTCGGATTACGGAATATTTTAAATATCCCACCTTTCCCAGATGGGCTGATACCATTCTATAAGCTTCTCATGTGGTGCCTGAAAATCATGTTACTGTGATTGATTCAATACGATAGGTTTACAGGCTATTCGCTTTGGGAACAGTTGATCGCTGATACAAACGAATTGACTAGCAAAGACGTGTATTTGTAAAAGTTTATTGTGTTTTGATTAAAAGAGCTAAATTGTCTATAAAATGTGTAAATCTACATGGAATGGTTGTTTGTTTGTATAAGTGAAGAGTAAGAAAGAGTTATTTATAGTAAATGCGTGAAAGAGGGAATAGTGTGGATGCTTGAATTAGATTCTGGCATCAACAAAATCGCTCCAGCACTTGACTTCATCAGGGATGTCAGTGACTGTGTGAGGTTTGTCAGTTCTATGGCGAACGCAAGAGTCGGCAAAGAGAGCAGCGACCTTGGAATCGTTGAGCAAAGGAATACCGAAATCAACAGCAGCACGACGGCAAACGTAACCTTCATCTAATTGATCAGGAGCACGAATCTTTGCAAGATGGATGACGAAATCAATGTTGTTATCCTTGAAGAGCTTGTTCAAGACACGCTTATCCTCGGCACACGAGGCAATAGGCAAGCAAGTGGATGGAACTTGAGCTTCCTTTTCCAAAAAGACCTTGTCTTGCTCAGTAGGCACAAAGATGGGATGACCGAGCTCCTTGTAGAAGGTTTGAGCAATGTGAACATAGTCCTTCTTGTCAGTAACGATATCACCACCAATGAGGACACCAGCACCACGTTGAGGAATACGGAAGTTTTGAGTAGCTTGGATAGCAGCCCAGAAAGCTTGGTACTTGTCCTTACCAAAGCAAGCAACTTCACCAGTAGAGGCCATTTCAACGCCCAAGAAAGGATCAGCACCTTGAAGACGAGTCCAAGAGAATTGAGGCACCTTGATAGCTTGGTAGGCATACTCCTTTTGCATCAGATCAACGGGAGCAGGGACGTCCTTTTGAGCCAAAGCACGGGTAGCAACATCGATAAAGTTGACACCGAGAACCTTAGAGACAAAGGGGAAAGAACGAGAGGCACGCAAGTTACATTCAATGACCTTGAGGAGAGGTTCAGCTTGACCAGGGATGTCTTGCTTGATGATTTGCATGTTGAAGGGGCCAGTAATCTCGAAAGCCTCAGCAACCTTCTCGGCAATTTCCTTTAGACGAGCCATGGTTTGGGGAGAGAGGTCGCGAGGAGGCAAGATCAAACTAGCATCACCCGAGTGGACACCAGCATTTTCAACGTGCTCAGAGACAGCATGAACGAGAAGAGTACCCTTGCTGGCAACGGAGTCGACATCAATTTCTTGAGCATTCTCAATGAACTTGGTAATGACAACGGGATGAAGAGGAGAGACGTTGGTGGCATCAGTCAAGTTGTGCTTGAGGGCATCAGGTGTGTAGGCGACGTTCATGGCAGCACCGGAGAGGACATAAGAAGGACGTACAAGAACAGGGTAGCCAACTTGTTCAGCAAAGGCAAAGGCAGCATCCACGCTGGTCAACTCCTTCCAGGCAGGTTGATCCACGCCAATCTTGTCCAGCTTTTTGGAGAATTGGAAGCGGTCTTCAGCAGCGTCAATCATTAAAGGAGAAGTACCCAAGATGTTCAACTTGCTTTCGTGCAACTTGAGAGCAATGTTTTGAGGAAGTTGGCCACCAACACTGACGACAACACCCTTTGCACTCTCCAATTCAGCAATATCCATCACACGCTCAAAACTGAGCTCCTCGAAATACAAACGATCACATTCATCGAAATCAGTGGACACAGTTTCAGGGTTGTAGTTGACCATGACAGTCTTCTCGCCCAGTTGACGCAAGGCACGCGTAGTGGAAACACCACACCAATCGAACTCGACAGAAGAGCCGATACGGTAGACACCAGAACCCAAGACCATGGTTCCCTTGTCCTCAAAATTAACATCGTTAGAAGCAGCATTGTAGGTAGTGTACAAGTAGTTGGTATGAGCAGGGAACTCGGCAGCAACAGTATCAATACGCTTCACATTGGGGATAATGCCATGGCTCTTACGAAGCTCACGAACAGTCAATTCCTCAGCATTGACCAACTTGGCAATCTTGAGATCAGAGAAACCAGACTTCTTGGCGCTTCTAAGTAGTTCAACAGGCAGCTTCTCGAGAGGGGTGTTGGCCTGCTCAGCGAGACTCAAGTGGATGTTGGCAATCTTTTGCAGCTTGAACAAGAACCACTTGTCAATGTTGGTGAGCTTGTTGAGGTGTTCCACAGTGTACTTGTCGCGGACAGCCTTATCCTTGTTCAACATGACTTGACCCAAAGCAAACAAACGTTGATCAGTAGGATCGCGCAACATGTCGTCGACATTTTCAAAGGGGACAGGGAGACCATCAAAGCCTTGGAAGCTGGGGTCCACTTGACGGATAGCCTTTTGCATACTCTCTTCAAAGGTGCGACCCACAGCCATAACTTCACCAACAGACTTCATAGCAGAGCCAATGTGGCGATCGACATATTGGAACTTGGAGAGATCCCAACGAGGAATCTTGGTGACAATGTAGTCAAGGGAAGGCTCGAAACAAGCAGTGGTAGTCTTGGTGACAGCATTTTGAAGGCTGGGCAAGGTATGACCGAGACCAATCTTGGCAGCAATGAAGGCAAGAGGATAACCAGTGGCCTTGGAGGCAAGAGCACTAGAACGGCTCAGACGAGCATTGACTTCAATGACCTTGTATTCCAAACTTCTGGGATTAAGAGCGTATTGGACGTTACATTCACCAACGACACCCAAATGACGAATGATCTTGATGGCAGCAGTACGGAGCATGTGGTATTCTTCATCGCTCAAAGTTTGAGAGGGAGCAACAACGATGGATTCACCAGTGTGGACACCGAGGGGATCAAAGTTCTCCATGTTACAGACAGTGATACAGTTGTTGGCAGAATCACGCATCACTTCATATTCAACCTCCTTCCAGCCCTTCATGGATCTTTCAACCAAGAGCTGAGGTACGAGCGACAGTGATTTGGTGGCAAGTGTACGCAATTCTTGCTCGTTGTCGGCGAAACCAGAGCCGAGACCACCCAATGCAAAGGCACAACGGACAATGACGGGATAGCCAATCTCGTTAGCAGCCTTCAAGGCCTCCTCGACACTGTCGACAGCAGTAGATTGGGCCACAGGAATGTCGATTTCTATAGAGTATGATATATAAGATTAGATGATCTCCTTTTTGCAACTTGGAGATCCGATTGAATAGAAAAAAAAAATTTTCCTTGTGCGATAATACTTACCATTAAGAGCTTTGACGAATAGATCACGATCCTCAGAGGTAATCAAAGTTTGAATAGGAGTACCAAGTACCTTGATATTCAATCTCTTCAAAATACCAGAGCGGTCCAATGCAATACCACAGTTCAAGGCAGTTTGACCACCGAATGTAAGCAAGATACCGTCAGGGCGCTCCTTTTCCAAGATGCTGGAGACATATTCGCAAGTGACAGGCAAGAAGTAGACTTGATCAGCAAGCGTGTGGGATGTTTGGATGGTAGCAATGTTGGGATTGACGAGAATGGTGTAGATACCTGACTCGCGCAAGGCCTTGATGGCTTGAGAACCTGTTTATCTATCAGTATACGCACCGGATTCATCTAATTGATCTACTAGCTCTTACCAGAGTAATCGAATTCACCAGCTTGGCCAATACTGAGGCCACCGGAACCGACAATCACTACCTTTTTGACATCCACAAGGGGCACATTGGACAGGATCTCCTCCGAGACTTTGACAGCGGAGCCTTCACGAGATGTAATAGGGGCAGCAGTGAGGCCAATGACTTCAGATTGAGTAGAAGAAGCACGACGAGCGTTATTAATAACCATTATTTACTTGATTAAGATGTTGTCGATGTAAGTTTTATCAAATGCCAAAAGACCGGAAGTAATCAAATTAAAAGCAATGTTCATATAATTCCAAGAGATGTTTATATGAATTTGATTATCTACTTAATGGTTTTTCCTCCTTAAGTTGATAGGGTTTTTGGAAGAAAGAGAAAAGAAGAAGCTTATTCCAAGGGCAATTGATCAAAGGTTTATATACCAAATGTCTAAACCCTCCCCGCTTTTTTCAAAGAGTGACGATACTTGCACACTCTGTGAGTCATTGTTGGTCTGCTTGTAACATTTAAGGTTTGTTTTTGGTGTGCAAATCCAACATTGATTAAACTCAGGTTGGTTGCAATTGGGTACATTGAAACATATAGTGTAGTATGAGATGGAAATATAGGCCCCACACGCTTCAATTTGATGGCTTTAAACTTTTAAGAGATAGGCAAAGCAACCAACGGTACATTGTGGATTTCTTTATTTGAAAGCTTATCATCTCTGATTTTAATTTAAAAATCTTGTGCAACTCAATGACAACGAGGAGCCTCTTTACCCGTATCACATCTAGTTTTTTTTTTTTTTTTTTCATCGTTATCCTGGACAAACCACTGTGATAGAGGAGCACTTATATTGTGCTTAGATCGAGCATAGTCTCACTAATACTACAAGTCAATGATGTGTAGATTGCCAAGTCTCAATGGCAGACAGCATTAGAAGCGTTGCCCCTGAAATCAAATGAACCTCAGCCATCAAAGCATCCCTTTGAAATGAGAACGATTTACTAGTCTTCAGCATAAAATGCGTGGGCACTCGGTAGATACAAGCTCTCCATCATCATCTGTAGCTCAATCATGAAGATCGAACTAATGGCAGGACATGTCGGTGTATATTCATCAAATGAAATTCGCACTAAATTAGAATCATGATCCTTAGACAGAATGATGTGTGTTGCAGTGATACAAGCCAGTGACTCTTTCACCTGGATTTCCGAATCTTATCTTGTGGTTAAAATATAGATTTTTGACAAGATGCTTGGTAGATCAAAGTAGATCAACCGGGTTAGTTATGTCCATCATGGATGTATGCTTCAAAGAGCGTACTCTTTGAATTTTGCATGAAATGCCTATAATTTACATTTATTCATTGATTGTCAAGTGAAGCATTGAATGGCAATGGTATATTAAACTGGGATTAGACGAAATCACGCCCACTTCTGGAGCGCATCCACAATTCCTTTTCGACGCATTGCCTCAGCTACAGGCAGCAGATAGATTGATATGTGTCGACATTGGTCGTTCGGTTTTGTTTCATAGAATTGCGTCAATGCAGTTATTACGTCTGACTCTTGACAATGCACGCTTTTGATCTTTCTGATGAGTGTTTGCTTGGCTTGCCATAGTGATGTGTATGCTCGTAATGAACTGGTAGATGGTGGAGTGCGTCGGTTTGCTGGCTTTTGCTTTCGTAACGGAGATGCTTCAACGGCTAATGGCAACAAAAGATATTAGCAAGTGATTGATACATTTGGTTGTGATGTGTACCTTGTGGTGTGGTTAATCGTGCGCGCTTCTTTGATACTATGGAGGGCCTAGTCTCACTCTCGCTCATATTATTATAGTCGTCATTGTAATCATCATCATCAGATTCTCGAACACGTTTAGAGGGTGACATTGGCGATTCCTCCACAGGAGCAGCAAATTGGGGCCGTTGAACTGGTGTAGGTGCTGGTTCAGTAGCTATATTGTCGTTCCAAAAACTATGTCTCAAGCTCTCCAGCACTTCAAATAGCTCGCTTCGTTGTACGTCGAATATATTATCACATAGTGGTTTTGTTGGCTATTGTATTATTGTTCATCAACGGTAATTATTTGTTAAAATGCTTGCTCTACTCACCTTTTTTGAGCTGACACCGTCAATGGGCCCCAGCATTTTGGACAACTAAAGCAACTGTGAGCAAGCCATCTATCGTTAGATATATTTGTATGCTTACATCGGACAAGTTTGGACATCTAGTTTTTATAACAGACATGGTTGTTGAAGGATGATATGAGATAAAGAAGAGACGTGTTTGAAATCATCCGACTCAAATCAATGCTCTACGTCGACATGGCTGGACTGCTGCTTTAAGCCTTGATGAATCTAAATGTCTGAATGTTCATTCTTAACTGCCAAGATTTTCACATGGCAGACTCGTTATTGAAGAGAGCTCATAGACAGATAATTCAATGCGCCTCATCCAAGCATCCATATGTAATTCAATCTTTTGGTGATGGCAGCGCCAAATCCATGTCATTCATAAATTCACCAGCATTGAGCATCCAAGCTGCTGTGCCTTCAGCCTGAAATACAAGCAGGTGTAGCTACGAACAGCTCTTATTGCAGCTGTCTATAACCAACAGCATTGCTCCTTGAGCTACTTGAGTGAAGCTTTACTACATGATCTTGATTTCATGTAGATCAACCTCATTGAACAACCGCAATGAACGTTTTGTTCCAAACAAGAAAGTGGGAAACTAAATTACGTTTCTTTTTCCTTTTTCTTTCTTTATTTGTATCTAAACTACCTGAAATGAAGTTGTATTCCATCTTAATCCTACGCAAAGATGCCGACAAAGCCAAGATCTTGACCTCCCAGTTTGATTTATCAAGCTTTGGCTATTTCCAACGTGGCAGGTAAGCTGTCTGTTTCTTGTGTGGGTGTGTTTGGTTGTGCTTATAGTATATATATATATATATATATAGCGTACAAGAATTCATGAACTTTTCTGCTGCTACTATTGCAGAACGCACCCCAGCTGGTCAACGTCAAAGCGTAGAAAGTGAAAGTAAGTGGATGGTACTAGAGTGCTTTGATGAAATACCAACAGCTCTGTGCTAGATAATGTTGCACATGTCTATGCTCATCCTCAAGGTATTGCTGGTATGATTATCAGCGACAAAGAATATCCCAGTAGAGTCGCATTCTCTTTACTGAACAAGATAATGGATGAGTTCCTCGTTAAATTCCCTGTTGATGTCTGGAGAAAGGCAGATACACTTGAATATCCTGAACTGTTGGGTTATTTGCAGAAATATCAAGATCCTCAGCAAGCAGATACTATCATGAAGGTTCAAAAAGAGTTGGATGAGACCACTGCAATTTTGGTAGGCTGTTGATGTGTTTACATTGAAAAAAAAAAAAGTATGTTTGTTAACATGGAACTGTACGTAGCATAAAACTATTGATTCAGTTCTTCAACGTGGTGAAAAGGTAAGCATTGCTGAGCGGACGGGAATGATATATAATCAGACACTCAAAACGCATGTTATATCGACTAGTTGGATTCTCTTGTCGATAGATCAGAAGCACTCTCCAGCCAATCCAAGATGTTTTACAAGACAGCCAAGAAGACCAACTCTTGCTGCGTCGTCATGTAGATACAAACACTCTCTATATTCTTACAACACTAATAAACTATCACATTATTGCACGACGAAAAGAGAAATGGAAAGATCACTTGACGAGTTCTGTTCGTGACAATGTGGAATTGGATACTAATCAGAACAAAAGCATGAGCTCTGGAAGTTACTACATGTTCCAGCTGCTATGAAATATCTCGTCTCTCTGTGCGCAGAAGCAGTTCATAGGTTGTAGATGTGCCAAGTGGATAGTACATACGCATTACATCTAGGTTCGGATGCACGCTGTTCCAACGAGTCGAAATCTTCCCGAAGTTTCTTGAACGTTAAACCATACGAGTTGTCCAAGCACCATCGAGCATCGATAGGCCTAGTAGTCTTCAAACCCTTGGCCGACTTTAGCCTTTTTTTTTTTGAGCGGTATGATCCACAAAGAAGAGAGAAGAAATGCCAAGATCCAAGCTAGAATCTGATTACCTCTGGTGAGTTACATTTCTGGTCACATATTCTTGCTTTTCATTTGTCCGTAAGGTGATGAAACTCCTCTGCCAGCATTTAAGGGCTAAACCCCTCGCTATTGCAATTTTTAATTCTTTTCCCTTTGAACGAAAATGCTTAGAATTAAACCAGTTCAATGGCTTCGATACCGCACTCACTTTAAGATACCTCCTTCTTATCAATTAGTTGAGAAGCGAGTCCTTCCTTCGATACAACAGCCCATCTTGAGCCGCAGCATAGGAACTCAAACGGAAGCAGCTATGGAAACTTCAATGGATATGCCACCGTCTTCAACAACAACATCCACAGCTTCAGTAACTGCTGCATTTCAAGATCTCCTCGGTGTATCAGCTCCAAGCACAGCTACAGACGATTTGAAAAACACATTTTACCAAAGAGAATTACCTGCAACACTTGTTCGATTTGCCTCTCCTGGGGGTAAAAGGCTGTTTAGAGAGGCCATGGACGATGGCCATGCAGAGGGGTTCTTTCCTCTTACTGGTAATTTTACTACGCAATCAGAGCCTGCCTATTGTGGACCAAGCTCATGTAAGTATCATAGAGTGATCAGTCATCCTTCTCTTGTGTCAATGCTAATCGCTGTGTGTAGTGGCCATGGTGTTGAATGCATTGGAAGTGGATCCCAAGCGAAGATGGAAGGGTAATTGGAGATGGTTTTCAGGTAGGCTCTCTCGCCCAAGAAAAAAAAAAGAGATGAATAGACGACTTACCCCTGCATTTGATGATAGACGAATTTTTACAGTGCTGCTCCTCTAAAGAAGATATGAAAAAGAACGGCATTACATTCGACAATTTCGCCTGCTTGGCAAAATCTCATTGCGATGTCCAGGTCAACAGAGCATTCGATTTCACTTTTGAGCAATTCAAGAAGGACGTGGAGGCGATTACCTCAACTTCTGACAAATTCATGGTGATTTCTTTCTCAAGAAAGGTATTAGGACAAACAGGCGACGGTCATTTCTCACCCATTGGTGCCTATAATGCAGAGGAAGGCAAAGTACTTATTCTGGACACAGCTCGTTATAAGTACCCCAGTTACTGGTGTCCCATTGAAACATTGTACGAATCCATGAAGCCTGTTGATAAAGAAACAGGCCTGCCTCGAGGTTATTTTGTGCTCAGTTACGACGCTGAACATCCTCCATTGAGTCTTTGCTCTGTCAAACAAGACGGCTGTTCAACTATAAAAGGACCAAAGCAACAACCATCAACCAAGCCAGTATTCACTGCACAACCTAATGAGGATAAAGCTAAGCTGAATTGGTCGACACTTGCCAAATCCTTCTGTCAGCGTATTCCAGAGAACATGTGGTTAGAAAAGCCCAGAACCCTACAGCATGTCGTTTCGCTTGTACTTCGCAATGTGCCCAAGGAATACACATCGATTCTCGCTAATCAATCACTTGCTTCCTTCAACGCCACTACACCCAACAAAGCCGAAGAATACATCAACGAACTCCTCTTTGATACTACAAAATCGCCCCTGTACCCAGTCGTTATGGACGCTTTGTATCCCAACAGAGAAAACCTGTCTTATACCCGTCTCGATTGCAATGCTGCATTTGCTACCTTGTTTGTCCTGGGATCACCACGCATGTTATACACCTCGCTACCCAGAGATCTTCAAGACAAATTAGACGCCTACAGAAAAGGAGATGACATGACAGCAATCATGAAGCAAGAAGTGCAGCGTATCTCAGAGGAAGTAGTAGATCTGACAAGTACCTTCTGCACGTGTGGTCCTAGCAATGGATGGAATGAAATCAACGATGGCATCACCGAAAAACCTGTAACAAAAGGATGCTGCAATTCTAAATCATTCTAGTTGTATACATATTTGCATTATTTACCTCTTTTTCCCCATCTCTTTTTCAATAACATAGACGGTTGCTTAGAGCAATCCAATCCATTTCCCCTTCATCACAACATAATAGAAGATTTGAAGTCGCTAGACATTTTAAAACCTTAAAAGGGAGTCGTTGGATATACAAACATTTCGGTGAATCTCCAAGCGTGTTGGCTCTGTCAGATATAAATACACATAACAAGAGCAAAGGAAAGTAGTCAAGCTTAGTGATAGTGCTATTCAATTCACAACATCCTTTCTGAAAGCTTCGAGAGTGTCTATTGTCTCTATAATAAAGATGGCATTCGACTTTCCCAGCCAAAAATAATTGACTCTCCGCTTAACTATTTCTGATTTACATTGGTTAAAATCTGTTCAAAATCGATCTGTTCGATCAATTTTATCAGACTCGACTATGTGAAAAGTATCAATCACGTTATGCTTCATTAAGCTTTCCTGGAGTACTTTTCAAGATGCATATAATGCTACTATCTATAATAAATATTTTGAGTAAATCTACTGAGCAATTTATGAAAACATGAAATGAGGTTTATAGCCAAAATATTGAGATTTTACATACAAAGTTCTCATAAACAAAGTTTTAGGGGCTTCTTTGGATCGAGAGGAACATTTTGATCTAATATATATCATAGGAAAAGTCTTTATTCTTGTGGTCAAAAACGCAATCGTTTGATTTTTGATGAAATCTATGAGGTATCCCTCATGGTTTTTGGTCGATTTTTGGCAATCCTAAAAAAATCCAGTAAAAGCTTTAGGAAGTTGGTCCTAGTCGAGAGCAATTGTTTGGTGCTATTCTGGCGGTCTAAACCGGACTCTAACTCGAGAAATCGCGGCACAAATGCACACAAGTCACCCTGTGTTTTTCATAATTTCGTGTAGTAAGAGGTATTGCTAGTATGCTGTCTACGTACACATGATACAAATATAGAGGATCCTCACAGGCTAGTGGAGGAAGGTCAAAAAAATGTACATTAATGGGATGGGGATTACGAATGCGGCAAAATCTGTTAAAACGCTGTCATTTGCTAATATACGTGAGTATCTATTTGAAAAGGGCTGCAGAAGAGCTCTTCCTCTCATTGTTATGCCTAGCAAATATATTAAAAGCGGGAAAATGCTCCAGGGATGTTCATTCAAATGGGTTAAACGCCATGTTTTTAAAGTAATAATGTTGAGGACAACTGGTAAGAATTAGCAACGAAAAGACATTAAGCGCATGGCATAATTAACTAGAACAAGTGTTTCTAGCTAGTGCAGAAAGCGTATGGTTTATACTCCATATACAGAGCGTTTGTGCTTGCTTCATGGCATCTGCTCCATTTTATGTCTGTTCAAAAGGGTGTCGCTCCTAGCTATCTTCATTTACACATTACTAATCACCATGATTTGATTTTTCCAATCCGCCAGAACCAAACAAGGCGCAAATACACAAACACCTTCAAGTACCTTAAACAGGAAGATGATGCAAATGAAACTCGTCATACTTGCCTATCGTGTCTTAGCCATTCCATTGGCGGTAATGACTTTCAAGTACATTGTACAGAGCATACAGCAAGCAGTAACGCTAAAGAAAATGCACCATCATCCGAGACGACTTAGCCCGTCCATCAACAAGTACACCAAGGTAATATCACCATTAACCAAGACTCAATTAAGCCCATCCACCAAGAACATAACGCATATAATTCAACATATGGCAATTTTGACCTATGAGGCGGTTTTACCATAGCGAAGCGAAGGGGCAATCCCACAACAAATTCAGTTTTTTATTTTCATTATTAATAAGCTTACCAACAACATAACGCGTCAAAATTTGCATGAATTAGCTTTACCAAAATTAATATGCCTCCTATTTGAATTAGAAGTTGCACAGACTGTAGAAATTCCCTTCCAGAAGATTTTAACTACCAAAGATGTGATTCATGCAGCGTAAATAAAAGCTACACAGCAAAGATACAACCAAACTGGACAGATTTCAAGCCTTCATATCTTGACATGTATGCCTTTCTGAGCCACCGGGATGACGCCAAACAATTATACTTGAGTAGTAGTAACTTCCTGACACCTTTGCTCAACGTTTTGGAGACCCAAAAAAAACATGGCCAAAAATTGACCAAAAGGCATGAGGTACCCCTCATGGTTTTTGACGAAAATCAAACGATCGCATTTTTTACCTTGAAAATGAAGACTTTTACTATGATATGTATTGGATCAAAATGTTTCTATCGATCCAAAGCAACCTCTGAAACCACTTTTATGAGGTCTTTTGTTGTATTCAAAGATACAGTATTAACAAATTAAGATAGATTTCAAAAAAGGAAGGCTATAAAAAGTAACCAGATACGAAAACTTCTAGATTTATTAACTGATTCAAACACATCCTATTTATAAGAGATCATTACTGATGAATCATCAATCTATCTTGTTGTTTCAACTGAGTCAATACATCGTATCATGTTTATCTAATATCAGTCAATTGAAGGATCTGATTCGTTCAATCAGCCATGATGATACGATCTGTAGCCATCATTATCCTTCACTATCAGAGACCATCATAATCGATTATATGATTCACTTCTGTGTCGAACCTAATGTCCTAATGTAGACAGTGAGAAACAATGTAAATCATGATCCGACTCTTGCTGAGTTACTGAATGTCCGCAACCGCTACAGACTCAACAGCCCCCAACCAGGATCAGGATATACCATTGTTACATACCATAATCTCTAATTACAGCACATCATAAATAACGATATTAGATAACATACAAATACAATATATATACAATATTCAATCAAAATGATATGGGCAGCATCCGTCATTAAAAAACCTTTAAAAACCTCTGAAAGGACAAAAATATACAATAAGGTAAAAAGACTAGATCAGACATCATACCATTCAGCCATTAAGACCGATTCTTAGCTGGTCTACCACGTTTCTTCTGAGGACGAGTAGCAGCCTTATTCTGATTTACTGTTGCAGGAGCAATCTTGCGCTTGCCAACAGCCTTTGCACCATTCCTTCTACCCCAATATAATTCAATACATTCAGTAGAGTTGAAATGTTCAATAGGTTCCCAAGTAGGTTCATCAAATCCTTTCCACTGCACCAAGTATTTACACTTGCCCGGTGAGCCTCTATGGTTGATAACCGCTTGAACCTCTTGATGTTCGCGAATGAAGTCCTCTTTAGAAGTTAGCGTAGCATTAGCCGCAGCATTATACACTAATTTATGCGTAGGTACATCATAACTCAGGAGATTACCTGTACGATCCATCAGAACGTACGAGCCTTTGCTAGTAATTCCGTTGATCAAATAGGGACCCTCATATCGAACATCCAACTTGTTGCTCTTATTCTCATTCACTACCATCACCTTACTCCCAACGGGATAAGGCTTCTCGATGATCTTGTGCTTCTTAGCAAAATTGGCATGATCCTTCTTCTGAGTCTCTAAAATACGTTTCGAGATAGCTGGAATAAGAACATTTTGAACGAAGCTATACTTCTCATCAATCTTCTTCTGATCCACTACATCGTAACTACGAGTCAAGTCTACCTTTGAATAATCCGTCAAACCATTAGGTTGGCGATTAAACAAAATCGTATAAGGACGAGACTTGTGCAATCTAGCATACTTGACATTCAGACAATAATTAACCCAAGGAATATAGTGTTCCCACTGATCACGTTTTCCTTTAAGCAACTTAACTGTTGTCGACTTTGCAAGTTTAATCCAACTCTCCGCAACACTGTTACCCAACGGGTTCCATGCTAACGAGAGACGTCTGTCAATACCACTGATCTCGACCATAGCTTCTACAACCTCATTGATGAATTCCTTTCCTCTATCAGATGTCAAGATCTTTGGCCAACCGAAAAGAGAGAAAACCTGAAGTAATTCACGAGCGATAGTAGTAGCATGCTTATCTGGAATGCAGCGAATGACCGTAAATCGACTATAAATATCCGTCATTACGAATATGAAGTTGCTACCGAATGAACTTGTGACACCCATATCACCAAGATCCATACACCAATGATCCAAAGGTTGATCAGCTTTGGCACTTCGGAAAGGATGATAACCTTCTCGAGCAATGTTGAACTTGTTACATTCAATACAATCCCCCAAGATACGTTCAATATCCTTACGAATGTTAGTCCAATGGAATCCTTCATGATGAATAGCAGTTTCAACATGGTTGATTCCGAAATGACCGACCAAATGTTGAGAAATAATCATATTATCTCGTTCAGTAGCAGGTGGGGTAACATAATCGCAAAACTTCATAGTACGTAAAATTAACTCTTGTTGTTGCTTTGACGAGGCAGCTGATGAGGTGCTAGCTTTCATCGAAGAATGCTTCACATCAACCAGGCCATCATCACCAATACTAGTATCCTTTCGTAAAGCACGAGTAATTCGAACAGGAATACGTTTCATTTGAACAGTTGGTGTGGTAGATTTCAACTTAGAACCCATCTTTCTCTTCTGCTTCAACCTTTCACCTCCATCAGCATAGTACCTGCCCCCCAGAAGATGGCGTGCGGAAGCATCGTCATCTTCATACAGCCGAGATAAAGCATCAGGAATGACATTCAAAACACCAGGTAAGTGAACAATGTCAAAAGTGTAAGAAAAGATGTTCTCCCACCACCCAAGCATCAACGCATTAGGAATCTCTTGCGTATTCAAATAGATCAAACTCTTGTGATCCGTGTGCAGGGTAAACCGTCTCATATACAGAAACCGATGAAACTTTTCTAATGAATAACAAATTCCCAAAAGCTCACGTTTCGTAGTACCGTAATTGCGTTCAGAAGGAGAGAGTTTACGCGATACCAAACCAATATACCGAATTTCATTCTGAATCACTTGGTACAACAAACCACCAATTGCAGTGAGACTAGCATCAGTAGCTAAATGAAATCGACATGAGAAATCAGGGGTGGACATAACCAACGCATTGGTAAGTGCATCCTTCAAATTTGCAATAGTTCTGTCATGTCTTGCCGTCCAGACCTTCGACAAATCTTTACACTGCTTCAACGAGTCGAGATCACCCGTTAAGCGAGAATACATCGGAATAGAAGATCGGAAATAGGACATCAGACCCAGAAACGAAGCAAGCTGTCTACCAGTCTTAATAGGAGGCCACTGCATGATATTGGTAAGTTTTCTTCCATCAGGGACTAACTTGCCATCAATTACACTCCATCCTAAAAGGTAAATGCTTCTCTGAGCAAAGACCACCTTCTCTGGATTCAAAACCAGATTAGCCTTTGTCAAACGACGAATCACTTCAGCAACAAGTTTAAAGTGATTTTCCAAGCTACCCGAGGTACTACAGATTATATCATCAACGTAGCAGAACACTGACTGGTCATCCTTGGTAGAATTGGGAGTAGCAGCATTGGACGTATTCAGATCTGACAACAGATTCTGCAATGTACGAACAACTACTGAACCAACATGACGAATACCGTACGCAGCCTTCCGAAAGGTGTACTGAGTATTGCTAAACGGCGAAGTAAACGAAACCTTATGAGCTTGCGAGGGATCCAATCCAAAACTGGTAAAACAAGCATGGATATCCAGACAAGTATGAATCGTTTTATTCCCAATATTCTGATGAATAGATGAAATCAACGGCAACTGTTGTTTGTCATCAACCTCCAAAATCGAATTCAACTTACGGACGTCTAACACCACACGAGGCTTAGACATGTCATAATTGCCATTCGAATCTTTCTTCTTCACCACCAACAACGGATGATTGAAGCGGGTATGACTCGCCGATCGTTCGATAACGCCTTCATCAAGCCACACTTGGATCTGTTTATTAACAGCATCCCTATAGGCCTCCGCAAGTGGATATTGAGCACGATAGGCAACACAGCCAGGCTTAGTATCCAGCTTGATAACAGAATCAGGCAAATTACACAGAGTATTTCTCATGTCAATTTGCGAATTCTCCAATAACAGTTCATTCAATAGCCTAACGTAAGGAGCACGTTCCTTATCACTACCAAATGGATGGTGATTAGGTTCAATCGAGTCGTCAACAGGATCTGGCTTTCTGGGCCCAGTCTGAAAATCATGCTGACTCACTAAACCACTAATACCAATACCAATCTTAGAGAGAACATCCATTCCCAATAACACATGTACATTTTCTTCCGAATAAAATGTAAAAACTTCAAATGAATGTGAACTAACAACTTTATTATAAGTAACATTCAAGACCACAGAACCAACACGAGGAACGGTAGTCGCTTCATGTGCCAACTGTACAATACTGTCAGCAGCAGCAGCTTCAAAACCAGAATGAGTACGACCTCCTAGATGATCGAAAAACTCGTCAGTAATGCAACTAAAAGTCGCACCAGTGTCTACGATGCCGAAACAAATGACATTTTGTACCACAATTGGAACACAAATGGCATTGGAACGCAATGTAGGAGGTGCACTAAATACAGCATCAAACTTACATTCTTGAGCAGACAAATTCTGCACCAAGTCAACATCAGACACAGAAACACTGTCCATACCATCAACAATCGAAGCCTGAGCTCGACCACACAGGTCCTCAGCATCGGTGATAGTATGACCATCTGATTCCGACATTTCCACATCAGAGTCAACCTCAGTGTTCTCAGTCTCCTGAACAGGAGACAAACCAGGACTAACTTCATCCCGCACGGGAACAGAAGCAGCAACGACAGAAGCAGCAACCGAAGACGCAGCGGAACAGGCATTGATCTCCCTGCTCTTTTCCCGAAGTACGGCAGCACCAGCCTCAGACGCCAAAGCCTTGTTCACCATGGATTGTACTGTTGGACGCTTCGTCATCATGCGAACAGTCTTCGTAGGACCAGAAGAACCACCGTTGGCACACGAATGACCCTTTCCGTAGTGTCCATTGCATTCCTTGCACGATTGCTCCGCACGATGTTGAGCCATGGTCTTGCCAAACTTCGAAACCCAAGGATCCCATCTTGAGACATTTGAGATAAAATGGAGTAAACGGTTGTAGTATAAAATCAATAGTGATCCGGATTACACGGTTAAAAAAAATGTTGTATTCAAAGATACAGTATTAACAAATTAAGATAGATTTCAAAAAAGGAAGGCTATAAAAAGTAACCAGATACGAAAACTTCTAGATTTATTAACTGATTCAAACACATCCTATTTATAAGAGATCATTACTGATGAATCATCAATCTATCTTGTTGTTTCAACTGAGTCAATACATCGTATCATGTTTATCTAATATCAGTCAATTGAAGGATCTGATTCGTTCAATCAGCCATGATGATACGATCTGTAGCCATCATTATCCTTCACTATCAGAGACCATCATAATCGATTATATGATTCACTTCTGTGTCGAACCTAATGTCCTAATGTAGACAGTGAGAAACAATGTAAATCATGATCCGACTCTTGCTGAGTTACTGAATGTCCGCAACCGCTACAGACTCAACATCTTTGTATACAAAATTTTGACATTTTGGCCTAAAACCTTATTTTTTATTTTCTAGAATTGCTCAATAAGTTTATTCAAAACATTTATTCTACTTAGTATCATTGGAAGCGCCTTGAAAAGTACTCCAAGAGTGTATTAGGAAGCATTTTTTTTTTTTTTTTTTTTTTGTAGGGAAGACGAGCTCCAGGTTTTATTTAAAGTCCTTTAAATGTCGTGCTGAGGGATAGAAAAGACTGGATATAGAGACAAAGGATCGGATGGAAAATGGGTTGGAAAAAAAAAAAAGGTGACAGAAGAATGAACGAAAAGGTAAAACTGAATACTTACGAATCAAGATTTAACTCGGCATCCAAACGAGCAAGAGAGCGAGCAAGGCGAAGTTGAACGGTGTCAGCGATGAACGGGGTTCGGTCGAAGATCCAGCGCCAATGCGCTTGCCAAATTGTCAAAAGAGTAGTTGCGAAAAGTTGAGGAATAGAGAGTTCATTGAACGAGAGAGAGGGATCACGATCAAGAAGAGGGGAAGAACAGAGTAAAGTTTGTTGTAAGAAATGAATCAGATCAACATCAGAGATTGATGGAGAAGCAGAAAGATAGGTGTGATACATGTATCGCCAGACCAGCAACTTGGGAGGACAGGAGAACAGAGCATGTGTGATATCCTCCGTGGGAGAGGCAGGGCAGATTATACAGCGGTGAGAAGGGTGATTGTCAGGAATGCGTAGATGTAGGAGGGCTCTGGTGGGGATTTTTTCATATATAGCCCGATACCAGACCGTGCGAGCAGCAAGGGGAATTGCGAGTGTCCAGAATGAGCGCCATTGAGGAGGTTGGAGAGGAGAAAGAGAGGAGGAGGAAGAGGGTAGGTTTTTGCGTAGTTTTTTAAAAAAGCGGATGCTGTTGAGTGGCAACCGACTACGCGAAGGCGAGGAAGAAGGAGGGACGAAAATGCTACGGCAAAACGCCCGCAGAGAGGGAGGTTGATGAGGGTCTAGGGCTGGACGGGGAGCAATGAAGCATTGTTGTGCAAAGAAAGGTTGGAATATCAGTTGACGAGAATTGATGAAATCAGCAACACGTTGGGAGACAATAGGATGGCTAGCAAATTGGAAGGAAGAACGAACACGAAGCACCTGATGATCAGCATCTAACCGGAAAATGTCGCTTACAAGAAGCTTCTTTGCAACGTTGGAGCCGTCTAAGAGAAGATTCGGTGGTATAAAGCTAGATGAATAGAGAGTATTAGTAGTAGGTGGTGAATGTAAAAGAATATCATAGAGAGGAAGTGAGTAGCAAGTAACAGCATCAACATATAAGTTATGACGCTCTGTTATCTGGAAAAGTGACAAACAGGACTGAAGATTAGTAATTGGATTGAGATAGCTGTGTCGACGGGATGGGCTTTGAGGAAACCACGACCGATGGCGAGCATAAGGAAACAAGAGATAGTAGAAGAAATGAGGGAAGACGGTGGAGTAGTAGCACCAGGAAAGAGTATAAGTTAAAACAGAGAGCGAAGGAGTGGTGTACTTGGGGAAGGCCGGAGAAACAAGATATTGAAGTAATAGTGGGCAAACCCAGTACCATTGTAGAGCCTGTTGTTGAGAAAGAGGATCTAGGAGCCCCAAACCGCCGGCTGACCGAGGTAAAGAGAGAGTAGCAAAAGAGAGTCTAGGGAAAATGCGAAAATTAATAAAGGAGGTGCCCAGGCTTCGTAAAGAGAGCAACTGGGCCCTGGTAAATGTCGTTAGTCGTAAAACATGCCATAATTTGGAGTAAATGAGTGAATTGAGAATGGTAGCACGGCCACGGATGGAGATGTTGCGTTGTGAGTGAAGAGCAATGGCATTTCGGATGGAATCATATAGTTTTTGAAAGGCAACATTGCGTTGAGTAATGCTGGAACAGATGGGATAACCGAGATAAATGAGGGGAGTGGCGGATGTTCGATCATGCCAGGCGTTTATGCCATAGGTTGCGAGTAAGGCTTGCCAAGTTGCTGAAGGATTGCCTGAGAGAGATGTAGCTACTGTCTTGTGATAGTTCAATAATGCGTTAGAAGCTTTCATATACATGGTGATGGCGGTCTGCAAGCGATGAAAGTCCTGCGTATCATGGAGATATACCAATGTATCATCCGCATATGCCAGGATTTTTACCGCCAGAGGTGCAGAGGAGGGAGAATCTGGAGGAGCAGGAGTATCAGGACTGACAGCAAGGCCGTCATTGTCCGGAAACAACTGTTGCATAGGAACTGAAATATCGTCAGATGTAGTTTGATTAGTAGGAGGTGGAGCTTCAGTATGCAGGTTGAAACCAGTAAACTGAGGATCTTGTTGAATGGAACGAAGGAAAGGATCAAAAGCAATGTTGAAAAGGAGGGGTGAGATGGGATCCCCTTGGCGGATACCACGTTGTTGGGTGATGGACGAGGTGGATATGTGGCCGTTAATGTTGATGTGAATTTGCGTAGAGAAGAGAAGGGTTATTAATGAATGGATAATGTTAGTAGGAAGGTTAAATCGTTGCATCACCGCCCGAAGGTAGTCAGGGTGGATGCGATCATACGCTTTCTCTTGATCCAAGAGCAGCGCAATACTGTCCGATGAAGTTTCAGCAGCAATGAGACGAGTGTTGTTGAGAATCATACCATTATCACCGATAAAACGACCAGGCATGAATCCAGATTGTTGGGGGCATATGATCTTGTTCATGAAGGGCATAAGGCGTTGATTAAGCAATCGTGTGAAGATCTTGGCATCACAGCAAATCAAAGAAAGAGGACGCCAATTCTTGAGGTTGGAGAGGTCGCCAGACTTGGGTAGTAAACAAATGCAAGTTTGCAACCAGCTGGAAGGGAAGATACCCAGGTTGAGGGCATCATTAAACACCTTAACAGCAAGTTGGGCGGCCTTCTGGTGGTTGAAGATAATGTTGAGAATGGGGTAAGGTAAACCGTCGATACCAGGACTGGATTGGAACTTGGTACGATGAGTACCAGTCAATAAGTCGGCAATGGTGAAAGGTTGCTGAAGGGTATCATGATCGGCATCCGCGATGGTGTCAGAATCCGGAATAGTGGCACACAGAGAGTCGATACTCGCTGAATCCACGGCATCACAGGAGTATAATGTTGCATAGAAACTAGAGGCTGCTGTCTGCATTGAAGAGGGGTCAGTGCATAATGAGTTAGTAACTGGATTGATGAGGCTAGTAATCGCCTTTTTGACCGCACGAGTGGCAATGGTACGTTTGAGGTATCCGGCAGAGGTTTCTCCCTGCTCGCGCCAATGTTTACCAGCACGTAATCGTAAGTTGGAAGCTATCTCCCGTTGAAGAATACCTATCTGCTTTTCAATAGTCGAGAGTAGAGGAGCGCGGATCCGAGGATCTGTATATTGTCGACAGATGCGATTGCGTTTACGTTGGAGTCGTTTGCATTGACGTCCCAAGGCACTACTTCTATCACGACTGACTCGACGAACAATTTCTTGGACCAAGGTTTTGAGAGCATCCCAATTGTCCTGTGGGGAAGCAGGAGGAATAGAGGCGGCGATATCGATAGAGGCAGAGATCTCCAAGGTATTGAAAAAGTCATCAAGAGCTGTAAACAGTTGGTCAATGAAATATGGGTTAGTCGAAAGATTTGGGTTAGCACGCCAAAGGCCTGATCCCTGACGATCCGAAGAAAAGACAAATCGAGCCCGTAGTAGAGCATGATCCGTCCAGGAGGAGTCAAGGAACATAATTTCAGACGAATGTAGATGTTGAAATAGGAAATTAGAAGCATAAAGGTAATCGATAGTAGATTGACCAGTTCGTCTACGATAGGTTGGTAATAGAGGACCCTCTTCCCTGGAATGAGTGCATTCAAAGAGGTGGGTATTGATGAGTCGGTGGAAGTGTCTGTGAATAGCAGCTCCTGAAGTAATATTGTTAGTATCAAGTTCCGGATCATCACTATCGTCGGTCAGATAGGAGGTAGCATGGTAGTTGAAATCGCCCATCAGAAGCATAGGAGAAAGATTGGAAGGATCAGAATCGAGCAAGGTAGATAAAGAGGATAGGGATTCCCGAGAGGTTGAAGAAGGAATGTCGAAAAGGGGCAACGTAAGTAGGTCTCTGAAGAACCGAACTCGGGGTGAGTACTGGGCTGGGGCATAAACATTAAGGAGCGTAAAGGGTGGAAACAACGCATTGGCATGGACAACCTTACAGGCAATGATGCGTTGATCTAGATCTAAGTCTAACGAATGTAATTGAATTAAAGGATTGAATGAAATAATACCACAATGTTGGGTCCATAAGGTGTCATGAGCTTGAAATTGTAAATTGAGTTGATCTTGAACTGCCTCGACTGCATGCGATTCTTGAACACAGAGGATGTCCAAATGTAAGGAACGGAGGTATCGGATGAAGTCAGAGCTAATCTCGGGCGTAGATGCTTTGACGAGATTGCGGCAGTTCAAGGAAGCTATATTTAGATTGTGATTGTGCATAAAAGAATTAGTATTCGTGTCATAATGGGGCATATTATTCGCATAGTTGGGTGATTCAAAGGAAGTAGTACTCATTAGACCAAGGGGGCTGAGACGCCGTCAGCTGGGCTAATAGAGGAAGGGGAGGCAGCAGGTTGGGAAGTAGAATCTTGAGAAGCAGGAGCATCATCCATGTTAACATCATCCGTTGAAGAAGATGAGGCAGTCTTGGATGCCTTGGCAGGGTAGATCTCACGGTAAAATGTTTGATACATAGTCTCGGATATCCATTTACGTTTGAAGCAGAAGTCGCGAGCGACGGCCAATTTGATGTTGGGAGTGTTGAGGCGTTTAATCATGCGGAGCAATCGTTCTTGGTGAATGCGGGCCGCCTCAGACTGCAAAAAGAGCGGATCAGCATGGTTGGCGTACTTGGGATCCCTGAGGATGGTGGGTGCACAAGGGTCGAAGTCGGTAATCCGTTGAGAGTCAGGGAGTTGAGCCATTGCTTCCACGACAGTGGAGGCATAGTCGTTGTGAACTAAGAAACTAATGATGTTATTAGTAGGGTAATGGATATCAAGAATGCGGCTTTGAGATAAACCAAGCACCTGGAAACCCGCACGGACTTTCGAGATGGCTTCACGTCCACGAGAGGTGAAGTACAGGAATTGGTAACCGTGGGTCGTCGAGGGAAGAGAGTAGAACCGGCTAACCTGCTCTAAAGTCAATGGCCGTTTGGCTTTGGCCTTGGGAGCTGGTTTGGTGGAAGTGGAAGCCTTGGGCTTGGATTCCTTGCGTTTAGTAACGGCTGGAGCTGATTCATCCGCTGGTGGTTTGGCAGCCATATCTGCCCATAGAGAGGCTGAGGTGCCCTCGGAGCTCCTTTCGAGCACCGGCGTAGTAGCAGATGGAGGTGTCGAGGTTTGATTGGCAGCCGACTTGAGTTGCGCAATCTCGTGGTGAGCTTTATCCAAAGCCAGTTGGAGTTCCTGGTTCTTTTTGATCAATTCTTGAGTCTGTTTGATCAAAGCTTGGTTCTGTTCCAGTTGTGAGTCGTGAGTCTGCAAGTGAGTGGTGACAGAGGCAAGACGTGAATAGATCTCCTGAATCCAAGTGGGCATCAGGGGAGACTGATGGATTTCGTCTGGTTTAGGTGGGTTCATGCCTTCAAGGAAGGCAGGTGGGTTGATCGCATTAGTGGAAGGCTCAACGACCATATTGATAGTGGAGCTGGTGGGAGCGGTTGTAGGGGCAGGAGCAACGGGTGTTGCAATATTCATAGTGTCCATAAAGTCAGTAGGTGCTTGGCTTCGCGGTGATCTACGTAAAGGTACCGTGGTAGCTTTGATAGTGGAGTGACGCCGCTTCCTAGAAGCAACGGGAAGTTTAGAGGTTCGGTTGCCGGTTGTCGTCTGTTTGGCTAAAGTAAGACGGGAGTTGGAGGTAACGGTAGGTGTCGGCTGGCTTGACAGACCTGACTGGCTTGTTGTAGCTGTGTTTGTTGTCGGTTTTGTTTGGATCTTTACTGCTTGATGATGTTGTTTTCGGGGTTTAAAAGGCCCTAAAAACAATTTAGACGAAAGAAAGGTGTGGTATTAGGAAGCATCGAATGATCTTCAAATTTATATAGTCGAATCTTGCAAAACAGTTCAATCAAGTCGAAAAAAAGACAAAATTTGTCCAATCTTGAACAGAAAAAAAAACCTTGAGTTTGAATTAACTTCGGCGGCGGCTTGCTGCTGCTGCTGGATGACCTAAATGCTTTTCTGATGATGACAATGATGATTGCGATGCTGATTAAATGGAGATCATGAAATTGAAAAGACAATTGCTTAGTGCAAATACTTTTCTTGGGAGTTTCTCCCTATAAAGATACTCTTTGCAATGACAATACCTCAAGAAATAGCTGTAGATCTTACACTCCTGCGTTTACGCATGGCCAGGTTTATGTCGCCATCTCAAGAGCAGCATCAGCGAATGGACATCTCTCCCTCCTGAATCGGATATACCCTTTTCTCTACTATTAATTGATTGTTTAAAATCTACTTGATATCTCTGATCTGAATTGTCTTCGGCGAGAGCCCGCAGGGTGACACTGACATCGAGCGAAGCGAGATAGATCGGCTAGTACCTCTTAATACTCGAAACTATACAAAACACATCAAAAACTGGGTACATTACATTGTGTTTTCTCATGCTACTGGAAGCCTTCTTTTAGGATTAACTTGCTGATATGTTTACTCGAATTTCTTTGTCGTCAAAAATTGCTATAGGTACGTACTAGACGTTCAATCCTCAAAGACTTTGACCGTACGGTCTCTACGGGAATGTTGCTATTGTACATGATACAATTTACCAAAATCGCTTCTCTTGCCTCATGCCAACTCTAAAAGCCTCCAACATATATCCATATTCTAGTATTTTATTAAAGCAATAACGTCCTAGTCAACTATATACATTAACTGTTTATTCATTACACAAATTTACTACAAACAGCAATAATTCTGGTTTCTGATGGTGCTCTCTCCCCTTATTGTAACAAGACAACTTGCTTGCCGAAATTTACACCCTTCAAGACATCAATCAAGGCTTGAGGAGTCTTTTCAATACCCTCAGCAACAGTCTCACGGTACTTCAAACCGTCTTGAAGCCACTTGGTCATATCCCTTCTGAAAGGTTCTTGCATTTCAGGGCTATCACTAACGATGAAACCACGGATTTCAAGGGACTTGGCAACAACTTGAATAAGGTTATGGATGCCGTAAGGTTCAGTGGTGTTGTATTGAGAAATCATACCACAACAGACGATTCTGGCAAACTTGTTGGCGTGAGCAATGACATCTTCGAGCATCTTGCCACCGACATTTTCGAAATAGATATCAATACCGTTGGGGAGGAGCTCAGCAAAAGCTTCCTTGGTATCCTTGGTCTTGTAGTTGAAAGCGCCGTCGAAACCGATGGACTTGAGATACTCGACCTTTTCATCACTACCAGCGGAACCGACAACGTGGAGACCAAGGATCTTACCGATTTGACCGACCAATTGACCAACAGCACCAGAAGCTATGATATGACACGCAAATGATGAATTTCCTACACACAGTCTATTCCCTCCAAACAACTTACCGGCACTGACGTAAAGAGATTCTCCCTTCTTGGGCTTACCAAACTTGATCAAGCTGAAAATACACGAAATGGGTTTAGTCATGGAGTTTCAAATAACGGAAATGTTCTTCCCGCATGAATAGAAAAAACTTACCCAACGTAGGCTGTCATACCAGGCATACCAAGAACGCCAATATAGTTGGTAAGGGGAAGACCAGAGTCCTTGGCTTCATTGCGAACCTCCAAGTAAGTAGTGTAAGGCTCAGGAATGAGAGCGTATTCAGCGAAGGAGCTCATACCATAGACGAGATCACCTTCCTTGAACTTGTCATTGTTGGACTTGACAACGGAGGCCATGACATGACCGTTCATGGGTTGATTAAGAGGGAAAGCGGGAGAGTAAGACTTGGTGCTAGCATCTCTCATACGTCCACGCATGTAAGGATCGACAGACAAACATAAGGTCTTGACAAGGATGGCGCCTTGAGGCAATTCAGCGTCGAGATCAATTTCGCTCTTTTTGACAATCATGTGCTCGCCCTCAACAGGATAGGTAGTAGGGACTTTGGCAAAGATAATTTCAGTGTTGGCAACCATTGTTTATGAAGAAAAGATGTGGGAAAGAATAGTGATAAACCAACATAGAAAAATGAAATGCATCTCGTATTTATACGCCAACAGAATAGTGAAATCGGCCAATAAAAATGTCAATGCCATTCTAGAAAAAAGGCGTGTATTATTAATCCAAAGTTATATAAACTTGAGAATTACTCATAAATCGAACTATTGAGCGTAAATCGAGCTTGCCTGGATAGCTCAATTAATTTACCTTATTCATCAAATAACTATTTTGAAGTAGCACACTGCTAAAGCGACAGGATCGGAGAGCGTAATGCGAATCATATCACGTAAGTTTATATGATTTGGAGTGTCTCACACTGCAATTGAAGTCACCATGCACAAGGTGAATGTGTGCATAGTAAGCATATCTTATGAAGGGCGGGCAGCATGCGCATATGCCAAGGGCCCTATCTAATGCTTCGCTCATCATGTGTTTTCCTAGGTCTTCTAGCCATTTCATCCGGGAATTATATTTAGGCATTTAAGCCCTATGTTTGGCGGCTGAACGTATTAACCGTTGTATTTGTATCCTTTTTTTTTTGTCGTTTCCCTGTGGCTAGACAAGTTGCTTCCCTTTCTTTTGTTCTTTTTATCATTCATCGAGCCATTATACTTCTTTTTCTCCTCTGTAGGAAATTTCAGTGTAATTACAAATTGAATAAAGATGGAAAATCAAGCAGCACACACAAATTGGACACATATTGACTCAAAAGACACTAAACAAACACCTCCCAAAGCGACAGGCAACAAGAGATCAAGAATTACCAGAGCTTGTAGGTGTGATTTTGGTTGCTGTTTGATACCAGTGCTAATACATGCCATGATGCTTTAGGCGATATTTGCCGCAGAAAGAAGATCAAGCAAGTATTTTGCGGTTGGATGGCAGGAATCTTGGATTAACATGTTTGCTGTTGTCTCGATAGATGTGATATTGATGAATCACAGCGCTGTACTACTTGCAAGCAATATGGCTGGGAATGTACCTTTAATGATGTAAGTTTGGGTGAATATGGCACATCACTGTGTGTGTGTACTAAATTCTTTTGTTACAACAACAGACAACTAAGAAAAGGGGCCCACCAAAAGGGTAAGTAATACAACAAGCTTATTTCTCGGATTATTCTCATGGGGTCCTGTTTGTAGTTACATTGAAAGTCTCGAGACTCGTCTTCGAAACATGGAAGTTTTATTAGAGAAGATGCAACCAGAAGACCAACAAACAGCAACAGCAGCAGATCAGCCACCCATGAAGAAAAAAGTAAAGAGAGAGATATCACCTTCTGTTGAGATGCCCAAATCAGTGGAGCACAGCAAGGTGGTTCGCTTCCTCGGTAGCTCATCTGGATATTACCTAGTACGAAACATTCTTTCCACCGAAGAAGAAGACATTGATGAATTGCAATCCTCTCGCCGAAGATCCTCTTCACTTACTTCTACAGCAGAGGCCGATGAACATCCAGGACCGCTGAAATTCAAAAAGATCAATGTCATTGACGACGATATTATGTTTGTACGGGACAAGACCCTGGAAGAGCATGCAGATCAGTTGGAAACAGACAAATTAGACCTGAATCCAGCCATTGCACCGAAATCGCTGGTCAGTGAATTGATTACTCGGTTCTTTCAAATGGATCATGCCAGTCTGCCTATCATCGACAAGGAGCCATTCATGGATGCTTACGAAGGCCGTACACAGCCACCACCCGCTACCATTCTGATATATGCTATTTGCACGCATACATGTATTTTATTGCCTACGGATGACCCCATTTTCAAGGATGCAGGACTGGATCGAGATGATTTGTTTGATACGCTTGTGGAACATACAACCAATCTGGTAAAGAAAGAATACCTCACACCCAGATTAGCCACTATTCAAGCACTTGTGTTACTCTGCGCTTATCCTGCCTGTGATAAGTCATTCTACAGAAATTGGTTGCGTGCTGGCATGGCAGTGCGAATGGCTCAGGAACTCGGTCTACATAGAACTCTGGAAAAACTGCCCTTGACAGAGTATATGTTTGAAGCACGCAAAAGACTGTGGTTCTGTGTGTATATTACTGATAGATGGACTTGTGCTGTGATGGGGAGACCACTCGCTATTGCAGATGCTGACTGTGATATCGATTTACCACATATCAATGGCGGACCCCAAGGCACCAAAGACTACTCACTCTTTATCAACTTTGTCAAGCTCTCAGGCATCCTAGGAGAGGTGTTGCGCAGAATCTATTCGCCCAAAGCTAGATCACAGGGATACAAGAACATCACAACCTACCATACAGTACAGAGCATCCATCGTATGCTGACGGATTGGTTGGAGCAGCTTCCAGACCATCAACGTATTACGCCACTCGAAGCCGAAACGCTGTTCAAAAGCAAGATTAAGACCAACAAGATCCAAGAGGCAGGCCCTCTCATGGTGTGCTATCATGTGGTCAATATTCTGCTGTACCGTAACTTCATGGTGGAGAAACTAGATGTTTTGCCAGACTTATTTAATGAAGCCAGTCAACGTTGTACAGAGGCCGCCAAGCATGCCATTGACATTGCAAGGTTACTGACGCCTACTCAAGTGGTACATTTCGGCTGGAATTTTGCTGGTAAGCAGAGTGTTTGGGCTGGATGGGAGCTCTTGTAAGGTAACACCTTCTAATTTTGTAGGTTATGCCGTTTTTCAAGCTAGTCTTATTCATGTGTATAACTGTACAAGCAGTTCGCCAGAGGTCGCCAAGCAATCCAGAGAATATGTCAAAATCTGTGTCGAAGAATGTATCAAACCAATGGGCGTTGAAATGACCAATGCACCTCAGAATGCACTGCCGCTGATACAAACCCTGATGGACCTCATTGGCGTGGAAAAGGAAAAGTCTACTTATGAAGCTACGCCCAACACACACACCAACCCTACTACTACTACCACTACTACTACCACTACTCAAACTACCAGTTTTAGTACTAATAATAATACCACACTAGTCAATGCCCTGCCTGGCGTCAACAACTCTGCCTTTTTACAACCACAGCAACCATCGCCCATGAGCGTGCACGCTATTGTATCTGATTGGAACCAGCCTCAAGCCAAAGTGCAGCCAGAGCCATTTGTGCCCAGTAACTTGCCTACAACGGCATGGCAGACGCTGTTTGCTTCTGCTGCCACACCGTTTTTCGATAATGAATCAGACTGGCAAAGTAAGTTTGGACTTGTAAATGTTTATGACCGCTTCAACTAATGCAAATCACTACTAGGTGTCTTGTCTACTCTATTTGACGATAACCAAGTGAAGCCACAAACAAATGCATACATGCATTAATAAAGCCATTTGCTTGTTGTACAGCAATTAAGCCCAGCCTTTTTGTTTAGAACAAGTGGATTCAGTAATAGCGAAAATGAGCTTCTGATCATTGCTATTAAATTTGAGATTGCCTTGCAGATATATACACTGTTTAAGAATCTCAATCAACGGAAAGAGTTGGTGCTTGAGGCATATAAAAACAAAAGTTACATATGTTAGCGCACAAATTGATTCGTCTTTATTCAAATTTCGTAATATGTTAAGCATGATCAAGGTGGTAATGAGAATAGAGGCCCCCTTTGTAAGAGATACTATACATGCTGCCGAATGATCTACATTTAACTCAAACCAAAGTATTACTTCCAGTTCTTCGCTTAACCTCGTCAATATTCTGACTAGCAAGATTCTCGCTATTTTGGCCACGTATACTGTAGACGGTTGTTTTAGCGTCTGTTTCAATCTTCAAGGTGTAGCACTTTGAATAGGAAGATGGTGAATCGCTCAACTGGGATGGTGAGCCATAGCTGCGCACGCTTCCTAGAGACGCTGCATTGATGTATAACTTGCTCAGCTTTGTAAATGCATGAATATCTTTAAAGTGTGTCTTTCTTGTTGCAATATGCTTGTACAGTGAAAGGACAGTTGACGAGAGGTTTCAAGTAATATATTGTAGCTGATAATGCACGCGCTGAATTTGAGTAGGGACAAAATCTTTTGCGATTGCGATTTAACAGGGTGAACGGCGGTGGGTCGCATAATACGAAATGCCCAAGCTCCATTTCATTAACTACATCAATTGTTTCCATCAGTAGTTTCCAAGACTTTCGTTATGATATTCTGATACGATTTGCATAGTATCGTTGGCATTAATCTTTCTCGACTCGCATTGTCGTTTGTAAATGGCTCCAATGGGCTCCAATGGGCTCGAAAGCAGTATAAATGATGTAAGTTGGTTAATACAATTGAGTCCAATCATGTATGTTACCCGAATCTTGTTGCTTATTATTTTCAATTGACTTGGTTTCAAGGCCAAAATACAGTCGATCTTCATTCTTGATCAGCATGCCACCAGGTGGACTTGGAACAATTGGTCTGTGCGATTTATCGCGAAATGTGATGCTGAGACCTCTTTTGGTACGACCCAACTGCGATAGGAAATGCAAACTGTTTGCAACTAGAGCCGATAAGTCAAGGGGATATAATGTTATTCAAAGTGACCATAGGTAGGACAAGAGTAGAGAAGCAGCAAGTCATTCCAGAAAGCTTCTCTGTTTCTTGGTTCTGGTTCACGCAGTGCAATGAGTTGACAAATGGCTTCAACATGTTTGGGAATTTGCAAGATATATTGCAGAGGCGCTGAACCTGCTTCCCGCAGATCCTTTATCGAAAGTATTTGTATTTTTTCATGTGAAACAATGTCTCTGGATGAGCTTGCACTCTAGGTTCTCGTGTCTAGTGTATTAATATCCAAGCGTTCTAAGGTTAAAGAGCGTTCATTAAGGATAGCATCCCAGGTACTGTACTGAGGAGATAGGCAATAACAGATGTTCAATGTCTGCAGCATGAAACCCTTTGAAATGATTCATAGAGAATTCACAGTTGCTGGTTAATAGTGATTTTATATGAATTGTCGTCAGAGAGTGTCAATACTTGAGCTGAGCTTGCTTCAGGAGATGATCATTGCATTTATCCTTGCCGAATGGGCAGGCTATCTGTAGCATTGGGAATTGGACATCATCATGTAGTAATGCAGGCCAAGTGTATTGTTTGAATGCTTCAGTTGAACTTGCTCTAATTGAGGTTAGCTCTCGACATTGCATGAAAAGCTGCTTTGTATAATCTTGCAAAATATCCATCAATGAGCCCAACAGATTTACATGCTTTACCAATGAGGCTGTTTGAGGTGCTTCTACCATGATAGTCTGACTAAAATTTGCCGTGTTTCTACCCAGATAAACTTGATTATACAGCATCCTTTGAGCTTCTCTTGACCACGATCTACACACAAGCTGACGTGCTGCAAAAAAATGACGAAATTCAATGTACCGTCTAGAGCTTCTACTAGAATCGATGGTGCAGTGAAGGTGGCTGAACACTTGGCGTAATATGTCTATAGGAAGATTATTTCAACCTTCGGGTATCATATGTGTTGAAGGAGGGGTTGTTGAAAGCAGACTGCTCCAATGATTGGACTTTAAATAATAGGTGTTCAAAGTCGCGCAACGAGAGAGAGCGTGAAAGATAGAAAGAGAGAAAGGCTTTGCATGCATCATTGAGAAAATGTCTCTTGCAAGTCAAGGTGATTTTATGGGTCCAATAAGCCGTGCCTTTTGATTTACCCGCAAACTATCACTCAATAGTAAGCGCCAAAACCAACATGAAAAGAGGCAGGAATCTTCAGCCAAGACTCTCAAAGCAAGTAATATGCTCAAAGCTATCCAATTCTGAATAAGGTTGGTGACATTTTATTTTTTGTTATAAAAACGTTCGTTAACCTTTTTTTTCTTTTTGCCTTTCTTTATTCTTTATAAATACCCACTACTCAATTATAAAATGGATAGTTACGGATACCCCATTTCAGAGAGAAACTACGATGATCAAGAAGAGTCATACCAATCGTCTTCCTCTTTCCACAAGGTAATTTAATCCAGGCTCATTAGTGACCGAGGCACACTTGCTGAGACTCGTAGATAGACAACCCATCATACCTCTAGCTACTCTTCCTCCTCTTACGGATACTCGTCCTACGCAGAGGGAGCAGAGGAGGGAAATGATAATAACGACCCTCATTTCACAGAGGAAGACTACAACCGTCCCAATCCCAACTACCCTCAACCACCCGAGTCAAAGCATAATCCAGGCCCTGATCCTGGTAAGTCGCTTGGTATCTGCTTTGAAGCATAGAGGTTCTCAACATGCTATATAGTTGAATACGGCGGTATGGCTACACACCATAGCGAGAACGTTCCGGGCAATGAGTTTTTCCTGCACGTTGATCCTACTGTCGAAAATGATGAACCTGAATTTGAGCTCTCCAACTGTAAGTAGCATCTATGGTGAACGAAGCGTGCTTGTATATGTATACTCATGGCAAACGCGTTTACAAGGTCGTGGCAAAAAGAGAGCCTTGTTGATCGGTATCAACTACATTGGCACTAGTAATGAATTGAATGGTATCACAAACAAATGAAGCTTCGGAAATGACGATGGTATTGATTCAGCCCTATATTTTTTTTTAGGCTGTATCAATGATGTAGCCAACATTAAAGACTTCATCACCACACTCTATGGTTTCAAAGAGGTAAATAGGCATGAGAAGAGAGCGAGAAGTCTTCAGTGTCTAATTCAATTTGCAGGAGGATATGGTCATTTTGACAGATGATCGTGAGGAAGAAAAATTCAGACCCACTCGAAACAATATCATTGCTGCCATGCAATGGCTTGTGAAAGATGCTGAGCCTGATGATTCGTAAGTCGTAGTGCCGCAACTCACAACTCGATATTGACATGCTGCGAATAGCTTCTTTTTCCATTACAGTGGTCATGGTGGTCGAGTGTATGATGCTCACAGTGATGAAGACGACAGTTTTGATGAGACCATCTATCCTTTGGACTTTCAAGAATTTGAAGGTGAATCTGGCCAGTTGAGGGATGATGTAAGCCTTTCAGTTCAAGTTACATACACAAGATTGCTAAGCAAATGCTATTCCATTAGGACATGCACGACTTGCTCGTCAAACCATTGCCTCCTAAATGTAGACTGACTTGTATTTTTGACAGTTGTCATTCAGGCACCGTTCTTGACTTGCCTTTTGTTGTGAGTAGATTGTGTAAGGATATGTATGGAAACTAAATTTTGTGCCTAGTATTCCACTCGTGGTGAAATCAAGGAACAAAACTTGTTCAAGCATGCTGGTCAAGGCATCTTTTCTGCTGGCATTGCGTATGCTCGCGGTGATAAGGATGGTGCTCTTTCGTCCATCATGTCTCTTGGCAAGCAACTGATGGAGGCACGTAATGTATCTGACCGAGCACGCAGAAAGAACACCTCGCAAGCTGATGTTATCATGTTTTCTGGCTGCAAGGATGATCAAACCTCTGCAGACGCCACTGAAGCAGGCAAGGCTACGGGTGCTATGAGTTATGCCTTTACCAGTAAGTTGAGCTAGATCTTGGAATAGACGCAGTTATTAAATTTGATCCATAATAGCAACCCTGCGCAAGAACCCCAACCAATCTTACCAAGAGCTATTGAACAGTGTTCGTGATATTTTGCGTGACAAATATTCTCAAAGACCTCAAATGAGTTCATCGCATCCCATTGATGTCAATCTTGAATTCCAATGTTAATGGCCACATCACCGAAGATCTATTAACATATCAAGATCTATCCGAATAAAATCATTTTGTGTAGTGAATCATCATCCCTACGGGACTTTAGTAGGTCGCCACTTTATGTGGGGACTCTTCCCTCACTATGGATCTGGCGGGCAAGAAATGCGAGAGACAACATGAGCCTAAAATGAAAAGTGTGAGGAGGGTTTCTCAGTAGAAGCAAAAAGTATTGAATAGCCTTACTTGTTTGAATTGTTGATACGTCAAAATGGAGAGAGAGGAAGACCATCCTCAGAGCCCAGACTAGAGAAGCTGTAAGGGCAATGCTCTCTGCGCCATTCAGATCGCGATTGAGTGTTGTATTACCTGTGCCGAGCCTTGGACATGTTACATTTGAGCAGACAACTGCGCCGGGAATCCTTTTCAAGCAACCATCCCTGAAATGGACTTGTTTGGTTGTTCAATGAAAGCAGGAAGAGCATATTACTGTTGACTTGTACGCACCGACAGACACGATCGAGTCCTTTGTAGCAGCCAATTGCTTGTAGTAGGTTTTGGGGCTTCTGCAAGAATGACCCTTGATGTCAGCTTTAGAACTATATCAGTTCCTCATGGATGTAACGGACGGACCCTTTGCTTGATGGTTGATGACCTTGTCACTAGCTACCTTCTTTCTTTGATATTACTTTTTGAGTCAACACTTTCGCTTGAGTAATGCATTTCGCTGTCTCTTTTTCTGGCTGATGCCCTTCTTCTCTTTGTGTTTCCTATCTTGATGCAACTTGATGGCAATATTGACGATGTTTGCAATCAAAGAGAATGTGTGATTTGTGTCCTTTAGGTGTGGCACTGTCTTGTCATTCGAGATAGCTGGAACCTGTTGACATTTTGGAAAAAAAAGGGGAGGTGGCTATCCCAAATGCAGCAATGACAATACCTGGATCAATGATGATTGTAGTCGGGTTGGTCACAATAGGCCTGAGTTTGGCATCAATAGGAGGACTTTGGGCTGGAATAGGATTCAGTGATACATATATGCTTATTGACAGATGATACCTCTTTAGTGAAGAGCAATAGACATTTCGACCTTGAGTCATTGTTAATATCAATTTTAGAGTTTAAAAAACACCTGTAATGTGATGAAGATAATGTCGACAATACTATATATGGAACGAGGACAATGATTTTGGTATTCAAAGAAAAACATCCATTGTATTATATGTAGACGTATTTTGACATAAAGCAAGTCAATAAACGAAAACAGCGTTACAGTTTAGATTCTTTTCGTGAGCACCTCCTTGATTAGACTTTATGCATCCAAAATGCTACCCAGTTAATTGACCATCACCTAGTCAGTACGAGTACATGTCCTTTAATGACTTCACCACCATTGAAACCTCGAAAACAAAGATTCGATACTACCTTATCGTAATTGCATAGTTGAAGTGAGTAGCTGCTCGACATTTAAATGCCTCCTTAATTGTTCTTTCTGTTCAAATGCGTATTTTGTGCAGACATACATGTTGCAGGTGCTATACGAGAGCTTCTTAAGCTTATCATTGATTGCTGCTGCTGGTTCAAATTGAAGTATATCGACAGTGTAGAGGCCCATCGTAGAGAATCCATAGCTTTTAAGCACGGCGCTCTACAATCTATAGAGATATAAACAATTGATTGATCGCAATATGTGTATATCTTTGATGAAAACCAACCTTTTTGTGAAGTATTGAAGTAACAACTTAAACAAAAGTAACTTTTGGAATTTCTTTTATCTTTAAATCGAAATTATTCCAAAATGTTTGTCAAAAAGAATATTACTATCCTTCCATAACATAATGAATGTAAAGAATGTCTCTTACATTTAATGAATAGTAGATCAAGTGATTGCATCTTGTTTTACTTTGAATAAAAAACAAGAATATAAGTTGTTGTACCTACTTGGTTATAGCTCTTTTATTATAGACACAAAATTATAATATATGACAGATTAATAGAAAATCGACTAGTTGTAACCCTTTGTTACTTCAACCTCCGAGCCAATCAGATTGCTTGAAAACTCCGCTGACCTAAAAAAAATTTTGCGAGGGTTTCCCCCTGTTTTGATGTGAGGCAAAATTTTAAGCTCCGCTATACAGCAATATAGCAGATGCTATCATCAAATTTCCCCCAGGTGCTAGAGCATGCCTTACTTACACCACCTAGCTTTTAAATTCTGGCATTGAGACCCTCAATCATCACTAAAGTAAGTAGCGATAACCAAGTGGAGGCGGCCTATCTACCTCCTAGCCTCGGATAAAGTCTTGTTGAGCTTCAGGGATAGGCACATCCACACAACATAAAAAGGTATGCTTCAAAAGAAACATATAATAAGAGAAAGAAAGAAAAAGAAGAAAAGAATATAATATTATACGAGTATAGTAAGCAAAAAAGAAACACTCACACAAAGTGGTTTTAAAAAAAAAGCATATCATGAATATAACATCTAAAATATTATACTGAATGCATTGCAAAAATGTTCATATTATATTCTGGTTGCGACAACAAGAATATATACATAAATAACGTGCATGATAAAAGTCTGATGTAAAGAAGCAACACAAGTACGCACAATCGCAGGAGCAACAGTGGTATATATGAGTGGTGTGTAATATAATACAACATGATGACTAATGTTGTCTCATGTGAAGCCACAGAGGCAACACAGACAACAACCCACGGCAATATAACAAAGTATTACAACCGCAATACAAGTATGTAGTAGCAGTGAGTCATGCTTGTTGTTGTTCGTACATACGAAACAACGACATTGCACGTATTTGTTGAGCTGAACATATCACAGTCAACGAAAGAAACAAAAAACGCAACAAAATACACGTCAAGAGTGCATTATTATTACGAGAAAGGAAGCAATAATAACAAAAACGTCCAGAGAAGTTTTATATTATTGAGACCAGAAGAAAAAAAGTTACTTACCACTTACCACAACCACCAATAGACCTCCAGCAGAGAATGCGCAATCACCAGAGACAGACCAGAGAACAAGCATACAACATAAAAAACAGTAGACCATGAAGGACCAGCAGATTACCAGCAGCACCACTATAATAGAGAAACGACAAGACAACATTAGAGAAAGCTATACACAGAACGTACACAGAAGACCATACGCAGATCAGACACAGACCAAACAAGTAGCCGCAACAGCGCCACTACAATAGAGGAACAAAAGAACAAACAATATTAGAGATGGCCATACACAGAACATACCAGTTACAGACCAAACACAGACCAAACACAGACCAGATAAAGACCAGATAGAGACCAAACAGAGACAAGATACAGTCCAAATAACCAGCCGCAATAACAGCACCAGGATAAAGAAATGAGAGAATAAACAGCGCCAGCGAAGGCCATACACAGACCGAATAATCAGCCACAACAGCATTATTATAATAAACGAGAGAACAAACAACATTAGAGAAGACCATACAGTGACCATGCAGAGACCAGATACTTGCCCGACGCATACCAAATAAGCAGATACCAAAGATGGTAGACTAAAAGAGATACCAGAGATAACATAAAAGTAAAGGCAGCAGGATCAACGTCAAACTGGCAAAAGAATTATCAAATAATCCTAACAAATAAATACTTTTAGTGTTTATTTCACGCCTTCCTGTGCTCATTATTAAACCATACCTGCTAAATTCCACTTGAAAGAAGCAGTATCAAGTCTTTTTAACAATGCGAGACAATGTTATCAGAGGCTAGTAGGGTGTTATTATCAATAAACGGTTTACAAACCCACCATGGTTTGATACTAAACGCGTTTTGCAAAAAGGGGAAAAAACGGTGGTATGAAGAATGAGAGGGCGCCCTACACGACGTCACGGCCAGTAGAATTAGTCTCAGTCTTCTGCCGTGGCAGTCGTAACTGCTGCGCTTTAATTTGAAATTGTGCAGTGGGTATTTTCGTGTTCAAATTTGACTTGATCTCACATCTTTTGAACGTTTTTGCTAAATTTGATAATGAAAATTGTCGTTGTCACACCCAGCTTTCTAATATATCTTTAGAGGGCTAAAGAAGCTGCATCAAATGGTGCTAATTTCACTCAGCTTTCTGACCAAAAATAATGAGCAATTTGCAAAAATATGAAAACAGGTTTTCTGTGAATATGTCGAAATCTAGCATATAAAACTCTCGTAGAAACAGCTTCCAGTGATCCATTGCATCTTTACAATCAATTTGATTCGATATGTATCATAGGAAAAGTCTTCATTTTTGGGGCGAAAAACACGATCGTTTGATTTTCAAGAATTTTTCCCTTATTAGTACACATAAAAAAATGAAGATTTTCATGGATATGCGATGACCTAGAAAATTTTGAGATAATGCATCAGTAAATAAAGCGTGGACAAGCGGAGTCGTTTGGCGCTATTCCAAGCGCACAGAACGTTTTGTAGCACGAGTTATTCGTGCTTCAAAATGACTAAATTTAGACAGAATTTGACTTAAAAATAAGGCGTAGTAGGTTGCTTTGCCAAAGAAGTAAACAAATTAAAACTCTGTCGGATGTCTCTGATGTTTTGCGTTGTACGGAACTTAATTTCTTTATGACAAACGTGTTTATTCTCATTCTAACGTGTTTAGGATGTAGATCATATCTGAGAGGCAAATGTATTATACAACGAAGGATAATACAAAAGAACAATTGAGCAGAAAAAGAAATGCGCGGTATATTAAGATCTCTTTATTCAGACAATACAAAGGAATAAGAGTGATGCTATCAAATGGCTAATCTATATCCTAATTCCTGAAGTGTGGCGGCCTATGGCCTTTCGTCCCTGGAAGCGGCTCTCTATTCTGACAAATGTTCTTCCGTCAAATCTACTGCGAATAACATTCTATCCTGAATCCTTATTGTTGTTCGTTCCTGACTGGCTGCCCATGAGCTTTCACGCAGTACGTCTTCCTTAACTGGTTCACAGGTTATACAATTATCTCGTCGTATTCAAGATCAAGGTCTTGTTGCTGCGGTACTGTCAAATAACTATAAATACCTTCGAAATTGACACTGGTTTTAATTCTCATTCAATCTTGGAATAGCATAATAAGTATATTCAGTTCTAATAGTATTTCCTCTGGCTATATTTTGTCATTTTAAATAGTAATCTACCTTGGCGTTTGATCCATATCGTGGTTGTGCATCAGCCTGTCATCGTGAATAATATCCAGTGATGTGAAGCTATTACGCCCAGGCGTAAGTGATACTTAATCCTTAGTATGTCTCGGTCTTCGTGACAAAATAGCGCCTTCCTTATTCTTTGAACTTTCATCTATATGTTGACTCTTCTTAACATCAGAGGATTTGAATCTGGTAAAGAACGCGGTACAAGATTTTCTAAATTGTTGTTTTCAAGTTTGTATCGCGACGGATAACACTTGTTCTTGCTTGTGGATATTTCTTGTGCTCCGAGATGTACATTTTTCTGTTTGAATAGCCATGATAGACATTGCAGGTTTTGTATGAAAACATGGCACACATAGGACACTTTTCAATGGCTTTTTACACAAGAGCTTGTTATTCCTAGAAACTAATATAGACAGATGAAACCATCACTTTATCAACTGGGTATTGGGCTTTCGTAACCTTACTGTTTTCTGCGTAGGTTAGGCTATATTACTGATGATCTGTTTCTTAACTCTTATGTTCATAGCCATTATAAGCTTGGAATAAACAAATAGCTACTTGCGTTTGAGGTGACTCAGCTTAGTTGTACTATTGCCTTGGTATTTGGTATTTTAGGTAGCACTCTCTTTGGACAATCTATATACTGGCAAGCAGCATGTTAACAATTCCTCCTACTGGTCAATTTTATGCAAATCACAGCCAAATTTGGGTGGTTTAAAGCTGCAATTTCTCGTATTAGAAACTGTTTTAGACCACCAGAATAGCGCCACACAATTGTCCCCATCTAGCATTAACATACTGGTTGTTAAGCACAAAAAATAAAAGGATTATTATTTGTAGCTTATAAAAAATGTTCGATATTATAAAAACAAGAAAAGACTTATTTGAATAAGATCAGACACAAAAACTAAAGATTTACTGATGAAGACAAGAGTTATTCTATTTATATGAAGTTCTGAATGCCAAAGTAGCAAAATATCTTGTATAACGCTTATCACATCTGGTGAACCTCAGCATTTAGATAGCTGAGATGCACTTCAATTATCATAGTTTGTCCATGTTGTTGCACAACACAGACATATCTACCCATCAAGAATACCTTAATCTTTATAGACAGTTGTAGCCCTTCTAGCACAACACTGGTACCATTGCTCAACTTTTTTGGGACCAAAAAAACATCATCAAAAATCGACAGAGAAACATGAGGAGTACCTCATGGTTTTTTCCAAAAATCAAACGATCGCGTTTTTGACCACGAAAATAAAAACTTTTACTATAGCATATAGTAATTCGAAATGATGCTGCTAATCCAAAGTAGCCCCTGACATCACTTTTGGGAGACCTTCATATTTAAAATCTCAACATTTTCAGCGAAAACCTCATTCTATATTTTTTGATATTGCTCAACAGGTTTGTCCAAGACAAATACTTTTTATAGTACCATCGGATGCGCCTTGAAAAGTGCTCTGGAAATGCATTAGAAAGCATAAGGTGATCATTACAATTTACATAGTTGAATCTAGCAAAATAAGTCGAATCGAGTCTAAAAAGATGGAAAATGAACAAATCAGAAAAAAATACCGAGCGGAGATGTTACCGATTTTGGCTGCTGCTGGCTGCTGGCAAATTTAACGCCTCTGTAATCATACGTTTGCCAACGATCAATGTAGAAAAATACGTCTACTTTGTTTCAGATATACCGCCTTTGTACCTGTATTCATGATCTTGTCAAGATCATGGTAACATATTTGCATTCATCAAGAAGCAAATGATGAATTTAGCAACAAGATAATTGGGAACAATGCAGAATGCAATCATAGAGGATTTAGCCGTAAGAAGTGCGATTCCTGTTGATCAATATCTCCAAATATCTAATTATTTTGGTAACAGAGCCTCAATCAAGCGAAAGCCAAGACCTGGTCTTCTATTAGTGATTTCATTCTAGCACAAATATGGAAGATCTCCCATTAATCCAATGACATTCGGCTATCGCCAGCCTCGCCTTGGTGGAAGGGAACACCAAAAGTGGCTTTTGAGACTAATCGAGTGACACAAGCCAAGTACAAAATAGCCATCCGAAAATGTATACATGAAATGTGCAAGCAATGTGCAATTTACAGGTCTTGAATGTAAAGTTTTCTGTCGTGAAAAGAAAACGTTACATCTGTTGTTTGTATGTTGGAGCCAAAGAAGGGAATTAGTTTGACACAACCATGTTTTGACTGATGAAACGTACATTTATTTACAATTTGGAGTTTTAATTTTTAGTATTGGTATTTGATGTATATAGATTTTGACACGGCGTCAAGCACATGTTTACAATCAACATCTGTAAATTATTCATATATTACAGAGGCATCAGTTTATACACTATAAATTGGTTTGGAACCCATAAACAACCATCTAAGCGACAATTAGGGCTGAGCTGCCATAAAAGTAATTTGACGATCATCCGGGAATCAATACTAGTGGGTCAAAACGAAAGAAAGAAAATGCTGTGTGGAGGGCTGCGAACCAAAAACGAATAGACTATATAAAACGAGTGGTGGAAATCCTTTTTCTCTCTTTTTCTCTCCCTTAACGATAGCTATTTTACCCCTTCTTTTTCCTTTCTTTCTTTCTTTCTTTCTCTCATTCTCTTCCTTGCCTCTTTTTTTTTCTCTCGCAAAAAGAGAAATCCCTGAAAATAGAGATCAGATTTTTCGGGTATAACAGCAACAAATTTTTCTGATTTCATAAAAAAAAAAAGAGCAAAGAGGATGAAAGATTCTCTTTTCTACAAAATGTTTGGTTCTGTCAGGCTTGTGCAAGAAGTTACAAGGTCAAACCAGCAGACAGCAGCAGCGAATACAACAACTCCTAATTTAGCAGATGAGTCTATTATTGTCCAAGAGCCTTCCAATGTCTCTGATATGACAAGGGAATCAGTGGAATCAACTCAAATCAAGCAAGTAGATAGCACTGAAGCAAAGCAAGATATACAACGAAAACAACAAGAGCAGCAGCAGCAGCAGCAGCAGCAGCAACAGCAGCAGCAGGCGTACATACATCCACAGCAATCTGCTTCATCTGCACAACAACCACAGCAACAACAACAACAACAACAACAACAACAACAACAACAACAACAACAACAAACCCCACCTTGTTGGTCTACTCCTACTCAGCATATACCCATTACCTTCAGTGCAATCACTTCGCCCAGTGTTTTTTCCTCGTACAAATCTCGTGATTTTAGAAATCTATTTACTGCCACTAATACAACTAGCATCAACTCTAATCCATCCGCACCTTCTCCAACTACGGTGAAATCACATACAAGAAAGAACTCCAAGTATACAGTTCGTCATCATCGTACCCGCCAGTCGTCATTCAATGGCGCTACAAACTCACTGGCTTACTTTAACTCCAATTCCATCTTGCGTAAACAAGCGCCCACCCATCATCATCATCATCATCACCAACTACACAACTTCTTACAGTTACAAGAAGAACAGCAAAAGAGCAAATCACAGAAATTGCTCTGTCTGTGGCCCTTGCCTACTGTCACTCGCTACATGATCTTGATCGCACTACTCGTATCTACTCTCAACTGCTTGCATATGTTGGACCTGTCTTGTTCTGCACCCTCGTTTGTTGTATATCGACTCGATATCAAGAACATGGTATTCTCTCCATTTTTATTCGATTGGACATTACCCAGTATGGCATTGTTTGGCTGGAACGTGTTGATATTAGGCTTGTTTGAGGAATCGTTAGCGCATATGGTGGGTGGCACAAAGAGGTTTATTCAGCTTTTGTTGGTCTTGTTCACCACAGTCTCCCTTGTGAGAGTTTGCTTGGGCCTTATCTTTTCAAAGGCTACAGGTTATGCATTCCCTTCATTGTTCTTTAGCAATACGATGCATGAGTGCTCTCAAGGTTTGTGTGGGTTTGTTTTTTTTTGTAGTTCAAGTGTACTCATACTGTACAAAAACCAGGTCTTTCTCCGTTCCTGTTTGCTCTTCTTGTAGTGCAATCGCTCAGCATTGATGACAAATACATTTTAATCTATGGACAAGAAGATTCCAATCACAAGCTCACTGTGCGTAAAGTGACACTCCAGCTTTTCATGTGTCTCGTCAACTACACCAACAGCAATATTCTTTGGTGGTCCATTTCCGGCCTGATCATGGGATTTCTCAGCACCATCACATTGCAAGGACTCTTGGCTTACGAGAAACGAGAGGATTCAGCAATGGTAAAGGATGTCAGTGAATTCATTACATTGGAGCAATACCGCCGCACTCCACTTTGGCGCTTGATCTGGTCTTCTGTCAAAAAGTGCATCGTAGTGATTGGATTGACATTGCCTGTATTGATGGTGTGGAACTCGTATTACACGCATGAGTCGATGGTGACTCCAACGGAACTCAACACCATGTCACAAGACAGGTATCTGTTCACGTTTGTATTCATGACAGCTCCCCGTCGTGGCGATCCAGCTTATTTGACCAGAACGATCGAGTCTTACTTGGAAAACTGGCCCGAATATCCAGCACCCAGCTCACCTTATCACCGCATGCAAGCCATCATCTACACACATTTCTCAAATCATTCTCAATACGATCTCGCCAAAGAGCATTTTTCCAACACAACAAAGGGTCAACGCTACTTGAAGTGGGTTCGTGAGGATGGAAATGACTGGAATCAGCGTTTGCATGTATCAAAGGCGTTGGATTTTGTCACCGAGACCTATCAGAGCACGTATTACGCCTTGATGGAGGATGATTTCCCAGTCTGTGGAGCACACGAATGGCACGCTATTGAGAATGTCATTTATAAGGCAGAAAAGAGTGTGCCAAATCACTGCGGTGTATTTGTTGGCACGGGTGGCAGGTAAGAATGGGATGCACTGCCCTGAACTTGATTCTCATGTGTTTCTGTAGCGGCCTCTTTTTGAAGCCTGATTTAGCTCGATTGGCATCTCAACTATTACTTTCTTATGTGGACATGCCACCAGATATCATCATTCAAAAATGTTTAATGGGCGATTTACCGGAATGCTCCAGTTGCAGCAACTCATTGGTCACCAGCAAAACCTTGCTGATGTATCATATTGGCTACAACACATCTACCAGCGCTGATAGAGTGTATAGAAAAGATGAATTTCAATGTGGCTGGAGACATCCATTTAATGGCAATCCCAGCGTTGTTACATTGTAAATTAGATAGACTTTCCTTTTGCTTTTTCTTTTTGTTTAATTTGTACATTATATATGCCTAATTCTTACTTTGATTCCCATTTTATCTTTCCTATCGTTCCCAACATTTTGTTACTCGATCGTGACAAGTACATGTGTCATTCATCCTTAATAAACACGCACCACGTTTTGAACAGTCATTTTTGTTTTGTCAGGGGAGTAGACGCTCTTGCTAACCAGTACAAAAATAGGGAATGACATGATCACAGTCAGTATGGACAGATCAGAACCGAAATCAAGGGGCAGCAAATGCCTCCATATATCACACTCGTTTAAGAATTTTATGTTTTACACGTTATCATTGACCCATTGACTCAATTGATCCCAATCGAAAGCCGCGGGTAGATCCCAAAATACATTGTTTGGATCATTTCTAAATATATTTGTTTGCTCTTGATTTGTCGATAATGGTTGCTGCTGCTGCTGTCGTTGTCGTTGTTGTTGTTGTTGCGCTGGTATGTGTGATGTCGTATTGGATGCGTCTTGTTGTTGCTGCTGTGGCAGTGGAGATAAGGGATTTGAACACGCATTGATACTTTCTGTAAAGCCAGATAAACTAGTGACATTTTGCAGAATGTAATCCAGTGCGCTTGTGTCGTTGGTCGTATCAAATCCAAACTGTGTCAATGTAAATGCCTCTTCAGTAGCATCGATGGGCGGCATTGCTGCTGCTGCTGCTGCTGCTGCTGCTGCTGCTGCTGAGGGCTGACTGGTGGAAGCAGTGGGAGTGTGAATGAGTGCTTGTTGGTAGTAGTAGGATGATGGCTTTTGTAGCATGACTGAATCCATGATACGCTTCATGGATGGTCTTTCGGCTGCTTTGTTCTTTTCTCTTGCTTTGATCCTCCTGATATTCTCTTCAAGGTGATTCTCTTCTTCCGCTAGATTTCTTTCCACATTGTCATCTTCGGCAGCGTGCAAGTCTGCATTCTCTGTGATACTCTTGAATACAAGATGCATCCGGCTTGCAGTCTTGGACATGTGCTGTAGGCGCTGCAATAGTTCTGTACCTCTTTTCAGGTACTGTTTCGCCACTTGTGAGACGTTGGGGTCTGAATTTTTGCCATTGTACATGTGGATGATGCCAAATTGCATGATGGGATAGAGCGTGAATGAATACGGGCACATTAGAAAGTTCCTTGCCGATAATCGAGAAGCAATACGCATACCACGCGTGGCAGCACTGGTGCAAATCTGTTGTGATGTGTTGGATGATCGAGATGCTGTTCGTCGGATGAAAGGTTGATGCAGTAGAATCAATGTGCTAAAGTAAAATAGCAGTACCGATGCAATGGCAGGTGCAAAATGACCATCGTCCTCATTGTAATCGGGCAGATTGATGTTTTTGAGAGAGGTAGGAAACGCGTATCTCCATTCAGTCAGCTCAAAATCAAGCCGAGTAACGAGGCCATAACTGCCATGCTCAGAGCTGTATTTTCGTGCCGTGGGCGTATGTAACCCAGTCAAAATGCGTCCCAGGATCTCGGATAACTTTATAAATTGAATAAAGAGCTCATATATCTGAGGGCGGCGATTGTTGTTTGATGTGATATCGTAAGGCGTAGTAAGTGAGGGGAATCGAGGGAAGACTTGGTTGCACTGGATTTTTGACCGATCTGCTTCATATGCATCCATCACTTCCTCAATATCTGCCCCAGCGTCAGGATACGGCACATTGATGTCCTAAAGAGGTGTCAGAATTCTGCACAGTGTACAGCCAAAGAGGCATTTTACCTCGTCTCTCAGATTGATGGGTCTCCCCAAGATGGCAGTCTGAAATCGATCTGTAATGTATAGTGCCCACCACACTCTCTTCCTTGTCTCTTTTTCGTTTCCAGGAATATCCCAGTCGTCGCAGTTTCGATGCAAACCAAGTAGCTGAGCCATTCTGATCGCCTACATATGCAACACCACACACATCAGATAATTGAATACTATCATCATGTCGTGATACCCACAAATCCACCCAGTTGCCAGCAAGCAGATGACTTTGAATCACGATCGCCACGATGATTCAAGATGAGAATGATGGCCTGGACATTAGAGATGGTGGGGTTCGTCGGCCATTTGGATATAATGTACTCGGCTTGATCGAAAAACTTGTTGGACCATCCTACAGGAACATCCCAGACAGCATCTGAAGGCAGGGTTCGCTTTCTCTCTGGCTCGACACTTTCGCATTCGACGAATCGAGCAGCAGCACCAAACATGGCATTCAGCAGTTCCCCCGAGGGATATGTCTCCACTCTATCTCGATACTGCTTGATAAACTCGGTCTTGTCAATGACGGGTAGAATGGGGTGAATATGTGAGAAGTAACTATACGTTGTAGCACGGATTAATACATGGCTCTCCTCTGGTAACTGTTCTCCTATACCAACATCTTTAATAGTCGAACAGACGTATATCTATCCAGTCCAGTGACGGTATAAATGTATTTGTGGATATCCTCTTGCTTTGAATGAATGTCCTCTGGCCATTGAAAGTCTGGAATCTTGCTTGATGTGGGATTACTGAGCCCTGGATCTGCCACAAGCACAGTGTCATTGCCAAACTTCTTGATATAATGCTGTTGCCATTTCTGCTTGTTGCATGTGTTGATCTTTTTCGACAAGAATTGCAAGGCGGATAAATCTCCCAAATAATGTATGCTGTCATAGGCGACCCCCGAGGGCCAGTTGCGAGGGTCCAGCACAGCGTATTCCTCAAATATGTTGGACAGCAATCCAGGCGGGTCAGTGTTGGGCTGGTTTTTGGATCGAAATCTACGTTGCACTAGCAGTTTATTCTTTTGGATTTCGGGGGTGATGAGTGCGTCCATGTTCTTTCGCTTCTTTTGCTTTGATGCTTCCTGAATGACGGCCTCCATCTGCTGTATGCGCTCCTCCAAGTCATCTGCGTAACTGTGATAGCTGTAAGCCCATGTGTAAGTTGATGTCTCGCATGATTTTACCCTTTCTGTGGTCCTCGCTTCCTAACACTGGTTTAAAATCAATTAGACACCATCAATGCACGCCATTACTGTGGCTACTAACACTTTTGTGAATTGGCAGGTCTCGTTGTATGCCTGGCAATTGAAGCACACTTGTCCCTCTTGAAAGGCACATTTCACTTTTCGTCGTCTGCAGAAATCACTAATGACATGTTACTCACAATGCTGTCGATTCAAGCAAAACTGTCTCCATGTACCATGCTCTTGTCACTCGGCGACTGACTTTCTTTTGTGAACCTTCAGATTCGTTCTCTGCTGCTGTAGTAGGAACAAGAGTTTCCGTATTCATAAAGAAGAAGACATGTGGGAATTCAGAAATGGATTTTATTCATATCAAAAGCAGTCAGTTCCACTAGCCTTACAAACGAGACCAAATCCATCCAGACAGCCACGAAGATCGCTTGTTGGGGTCAGCTAATCTGGGCACATTGATATCCACTTCCTCAGTCTCGTAAACAGGGCCTACATTATCAAACACTGGCTTCGTCTCTGTCGTATCCAACTCGAGCACCGTGATAGTAATATCATCACGGTAATTTCTGGATGGCTTTCTTGTCAGGCGCTTTGATAGCTCAAATGCCTCGTTTTCAACTGGCTCCTTCTTTCCAACATTCTTGTACACTGCTTGATATAACAAGGCTTCACGGACCAAGTGAGTAGCTGGATTGGCCTCTCCCTTGGATTTCCATGTACTCATAATCTTGGCTGCTTGCTCATCTCCGTCGGTGCTACGAACATTATCCCAGCTCAACTCGTCCCATAATCCATCAGTGCCCAAGATCACAAAGCGATCTCCCTTGTCCAACTTGTGCTTGGAGACCAAAGGCTTCGATTCAAGATAAGGAGGTGTCTTGTAATTGACCACAATGCGGTGGTGATAGCGTGCAAATGTCTTGTAAATGTCGTAGGGAATGAATGGCAACACCTTCATTTGGTAGTCGACTGGCACCTTGTACATGATATCACCAAATGCTACACATGGTTAGTTAAAGGCAGCCTGTCTTAGCAAGTAAGCAAGCACTTACATCCACCCACAGCAATCAAACCAAAAATGCGTTTTCTCATGACAATGACTTCGGATTCACTAGCAGGATGCTGTGAGAGCATATGTGCTTTCCATTCAGGGCTGGCAGGTGATTGCTCTTCAACCAAACGTCTGCCTCTCCATGTGCCGTCTTCCTCCTGGCTAACAACTGCGACATAATTACTAGTATCTATATAATCAACACAATGCAAGAAGCTACTTACTGACAACTCTGGAATCACCAGTATTAGCTGAATAAATATACCCATCTTTGACGTAAACAGCACAAGCACAAGAGCCATTGATAGCTTCGTTAATGATGGCTTCAGTAGCCTTTTGATCAGGTTGACGGGCAATGGCAGCTCTGATGTCTTTTTCAGTGGTTCGTTTGACGTTTTTAGGAAACAAATCATAAAAGCGCTGTTGAATATCGCTATCCAGATCCACAAATGCTGTTGAAATGGCTTCTTCAGTGGTCTCAGCATTGACACTGACCTCCAACTCACGAGCCATGTAGATGGGCAGTTGCTTTTTGATCAAGCGAGAACAGTGAGGACCAATATGGCCTTATAAAGGAGTTAGTCTTAATGCAAGAAGCTTATTCGGAGGGACTCACCATCATAAACACCAGCAATCAAGCCATTCTGAAAAGTGTTGATACTGTAGTTGTCCTCCACAGGGTTGTTGGAAGGCAACTGGTTGGTATAGATGGCTTTGACATGGTTGGTCTTGACCTTTGTAGCAAATTGACCGGATCTCAGACGTTCATCGATATCGCTGCTGGATAATAATGTGAAAGGGCGAGAGTCGTAAAATCTGGGGACGTAGGGTTGCTCCTTGGCATTGACTACAGCAGCGGCTTCCTTTGCTGATACTGCTTGTTTACTGCTAGCAAGATAATAGCCGCCAGCGCCTGTGAGGCCAAGTCCTGCAACAGTGGTAAGAGTTCGTATAGGAATAGTCATGTTGCAAGAGAAAAAAAAAATGAAAAATCGAGTCGCGTTTTCTAATCTGTCGACAAACATATTACCACCACTTCGCTGATTGATTCTGAGGCCAGTAGAGAAGCAGGCTGGTGGAAAAGCCAAAATGCAAGTGGATTGATCCACAGAGCCAAGGCAGTTGCTATTACTGCTAAATTCTTCTACTGGCATTGAAGGGCCTCATCACGGCTTAGGATTCTCTACATTTACATGACCTGGCTCTTTGAGTCAGCCCGGCAAACAAAGCCAACAATGAATGAATTGATCTTCTATTATACAAGTAGTTTTTCTTTATTGGAATTAAGTCGTACATTATACTTTTAAGGGCTTTTTGTGATCCAAAGATTTCCTCGCCATATCACCCACTTTGTCTATTGATTTTTTGTCTACATGAGATCTTAATAAAGACTTCAAAAGGTATCTCCATGTCACAGCATTTGGTTCTACACGGTTCTCGTTCATGTGGCTGAATAATCGTAAGGCTAACTCACTCTTTTTGAAGATGGCACAGCCCTGCAAAAGTGCAGTATAGGTTTCTACAGTGGGTTGAACAGTTTTGTTGGCACACATGTGATCGAAAATACTGGTAGCTTGTGTGATATCGTGCTTTGCAAAACAAGAGATAAGCGTGGTATAGGTATATACGTTGGGCTTTTGAAAGCCTGTTAAACGGCGAAACAAGTTGTGCGCTTCTGTGGTTACTGGAATAGGTGATTTGGAGTAGTCTGCGTTGGGATGTCGTATGCCAGCTGCCATCGCCATAGGTTCGAGATCCACTTCGCCGTGCTTCTTCTTCTTTTTCAGATCAGAATCACTGTGACCCAATGCCTTCAACATGCTACTGTAAGCATGCAGATTAGGCTCAATACCATCATCCAGCATGGTCTTGAACATTCGCCAGGCAAGCACCCCTTCCTTGTTCAGTATTAAGCCTTGAATCACCATAGCCAGTGTGATATCATCCGCCACGCCCTGATCAGCAGATTTGATGGAAGCATACACTTGCATCGCAGCAGGGACATCTCGACATTGGAATAAGGCGTGTGCTAAATGGTGCTTTGCACGCTGCTTTGCCTCTGCGTCTGTAGCCAGTTGTGTGCTTGCTGTATAGCTTTGGTATACTTTTCTCTTGTCACCCTTCTTTCCGTATCCAACAATTAAATGGTTCGCCATCACGCTGTTGACCAGCTTTTCGTTTTGTTGCTGTAGATCGTCAAACTCCTTTTGTGCCTCTTCTACATTCTCTTTGCTCTTGAGCCATATCATCGCTGTCCTGAGTTTGCTATCTACATGTCGAGTGTCTAGTTTCTGAATGTATTCAACCGCTCTCCTTGCCTCCACCATGTTATTCTTTCGTAGAGCATTGATCAGTAGTGATGTGACAATGGTGCTGGAGAGTTGGTTGTATTTTTTTACATGCAAATTCAGAGATAAACGAGCAGCAACGAAATCACCAGCTACTGCGTGCGCATCTATAATGGCTGTACTTGTCACAATGTTGGGATATACTTGCTGTTTCTGCATTTCTTTGAACAAACTGACTGCACCCTTGTTGTCCCCTTTCCGTGCGAATCCTGCAATCAGTGTGGTGTAGATATATACATTGTAAGGGTGAGTGGTGGTTGTGGAATCTTGTTTCGTGGCTCTGTCCAAGGATTTCAGGAATGATACTGTGAGTGATTGAGAGGCACCGCGTTTCGACAGCAGACTGAGCAGTTGGGAGATGGTTGTATTTTCCAGCTTCGCGTTCTGTTTATCCATTGCTTTGATTAGCAGTTGAGTGACATATTTTAGCATTGCTGGATCTCTGGTTTTGTTGTTCTTCAATGCAACGACAAGCAAATCATAGTGGTTGGCTGTGGGGTAAAATCTATCCGGACTCGTAGATCTGTCGCATGCAACAGTTGTTACTCTAATCAGATCACAGGCAGCTCGCACAAGGCCCTGTCGACTCATGGCAAACAAGACTTGTGACAGATGATGAGCATTGGGGCTTTTGTCGTGTGATTTCATGTGTTCCAGCACACTCAGCATGTTGGGCACCGTCTTGCTGTACTTCATGATGCTGAGGATGCGCCCGTAATGATTGGGTTGTAGGTAATGATCCACGCCGTGCTTTATCATCAACTGATAGATCTGCCATGTTTTTGCGGTATCATTCATAGTAAAGCTGTACAACGCACTTCGTAGTGATGCAAACATGTCCATTTTCGATATCTTTTCCTTGATGAAATACTGCGACATTTGTTCAGGATCGATGAATTTGTTGATATTTCGAGGCTGATATTGTCGGTATACATTCGTCTCGGTTTTCTTTCGTGGTCGTGAGTTGTATGACCTTGTAACTAAAAATGACAGTGTGGGTAATAGTTGAGGTTTTGTAGGTGTCTTTAAAGCAGTAGATGTCAAAAGCGTTCGTCTAGTGTTTGTGTTGCATTCTAATTCTAAAAAACATTGCCTTAATAAACAATTTGAAGACTTGGCTCTTCTTGTTGTTGTAGTTGTAACAGCTAAAGCAGGACGCATCGAAAAGGAAACAGCCTGTGTGTATAATCTTGGTGTCTTCTCTCTTGTTCCCAATCAGTCTGACAGAGAGCGTAGAGGGGGGAGGAACGGAAAAATGAAGGGGAGGATATATTCCAATGAGAGTATATATAGTCCAAAGGTTGTAAAACCTTTTTCAAATGATTTAAATAAATACAACTGCTATAAGAAAGACTTTTTTTTTTGACAGACCACCCTCCAACTAAAAAAAGGAGGGGTTCAATTTTTCAAAAGGTAAGGGCTATTGGAAGGGATAGCCTTTTGTAATTGCAATACGACATTTGGCCCGCCAAATTGTCAGAATCTGTGCGGAGGCAGAGGCACCCCCCAGGCCTTACAGATTGCTCTAATTGAGGGGGGCGCAAGTTGAATAAAAATGAACTGATCTGTTTTTGATGCCGTGATGTCACAGAGACTCTATACATCCCACATGTTGCCTTTGAAGCAGCATGGGTTCATGGCATTTTGGAGCGAAATGTGTTGCCATGGCAACGGTTCCTGAATATTTATTTGACAGATCATGATATACAATTTTTAAATAATTTTTTAAGCAGTTGCTTTCCATGCAGCATAGATTTGGAAAATGGATGCAAAACCACCAAAGACACCAACCAGGACATCAGGGAAGCTTGACTTCTCTAATGACCAATGAACAGTTAAGGGTAGATAACTGAGATTTAAGATTGATGATTAGTCAAACGGCCGTTACTATGAGAAACATTACGCTCTTACCCTGTGTTGATGCAAGTATTGACAATCATGGTTGTTCTTTCGGCCTTGATGGATGCCATCTCAGCTTCAGGGTCCTCATGAGTCTCGATATCACCAGCCTTAATACGCTTCAACAAGCCAGTCTCTCTCTTTTTCAGATTTCTGTATTGCTCTCCAAGTCTACCATACTCTAAAATTACATATGCAGCCCAGAAACGACAACTCCACATTCCAATCTTGTTGGTCTTTTCTTCACTGATGGGGATGACTTGATGAGCACCCAACCAATAAATGTGTTCCAAAGGATAGTAGATGACATTTGCCCAATTTTGAAGACGCTCAATTGTGAGTGCAATTTTGCTAGGTGGTTGATTGTATTCCAAGTAGTTCATATATTGCACCATGGGCAGCAAGCCATAATAACGCAATAAGATACGGAAATCACTTACAGGTCCTGCAAAGTTTTGAATACGCTGAATGAATGAAATGGCAGCTGTGGCAGTTTTTAAGGGAGCTGAACGTTTTTGAGCAAACCAAATGATGACTTTTGACCAATATTGAATGAACTATGAACTGTTGATGAGTACAGAGCCTTCATCACTACCTAGCGAATTGACGTACCATCAGAACTTTGTCAGTACCTCGAACGCTGTTCAAGAATCGAATAAGATGATCCAACTTGGGATTGGAAGGACCCAATAATTTAGCAACTGCTAAAGGATTAATGGCCTCCTTTTTGTGATGTTGTTGTTGAGTTTTCTTTTCTGAAGACATTTAATGAAAGAAAGATGCGTTTTTTAGAAAAAAGATAAAAATTAATAATTTTATTTGAGTCTTTCACATGTGAACTCTTTTCCCACAATGGATACAAATCAATCATCTCAATTCATCTGTTTGCTATTATTGTCACTTTCCTCAAATGTTGTCATATAAAACTTGAGACATAAATTCTCCATATAAATTCTGATATCTTATGATACCATTTGGACCTTCTCTTCTGGAAAAATGATACTACAATTATATCATCGCTATAAAACACTATCTAAATGAAAGTCTTAAATAAATTGTTACACAAATCCAGACACTGGACGGGAGAAAGAGAAGTGATCACTCAATTCCCTCTGACAGCAAGCCGCACGTTATCTCAAAAACTGGCTAATAATTTGACATTAGCTCTCTAGAACCAGCCTTGCCTCTCCCTTTGTGATGAATATTGTTGTGAGCAATTGCACCTTTTCGAATTATAATTTCAGGTAAGTCAATTAACCTACAGCTAGATCAGGACACACACTAGCACATCTACATCAATGCTTCACTCTAAACATGTTGAATCTGAAGATTTGTGTACATTATTACTAGGCTTACTCCAGGTTTCATATGCAATTATGAATAGGGCACCAACTTTACATTCCTCATATCAAGATTCGCATTCTCATGAGCCATTTGCATCCCAATTTCGCTTTGTTTTCCTTGTTTTGTGGTAAAAAAAAGAAAAAAAAAAAAAAAAAAAAAGGTACTGCAAATACAAAATGTCTGACCGTAAATGCATTTCATCATTGATTTGGATGTGAAGGAACGTAAAAGAGTTGGACTTGCAAACACAGTAGGGTAAGGGTATGGGCTAGGCCTGAAGTCTGGTTGTTTGCTGTTCTCTTCGATTTACAGTGCCCTCGCCATTGAACAAATGATATTTCATATATGAACTTTCCATCAAAATGCATCATATACAGCTTTCAAAGCAAAATTGAAGTCAGAGCTCTTTGACCGCATTGGAAATACAAGAAAAAAAACCGCTAAATATAGCGCAAAGTTCCTTTCTTATTAGTTGTCTATTGCTTAATGACGACAGAGCTGGACATGCCTGTAAAAGACGACTAGCCGATCTATCTCGCTACGCTTGATGACGGTATCCCCCTGTTGGTTCTCGCCGAACGCATTCCATATCAGAGATAACAAAAATCTGGCATATCAAGTAGATTCTAAACAATAAATTAATAGCAAAAAAAAGGCTATATCAGAGTTAGGAGGGGGAGGTATCCATTCGCTGATTTTGCTCTTGAGATCGCGACATAATGCTTGCCATGCATACACAGGACTTGTATAAGATCTACAGCGATTTTTTTGAGATATTGTCATTGCAAAAGACGCCTTCATGAGGCAAAGCTCCCCCAAAAAAGTATTTGGGCTAAACAATTGTCCTTTTCAATTCCATGATCCCCATTTAATCAGCATCGCAATCATCGTTGTCATCAACAGAAACGCATTTGGGACAGCCAGCAGCAGCGCCACCCGCTGCTAAAATTGATTCAAACTCAGTTTATTTTTTTCTGTTCAAGATTGGACAGAAAGTGTCTTTCTTCGACTTTTTTAGTCTATTCTGTAATATTCGACTATATAATCTGTAATGAGTGCCCTACGCTTCCTAATACATTCTTGAAGTACTTTTCAAGGCGCTTCCAATGATGTTAACTGTAATAAGTATTTTGAATGAACTTATTGAGCAATTTGGTAAAATATGAGATGAGGTTTTTAGCGAAAATAGCCATATTTTTGCATATGAAAACCTCATAAAAGTGGTTCCAGAGGCTGCTTTGGATCGAGAGAAACATTTTGATTTGATATATACCATATTAAAAGTCTTCATTTTCAAGGTGAAAAATGCGATCGTTTGATTTTCGTGAAAAACCATGAGGGGTACCGCATGCTTTTTGGTCGATTTTTGGCCATGTTTTTTTTGGGGCCAAAAAGTTGAGCAAAGGTATCAGGAATTTACTGCTACTTGAGTACAATTGTTTGGCGTCATTCCGGTGGCTCAAAAAGGTCTACATGTCAAGATATGAAGGCGTGAAAACTGTTAAATTTGGTTGTGTTTTGCTTTATACCTTTTGTTTACACGGCATGAATCACATCTTTAGTAGCTGAAATTTACTAGAAGGGTAGTTCTGCCGTTTATGCAATTTCTAATTTGAATAGAAGACATATTGATTTTGGTAAGGCTGATTCATGCAAATTTTGATGCTTTGTGTTGTTGGTAAGCTTATTAATCTTAAAAATTGAAACGAATACTATGGTTTTGCACCTTCACTTCGCTGCAATCAAACCCTTATTAAGATTAGTATTGCCAAATGCTGAGTTAGATGCCTAGTTGCCATGGTTTTTCGCACTTGGCTACTGTAAAACCGCCTCATAGGTCAATGTTACCAAATGTTGAATTAGATGTGTTATGTTCTTGGTGGATGGGCTTAGCACCGACTCCAAACCCCTCCCAATGCCGACTTTGCCAGTGGTTTATTCACCTTGTACGGTACTCATTTATTTGATTTGTTTGTCCACTTTTCTTGAATGTTTTACGATGAGACGCTAAAATTTAGCTAATTTGGGTTGGCAGATCAAAATATCACATAACAGGATGCTTCATCCAAACAACATTTTTCGATTTTTGTATACAAATGCCTATTAAAAAAGCATTTATTCCTATATGTTTATAAACAAGATATGCTTCTGAATACAGAAGCTCGTCTTCTTTATCAAATGTTTAAATTAATGAAAAAAAGGGGGTTTGTTATTATTTTTAGGGGGAAGAGCGAGAAAGAAGGGGGGGCTTTTTTTTATATGTTGTATGTAATGAATTTTTGAAGAAAATACAAAGGGAAGAAGGGCAAGGGAAAAGGTGAAATATGATTTTTTTTTGTGTTTCATTTTAAGGAGATTATATATGCGATATGAGAAAGAAGAAGTTTATATGATACAAAGAGGAATTTTGTAAGATTTTGTTTGTTTGTTGTGGGGAGGGGTACTGTTTGTCATTGAAGTAAATTATTTACAATAGAGAGTGAAAGTGAATGGAATAATTAGTTAAAAAAGAGGTTCCCAGAATGGCCCTGAATCGAAGGAGAATTCAGAGAGGTCCTGGGAGCAAATGTCAGAGGGAGGGACGTTTGCTGCAAAACGAGGTGCTTGAGGAGATGCTACAGTTACGGCAGAGTTGTTGGATCTATGAATGAGAAACAAGAGATCAATGTCAAGTTATAGGGCATCAAATGTTACTACTTACGGATTTTCACAAAGAAAGACATCAGAGGCATTAGGAGCGAACAGTTCCTTCTTGACAGAATCAAGGGATTGCAGGTAAGCTAAACGAGACAGGATCTCCAGGCTTTCAGGATCTAATACCAACTGGCCATCTTCTTTTGGATCAAAGGGATCAAGGGATAAGCTTTCGCTTGGAGTGGTGACTTCACTAGCACTACTATCTTGACTACTAAATCTGGATTCAGATGAAACGTCAGGCCAATCTGTCGGTGTTTCTGGTCCTGGTAAGTCAGTAGAGTATCCATCATCGTCATCATGAAGATGAAGTGGAGGAGGTGTAGCAGATGAGCTAACAGAAGCTTTGTCTGAGGCGGAATGGCTGGACGAATTTGCTACATTTGCAGCTGTAAAGTTGAATCGACTGAGAGGAGATGAATCGATTTCCATGGCAGATGAAAAGTCATCGTCGTCGTATTCCTCTGCATCTTCATCATCAGTGTTGGCAGCATCTTGGCTCTTCAAGGCCAAACGTTGACTCTTCCATTGAGCGGCATATCTCCAGGTGATGGCACTCAATAATTTGGCATTCTTACCGGTACAAGAACCAAGCGAGAGGAAGCAGGAAGGACAACGGAAGGTTTCTGTTAATGCTGCATCATTCAATTCGAGACATTCCAAATGCAAATAGCGATAGCAATCATCACATTGAACCATGGATTCGATTTCTTCATGAGGTGAGGAGCAGATACATTGGATGTTCTTCTTTTTCAAATGATGGTGTGCACTGTGGATGGAATTGGTAGCATGACTAGCGGAGGAGTGGCGATGAATAGATTTGCGCTTCATACGCATACGCTGGCTAGATTCGGATTTGTCTTCGAGTCCCAATACATGAGTCAATTGAGACTTGGGTGGTCTACCAGGACGTTTGCGATCAATACGAGAAGTTGATCTTGAATGAGAACGGCCATCTATGGATTGAAAGTCAGTAATGGTTCACATGCGATTTTTTTATAGAAAGAAAAAGAATAAAACGCCCAAGACCCCCCAAAAATAATAACAATTACCTTCAGGTCTGGAAAGGTGAAGTTCTTTGTCCATATTAGATGCTTCATGTACATACGACTCAATCAGAGTTGCACCGCAACGAGCCGACCTTTCTGATTCAGTTGAGGGATCTACAGATTCGTTCGCATTAGAGAGAGATAATTGAATTGAATGATCTTTGAATGAGATTTCAGTTGATTCCTTGGACACAAAGATGAGATATTGCTTCAACATTTGTAGGTTGCGCAATGAAATTGGCTTGGCATTTGACCAATCAGATTCAGACAACATTGTATTGGCTACTACTTCCTGCTGAGGCATATCAGATTCTGATTTATCACTGCTGCAATTGCTAGGTGGAGGTGTAGGTGGTAAGGATATAGTTGGATCAGATAATCGTTTTGCTGCCTTTGATAAGCGATCTTTTAACTTTTTAGCAACAGAGCTGATGTCGTTATATTGCACAGATTTCTTCAATGAATGCTTCTTTAAATCGATGCTCATCATTTCAAGTTCTGGCTTGATGTTTGTTGTTGTTGATGTTGCTAAATCTGCTGCTGCATCTTCTGATGCTGCAGTTGGTTCAGAGGGTGCTGCTGGAGATTTTGACTTTTGTCTTGGTTTAGGCTTTGCATTATTTTTTGACACCTTCTTTGAATCGGCCATGGCATTCTTGTTTTTTGTTGTGATAGTACTATCAGGTAAAAAAAAAAAATATCGATGTCAAAATTGTGTATCGTTGGACAAAATGTATTTCATTTTTTGTAGGTTGTTGCCTAGCAACAGCACTATCTATTACTTTTTAAAAAGAAATAGTGTACGTCCGTTGCTGGGCAACAAAACAATCAACAAAATACAGCAAAAGGTTTAACTCACGTTGATTTCATGATTCTGGTGATTTCTTGTATGCGAAAAAGGACAGATAGATTTTGATCTTTTCTAGTTTCTTGGCTGATTTTTGTTGAGTTATAATGATGAATGTTGTATATGAAAATATGTGTGGGTTACTGGTTCTTTTTTACTCTTTTTTATTTTCTATTTTCAGACCAGTAAATGTTAAATCAATAAAGTTTACTGCTTGTTGTGGATGATAGTAAATAAAAACGAAATAAAAGAGAGAGTTTAGTGAGGGAAAAAAGAAAAGAGAAAAAGGAAAACAAGAAAGAAAAAGGGAAAGGGAAAGGTTTAATCGATTGGGGAGTTTCTATTAGGGTGTGCGAATAAAACCAAAATATCCCAATTTTACAGTCATATCATGTATAAAAAGAGCGATCGTCTCTCTCTCTTTGTGACCTATTTAAGTTTCGGTATTGCCATGTTCATATCCGATACAATGGTTATCGTGCTTTTGTAACCGCCCAAAGCTTCCGAGTCATCTGAAAAAACCCAGGTTTATATCTTATCGTATACACAAATCATGTCAAATGTTGAAATATGCATCACCCCTTCCAAAAAAATAACAATACCTTGTATCAGGCACCTCGTTCGAATGCGCTAACATGACGTCACTATAGCAATGTTGCATTTTCATGTACATTTAGGTAAGGCTGAGCCTTTAATGTGGATGATTTACATAGACAACATATAGGACATCTATCAAGCAAAACCTCGGCATGTATTAAATTAACATCTCAAACATCATTCATTGCAAAATTGAGCGCATAAATTTATGAATCATCACATTTTGTAGACCCGTCGAATCTATTCTAAATTGGATGCCCTTTTACTACACTCTCACCCAAGACCTCGGCTTATCAGAAATGCACAATATACACTATGCCCCTGCTTTCCCGTAATGCAAACTGCCATTCATGATAAAGGCATATTCCATGAATCCGCTTACATTCAAAGTGAATCAAAAACTTGTTATGCAATCTCCGCGAGATCGTGGGACGAGATAGATACTTATCAAATGTTGAAGTAAAATAAGGAGGATGAGGCAAAACCCAACTAATTTCTTGGCGGCAAAATTAAGAATGCACATATATATAGCTTAATTTGTCCTCAAAATTTTGTATTTGACGTTTTGCCTCTGTTCTTATTGCCAACATATTCCAATACAAAGGTAAAACATGGATATTCGGAGCAACAACCATAAATACAATGATTATATCATGTTTATTTAGTGCCATCTTTTACTTTTTCTGATTGTTCTTTACTTGATCCGTCAACGGACAATAAGGACAGCTTGTAGATTGTAGAATGTCAACAATATTCTTGTATGTATATATATACCAATTAAATCAGTTGTACAAGTAAGATAACCAAGTATTTCAAGTGCATTAAATAACAAGATTACCCACCCTAATCCTGTGTTACCCACAAGAAAACAGTATTGGCGAAATGAATGGCCAATGTTGTAAATATTCATGCGATCCACTTTTTTTTCACAATTCTAGAATTCGAGCCTTTGCCTCTGTGCGTCGTTAATCAATCATTCGATTTTTATAATCGGTTTCTTCTGAACTCAAGGATTATCAAATGCCTCTTTATTCAAATGTCGATGATGTTAGCGTTAGAAGAAATGCTGTGATACAATAACAATATTGTTATTTGTATATCTTTTTGCAAAAAAAGGGGGGTTTGTCGAATGAAAGAGAGAAGGAAAGGAGGAATAGAAGCAATATAGCCTTGTATTCAGCTTCATTATGGTTACACTACCACATAACGATAGCAAACTCTAAATAGATGGTGCTTGTAAACTACTAAAATAATGATGGTAATCCATAATATTTGATAGCTTGCTAAATCAACCGTTTATCTTGCCAATAGAAATATTTACAAATACGAAGCTTAGCAGATCGTTCCAGCTTCATCTCCCCCCGCTTGTCTCCTTTTTATCAGATGAAGGCACTTTTGCCATTTTAACCCCCAAACAAATTGATTAATGTTTATACATGTTATGCACTATTTTACGCCATCAACTATGCGTTTATGAGATTATTTAAAATTGCACTTAATACATAACTCTCTCCCAAATACACAGGATAGCTGACATTTGCTGAGAGATGTTAATAAATCTTGTGTCATCGAATGTTGAGTAAGAGGACCATAGCATTTGGGGCTGTAAATGATTACTGCTTGCAACCCGTACAGGATGAAGGGTATTATAAAATTAAGGTTTGACGAATCTAATTAAACCCATTTTAAAAATGCAGCATTTGCCTATTTATGGTAGGGTCACCTTTTCTCTATAATCCACCAATATCAATCAAAGTTATGAATAAAAGCAGCATTTGGACAGTTGACAAGACACACACGTTTGAGATCGCGCGTCTACTTCAATCAAGAATCGTAACCTCATACCCAAGTGCCCCTCTCCACTTTACTAGGCCAGTAGACAGATAAGTTGATGTGATACAGGTCTGAATGGTTGATTCCCACCCTGCTTCTATCTTGTTTGTATGAATAATGTGACCTTGACTTGCATGCCGTTGCCTATAAGAAGCATTTGGTTAGATGAAAGCAAGTTGAATAACAATAAACCTCACTAGCTGACTATGTAGTACTTGTAAAGTGGTAGGTTCGTTAGGTGGTACTCCTTCATCCAGATGTAACGTAAGATGACAAAGTTGGCTTAATATAATTGAGTGCTACACTTGTGCATCGACGTGGGAGCCCAAAAATATCGTTCACTTTTTATTATGCAGCAACAACAAAACAATAGCCACAGGTGGTTGAGCCGTGGTTTATCTCATTCTCAACATATCTCGCATCTACACAGCTGTTCCTGAGAAATATGGGGCAATTTTTTTATGGTTAATGCCCAGCGTTCCCTCAATAGAACTGTTTATTATACAGAGATTCTGTCAAAAATTCATCTACATCATTTTGCTGCCAAATGCATGCTACCAGATATGTAGTTTGGAACACTACTGAGCACATGGATTTAAGAATAGATTTAAAGCCAATCCAAGTGTATTTGAACCTACATCTGCTAAAACTATATGCGCATGCCTTCAATCATTGCATCTTGTTCGTTGGTTTCCGAACATTGACAGCATTTGTTCAACTGTGTCGCATAGAACATATTGATTCCTTGTGAAGATGCTTGAACTTTAAGCATTGGTACTAGGCTAGCTTGTAACCGTCGATCTGACTCTTACACGATGGTCTACATTTGTGTCAATGAGAAAAATCATATAAACGTAGACAGCTTACTTGCATTCTCTCTTGATGCTCAAAAGTAAGCAGATTACAGACAAATCTGGTCATACTTACACCGTGTTTTCTCGTGTTAAGAGCTGTTTTAAACCATCAGAATAGCACCATACAATTGCTTTCATTTGGTATTCACTCACTGGTACCAGTGCTCACCTTTTTTGGGACCAAAAAAACATCACCAAAAATCAGCTGAAAACCATGAGGTACCCCTCATGGCTTTTGTTGAAAATCAAACGATCGCGTTTTTGACCACAAAAATAAAGACTTTTACTATAGCATACGAGCCTTTCAGCACTTCGGGTGGTTTCCTGACCTACGCTTCGCTTCGGTGGAAACCAACCTACGTTCAAACGGCTCGCGCTGCCGCGGGCCTTTGGCTAATATCCCAAAATTAATATAGCTAAAATGTTAGAAGAGGAACCCTGATTGTTGATTGATATGTAATCACTAATCGTATGAGTGTTTATGCTTCGGATGGTTCTCACCGAAGCGTAGCAAAGGTAGAGAACCAACCTGCGCAGCGGCAGCTCGTGCTACTGATTGCTCTTGCGTATTTTATCAAAATACTGCTACTTTCATTTTGACCCTCCACTTACACATAGTAACCCTTCCTATTATCTGTGGATCTGATTCTTATGTGATGTTCTACATCCATATACACGTAGCTACTTCATATACGGGCAAGCAGCATACTGGTATTCCCACTTTTTAGTCCTTAGTGTCCCTAATACAACAAAATTTGAATGCATTTGAGCTGAATTTTCTTGCGTTCAAGGCCGTTTTAGATCGTCAGAATAGCCCCAAATGGTTGCTTTCATCTGGCAGTTACTTTCTGACACTTTTGCTCGACTTTTTGGGGACCAAAAAAACATGGTCAAAAATCGACCAAAAAGCATGAGGTATCCCTCATGGTTTTCATCGAAAATCAAACGATCGCATTTTTCATCTTGATAATGGAGACTTTTACTATGGTATATCTTGAATCAAAATGTTTCTATCAATCCAAAGCAACCTCTGAAATTATCTTTGTGGGACTTTGATATGTAAAATTTCGACATTTTGGCCATAAATCTCTTTTCATATTTTTACAAATCATTCAATAAGTGAATTCAAAACATCTATTTTACTTAGTACCATTGGAAGCGCCTTGAAAAGTACTCCAGGAAAGCTTAAGGAAGCATGGGGTGATTATCATACTTCACTTAGTCGAATCTGCAAAAATAGCTCGATCGAGTCCAAAATTATCAAAATATGTCCAATCTGGAACAGACTATGATTCTGGGTTTGAATTAATTTTGGCTGGTAGGGCCAGCTGGAAAACTCATGCCCTTTTCATAAGGCAATACAGTAGTAAATGCCCTCGAAGCGTATAGAAAGTAGGTGGCAGGTCATAGTACTATCGTTTATAATGATATTTTATTGCCTTCTATATCGTTCATAATGATATTTTATTGCATTCTATATTTAATAACGTTAGTCTGGACATTGACAATGCATGGGTTGCATAAAATGTCTGCAGTAAGTAATGAAATCTCTGAGGCTCTGAGACGTCGCTCAAATAAAACATTGACAGCATTGAGCAGAGGAAAGAGGGTAGAAATAATAGTGGTTTTTATTGATTGATTGTAAAATCATTATTCTCATATGAGCCAGGTCTGATAGATGCCTTGAAACTCAGGTTCCATATTAGGATTGTAAAGTGCAAAAGGACTGAACATTTATT